AGCAATATGAGGCCAGCAAGCGGGCGTCTGATCCAGTTGGTCAATGCCCAAAACTAATGCTTGATATACCATGAGTACTTCAATCAAGGACATGGATTGCACGGTAACAGTATCTGCCGATTGAATCGAGATGCCTTCCAATGCATTGATCTCGTAGTGGGTTTTATCCACCATTGTAACTCTCAGCATTGCAAGTGGTTCTATTTTTATGTCAGAAAATTTAATTGAAATGGTGACCATGTTAGCGACCTTTTATCACTGCTGAACAGAAATAAAATGCCACATACCAATTGCAAGGTTGTTGATGGGCCGATTGACGATAAACAGTGCATGATTTGAATCGTGATCTGTCCAACAGTCTCTACAAAAGCTACCCCAGGAAGGGCATTCCATGCATTGGTATCTAATTCCTGTAATGAGCCATGCACAAAGTTCGCATCGATATCCCCAGTGCGTTTTATTCCATCGATGGTTTTCTAGATTTAATATTGCCAGATCATTCAAATGTTGGAATTTATACTTGTATAATAATTACAATGCATAGAATTTAACTCGAGGTTTTAAAAAAGTACTACCTGGTATAACATGATACTTGTACAAGTTTGCCATTGATTTGGCTCTATCTTGTCTCATTCGAAGCTTTGACCACGTCATGGAGCTTATATATGGCACCAAATATACAGCTTCGGGTAGTTGAGCAGTTGCCGCCTGTTTTCGTCCGCAGTTGTCGCACAAATATCGAACCATGGACGGACCTCTATGAACATGAATAGTCAAATGGATGGTAAGCCTGCAGTTATCGCATTTGAGAGCGGGCAAGTCAGCAATAGAACCTCGAAAAAGACGACAGACTCCGTGAATCTGACAATCACAGACTCCAATCTCTGCCCGTCCTTTTAATGCAACTGGATGACCTCCATGGCAAGCATCTATACAAGACTAGAAGGTGTATGCAGTGAGCATTGAATTGTTAGCGATCACTCATTTAATTGGCATTGCTGGAATTTAGTTGAGTTGTCTAGAAATGTCGATGTATTTCTTCCATACAACTTTGGCGTTGGTATACATTATACTGGACATGAATTAAGAATACTCGCTAGTTTGAGTATTACATATGCATTCATGTAAAACGAAATACCAAAAATGTTGAAATGCATAATAAACTGCTAGTCTTGCATAATGTTTCCATCAAATCTGCTGGTTTCTTGATGATTAGCATGCATGGTTGCATTTCCAAGATTAGTTTCTTGGATTCAAGCGCGAATATGATATTTTAGAATACAACAAATGAGTTTGCAAGACTTGAATTGGATTGGATTGGAAACAGCAGAACAGTCAAACTCAATATCCAGTTTCAAACTTGGTGATCATACAATGCATGACTGCCAAAAAAGAGAAAGGGTAGGTTCAAAAAATATCATTTTCAAAACTACAGTTTGTATTATGATGGACATTGTGTTTTGAAGAGTCGAGAATGTCTATTCAAGTCAGTCTTTAACAGTGTTTAACCATTATTTATTCCAAAGCGAAATAAAGACTGCAGGATAAAGTAATCCATTGCGTGAATACGACTGTAAATGGAATTTCTTGCTTAAAGTTGTATGATCTAGACAGGTGAATCAGGACTTTTTATCCATTTATTAATACAAATTATTTGCATTATTTCGAATGTTGAAACAGTTTCTCATTGTTTAATTGGAGCAGATCGTTTGCTATTAGAATATATTTCAAAATCAATTGTAAACAAGCGTTTATAACCACTTTCCAGTAGCACTATAGTCTGTTTATTCAAATATATCTGATTGTTTCAAGAATAAAATTACATGTCTATATATGTATTAATGGTATTTGATCTATATGGATTTGCATTGTGGTGGAGATTGATTTGTTTTGGGATTGTATGTAGCATCAGACAAAATAAAGCAATAAAAGTGTTGCTAATTCAAATCCTGGATTTCTCAAGATCCACCATCTGATTAAAAACTCGCATATATTGATGTCTTTTGCATTATCAAACACACCAAGTTAGAATTACAATCCCATTCTATTAGATTGGGTTCAAGACTCGATAAACTGTTGAGGCGATATCCAAACCAAATTACTGCCATGAGCGGCCATATCAAGTGGCACGTATATTTCTCATCAGTATGATAACTTGACATCATTTCTATATGCTTAGAAGAGTCAAAGTACCCTTCTGTCAGGTTCCATTAGAACTGATTACAAGTAAAATGACGTGGTTATTGCTATTACATATTTTCATTGACTTTTATATGAAAAAGCATGCTTAGGAAAGCAAATAGCCGATTGGTCAAGTGGTTGATTGTACCACTATCCTAGCTAAATCTCGAATAGCAACATGACATTGCAGATTTTTGGTGGGGGTACTTTGCGGTGGGTTAGTTTGTGGAAATATAACAAGTGCCGAACCACATGAGCCGCCCTAACATGTGCTATTGCAATTAGTGGCGTAGATTGCAGCCGTCGACAAATTAGTATAAATATCGACGAGATCTAACCCTAGTTCTTTCGTTATCTACTACTTCAAAGTTGAACCGTCTCTAGCTTCTAGTGCATTTCTTTTATTATTACTATTGTATACTCTTAAAATAGGAATCATGTTTATTGCTGCTGCTATTGTATTTGGTCTTGCTACTTCTGCTTTCGCGATTCCGTCAACTCCGATTATATCGCTGCCTGCCTTTTATTCGCCCCAAACCGTGGCCAAGTTTACCTCGACTATTCCCAATGGTCTGGCTACTTCCAGTTTGACCACTCTTAAAAATATTGCCAGCGACCACCTTCACAAGTCTCTTGCTCTTGGTTCAGGAGTGACTATTGTTCCATCTGCTTCGTAAGTTGATTAAAATTTATTAAATCAATTGGTACATCTACAATTCAACATTTTATATATTTTATCTAAATAGGTTCCAAGACAACCATAGCGGTGTGTACCATAATTATGTTACCCAGGCAGTTAATGGTGTTGTGATTGCCAATTCAGTTGCTTCGGTTTCTACTGATAAAAGCGGAAATATCATCTCCCAAACAAGTTCATGGGTAAATGTCCAGTCTGAGCCCAATCTCGGCAGGTTTTCGAGTTTAAAGACAATCTCTCCAGTCGATGCTCTGGTTGCTCTTGCTGCTTCATTAGGCATCCAAATCGACGGGAAAACGCTTACGACATCGCCTGATCCAAATTTCCCTGAATCACTGGTGATTCATGGTGCACAAAGTATTACCAATCAAACAATTACTGTTAGTGACAAATTGTACAAAACTGCCTCGAGTCTGCGTCCTGTTTGGGAGTGCAGTTTACCATTGAGCGTGTCGTGGATTTCTGCTTTTGTCGACAAGGAAACCGGCAAGGTTCTCGGGGCTTCTGATTGGTCGTCATCTGCTGTTCGAACTGAAGATGGCCGTATTATTCCTCAAGGTTTGCCTAATGATACTCACACTAGTTTGACTCGCAGGTCTTTAGTTGTTATCGACAAAAGACAACGTCGCATTCCTACTCGTAGACCTCGTCGAACCAGGACTACTACAGCTCGCAAAAATCGTGCTCAGCAAACTACTTCATCACCCAACCCTACTGCTGGTCCTGACACTCCATCGCCTAACCCTCCACCCACCGGAAATATTCCACCTACTTCTTACCGTGTCATTCCGCTTGGTGGACGTGATCCACTGGCTTCAAAAGCAACTCTTGTTCAAAATCCGTTTGATAAGGAAGCTTCTCCGCTCGGCTGGCACGACAAAAATGACTCTCAGGGCTCAACCTCTATTACTAGCGGTAACAATGTAATTGCTCACGACAATTCCAACAACTCCAACAATCCAAGCTCTGGCTTAACCACCGCCAACAGCTTTGATTTCGATTTTCAATTTGATGACAAGAACCAAGATCCATCAGAGTATAAAGATGCGTCTGTTACCAATGTCTTTTTTTTGACAAATGCATATCACGACATCCTGTTCAAATATGGATTTGATGAACAGTCTGGCAACTTTCAACAATCCAATATCGGTGGCCAAGGAAGAGGAAATGATGCAGTTTTGGCCCATGTGCAGGATGGATCAGGTCTAAACAATGCCAACTTTAATACCCCACCAGATGGACGAACTGGTGTTATGCGCATGTTCCTTTTTGACACTACCAATCCAAAACGCGATGCTGCATTTGATAACGGTGTTGTGCTGCACGAACTGACTCATGGTTTATCAAATCGTTTGACTGGTGGGCCTAGCAACTCCAACTGTTTGCAACGCACCGAGTCTGGTGGAATGGGCGAAGGATGGTCAGATCTAGTTGCATTGGTGCTTGAAATGGTAGAATCTGATACTGCAGCTACCCCAAAACCTGTTGGTGTCTATGTCACCAATGATCTACAAACAGGCATCCGTCAATTCCCTTACTCCACCGATCTGACAATTAACACCCATACATACAGTAAACTCAGTACCACTCGAGAAGTTCACGATGTTGGTGAGGTTTGGGCTACAATGCTTTTTGAAGTTTACTGGAACATGGTGGGCAAGCTTGGATTCACTCCCAACCTTAAAGACGATGCTAAATCTGGAAAAGGCAATGCCGTGTTTTTGCAGATTTTGGTTGATGGAATGAAACTTCAACCTTGCAATCCTACATTTATTCAAGCAAGGGATGCAATTATCCAGGCAGACAAGGCGGCAAATAACGGTGCTAATTTGTGTGAGATCCAAAAAGGATTTGCTAAACGTGGTTTAGGCATAAACGCTCAAGATGATGGTTCTTTTGTTGATGATTCTACTGTTGATCCTTCATGCTCTTGATCTCTTGTATTTATTTGACTTGCATTTAGTCGACTCTTGTATTTAGTCGACTCTTGTTGCCATTGTATGATTAGCCACATTTTATGTTGGGCTGACGCTTTGAATTTTGAAATGAAACATTCGTTTATATATTGATCTTTTACCTATTACACATACATTTAAATCTACCGGTAATGCTACACGTATATTTACATTGCTGTCAATAGATACAATAAAGGAAAACTGTCAGTAGGTGAAATAGTGGCTGCAAAAATATTTTCTGAGCTGTGCATAGCAAAGCACGAACAAACGGATTGAAGTGGTTCATCAGGAAGCATTGCATACCATCTAGTTCAGCGCATCACATCATGCTGATGTATGTCGATCGGTATCACATTGCAAATGACTGTCATCCAATGACTGCAATGCAATACCGTGCATGTATTGTGATTGATACGTTGTGCACCATCAGCCAGTGTGCAACTGTCACTTGATATATCGACTCTGATATGCAACAACATGCTGTGTTTACCATGATCAGGTTTTTGATCAATCTCTGACTCACGGTACATGATTTGTCATGTTGGATCGTGTGGATGTGTCATGGACTGCAATTTAGTTGCAAACACACATATGTTTGACATTGACTGATGCATACTGTGCAACGACTGATCAGTGCAGGTGTAATTGCACACTTGGTGGTATTGTGCATTACGGTTGTTTGACAATGGATGAATGCTGGATTAGTCGGTCATATGCAACCCATTTGAATCGACCTATTTGAACAATCACTCGATGCAACTGACAAAAAACACTGCCAGCCAATGTTTGCACGGTACGAATATGGTTTGTTTGCATCAAATCATTACACAATCTGTATCTTAGCACTCGTTTATTCAAAATAAAATGTATTCAACCACATGTTCAAACATGTTTGGCTACAGACAGTTTGTGGGATAAACTGCACATCATCGACTGAGCTACACTGCATGATCTACTATGCCATTGATACACACGTTCAATTCAGCAATGCAGCTGTATTACAATGCTGACAACTATCTGAACCAATTCAGTATAATATGTTACAACTATATATATTCCATTGACACATCAACAGTCATACATACCGATTGTTGAACATGCTCGTGTTGGTTGGTGTGCATTGATACAAGTTGTCAGAGCCAACCAACAAATCACTATATTTGTACGGATTGTGTACCATGGCATATGTTTGAACAGATACTGCACGAATCATTATCATTTGGATTGAATAATCAACAAATACCATTGTGACTGCACATGTATTGCATATCTCGGATAAACTGTCTGGACTGAAAATCGCGGACATGTGACAGCAAATTGATGTTCATTATAGTCGAGAAGTAAATCACAGTTGATCAAAGATGTGAATGGATGAACCAATGTTGGATTGTGTTATTAAAGAACAAGAAAAAATGCGTTTTTATAAAGTTGGAGAGCAGAGAAACGAAAGTATGCGAGTTCTCACTCAGACATCATGGTCGAGTCTTTGATTACTATATATCTTCCATCAGAGATGGTTGTGATATCACAATTGGTGATCACAGCCCAAACACATATAAAGGGTTCACACACACTCAGTGAAAATCAATAGACTGCACATCTCAACACTTCAAGTCTTATACAAGAACATACACTATTAATTGTCTAACATTTTTCAGTCAACAATTAACATGTGTTACTGATTGTGTTCCCACGTAGTATTAAATTCCATCGGAATAGGAACATCAACCAAGTCTTTCAATTTCAACAGTACCTTAGTTTAGTAGTTTCTTCATGAGTTTGAACATTTGATTAACCAAGAAATAGTAAATCATAGCGTGCACAGGATAGAGTAAAACAAGCTTTTAAACTTATTTGCTTTTGAATATTTGAGAATTGGCTAGAACTATTAGTAAAACAACTGACTGAGATTATGGTTTTAAAAGGTTGAAACCGTGGTTGATTTCTCTTTCCCAAACTAAAAATCACAAATGAATACTCGAGAGAAAATAGCCGAGCAACAGGCGGAGCTTGCTGTTCTTAATAATATCTACAAAAAAGACCTCTTAAAGTGGACTACGGAGGAAACAATTATGTATGGAAACAAGGAGGCCGTTTCAATTAAAAAGGACTTGGTTGATGTTTCTATTCAGCAGTTGGCTGTTGAGCTGTTATTCGAGAAAGACTTTGCTGCCTGGAGTTCAGCTGAAAAGAGAAGGTACGGGAACCAGGAAGAGGCTGCATTGGAGCAACTGCGAGAGAAAAGTAAGCAACTGCGAGAGAAAGAGAAGCAACTACGAGAGGAAGAAAAGCAACTACGAGAACAGCAGATTATTCTACTTCAACTTAAAGAAAAGACACTTGTTCAAGGTAGCAAAAGTCCTATTCAAGGCTTTGTTGATGCGGGACAAAGTTCTTCGTTTACACAACAGATTGAAGACATCAAAGCAGATATCAGCAAACTTCAAGAATCAAGCAGCAAACTCCAAGAATCAGACAGCAAACTCCAAGAATCAAGCAGCAAACTTCAAGAAACTGTTTCAAATTATATCCAGGAAGCAGAAACTATGTCAATATCCAAACTCACTATTGACAAGATTCAAAAGGATGGCTATACTCTTATCGCAAGCTCAGTCAATTCAATCAATGATTCAGATTATAAAATTGCAGATAAATTCCACGAATTTCAATGGCCAGTAAAGAATAACAAAAAGGATAAAAAAAACAAAGACGCATATCTTGGATACCTATCGGCATTTGTTGAACCATTTTATCGCCTCCAAGCCAAGGCTTCAATCGAATGGCCTCATCTCTACTCTGAAGTCGGTATCAATCCACATCATTTGAGTGGAGAGGCTGATTTATATGTAATGCCAACAGCCTGTACTCTGATTAGTAGAAACCAGCTGTCGATGGTTTTTCGAATGAAATCCAATGAAATCAATTCAAACGACTTGGCACAAGCTATTGGATGCGTCGTTGCCGCAAATTCTTTGTTTGACGTACCCGGTCGTCCTTCCCCTGTTGGTGTTCTATCGGACTTTATTGACCAGTGGTGCTTGATTTGGATTAGTAAAGACGGAGAAGTGATCTATGCTAATATGGAGAAAGATTCGGAGCTACGCGGAAAACCTCTCACCCGTCTAACCGCCATGTACTATATACAAAAGCATTTGGAACATTATAACCAATTACTCAACGATGAGAACACCAAGAAACGCCGAGCAGAACATACTGGATGGGCATTTGATGAATTTGAAGCTGGAGTCTTGAAACAAATGGTGTTGGTTGCTGAAGACAATATGCGTGATTTGCTGGAGACGGATGAAGAAATAGCCATGTATGATATGAGAAAAAGAATGCGAAATACTCCTTTATTTCAATTCCCTCGTCTGCCAAAGGACTTTCATATTTTTCCTAAGTTTACGGAATAAATTGCTTTATGTTTTAAATATTTCCAAAGAATGTTCATTGACAACGTTATCAATCGATGGCTTGAATGAATGGAAATTGAATTCATTGCTGTGGATTTATATCAAGTATGAGCAAGTTATACGCTATAATCCCAACTAACAAGGCGACTACTGTTATATCCTAATATTTATTCTCTGTATTGCATATCTCGGATAAACTGTCTGGACTGAAAATCGCGGACATGTGACAGCAAATTGATGTTCATTATAGTCGAGAAGTAAATCACAGTTGATCAAAGATGTGAATGGATGAACCAATGTTGGATTGTGTTATTAAAGAACAAGAAAAAATGCGTTTTTATAAAGTTGGAGAGCAGAGAAACGAAAGTATGCGAGTTCTCACTCAGACATCATGATCGAGTCTTTGATTACTATATATCTTCCATCAGAGATGGTTGTGATATCACAATTGGTGATCACAGCCCAAACACATATAAAGGGTTCACACACACTCAGTGAAAATCAATAGACTGCACATCTTAACATTTCAAGCCATATACGAGGGATAAACTCTGTATACTGTAGGGCATCTGGATTCAGTGATTATTTTGGAATTGGTGACAAGGTCAGAATCTTGAAAGTGAAGGCTTTTCAAAAGGGATATGTGCCAACATTTATCAAATATATGCGGGAGATGGATACTCCTATCTACTACAAAACAATAAGGCAGTTCAGCTCGAGTAACGGTACAACATTTATGAATTACAAAATATTACTTGATTTTCCAGGTGCATTTGATACACCAATATGAGAACAGCCATTGATCCAAACGGAGCGTCGGAACAAGCGTGAAATTACCGAGTTAATGGAATATACTCTTGAACCGCTACATGAAAAGACTAATGTATTTACATGAAATTATTGTGTTGGGTAATACTATACAATGAATTTCGAAATCAATACCACAATGAATATCTTGAACGCATACGGAATTGGAATCATTGCAACCCAAATGAAAATGAGCAATTGTGACAATGGCATCGAGATTATTATCAAAGAAACAAGGATAAAGACCAGAAAACATACAGATAATACTATTCATTAAACTCCGATCTCGAGAAGGAGAAGGAGAGTAAAAAAAGGGTAAAGAAAGCAAAAACACAATTCCAGAACAATAAATAGAAACAATCACAACAAGTGCTTTATTCAAGCAGATATAAAGATACATTGATTAAACACGGAAAAGAGACTTGTTCATTCAGAGTAGATTAACAAGTGATTTCCACAACGATGGACATGATTGACATGATACCGAGTTGTCCCACCACAGTGTAAAAAGACTGCACTATCAGTTCCACGATCATTGGTAGCAACAACATCATTACTGGAATCTGAATGTGTCATCAATTGATGAGACATTGTTGGTTGACAAACTGTCTCACTGCAATGGAAAGAGACATTTGAGTTGCTTTCATTATTGCTTGAATTCAAAAGTGTCAACATCAACTGTTGGTATTCACACTCACTACAATGCCAACTATTGCTGTAACAGAAACCAGTCTCTTGTAATGAATACACAACTTTATCGAGTATTTTCAATGATCAAAGTAGCACTCGATTGCATCCATTTCTCGATATGCTTACTCTGGTAATCGACAGGAGTACAGCCATCATCATCATATGGACAACATTCATCGTCAGATTCTACACCACCAGCAATACACCAAATGAGACATGTTGTCTTGTGGAGCTCTAGTGCGTTCATGTTTGGTAGTCAAGTGAGATTGTTGTGAATGAAACACAATGTCATTTCACTGTTGGATTCGACTGTTTGTCGATTGTCAGTCCATCTCTTTTGCCTTGTTCTGCGGATAACTTCCAAATCTTCAATTGTCTCAATCCACTTCTTGTGCTTGTCACTTGTCAGATCATTCGTCTCTTTGATCACCAGTTTGTCATCCACATATTGCTTTAGTTTACCAAATTGGTCATGTCAATTGATACACAACAACAGTCCGTTCTGTATTTGATGTTTCTGCGTCAAACCAGCTCGTAACAAGATGGATGGTTTGTTGTATGCCATTCCAATGTTCTTTTGTGATATGATGTGTGCTCCTTGCAAGGACAACTTATCCCAGCAAAACAAGCAGACGCCGTCTCTCTTTTCAACTGCCTTGTTCAAGTCCTTGTGCTGTAGCTCACTCACTTTTGCAACATAGTCCAGATCATCAGCAGAGTTGTTTCTTGATGTTGGGTTTGATGAAACTGGAGTGTGACAGCTGGATGAATCGTTGTAGTCTTTGTGGAATGGCAGTATGTAATACCCAAACATGTCATCAATGAATGTACAATGATGTTTTGGGTCTGCCAACTGGATCTTGGTTGAGAATTCCTGCTGCTCTGCAAATTGGTTGGCAGTCAGCAGGTTGTGCAGTCGAGTGATGTGTGAGGTTTCTCCCTCTTGGATGATTCCCAAAAACAAACCTCGTTTGTTGTCATCCTGTCACAACTCCTTCTGTCTCTGTGTTGGTATAGCTTGAGTGCTGATTTGGTAGTATTCATTCAACAGTTGTGTTGTTGCTGTCTTTGTTGTTTCGATATTCATTTGATGTTTTTTGACAAAAGAATGAAACTCGAACCAACCAAAATAAACGCAGTCAACAATCAAATTGGACAATATTCACCAATAATCTTTTAAACTCGTACAGTTTGTACAGTGTTGTCATAAAAGTCATGGTTTGACACATTTTCATCAAGTTATCAGCGAGTATCAGTGAGTATCAATCAACAAAATTGGTCTCGTTGATTGATATACTATTATAATGTAATCAATTGAGTTGAATTGACACTCGATCGAACAATACAAATAAACACAAAATTGTTTAGACAATATTCAAAGTGTGAATTTGTTTCATTCTTCACACAATATTAAGTTTTGAATTCAAGTCGCTTTTTTTGTTTCTTTTCTTTCACAATTGTAATGGAAAATAAAGTATTTTATATCAAATATCTTGACAACCAGTCAGTGAAAATCAAAACTCACTTTGATGGAGAACTAGAGAGAAAAACCCCAATTTATAGTGTTTTGAAACTAATTGCTGCTTACAAGACTGCCACCACTCCTCTCCTTGACGCTATTCCTGTTGACGAGCTCACTCTCCATTATGTGGTGAATGGTCCAGCAATTGCTTGGAATGAACCCCTGGCCTCCATTCAACATCCAGTTGGTTTTTACGGCCATTCACTGATTATAAAATCAAGGAGTGGTGTGAATGTTGTAAAGTTTTCCAATCCAAACCAAATTCCCATGAGTGCCATTGATCTCTTGGAATGGCTTTCTGGATCGAATAATAGTTTTACAGTTGATTTGGCTGACAAACAAGTGCTATCTCAGCAGCAAACCAATCTTAATCAAAAAGTTGTATTTCCGCTGGCTGGTCGAGAGAAATCGCTCCAGCACATTGCATCATGCTTTATGGCCACCTATCGACATCGTAGCAATATTGATCGGAATTTAAGACCTGTTCCTGTATGTACTGGTATGCCGGGATTGGGAGTATGCCGGGATTGGGAAAAACTCGACTTATGACAGAGTGCTCTATCACAGTTTTAGACATGACAGAGACTCAAGGCAAACGACTTTCGGCATCGTTTCTTTTGGAAATGACACGAACCCATATGGCAAAATTGACAAGCTCCTTGGAATCAAATGTTCATTTTCCTGGAGATTGCTCCATTCGTTTTTCAAGGCGCAATACATGTTTGATGATTGGATGCGTAGAAAGTCACCAAAGAACAGAAGCGAGCTCACAATGCAATTAGCTTTATCGACCATTGAACTTTATTGGAGTCAGAAAACTCGAGACAACATACTTTTATTTGTGGGAGTTGACGAGTATCAAAAACTCGGTCAAGATGAACTGAGTTCTCTGCTGGATATCTTGTGTGCTTCTTCTTATCGTGCTAAAGTGTCAAGGCTTACACTTTTCTGTATGTTGGCGGGAACTGACCTGAACATGATTCGTATTGCTCAATCATCACATCCTAATATTGAGAGAACGCCAACCCGGTTTCTAACTCACATGGAATCAATGGAGGTCATTGGTCCTTTTATTTCGGATATACACTGGATTCGTGGTCAGTGAAGCCTTTGCTCAAAATGCCTTTCATCTAAGCGGAGTGCCAAGACTACTGACTGAGTTTGCAAAACAAGTTGTATCCATGAAGCCGAATGATCTAACTGAACACAATTTTCGGGAGGCAAGAATGGTTGCGCTTTCAAACTTGCAGCATCATCAATTGTCACTCGCTGATATTTTGAAGCTACTGGCGATTTCTTTTACAAACACGCCTGTTACATATCCACTAGACTGTCCGTTTTCTGAATCATCGCTACCTTCTGCAAGAAACCTTACTTGGAGTCAAATGGTTTCAAACGGGATGTGTCAAATTCAAGATGATGGTCAAGTGATTGTACCGTTCCATATCACTGTTCAGGCTTTGAAGAGGCCATTGAGTCAAAGCGTCGGTCTAAACCAATTTGAAGCGGCACTCCTATCATCGTTGAATGGTTTGTCGCTTGACGTTGAATATCCATTTTCCAACATGACTCGTTGGTCATCATGGGAGTATTTTGGCGCTAGTTTCTACTGTATCAGAATCAACTCGTTTCTTGTATTGGGAATATCGATACTTTCTTTGTCTGATATACTGCATGAATCGCGGTTTGATTCAGGTATTTTCAATACTCAAGTTCACATCAGAATTGCTGAAGTTTTCCAATCAAACGAGCAATATGGACCTGATATGCCACGGATGATCACTCGGAAAGACACCAGCTATTATTCCGTTGACTGGGTTGGCGGCGAGACATTGCAAATTGTAATCAATGGTGAGAATGGACCAGGAGTGGATATATACTTTATTCTAAAACGCGCAAAATACTGGCTATATCATAGTTTTGGATCAACGAAAACGACTTGGTTCTGATATTACAAACTCAGATCTGACCACTTTCCGATCGAAATTACCGAACCCGCCAGCATTTTTAAACAAGTTCAAGTTGGACTCTGTTTTTGGTTTGATGAGCATATATTCACAGATTAACATTAACCATGTTCCAGATTCAACGTATTTTGTTTCTGCATCAGATTATCTGTATTTTCATGGTCCACTCTATGATCATCCAGGTTGTTCTATGGCCATTGATGTCAATTCTGCATTGAAAACATCGATTAAACAGATATTCTGCGGTACCAATGATGATCAGACGGATTTGGCAAACAAGGTCATTGAACAGTGCTACAACAAACGCATTGCAAGCTATGATGAACTTGAATCATTGGTGTCACAATGGGGTGGAAAGTTGGACGAGTCGGCTCATGCAAGAATCAAGTTTTAAAAACCTGGCTAGTATTTACATTTTACTATTTATCAACCATAAATGTAGAAGGTGTAAAACATGAGTTCAAGTATTGATTTTATCGAATTCAGCAAGTTATTGATTGCAATAAATGAACGCTGACTAGATGTTGGCATGTACTACACAAAATTCAACCAAATCATTGCAACTTTCAAGTACCATTTATTCAGTTTCAGTTTTAATGACATTGATTCATTTTTACAATCTTGGACAAAATATAGCAGTGATTCTGGGTGAATCTCATCAATTGTGTTCATTCGAGTCAGAGCATCAATCTGGCACGGTAAGCAACCAATCCTTTCAGGCCATCCACTATTGTATACCAAGTATTTTATCCAAGATTGCACATCTCGAATAAACAGTGTGTGACAACTATGGACACATGTAGCAGTAATTGACGGTCAAGAAACTGGTATCAATGTTACATGTATACTACCAAAGTGTGTAGTTTAATTGTGGTTGTTTGATTGGTACATATTTGTACATATTTGTATGACTGAATGATATGGCTGCAGTTATTTAATCATTTGAATACAGGAATGAAACCTTGAATGTACATTGTAATCCAAACTTTATATTACAAATATTGTTTAAATTGACTCTTGGAATTGTCAGTCCAATAACATGCCATTAAACGATCACCCGTTGAGTTGAGTGGTGATATTTGCTGTATTGGTTGGATAAACACTGTCGATTCTTGAATCAAAACAACGATCATCATATAACACACAATCATACTATAGTGTTGAATCTACACTTTGTGCACTCTTAGTAGTCATACATTGTACGATCACCAAATTTGAACCCACATTCATGTATTGTGTTTGACTGTCAATGTTGTCAATACAACTCTGTACACACATTTGTTGTGTTCATCACCATCCAACTCAATCTCACCATTTCAATCAATCTTGGTCAATGTTGATTTACATGCTAATTCATTATCCAATCTTGTCTGACATTATTATTGGCTTTAATCACGTTTGGTTTGTACAACTGCCATGAGTTGTACTACCATTATCATTGTGTATCTGAACACCAAATATTCCAATACATCAATAATACCACAGTGTAAACAGTAATACAGTTGATCAGTCTTGTGGCAAGACATTTCATTCAAGTTTGTATTTGGAAATACTCGATGGTTTAATCACAACACACTGTTTGTAATGCGATTGTCATTGATCTCATTTCATTCCAGTCCAGTCCATTTGATTTATGATGATGTTTAGTAATCCATTACCATGTGTTGTAGTAAACTAACTTGTTTATTAAACCAAATCTACAACGATCACATTCAGAATATTAATTTACAGTATTTCTAAATGCATGTTTGATAACAATCCAATTTTGTTACAAAAAACTGATCAAAACAATACTAAAATGGAACAATTCGTTTGTGTGTTTTACAACAATCCAAACAAACAATTGTTGGCAATTGTCGGACATTCGCATGAATGAAATTGTCAAATCAAAATTCAACTTTACTAATTTTATCAAACATGGAGTTGGATGATAGCATCAAAGAGTTGATTCAACGCCTGGAAGATTTGAAACTATTAACAACGGATGCTCAACTATACAAGGCTGATGGAATATGAGACAGACTGCTTGTGTTGATACTGGAGCTGAAACAACAGGATTACAGTAGGTTTAATAGCAATTGGATTATTGATGAATTCAAACTGTTGCTGACTTTGTGTTGGTTTGAAATGACAGGATATAAAGTTATATTGCCTCGCTTACAGAGTATTGGACTGGAAGATATCACAGTCAAGTATTTGGAGTATAATCGACCCAGTTTACAGGTATTCATATATTGTAACAATAATGGATTGTTCATGACTAAACTAATCAACATGTGTTGTGTAGATCAAAGTAATGAAGTTTGCTGCAGTGTTTGCGAGTATGGTATACTATGATGGTCGGTTCAAAATATCTCAACGACTAAGCAACCAAATTGTACAACTCATGCAATCACCAAGCCGTCAAGTCAAAATGGCGGCAAGTCATGATTGATATTGATCAAATGATTGAAATTCAACTCATCTAGTGTCAATATGCATATAGGCGATGAAATCATGTACAGAGGTGTACAAATATAAACGCTGGAGTCAAGAGGATGGATTTGACATCAAGCCAATGGTTGAGATTATTGTTCACGATTCCGATCAACAAGTGTTCATATTGGCAATTGACCTGTTCTCGAAAGTTTGCCATGGTATTGACGATGAAAATGTATGTTTGTAATGATACAATATTGGATCAGTTTGGACAGTGTATTGTCTTGTTGATTGTATACTTGACACTGAACAATATCATTAGTTTGGCATCGTGTTGTCAAGACTTGTTTCACGACTGGAATCATCCAATGGTTCAGTTGCTGTTGGGTTTATCAAAAATCTTCAAACCATGTATCGGAATATTTATTGTCATGACCGAGTAAAAGCAATGAAATTTGGCATCATTCCAGCACTGGTCAATACGCTCAGGTATGTGGTGTTATGCATGAATGTGTGTCCAGTCATCATAATTGGTAAATTTGACATGGTTGGATTGACATGACATGAATACAGGAGTGTCGATCAAGAAGTGGTTGATCAAAGTATTGCTGCTATTCAGAGTTTTTACAATGTTACAGATTATGAAGTGACTTCAGCCGAGTTTATAAGGTCGGGTTTAATTCAAATACTGAACGACTTGTGTATCAAATACAGCAACAACTCTGGACTAAAAATGCGCATAATCAAGATAGCTGGAACAGTTGCATCCAAAATGCACGACTTTCCTGTATCGCTTGCACGATCGTTGGTTTTTGATCAATTGACGATATCAGTGTGTGATCTCCGCATGGGTTACTCTTTTCGCCTGTTTGATAATGTCAGCGACATGATTCAGAAATCTACAAACAAGACCGAGATGATCAAGGTGTTTCAAGATTATGGAATTGTGCAGCAATTCATCACTATTTATTCACGTACAGATATACGTTTGTGTGATTCTGGTGCTGGTACTGTAAACTTACTCATGACACTTGTTGATTTTGCCGACAATCATTCCGACAGTTCAATACGTACCGAGTTGGATCAAGGCGGGATATTTGAAAATCTAACGGCTATTGTAAAATCAGACACTGCTGACTACAGAGACAAAATGGTTGCTGACCAGATCATTGAAGCGTGTTTCCAGAATCGGGCTTACACTGCTAGTTCGAGCATTTGGCCATACAATGACAATGCCGAAATTGATATGAAATCTGGAATGGCCGGATATAAACATGGAGAGGTGCGCACACTTGTCGAAATGCGGTATATCCAGTATCTGCAATGTATACTTTGCAAACCCATGTGGTGGATCGATATCACAAACCAGCATATTGTGGAGCAATGGAGGACAGATTCACTCGATCGGAATATATCACCATCAACATTTAATCTTGCATTGGAACAACTCGGGGTTTTTGCCAAACAGCTTGTTTGTAATGGCAGTGATGGATTGGGCACAATTGTCCCAGGACCTGTTGAACAGACGTATATACTGGACAATGGCATACCTGACAATGTATACACGCGATTGATGACAAATGTATCGGATATTGAACATGGATCAAATCACAACACTGGTCAAATGGTGCACAATCTAATTGATGCATCAATGTACAGTGTTGTATATGGACAAACGATGATTGTACCACTGAGTATACGACTCAAATACACCACAATGGTACCATGCGATATATTGTTATCGACTCGACTTGTTTCAAATGTGCCCATCATTGACAGCAGTCCCAAGTTTATATCACGCAAGTTCCAATGTCTTCCGAGTGAATTCCGTGTCGAACAGGATGGCAGTGTGACCATCAACTCATACATCAACAATCTGAATCCGATATGGCATCGAGACATGTACAAATGCATTGCCAAAATATTCAAATGTTTTGTCCCGATGTTTGAAAGTCTGATCAGAACGATGGATCCACGGTTCAAGTATATTGATATTTGCAATCGCACAAAGGGATATAAACCACCAAGCCAGTCAGATCGTGGTGGTATGGAACCAGACACTCAACTCATTCGTCCCGTGTATGTACCAACACTTCCAGAACATTTCCAATCCAAATATGAATTAGCAAAGCCAGTATCACTGCGTGGTTGTAATCTACAAGTCATTGTCAAACTCACCAACATTCAACTGACACCATCCAAACCTAAATACGACGAGGGAGACTGGTACATTGAAGGTCCAATTAACGAATCGATTGTTGCAACTGGACTGTATTACTACGACGTGGAAAATATCACCACACCCAAACTCGATTACCGCGCGGCTGTTGATTTTTATTATCAAATAGCATCTGATATGTATTGGAAAGATGTGTATGACATTATTAATCGAGAATCACGACGCAATCAGTATATAGGATCGCTTGAAGTATCAAATGGTTGATGTGCAGTTTATCCCAATCGATACCAACACAAAGAACAATCATTTGAACTTGCAGATCCAACTCAACCAGGACACTGCAAGATTCTGACATTTTTTGTAGTGAATTCAGTCTGTCGGATTGTTTCGACTGCGCATGTGGCTCCACAACAACCACAATGGTACAACTCGAGTCTTGACAAGACACCCATACTGCCTGAACTGTGGAATGATGCCACGCAGTATATTCAAGGTGTTCAATCACCAACTGAAGCCAAACACTATCGAGATGAATTGACAAGTGACCGAACTCGAATCGTAATGGCATACAACGAAGAAATATATGAGCGGGTGTATAATCTTGATAATTGATGATGGATTGTGAGATTGTGATTTTACAACAATGAGTTGCAATGCCAGTCGGATCTATGCAATTAAATGGATCGAATAAATTGAATCAATCATGTCAATCATGACAGTGATTGTTGATTATATTGACTGATTGTGTACAATTGATTGATACAAGTAATATGGATGCATCATTCGGTGTTGTTGAATCAGATCATTGCTTGATTCTGTCAATGTGATCAAATGGATTACTACAAAACTGTACATGCTCAAGTTGAATCAAGTATTGAATCAAGTATTGGATTGATATTTACACACAACCACAATTGTAACCACAATTGCAATCAGCACAGTCTGAATATTAGACATTTGAACATCACGTATCGAGTCGTGGATAAATGCGAGTTGGCATATTGGACTGTTTTTGTAGTTTATTAATGATTTGATTCACGACTGTTTGAATTCAAGGCTCAATATGGATTACAACTGGATTGTCGTTGTTTCCATTTGGAATGACAAATCTGTCAATGTGTTGATTGATTGCTAGTTCATTGACCAATCCATTGATCAGTAATTGTCCAAATAAGTTGTATCCGAGTCGAGTTGTCAATCAGGATACCGTAACCTGACATCCAAACAATTATTCAAATGACTGTTGAAACCATCAATGATTGCCAGAATAAGCTTTACGACTCGACTGCAATAACCACCACAGTCATGCTCAGGTTAATATGTTGATCCGTTTACAAAGTTACAATACTTCAACAGATTCAACATACTCTTGAAAGTGCTGCACACCACATGGATCCAGCAAACCCACTGATGAATTGAACCAATCAATTGACCAATGACATGACTCGATATTGGACATCGAGTTGCACACAGTTGGTAAAAAGTCACCGACATGTTCAGATAGTCAAACCTTGACTACAGGTTGATATCATCACCCAACACACCAAATATAACACACAATCTGGACGACTACTGGATCATATTGTGGATATCAATCAACGGAGTTACTGGTTCCAAACAATCATGTACAGTCATGCACAGTCATTACAGGACAATATGATACATTTATGAATAGCATGTTGTAATCAACACGAGTGGAGTTGTGCAATAGACTTGTCATGGTTTACAATAGTTTGATATGAACATGATGACTCGGACTCTATTCAGTCGGATCAACTCGACCACAATTGGTCGTGTATATTATGATTGACACGATCAATTGTAGTTGAACTCGAATACAGATTGACTGTTGAATCACAATGCGTGGTATCAGCAACATGATGTGCTATATATTGGAATGTATACGCTAACCTGACATGTGTCATGTAGTGTGTATTCGATCAATATGGGTATTAGCAATCAACAAGTCATACGATGTTTGTGTTCGAGTGATGGAATGGAATACAATGGAATGAGTGCATCAATCCAGAATACGAGTCAACCATGACATATGATCATGATGTGTGGTTGATACAACTATAGTGACAATCGATATTGATATAGTAACACACAACATGCAATGCCAACACAACATTCGTAAATCGCTAGATAGCGTGCAGCGGTGACCAAACATGTCGAGTTGAATGCAAAGTATTACTAAACCACAGCATGTTGAATCGTGCCAATCAATTACAACTCTGAAAAGCATACAACACACCACATTGGTGATGGTGTAGTAATCGAATGCCAGCCATTCAGTCCTGACCTGTACCTACTTGACTGTATCTTGGCACACTAGCCAGGGTTAGGGTGGAGAAGGGTGTAAAGCTACACAGTCAACCATATTTGAATGTATAGCCGAATAGCGGTCCAGTAAAAATTGCTGATCGTCATATAAAGAAATCCTCCCTTTAAAGTTTAGCATTGATAACAAACCCTGATAGTGAGGCTAGTCTTTTAGGACGGCTGTCACTCAGCATGCTTTTAATACTGTTCATCCAATGACATAAATACAGTCTAAAACCAATCAGTTGAACGACAATCATCCGCAACCTAATCAAGCCAATAGAATGAGATTCGCAGTCACTATATTGTCATCAATCCTGCTTGCTTGCTCAGTTACTATTGCTAATCCAGTTCATCCCAGTGCAACCACAAGCATCATATATGGTCCCTTGTCAACTCCTAATACAAACGCTATAGGCTCGGCTGGTCCTGATTTACTCTCAGATGACATCAAGAGCCTACTCCTGGAATATGCAGAAAAAAAGTATAACCATGATAAACAAGCACGAAAATGCGAATTGATAAACCTTCAATATAGTGAGCAGCGAGGCCTAGTAAAGTATCTGGGTGAAAAGGTCGACAGCTTTAGACTTGAGCTTCAAAAAAACCCTGAGCATTCAAATTATCCTCATAGCGATGTTAGAATGACTACGCTTAAGCAAAAGTTTGGAGGAGAGTATTGCATTCTTGTCAAACTTGAAAATAAGGAGAAAAGGTGCAGATTCGACAGTGATTATCTAAAGTATGAACTGGAGCTCGTCATAATAAAACTTGTGGCACGCATTTTCGGACCTTTCAATAGTGAACCACTTGATGAGCAACTTTCGCGTGTCCTCTCATATCCTCTTATCAGCACTTACCTCGAAGGATTATATGGACAATCATCAGTACATACTGATGAATCTGGCCAAGGTTCTAGTACTCAACAACAGCAAGATCTGCAGCCATCACCAGCAATGTCATCTAGATCTCGTTCCACCAGACGAAGATTTTCCGCCAGGATACGAAGTACTGTCTCCAGATTCAGTAGTGGCCTTAGAATGTTTGCCGAGCAATTCAGATGTGACAATAAATCTGATTGATTTGAATGTTAATCTGGATTGGTTTCAACCAATTCAATTATCACCCCAACTCAACTTGCAATAAATTTGGATTTACACATTATATCTGATCATTTTACACAGTCTTGGTTGACACAATATCATACCATAGTATGCATTGACACTTGTATTTCCAATACAATACAATACAGTTGATTGTATATTGCATAGTTGTACACATTGATGATGCTGACGTGCATGTGTGTATTGTGTCGATATGATATTGCTTGACATGTCGTATTGACACATGCAACACCAATACCAACAATAGTCATGTGTGTTGATATCAGATCTGACCAACTCGATCAATTAGACTGGTTTGACTCGTTGATTGTGGTGTCAATAGTTGCATCAATAGCCTGACTGATCACACATATCAGTCGCAGTATCAACTCTGTCGTGTGTCAATTATCACATGTTGATATATCCAATGATCGTATATTGGTCGATTGGTGCAATATGATCACACACCAATGGAATGTAATAATCATGGTATTTGCAGCAGTATACCATATTGCAACTGTTGATATCGCGTATCTAGTATCGACATGATCATCCAGATATACAGTGATGGATTCAAACAATGCATACCATGATTGATACACTTGGATAATGTGTATTCAATCCATACCATGTATTGCCAATGCAATAGTATGTGTGATCATCGTGTATCAAACAATTACGATACACACTGGACTGATCCAATACATGCACGGCTTGAACATATCACACAATCAAACATGGACACACCACATTAAAAATACATATAATATCAGCTTGTCACTAATGAATTGTATTCAGTCGAGTTTATTGAGAGTCGCTGTGTGACTCTTGACAGTGTGCTGAGTGTTCAGGCACGACTACTTGATCAGTTGTAGTTGATGTATCCATAATGGGAATGAGCAGTCAAACAACGTGTAATACAAAATTAGCAAGTTGATGGATATAATAAAACTGGCCATTTATTTAATAGTGCATAACATTGATCTTTCTGTAATCGAAATGATGTACATGAACACTAATCTGATCTGATATTGCATAATCACAGCATATTATCATTGTGCAGCATGTTGATGACTAACCACTTCACCTGAATATCAAAGCTCTCAATACCATCGTGTGGTGATCAGAATATACTTGCCGCATGATGTCGTTGCACAGCATATTTTAATCAAATCTAACCCTAATACCAACTTTCAGCTTCAACAACAGGCGATTATATAGGCGGATCTCCCTTTAAAGCTACCTTGACATCAAGCCAACACTAATCCCTTGAAGCAGCCATTCAACATGCTTTTAATCTGGCCCACTCTAATGTGTATAAATGCAATCTAAAATCAATCAGTTGAATGACATTACACCTTGCTCAATCAAACCAGTATAATGAAATTATCAATCGCCGTATTGGCATCAGTCCTGACTGTCTGCTCGGTCACTATTGCTAGTCCAGTCATTCCCAGCTCAACTACAAGTGCTGAATCTAGTATTTGGACAGTTATTCCCACTGCAAATGCAGTCAGTGAACCTGACTATTCGGAATATCCTATCCCATATGACGGGTATGGAAAGTATTGCCATCCACTTGATTTTGATGGAATAATGCTGGTCAAACTACTTGCAAAAAATACACATAAACTAGAAAAAGTAACAAAATATATCAACAAGAAAGAGTCTAACATTGCATGTCAAGAAACATTGGTGGGTGAGCTCAAGGAAAGACTGGACTCTGTAATGGATGATGGTCATGGGTCAGGAATCGCCGAGCTTGAATCCGAGTTTATTAAACAGAATGGCATTCTTGAACAACTCAAAGAACAGTTGGAGCGACTTTTTGAAAGACATTCGAATAGGTACAAAAAAGATGTTGGATTGCGATCGGCACTTGCAGAGTACTTTGCAGAGCATGGTATGTCTGGAGAAATGACTACTGATGGTGAGCCAAACCTATATTCATATCTTGGATTCAAGAAATGTTTTGATTATTTCTACAATCGCTCATGACAATGATTACCAAGATCCAAGCATGGTGTAGTTTTTCAAGATTATGATGTTTGGCAACAAACTCATGGACCAGATTCGTTACATTGCTGGAGTTGAGTGAACCATCACAGTCACATCCAGTATATGTTGTAATGCAGCGTGTATTGCATGTTGGTTTAATTGTCATGTGTCATGCATCCAATGTCATTCATTCAATAAACATCGTGTATTGTCAAACCATAGTGTATTATACTAATGGTTTGATCATATTGCACTAATCAACTACTATGTGCTGGCATGACTAATCATTCGGTGTGCTACACACATTGAATGCATGCAAATCCATGACTGTCAATACTTGTTGTTGAAATGGGTTCAGATCATCATCAGTTCGCTCACTCGTTGCACCGATGTGATTGCATGATCAATCCGACACCAACCAAACCACACTCGAATATATATGTTCCAGTCATGTGCATCGTATATCGATTGTCAACTCCAACACATTCCACCATGATCATGGTCACATCACACCATGCTGATGTATGTCGATCGGTATCACATTGCAAATGACTGTCATCCAATGACTGCAATGCAATACCGTGCATGTATTGTGACTGATACGCTGTGCACCATCAACCAGTGTGCAACTGTCACTCGATATATCGACTCTGATATGCAACAACATGCTGGGTTTACCATGATCATGTTTTTGATCAACCTTGGACTCATGGTACATGATTTGTCATGTTGGATCGTGTGGATGTGTCATGGACTGCAATTTAGTTGCAAACACACATATGTTTGGCATTGACCGATGCATACTGTACAACGACTGATCGGTGCGGATGTAATTGCACACTTGGTGGTATTGTGCATTATGGTTGTTTGACAATGGATGAATGCTGGATTAGTCAGTTATATGCAACCTGTTTGAATCGACCTATTTGAACAAACACTCGATGTAACTGACAACAATTTGTATATATGGCTGTTGGATCAGTCGAGTTTGTGCTGGTAGCGTACCATTGGTAACAGACACTGTTCTGACACCATCACTGGGATTGCCATACAGCAGTTGACCAACACACTTGTAACATCACCAGTATATGCTTGTACGATTACAGCCTGTTCACATGAGATCATTTCATATCTCAATACCCGAGTTTATTTTAAATAAATCCATTCAAAAAACAACTGTAAATCAACAAATAAATCACCAATTCAATCCAGCCAACACTGTTTTATACACTAGTATAATCTGTTAATCTTGGTTGGTATTATTATTGATTATATTGTGGTTCGTCTCGTCCAAGCACAAAGGCTCGGTTATACTGTCAAATATTACATTTATCAATGCTCACTATCTTGTATTGGATTCCATTTGTCGTTAGTATACTGGATTGAACTAATCACTTGGTAGATCAACATGTGCAATATATCAATAAGCAACGTGTACAACAACAGAGTATAAAAGTTGTTTCAGTCGATAGTAATCCAGTGTTATACAGCATACATGATTATTCATGGATGTTGACATGACTCAAGAGTATGGTGTCCATGACATTGGTAATGCAATCAAAGATACGATAGTTATTCAGGTTTAGGAGTAGCTGATCAAGCCATGCATAGTGTAGATCTTGATGCTGCATAATCATTTAAAATGGAATCTTTTTAAGCTGTATTCGACACTTGGATTCATGCTGGTGTCCAGTTATGATCTGAGCATTGGCTGCCTTATACTTGCCAATTTGAAACAACCGGGAATCAGAATCAAACTGTTCAACATATTGCGCAAAGGAAACCTAATACATGCCAGACAGTTTGTGGATCCATTTTGCTTTCGAGTCAATACATGTTATACAATGGCTGTTTTAAACACCATTATTGCCATCCAAACACATTGCTCACAAACAGCAAATCAATCGTATGATAACCCTGACCAAACAGAACTCATAGGGTTGGAACTCATCAACCCGAAATGACATATCTGGCCAAGTAACCAGTTCAAAAAATACAAACCAAACAGCAGAATTGAGCAAGATACTTGACAACCATTTACTAAAAAACAAATTATGATGATTGGATAGTGTATGGATAAATACAGCACATTTTGTTACGTTCAATTATCCGACATAGCTGACATACGACATACACAGCCATAGTGGTATACAAGCAATCCATTAACACGCAAGCCGGACAATTGTAATAATTGACATGATCATTAAACGGGTTTATGCAATCACCACGTGTTAGACCCTAAATTAAATGAATATAAAACCACTGGCAATGCTGCAGCCGACAAGTGATTATCTATTGACAAGCCAATATGTTCTGTATATTTGATATACGGACTGGCATAATTCACAAATGTCAATACACCATTAATCATCATATTGATTGAACTGGATTCACAGCAGTTTGAGTTGGATGTTGTGTTGGATAGTAAAATACAATTGATATGGTTCACGTGGTAATGCATGAATTGGTTAATCTACAAACCCTTCACTTTATCTACCCTGAACATATGTCTTGCCCCGTTAATCTTTCTCGATATCAAGTGTTTTAGTAAGAACAATGCATATAGATGCAAAAATACCAAGCATTAGTATTGCCAGTCAAGACCATCAAAGTATAAAAATGAGTTGTCAGTTACTATCAAACATCATCAGACTGCTACAAATCAACAACTCAATCCGTATAGTATTGATACGCTTGCCAAATACAGTTCAATAGTATACTGCAGCCACAATGAAGTTTTCACTACTAGCCATTGCTTCTGCTGCGTTTGCTGTCAATGCTCAAGGGAATAAATCTGGTATGCAAATCTGTTGATCAGTCTATTTTATGTTGGGTTTATCAATGTTTGGATTGTGAAATCGTTCAAAACTTACTAATTGGCATACATTATAGAATCCATGCCTAGATGGGCCTTTATCAAGGAACACCGTGATGCTGGCAGATTTGTTTTTATGCCATACACTGATGAGCAACGAAACGTCGTGCTGACCAATGTTGAAAATAGTTTGAAATTGTGGACCAACTATGAATCTAAAATCAAAAACTATGGTGAGCGTGCCGATCCCTTCCCAATTATCAAGAAACTGCGTGCAAAACTGGATGCATCTAATCTTACCGATACTGAGATGCAGACTGAACTCTTGAGTGCGTTTATTCGCATGCGTGACCTTCATAGTCATTTTGGGCCATCTGGACCATATTCTTGTTTCAATGCCATGACTGGTCTTTCTTTTAGATTTATCGAGGGTAGTGCATATAGAACCAAGAAACCAACTGTTGTTTTTGACACTCACATCGGCAATAAAGGTTTGCGTGCTTTTTTTGGAAAGGACTATGACCAAATCAAAGCTGGCGACGAATTACTACTTGTTGATGGTATGACGTTTACTGACTATCGGAACTTGAACCAGGACAAAACAGGTGGTGCCAATGATTATGGTGGTCAGTATGGTGCTCTTGATTACATGACGTTTCGTCCTGGTTCCTTTACTCTTTTGCCAGAAACTGATACGATCAAATATCGGTTCAAATCAAAAGACACTGGAAAAGTGTACGACATTGAAGCTCCATGGGTTGTTTATTTTGATCCATCATGCTGGAGTATGACTAGTCAATTGTATGCCAAAATTTCTGGAAAAACTCTACCTGGAACACCTCAGCCTGCCGACACGAACAGTATAATTGACACTGATGCACCTGATACCGGAGTCAAACGTCGGTTGAAGACTTGGGAAGAAATCAGAACTCCATCAATGATATCCCAGTACCATTATAAAAAGCAAAAAATTAATCAGATTTTACTTGAACAGCCATCACAAAACCATACTCTTGAGTACCAAAACGCCGGCGTGTCGACTATCAGCTGGGCCATCTGGAAACCCGAATCCAAGAATCTTGGTATTATTAGATTGGATGATTTTGTACCAAAAAATCTTAAAACTGGTGCACAAGCAGATATGGAGGGTGTTCGTGAAATCCACAAACTTCTCAGTACTGTGCTCAAAGACACCAATGCTGTTTTAATTGATCTCCGTAAAAACCTAGGTGGTAATGGTAATTTTGCCAATGCCATTCCACAACTTTTCAAACCTGATTTTCAACCAATGCTGATAAGATACTTGATGAGTTCTGTCGCATACAACACTCTGGTTAACGGCACATCCTTTTTTGACACTTCTGGTCCAGCATGGTACAAGACTCCACCTGGTAGCAAGTATTCTATTGATCATGACAGAAACTCGTTCGATCAGTCAAACATGTATGGTCAAGCCTATCTCAAACCTGTTGGTGCATTCACTGATGCTATATGCTACTCAGCATGCGATCTGTTTTCAGCGTCTTTTCAGTCGTCCGAAACTGGCCATGTTTTTGGCGAAGATGGAACAACTGGAGGTGGTGGTTCCGACATATTTTCGCTTGATTCAACCTTACTTGCGCTCAATCCCGTCGATTTTAAGCCAATGCCGTATTACCAAGAACTGACCGACGAAACAACTGGTCGAAGCTATACCAACGTTCTTTCAATCGGAGTTCGACAACTTGTACGTAATGGAAAATATCAAGGTCAACTGGTTGAAGATACCGGTACCGTATCCGAATATATTGTACGTCCCCGTTTGACGGATATACTGCCTGGATCCACTGAAAATTCTCAATTTGACCGTATTGCCGATCAGCTCAAAACACTGGGTGTCAGAACTGGACTGAACAATCTTCACTTTGTTTCTGAACGTATCAATTACTACACCACTAGCAGTGACGTGACCATTGATGTAGAAGTCAAGGGAATCAATCAACTGTCAGTTATTGATGACACTGGCAAATCACTTTCAGTTGCCAAGTTTAAAAGCAACATAAAAAGTCAACACTCGTTCAAACTGACATCTGTGATCAACGATCTTGGTAATACTCGGGTCAGTATCATTGGCCAAAACAACGGCAAACAGGTTCTCAAAACGTACAAGCACATTAGTCGCACTCCAAAACAACAAGACCATTTTAAACTTGAGCGTGGTGTCAAATGGGAGTTTAATGGTACCAGTAAATCGGTTGGAATATACAACTCGCCATCTACCAAAAAGTCACAGGGATGGAACTTGATCAATGGTAAATGGATTGTTGGCGATGGAGTACAATACAGTCCTGAAATAACCACTGAGATCCGAGCGTACCATACTGCACCAGTTGGATCCAATATCACTATTGAAATTGATTCCAAACTTGAATCACAACTTTATAACGACTTTTTAAGCTTGTATATTGCATATGCGGATGGAAGTGTGGAGTCGCTTCTGAATACTCTTGACTCGGATGGTAATATAAGTATATATGGCATTTCTGGCTCCGAAGCACTTGTGAAAAAGTTCCCAGTGACAACCAAGTCGGAGCTGTTTTTTGTCAATCTCATGTTCAAGTCAGATCTTTCCATACAGATGAAAGGAGCAACAATCAATTCTTGGAGTGTTACCATGAGTTGAAATAGTTGTAAATGTTGAATGTATTATTTATTGCACCATCAGATCATGTTTGAATAAATACAATGTTTGCATAACTATCCTATACACTATTGTTTAAATTTATTTCAATCAACACATGTAAACCTTTTATTTGGTCGAGTGAAATATGCAAGTTTCAAACCATTTTTTAAATTGGACTGGTTTTGTCATGGATGGAATATTGCAAGTGTTTTTAAACTTGTCAGATTTTTGTATTTTCTGGTGTTTTAGACATTGGAATGAAAGTTGATATTGGATATTTACCATACCAATCAGAGTTGCCATGGTTGTTTAATGAAACTCGGTACAGATCTGAATAAAACTGCATTTAGACCTGCATTTTCAATGATCTGATGCGACATGAAATCATTCGAGCTGATAATGGTCATTGCACTATTGTCTTGTTCTTGTTCTTGGACTCTTTCACTGGTTTTTTAGCTTTCATAGCCGGTCTCGAGTTGATTACTTGATCCGCATTTGATTGATGATTTCAACTGGTATTTAAAACTATGGTTGTATTGACATCATCAAAGCAGTTGAGCCAAACATGTGGACTGCAATGGATGAGTTTGGTGATTGTATAATGTATGGTTATACCAAATAATGAATATATTATGCAAGACTTTCTAGCACAATATTGTATATTCATCAATCTGGTAGAAACAACTTACTAGTCCAAATCAAATATTGGATGCATCAACAGCATACTACTATGTGTAATACTTGCAAACCACCAACTCACAATCAACTTTTGGACACGAATATGTTTGACAGTCATTCTAGGAATGGTCATGTATGCACTGGATCTGATTGGTGGTTGTTGGTAACTTGACCTGCATACACAGTCAACAATCAACAACTGTGTGCAACACATATTGGATACAGCAAATCCACAACTGTCAATACTTGTTGTTGAAATGGGTTCAGATCACCATCAGCTCGCTCACTTGTTGCACCAATGTGATTGTATGATCAACCTGACACCAACCAAACCACACTCGAATATATATGTTCCAGTCATGTGCATGGTGTATCGATTGTCAACTCACAATGTCAACTCCAACACATTCCACCATGATTATGGTCACATCACACCATGCTGATGTATGTCGATCGGTATCACATTGCAAACGGCTGTCATCCAATGACTGCAATGCAATACCGTGCATGTATTGTGACTGATACGTTGTGCACCATCAGCAAGTGTGCAACTGTCACTTGATATATCGAGTCTGATATGCAACAACATGCTGGGTTTACCATGATCAGGTTTTTGATCAATCTTGGACTCATGATACATGATTTGACATGTTGGATCGTGTGGATGTGTCATGGACTGCAATTTAGTTGCAGACACACATATGTTTGATATTGACTGATGTATACTGTGCAACGACTGATCAGTGCGAGTGTGATTGCACACTTGGTGGTATTGTGCATTATGGTTGTTTGACAATGGATGAATGCTGGATTAGTCGGTCATATGCAACCCATTTGAATCGACCTATTTGAACAATCACTCGATGCAACTGACAAAAAACACTGCCAGCCAATGTTTGCACGGTACGAATATGGTTTGTTTGCATCAAATCATTACACAATCTGTATCTCAGCACTCGTTTATTCAAAATAAAATGTATTCAACCACATGTTCAAACATGTTTGGCTACAGACAGTTTGTGGGATAAACTGCACATCATCGACTGAGCTACACTGCATGATCTACTATGCCATTGATACACACGTTCAATTCAGCAATGCAGCTGCATTACAATGCTGACAACTATCTGAACCAATTCAGTATAATATGTTACAACTATATATATTCCATTGACACATCAACAGTCATACATACCGATTGTTGAACATGCTCGTGTTGGTTGGTGTGCATTGATACAAGTTGTCAGAGCCAACCAACAAATCACTATATTTGTACGGATTGTGTACCATGGCATATGTTTGAACAGATACTGCACGAATCATTGTCGTTTGGATTGAATAATCAACAAATACCATTGTGACTGCACATGTATTGCATATCTCGGATAAACTGTCTGGACTGAAAATCGCTGACATGTGACAGCAAATTGATGTTCATTATAGTCGAGAAGTAAATCACAGTTGATCAAAGATGTGAATGGATGAACCAATGTTGGATTGTGTTATTAAAGAACAAGAAAAAATGCGTTTTTATAAAGTTGGAGAGCAGAGAAACGAAAGTATGCGAGTTCTCACTCAGACATCATGATCGAGTCTTTGATTACTATATATCTTCCATCAGTGATGGTTGTGATATCACAATTGGTGATCACAGCCCAAACACATATAAAGGATTCACACACACTCAGTGAAAATCAATAGACTGCACATCTCAACATTCCAAGTCATATACGAGGGATAAACTCTGTATACTGTAGAGCATCTGGATTCAGTGATTATTTTGGAATTGGTGACAAGGTCAGAATCTTGAAAGTGAAGGCTTTTCAAAAGGGATATGTGCCAACATTTATCAAATCTGATTATCAAATATATGCGGGAGATGGATACTCCTATCTACTACAAAACAATAAGGCAGTTCAGCTCGAGCAACGGTACAACATTTATGAATTACAAAATATTACTTGATTTTCCAGGTGCATTTGATACACCAATATGAGAACGGCCATTGATCCAAACGGAGATCGTAGCAAGCGTGAAATTACCGAGTTAGTGGAATATACTCTTGAACCGCTACATGAAAAGACTAATGTATTTACATGAAATTATTGTGTTGGGTAATACTATACAATAAATTTCGAAATCAATACCCACAATGAATATCTTGAACGCATACGGAATTGGAATCATCACAACCCAAATGAAAATGAGCAATTGTGACAATGACATCGAGATTATTATCAAAGAAACAAGGATAAAGACCAGAAAACATACAGATAGTACTATTCATTGAATTCCGATCTTGAGAAGGAGAAGGAGAGTAAAAACACAATTCCAGAACAATAAATAGAAACAATCACAACAAGTGCTTTATTCAAGCAGATATAAAGATACATTGATTAAACACGGAAAAGAGACTTGTCCATTCAGAGTAGATTAACAAGTGATTTCCACAACGATGGACATGATTGACATGATACCGAGTTGTCCCACCACAGTGTAAAAAGACTGCACTATCAGTTCCACGATCATTGGTAGCAACATCATCACTGGAGTCTGAATGTGTCATCAATTGATGAGACATTGTTGGTTGACAAACTGTCTCACTGCAATGGAAAGAGACATTTGAGTTGCTTTCATTATTGCTTGAATTCAAAGGTGTCAACATCAACTGTTGGTATTCACACTCACTACAATGCCAACTATTGCTGTAACAGAAACCAGTCTCTTGTAATGAATACACAACTTTATCGAGTATTTTCAATGATCAAAGTAGCACTCGATTGCATCCATTTCTCGATATTCTTACTCCGGTAATCTACAGGAGTACAGCCATCGTCATCATATGGACAATATTCATCATCAGATTCTACACCACCAGCCATACACCAAATGAGACATGTTGTCTTGTGTAACTCTAGTGCGTTCCTGTTTGGTAGTCGAGTGAGATTGTTGTGAATGAAATACAATGTCATTTCACTGTTGGATTCGACTGTTTGTCGATTGTCAGTTTATCTCTTTTGCCTTGTTCTGCGGATAACTTTCAAATCTTCAATTGTCTCAATCCACTTCTTGTGCTTGTCACTTGTCAGATCATTCGTCTCATTGATTACTTTGATCACCAGTTTGTCATCCACTACATCCACATATTGCTTTAGTTTACCAAATTGGTCATGGCAATTGATACACAACAACAGTCCGTTCTGTATTTGATGTTTCTGCGTCAAACCAGCTCGTAACAAGATGGATGGTTTGTTGTATGCCATTCCAATGTTCTTTTGTGATATGATGTGTGCTCCTTGCAAGGACAACTTATCCCAGCAAAACAAGCAGACGCCGTCTCTCTTTTCAACCACCTTGTTCAAGTACTTGTGCTGTAGCTCACTCACTTTTGCAACATAGTCCAGATCATCAGCAGAGTTGTTTCTTGATGTTGGGTTTGATGAAACTGGAGTGTGATAGCTGGATGAATCGTTGTAGTCTTTGTGGAATGGCAGTATGTAATACCCAAACATGTCATCAATGAATGTACAATGATGTTCTGGGTCTGCCAACTGGACCTTGGTTGAGAACTGCTGCTGCTCTGCAAATTGGTTGGCAGTCAGCAGGTTGTGCAGTCGAGTGATGTGTGAGGTTTCTCCCTCTTGGATGATTCCCAAAAACAAACCTCGTTTGTTGTCATCCTGTCACAACTCCTTTTGTCTCTGTGTTGGTATGGCTTGAGTGCTGATTTGGTAGTATTCATTCAACAGTTGTGTTGTTGCTGTGTTTGTTGTTTCGATATTCATTTGATGTTTTTTGACAAAAGAATGAAACTCGAGCCAACCAAAATAATTGCAGTCAACAATCAAATTGGACAATATTCACCAATAATCTTTTAAACTCGTACAGTTTGTACAGTGTTGTCATAAAAGTCATGGTTTGACACATTTTCATCAAGTTATCAGTGAGTATCAACGAGTATCAATCAACAAAATTGGTCTCGTTGATTGATATACTATTATAGTGTAATCGATTGAGTTGAATTGACACTCGATCGAACAATACAAATAAACACAAAATTGTTTAAATATTCAAAGTGTGAATTTGTTTCATTCTTCACACAATATTAAATTTTGAATTCAAGTCGCTTTTTTTTGTTTCTTTTCTTTCACAATTGTAATGGAAAATAAAATATTTTATATCAAATATCTTGACAACCAGCCAGTGAAAATCAAAACTCACTTTGATGGAGAACTAGAGAGAAGAACCCCAATTGATAGTGTTTTGAAACTAATTGCTGCTTACAAGACTGCCACCACTCCCCTCCTTGACGCTATCCCTGTTGACGAGCCCACTCCATTATGTGGTGAATGGTCCAGCCATTGCTGGGAATGAACCCCTGGCCTCCATTCAACATCCAGTTGGTTGTTACGGCCATTCACTGATTATAAAATCAAGGAGTGGTGTGAATGTTGTAAAGTTTTCCAATTCAAACCAAATTCCCATGAGTGCCATTGATCTCTTGGAATGGCTTTCTGGATCGAATGTTAATTCTGCAGTTGATTTGGCTGACAAACAAGTGCTATCTCAGCAGCAAACCAATCTTAATCAAAAAGTTGTATTTCCGCTGGCTGGTCGAGAGAAATCGCTCCAGCACATTGCATCATGCTTTATGGCCACCTATCGACATCGTAGCAATATTGATCGGAATTCAAGACGTATTATTGTATGTACTGGTATGCCGGGATTGGGAAAAACTCGACTTATGACAGAGTGCTCTATCACAGTTTTAGACATGACAGGGATTCAAGGCAAACGACTATCGGCAATCGTTTCTTTTGGAAATGACACGAACCCATATGGCGAAATTGACAAACTCCTTGGAATCAAATGTTCATTTACCTGGAGATTGCTCCATTCGGTTTTCAAGGCGCAATACAAGTTTGATGATTGGATGCGTGGAAATTCACCAATAAACAGAAGCGGGCTCACAATGACATTAGCTTTATCGACCATTGAGCTTTATTGGAGTCAGAAAGCTCGAGACAGCATACTTTTATTTGTCGGAGTTGACGAGTATCAAAAACTCGGTCAAGATGAACTGAGTTCTCTGCTGGATATCTTGTGTGCTTCTTCTTATCGTGCTAAAGTGTCAAGGCTTACACTTTTCTGTATGTTGGCGGGAACTGACCTGAACATGATTCGTATTGCTCAACCATCACATCCTAATATTGAGAGAATACCAACCCGGTTTCTAACTCACATGGAATCAATGGAGGCCATTGGTCCTTTTATTTCGGATATACACTGGATTCGTGGTCAGTGAAGCCTTTGCTCAAAATGCCTTTCATCTAAGCGGAGTGCCAAGACTACTGACTGAGTTTGCAAAACAAGTTGTATCCATGAAGCCGAATGATCTAACCGAACACCGTTTTCGGGAGGCAAGAATGGTTGCGCTTTCAAACTTGCAGCATCATCAATTGTCACTCGCTGATATTTTGAAGCTACTGGCGATTTCTTTTACAAACATGCCTGTTACATATCTACTAAACTGTCCGTTTTCTGAATCATCGCTACCTTCTGCAAGAAACCTTACTTGGAGTCAAATGGTTTCAAACGGGATGTGTCAAATTCAAGATGATGGTCAAGTGATTGTACCATTCCATATCATTGTTCAGGCTTTGGAGAGGCCATTGAGTCAAAGCGTCGGTCTAAACCAATTTGGAGCGGCGCTCCTATCATCGTTGAATGGTTTGTCGCTTGACGTTGAATATCCACTTTCCAACATGACTCGTTGGTCACCATGGGAGTATTTTGGTGCTAGTTTCTACTGTATCAGAATCAACTCGTTTCTTGTATTGGGAATATCGATACTTTCTTTGTCTGATATACTGTGTGGATCGCGGTTTGATTCAGGTATTTTCAATACTCAAGTTCACATCAGAATTGCTGAAGTTTTCCAATCAAACGAGCAATATGGACCTGATATGCCACGAATGATCACTCGGAAACACGACAGCTGTTGTCTCGTTGACTGGGTTGGCGGCGAGACATTGCAAATTGTAATCAATGGTGAGAATGGACCAGGAGTGGATATATACTTTATTCTGAAACGCGCAAAATACTGGCTATATCATAGTTTTGGATCAACGAAAACGACTTGGTTCTGATATTACAAACTCGAATCTGACCACTTTCCGATCGAAATTACCGAACCCGCCAGCATGTTTAAACAAGTTCAAGTTGGACTCTGTTTTTGGTCTGATGAGCATATATTCACAGATTAATATTAACCATGTTCCAAATTCAACGTATTTTGTTTCTGCATCAGATTATCTGTATTTTCATGGTTCACTCTATGATCATCCAGGTTGTTCTATGGCCATTGATGTCAATTCTGCATTGAAAACATCGATTAAACAGATATTCTGCGGTACCAATGATGAGCAAACGAATTTGGCAAACAAGGTCATTGAACAGCGCTACAACAAACGCATTGCAAGCTATGATGAACTTGAATCATTGGTGTCACAATGGGGTGGAAAGCTGAACGAGTCGGCTCGTGCAAGAATCAAGTTTTAAAAACCTGGCTAGTATTTACATTTTACTATTTATCAACCATAAATGTAGAAGGTGTAAAACATGATTTCAAGTATTGATTTTATCGAATTCATCAAGTGGTTGATTGCAATAAATGAACGCTGACTAGATGTTGGCATGCACTACACAAAATTCAACCAAATCATTGCAACTTTCAAGTACTATTTATTCAGTTTCAGTTTTAATGGCATTGATTCATTTTTACAATCTTGGACATAATATAGCAGTGATTCTGGGTGAATCTCATCAATTGTGTTCATTCGAGTCAGAGCATGAATCTGGTACGGTAAGCAACCAATCCTTTCAGATCATCCACTATTGTATACCAAGTCTTTTGTCCAAGATTGCACATCTCGAATAAACAGTGTGTGACAACTATGGACACATGTAGCAGTAATTGACGGTCAAGAAACTGATATCAATATTCCATGTATACTACCAAAGTGTGTAGTTTAATTGTGGTTGTTTGATTGGTACATATTTGTACATATTTGTATGACTGAATGATATGGCTGCAGTTATTTAATCATTTCAGTACAGGAATGAAACCTTGAATGTACATTGTAATCCAAACTTTATATTACAAATATTGTTTAAATTGACTCTTGGGATTGTCAGTCCAATAACATGCCATTAAACGATCACCCGTTGAGTTGAGTGGTGATATTTGCTGTATTGGTTGGATAAACACTGTCGATTCTTGAATCAACACAACAACCATCATATGACACACAATCAGACTATAATGTTGAATCTACACTTTGTGCACTCTTAGTAGTCATACATTGTACGATCACCAAATTTGAACCCACATTCATGTATTGTGTTTGACTGTCAATGTTGTCAATACAACTCTGTACACACATTTATTGTGTTTATCACCATCCAACTCAATCTCACCATTTCAATCAATCTTGGTCAATGTTGATGATTTACACGCTAATTCATTATCCAATCTTGTCTGACATTATTATTGGCTTTAATCACGTTTGGTTTGTAAACTGCCATGATTTGTACTACCATTATCATTGTGTATCTGATCACCAAATATTCCAATACATCAATAATACCACAGTGTAAACAGTAATACAGTTGATCAGTCTTGTGGCAAGACATTTCATTCAAGTTTGTATTTGGAAATACTCGATGGTTTAATCACCACACACTGTTTGTAATGCGATTGTCATTGATCTCATTTCATTCCAGTCCAGTCCATCTGATTTATGATGATGTTTAGTAATCCATTACCATGTGTTATAGTAAACTAGTTTGTTTATTAAACCAAATCTACAACGATCACATTCAGAATATTAATTTACAGTATTTCTAAATGCATGTTTGATAACAATCCAATTTTGTTACAAAAAACTGATCAAAACAATACTAAAATGGAACAATTCGTTTGTGTGTTTTACAACAATCCAAACAAACAATTGTTGGCAATTGTCGGACATTCGCATAAATGAAATTGTCATCAAAATTCAACTTTACTAATTTTATCAAACATGGATTGTGTTGATATCATGAAAGAGTTGATCAAACGCCTGGAAGATTTGAAACTATTAACAACGGATACTCAAGTATACAAGGCTGATGGAATATGAGACAGACTGCTTGTGTTGATACTGGAGCTGAAAAAACATGGCTACAGTAAGTTTAATAGCCATTGTATTATTGATGAATTCAAACTGTTGCTGACTTTGTGTTGGTTTGAAATGGCAGACTTTAAAGTTATATTGCCTCGCTTACAGAGTATTGGACTGGAAGATATCACAGTCAAGTATTTGGAGTATAATCGACCCAGTTTACAGGTATTCATATATTGTAACAATAATGGATTGTTGTTCATGACTAAACTAATCAACATGTGTTGTGTAGATCAAAGTAATGAAGTTTGCTGCAGTGTTTGCGAGTATGGTATACTATGATGGTCGGTTCAAAATATCTCAACGACTAAGCAACCAAATTGTACAACTCATGCAATCACCAAGCCGTCAAGTCAAAATGGCGGCAAGTCATGATTGATATTGATCAAATGATTGAAATTCAACTCATCTAGTGTCAATATGCATATAGGCGATGAAATCATGCACAGAGGTGTACAAATATAAACGCTGGAGGGAAGAGGATGGATTTGATTTTAAGCCAATGGTTGAGATTATTGTCCATGAGCCTGATCAACAAGTGTTCACATTGGCAATTGGCCTGTTCTCGAAAGTTTGTCATGATATTGACGATGAAAATGTATGTTTACAACAATACAATATTGGATCAGTTTGGACAGTGTCTTGTCATGTTGATCTGATTGTATACTTGACATTGAACAATATCATTAGTTTGGCATCGTGTTGTCAAGACTTGTTTCACGACTGGAATCATCCGATGGTTCAGTTGCTGTCGATTTTATCGAAAATCTTCAAACCATGTATCTGAATATTTATTGTCATGACCGAGTAAAAGCAGTGAAATGTGGCATCATTCCAGCACTAGTCAATACGCTCAGGTATGTGGTGTTATGCATGAATGTGTGTCCAGTCATCACAATTGGTAAATTTGACATGGTTGGATTGACATGACATGAATACAGGAGTGTCGATCAAGAAGTGATTTATGAAAGCATTGTTGCTATTCAGAGTTTTTACAATGTTACAGATTATGAAGTGACTTCAGTCGAGTTTATAAGGTCGGGTTTGATTCAAGCACTGAACGACTTGTGTATCAAATACAGCAACAACTCTGGGCTAAAAACACGCATGATCAAGATGGCTGGAACAATTGCATCCAAAATGCGGGACTTTCCTGTATCGCTTGTACGATCGTTGGTTTTTGAGCAATTGACGATATCAGTGTGTGATCTCCGCATGGGTTACTCTTTTCGCCTGTTTGATAATGTCAGCGACATGATTCAGAAATCTACAAACAAGACCGAGATGATCAAGGTGTTTCAAGAATATGGAATTATGCAGCAACTCATCACTATTTATTCACGTACAGATATACGTTTGCATGATTCTGGTGCTGGTACTGTAAACTTACTCATGACACTTGCTGATTTTGCCGATAATCATTCCGACAGTTCAATACGTACCGAGTTGGATCAAGGCGGGATACTTGAAAATCTGATGGCTATTGTAAAGTCGGATGCTGCTGACCACGTAAACAAGAGGGTTGCTGACCAGATCATTGAAGCGTGTTTCCAGCATCGGGCTTACACTGCTAGTTCGAGCATTTGGCCATACAATGACAATGCCGAAATTGATATGAAATCTGGAATGGCCGGATATACACATGGACAGGCACGCACACTTGTCGAAATGCAGTATATCCAGTATCTCCATTCTATACTTTGCAAACCCATGTGGTGGATCGATATCACAAACCAGCATATTGTGGAGCAATGGAGGGTTGACTCACTCGGTCAGAATATATCACCATCAACATTTAATCTTGCATTGGAACAACTCGGGGTTTTTGTCAAACAACTTGTTTGTAGTGGCAGTGATGGATTTGGTACAATTGTCCCAGGACCTGTTGAACTGACGTATATACTGGACAATGGCATACCTGACAATGTATACACGCGATTGATGACAAATGTATCGGATATTGAACATGGATCAAATCACAACACTGGTCAAATGGTGCACAATCTAATTGATGCATCAATGTACAGTGTTGTATATGGACAAACGATAATTGCACCACTGAGTATACGACTCGAATACACCACAATGGTACCATGCGATATGCTGTTATCGACTCGACTTGTTTCAGATACGCCCATCATTGACAGCAGTCCCAAGTTTATATCACGCAAGTTCCAATGTCTTCCGAGTGAATTCCGTGTCGAACAGGATGGCAGTGTGACCATCAACTCATACATCAACAATCTGAATCCGATATGGCATCGAGACATGTACAAATGCATTGCCAAAATATTCAAATGTTTTGTCCCGATGTTTGAAAGTCTGATCAGAACGATGGATCCACGGTTCAAGTATATTGATATTTGCAATCGCACAAAGGGATATAAACCACCAAGCCAGTCAGATCGTGGTGGTATGGAATCAGACACTCAACTCATTCGTCCCGTGTATGTACCAACACTTCCGGAACATTTTGAATCCAAATATGAATCAGCAAAGCCAGTATCACTGCGTGGTCGTAATCTACAAGTCATTGTCAAACTCACCAACATTCAACTGACACCATCCAAACCTAAATACAACGAGGGAAACTGGCACATTGAAGGTCCAATTAACGAATCGATTGTTGCAACTGGACTGTATTACTACGACGTGGAAAATATCACCACGCCCAAACTCGATTACCGTGTGGCTGTTGATCGTTTTGATGAAATGGCATCTGATATGTATTGGAAAGATGTGTACGACATTGATGAAGAATCACCACGCAATCAGTATATAGGATCGCTTGAATTACCAAATGGTCGATGTGTAGTTTATCCCAATCGATACCAACACAAAGAACAATCATTTGAACTTGCAGATCCAACTCAACCAGGACATTGCAAGATTCTGACATTTTTTGTAGTGAATCCATCTCGTCGGACTGTTTCGACTGCGCATGTGGCTTCACAACAACCACAATGGTACAACTCGAGTCTTGACAAGACACCCATACTGCCTGAACTGTGGAATGATGCCACGCAGTATATTCAAGGTGTTCAATCACCAGCTGAAGCCAAACACTATCGAGATGAATTGACAAGTGACCGAACTCAAATCACAGCGGCATATAACGAATACAGATATGAGCGGGTGATTGATCTTTGATGGTGAATTATGAGATTGTGATTTTACAACAATGAGTTGCAATGCCAGTCATATCTATGCAATTAAATGGATCGAATAAATTGAATCAATCATGACAATCATGACAGTGATTGTTGATTATATTGACTGATTGTGTACAATTGATTGATACAAGTGATATGGATGCATCATTCGGTGTTGTTGAATCAGATCATTGCTTGATTCTGTCAATGTGATCAAATGGATTACTACAAAACTGGACATGCTCAAGTTGAATCAAGTATTGAATCGAGTATTGGATTGATATTTACACACAACCACAATTGTAACCACAATTGCAATCAGCACAGTCTGAATATTAGACATTTGAACATCACATATCGAGTTGTGGATAAATGCGAGTTGGCATATTGGACTGTTTTTGTAGTTTATTAATGATTTGATTCACGACTGTTTGAATTCAAGGCTCAATATGGATTACAACTGGATTGTCGTTGTTTCCATTTGGTATGACAAATCTGTCAATGTGTTGATTGATTGCTAGTCCATTGACCAATCCATCGTCCAGTAATTGTCCAAATAAGTTGTATCCGAGTCGAGTTGTCAATCAGGATACCGTAACCTGACATCCAAACGATTATTCAAACGATTGTTGAAACCATCAATGATTGCCAGAATAAGCTTTACGACTCGACTGCAATAACCACCACAATCATGGTCAGGTTAGTATGTTGATCCGTCTACAAAGTTCCAATACTGCAACAGATTCAACATACTCTTGAAAGTGCTGCACACCACATGAATCCAGCAAACCCACTGATGAATTGAACCAATCAATTGACCAATGACATGACTCGATATTGGACATCGAGTTGCACACAGTTGGTAAAAAGTCACCGACATGTTCAGATAGTCAAACCTTGACTACAGGTTGATATCATCATCCAACACACCAAATACAACACACAATCTGGACGACTACTGGATCATATTGTGGATATCAATCGACGTAGCTACTGGTTCCAAACAATCATGCACAGTCATTACAGGACAATATGATACATTTATGAATAGCATGTTGTAATCAACACGAGTGGAGTTGTGCAATAGACTTGTCATGGTTTACAATGGTTTGATATGAACATGATGACTCGGACTCTATTCAGTCGGATCAACTCGACCACAATTGGTCGTGTATATTATGATTGACACGATCAATTGTAGTTGAACTCGAATACAGATTGACTGTTGAATCACAATGCGTGGTATCAGCAACATGATGTGATATATAGTGGAATGTATACGCTAACCTGACATGTGTCATGTAGTGTGTATTCGATCAATATGGGTATTAGCAATCAACAAGTCATACGATGTTTGTGTTCGAGTGATGGAATGGAATACAATGGAATGAGTGCATCAATCCAGAATACGAGTCAACCATGACATATGATCATAATGTGTGGTTGATACAACTATATAGTGACAATCGATATTGATATAGTAACACACAACATTTGTAAATCGCTAGATAGCGTGCAGCGGTGACCAAACATGTCGAGTTGAATGCAAAGTATTACTAAACCACAGCATGTTGAATCGTGCCAATCAATTACAACTCTGAAAAGCATACAACACACCACATTGGTGATGGTGTAGTAATCGAATGCCAGCCATTCAGTCCTGACCTGTACCTACTTGACTGTATCTTGGCACACTAGCCAGGGTTAGGGTGGAGAAGGGTGTAAAACCGCACAATCGATCAATCGTACGATGCTTGAATGTATAGCCGAATAGCGGTCCAGTAAAAATTGCTGATCGTCATATAAAGAAATCCTCCCTTTAAAGTTTAGCATTGATAACAATAAATTAATACCAACCCTGACAACACCGTTTTTTGAACGGCCATTCAGCATGCTTTTAATACCATCCACTCAATAACAGATATAAATACAGTCTAAAACCAATCAGTTGAACGACAATCATCCACAATTCGATCAAACCAGTAGAATGAGATTCGCAGTCACTATATTGTCATCAATTCTGACTGTTTGCTCAGTTACTATTGCTAATCCGATTCATTCCAGTGCGACTACAGATGCTGAACATGATCCTTTGACAATTGTTTCCAGTACGACTGCAAGTACCGAATATGACTATTTGACAGTTGTTCCCAGTTCAACTACAAGTACCGATTCTAGCCCTTCGTCAACTCCTAATACAAGCGATGTAGACCCAAGTGATTCTGATTCTGATTCTGATTCAACTCCAGATGGCGTCGATGAATTGCTCAAAAGATACTCGAAAAAGCAAAAAGATTATAGCAACAAAGGGAAAGAATGCGAATTCATAGAGCTTCAATATGGTAATCAAAAAAGCCTGATAAACCGTTTGGAGAAAAAAGTTGCCGATTTGAAATCTAAACACCAAAAAAACAAGATCAAGCTAAGATTTGGTGGTGGCAGGGAAGTAAAGGAGCTTGAGGATCGGCTTAAAACAGGGTATCCCGAACTTTCTGAGCTTGAAAAAAAAAAGAAAAAATGCAGACTCGAGCAAGAAAATATTGAGTATGAGCTAGACCTCATCAAATTGGCAATGGTGGGGTGCATTTTCACAGAATCTCCCAATACTCAATCACTTAATGAGCGATTTTCGCGTACGATCTCACGTCCTCTCGTTAGGGATTACATTGAAGCATATGAAGAGTCATCAGGATGCACGGATGACTTTGGCCAAGATCCTAGTGAGCAACAACAAAATCCTAGTGAGGAACAGCAAGATCCTAGTGAGGAACAACAAAATCCTAGTGAGGAACAACAAAATCCTAGTGAGGAACAACAAGATCCTAGTGAGCAACAACAAGATTCTGATATTGAACAGCAGCAAGATCCTAGCGAGCAACAGCAAGATTCTGATATTGAGCAACAGCAAGATCCTAGTGAGCAACAACAAGATTCTGATATTGAGCAACAGCAAGATCCTAGTGAGCAACAACAAGATTCTGATATTGAGCAACAGCAAGATCCTAGCGAGCAACAACAAGATCCTAGTGGACAACGAAAAAGTCAAAATTCGCGACCATCGCCAAAAATACAGTCTAAATATAATTCCTTTAAACAAAGAGCTTCCACCTTTGGGCAGAGAGTTTCCGCCTTTGGACAAAGAGCTTCCACTGGTATACGTAGTGCTTTCTCTAGACTTGGTGAAAGAGTTAGATTGCTTATCGGACGGCTTAGGTGTGACAATAAATCCGAATGTTAATCTGGATTGGTTTCAACCAATTCAATTATCACCCCAACTCAACTTGCAATAAATTTGGATTTACACATTATATCTGATCATTTTACACAGTCTTGGTTGACACAATATCATACCATAGTATGCATTGACACTTGTATTTCCAATACAATACAATACAGTTGATTGTATATTGCATAGTTGTACACATTGATGATGCTGACGTGCATGTGTGTATTGTGTCGATATGATATTGCTTGACATGTCGTATTGACACATGCAACACCAATACCAACAATAGTCATGTGTGTTGATATCAGATCTGACCAACTCGATCAATTAGACTGGTTTGACTCGTTGATTGTGGTGTCAATAGTTGCATCAATAGCCTGACTGATCACACATATCAGTCGCAGTATCAACTCTGTCGTGTGTCAAGTATCACATGTTGATGTATCCAATGATCGTATATTGGTCGATTGGTGCAATATGATCACACACCAATGGAATGTAATAATCATGGTATTTGCAGCAGTATACCATATTGCAACTGTTGATATCGCGTATCTAGTATCGACATGATCATCCAGATATACAGTGATGGATTCAAACAATGCATACCATGATTGATACACTTGGATAATGTGTATTCAATCCATACCATGTATTACCAATGCAATAGTATGTGTGATCGTCGTGTATCAAACAATTACGATACACACTGGACTGATCCAATACATGCACGGCTTGAACATATCACACAATCAAACATGGACACACCACATTAAAAATACATATAATATCAGCTTGTCACTAATGAATTGTATTCAGTCGAGTTTATTGAGAGTCGCTGTGTGACTCTTGACAGTGTGCTGAGTGTTCAGGCACGACTACTTGATCAGTTGTAGTTGATGTATCCATAATGGGAATGAGCAGTCAAACAACGTGTAATACAAAATTAGCAAGTTGATGGATATAATAAAACTGGCCATTTATTTAATAGTGCATAACATTGATCTTTCTGTAATCGAAATGATGTACATGAACACTAATCTGATCTGATATTGCATAATCACAGCATATTATCATTGTGCAGCATGTTGATGACTAACCACTTCACCTGAATATCAAAGCTCTCAATACCATCGTGTGGTGATCAGAATATACTTGCCGCATGATGTCGTTGCACAGCATATTTTAATCAAATCTAACCCTAATACCAACTTTCAGCTTCAACAACAGGCGATTATATAGGCGGATCTCCCTTTAAAGCTACCTTGACATCAAGCCAACACTAATCCCTTGAAGCAGCCATTCAACATGCTTTTAATCTGGCCCACTCTAATGTGTATAAATGCAATCTAAAATCAATCAGTTGAATGACATTACACCTTGCTCAATCAAACCAGTATAATGAAATTATCAATCGCCGTATTGGCATCAGTCCTGACTGTCTGCTCGGTCACTATTGCTAGTCCAGTCATTCCCAGCTCAACTACAAGTGCTGAATCTAGTATTTGGACAGTTATTCCCACTGCAAATGCAGTCAGTGAACCTGACTATTCGGAATATCCTATCCCATATGACGGGTATGGAAAGTATTGCCATCCACTTGATTTTGATGGAATGATGCTGGTCAAACTACTTGCAAAAAATACACATAAACTAGAAAAAGTAACAAAATATATCAACAAGAAAGAGTCCAACATTGCATGTCAAGAAACATTGGTGGGTGAGCTCAAGGAAAGACTGGACTCTGTAATGGATGATGGTCATGGGTCAGGAATCGCCGAGCTTGAATCCGAGTTTATTAAACAGAATGGCATTCTTGAACAACTCAAAGAACAGTTGGAGCGACTTTTTAAAAGACATTCGAATAGGTACAAAAAAGATGTTGGATTGCGATCGGCACTTGCAGAGTACTTTGCAGAGCATGGTATGTCTGGAGAAATGACTACTGATGGTGAGCCAAACCTATATTCATATCTTGGATTCAAGAAATGTTTTGATTATTTCTACAATCGCTCATGACAATGATTACCAAGATCCAAGCATGGTGTAGTTTTTCAAGATTATGATGTTTGGCAACAAACTCATGGACCAGATTCGTTACATTGCTGGAGTTGAGTGAACCATCACAGTCACATCCAGTATATGTTGTAATGCAGCGTGTATTGCATGTTGGTTTAATTGTCATGTGTCATGCATTCAATGTCGTTCATTCAATAAGCATCGTGTATTGTCAAACAATAGTGTATTATACTAATGGTTTGATCATATTGCACTAATCAACTACTATGTGCTGGCATGACTAATCATTCGGTGTGCTACACATATTGAATGCATGCAAATCCATGACTGTCAATACTTGTTGTTGAAATGGGTTCAGATCACCATCAGCTCACTCACTCGTTGCACCGATGCAACTGCATGATCAACCTGACACCAACCAAACCACACTCGAATATATATGTTCCAGTCATGTGCATCGTATATCGATTGTCAACTCCAACACATTCCACCATGATTATGGTCACATCACACCATGCTGATGTATGTCGATCGGTATCACATTGCAACCAGTTATCATCCAATGACTGCAATGCAATACCGTGCATGTATTGTGACTGATACGCTGTGCACCATCAGCAAGTGTACAACTGTCACTCGATATATCGAGTCTGATATACAACAACATGCTGTGTTTACCATGATCAGGTTTTTGATCAATCTTGGACTCATGATACATGATTTGTCATGTTGGATTGTGTGGATGTGTCATGGACTGCAATTTAGTTGCATACACACATATGTTTGGCATTGACCGATGCATACTGTGTAACAACTGATCGGTGCGGATGTAATTGCACACTTGGTGGTATTGTGCATTATGGTTGTTTGACAATGGATGAATGCTGGATTAGTCAGTTATATGCAACCTGTTTGAATCGACCTATTTGAACAAACATTCGATGTAACTGACAACAATTTGTATATATGGCTGTTGGATCAGTCGAGTTTGTGCTGGTAGCGTACCATTGGTAACAGACACTGTTCTGACACCATCACTGGGATTGCCATACAGCAGTTGACCAACACACTTGTAACATCACCAGTATATGCTTGTACGATTACAGCCTGTTCACATGAGATCATTTCATATCTCAATACCCGAGTTTATTTTAAATAAATCCATTCAAAAAACAATATATTATTACAAGTGATTTGAATCAAGAAAACCTAAAAATCGATGTTTTGAATCTTGACCAAACACTACAATTCAACATGTTCTGTCGTGGTACTGCTTTGCTTGCTGTCCGCTCTGTTCTCTCCAAAAAACCTGCTGCATTATCAACTGCTGTGATCCGCACCATTCCTATACGTACTCTGACTTTTAAGCCACTGTATACTGCTGAAGCAACTGCTAATGGTGGTCGGCAAGTGGAATACTTGGTCTGTCAATGATCTGAAATACACATGTATTGGCATTATAAATAATATCTATGTGTGATTAGTAACGGCACAGTCAAGACCTCTGATGGACTTTTAGATCTTCAGCTTGCACTTCCAACTGGTCTTGGTGGACCAGGTGACACTCGAACAGTTGTAGATCTGTTGATATGGCTACAATATTGAGATCAAGCGTACTAATTTCTATTCTCGGTTGTTGCTCCTTGAAACGATTACTCAAAGGTGGTGCCAAATCCAACCCAGAACAACTCTTTGCAGCTGGCTACTCTGCCTGCTTTCTTGGTGCACTACATCTTGTTGCCGGAAAAGCAAAGATTACTCTTCCTGCGTCTACCACAGTGAATGGTCATGTTCACATTGGCCGTCACGATGGATCGCTTTTACTGGAAGTCGAGCTAAAAGTGTATGCTCCTGATGTTGACAAGACTAAACTTATGGAGTTGGTAGAGTCTGCCCACAAAGTTTGTCCATACTCCTTAGCCACTCGTGGAAATGTCAAGGTCCATTTGCAGTCGTATTCACATAAAATGTAATACTTGCATCTTGCAATGATTTGCTCGACTTGGCTTTGGAATAAACAATGCTTGAATGTTTCCTACTAGAAATTGGCTTTAAAAATACGACTATCATGTGATACAATCAGACTATAGTTTGGAATTGGAGTTATTTTCTTGGTACATCCATGTATTGTACAATCACCAGATTCATGCATTACAATTCAGGCCAAGTTTGACTATTCTCAAGCTCTACTTTGCATCCTGAATCACAGACACATTCGCGTTCTAGCTCAAACCAAAGACCAAGGAATGTAGCAGTTGTTTACATACCAATGTTTGGTTTGTAGGAAAGGAGAGTCAAAGATCGAACAAGTGTCGAGAATGTGTAATATAAGCATTTGTTCAATTCTATCCAATGTTTCATTTACGTGAATATGGCAGTAAATAGGTATTGGCACAGTTTCAAAAGTCTCGCGATTATTGAGTGGCAAGACCCATCTATATTGAACTATAGATTTTTTTATTTTAATAAAGGGACTTTATTCAAGTTGTGGATTTTACTGCACATGTATAATTTTGGGCCAAGCGAGATCATCTATTAATCTTGGGTTTATTGGTCGAGTTTTGGGGTTTTTGATTAAACATGGATTTATATAGGAATACTTTGCCAAGCAACAGATAAATTGCGCTGTGGGGACCCTCCCAAGTGCGGTAAAACATGCCGTCTTCGTCCATCAACTTCGATTGCATTCAGCATATCTGACACCAACCATACACCAACACTACGTCCCAACATTGATCCATTCCTTGAATGCGCACCTTCCAAGAACCCATCGTTTAGTAAATACGTTGTACACGTGTTTCGCTTCATATCTAAAATAATAACTTCTCCTCTTTGCTCGGCCGGAGCAATGACAACTGTGGATGCATCGTTGCTGATATCAATTCGAACGTTGCGACCCACAAAAGGAATTTTTGAAATGGAACAGAGACCTGATATTGCAGTTGTTGTATTAACAAATGGGCGATACGGTTGAGTCAATGCATGAATTGGGGCTTTACGATCAAGGTTTGTCTGGTTAGAAAATATTTGAACGCTCCGAATTACATCAAATACTGCCAAAATATCGGTTGTATACAAAACCAGATGAAGTCGAGTGAGAAGGAGATGAAAAATACCTGAACCTCGCATGAATGAACTGGGAATATCACTTGTAATATCAGCCAATAACGATCCGTTTCCAATGTACCATAATTGAACAAGAGCTGGATTGTGCGTTTGATCAGCTAGCTCATTGGCTTGATTTGGTAGCGAAAGAATACGTACCGCTACTACTAATTCGTTGCAAACAATGCCTTGTATCAATCCAAAGGTTATATCTCGCTGCCACACTTTTCGCATTGGGGATGGTAATATCCTACTTGACTTGAAAGGTGATAAAAATGGGGAGGGAGGTGTCGAATTGAATGCTGTGGACTCTTGTCTGCGTTGTTCAAGTTCAGTAGAAATGCTGCGTTGAATCAGTTCAAAACTATCGTCTTGGTATATCCCGTTCTCGTTTGCATCATCCAAGTGCCAACAGACAACACCCTGCACTCTGGGAAATGGACTCGACTCGTCAAACTCACTTGCTATAGATTTGCAAACCAATGTTCGTCCACACAATGATGCTCCAGATGCCTGAGAGGAAAGTATCCATATACCTTTGACGCGTTCATGGTTGTTTCCATCTGTAATGGTTTGTGGTGGTACCACCATTCCCAAAGGAAGTGTTGGCCCAAGTAAGTCGGATGCTAGCCATGGACCATTTGGATGCAATCTTGGATCCCATATCCTGATAGTAACTAATTTCTGTCCGGGAACAATTTCTTGTAAAATCAAAAGATCGGATCGCGACTGATGAAGAAGTTGAACCGATACGCCTGCTGGTCGAAGTGGTTGCATAACACGAAACGAAGGAAAAGATGCATCAAAATTTGACGAGGGGAGTGAGGGGGATTGAAATGCCATGGGTGATCCCATTTGAAATGACTGACTAGGAGATGTTCCAGGAGAAACGTCTAAACCTCGCATAATTTGGCCTCCGTTATCAAACCATAGATGTTGTCTGGGAATGCTTTGAGAAGAACCAGCATAATTTTCTGACAAAAGAGTGGGCAGGCTGATTGTTCCAGTGCCAATTCTTGCTATTTTGACTTGCTGGAATGCAACTGGCATTGGCGAGATTGCATTTGGAATGGGCAATGGACGAGAAGGCTCGGGATTAAAGCGGGGTTTGGAGTTGGTTAATGGTAGAGTCGGCACTAATGAAGAAAGCAGTAACAATGGCTTTTTTTTACTATCTGATCCTACATGATCGGTATCTGAAGTTGTAGTATCTTGAGATGCTTCAAAAGACTTGACAGATGAACGCGATTCCATAGGCTGGAGAGCAGTTGGACTGATATTAAAAGTTGCATTCTGTCCAATACCATTGTTTAAAGTACTGCTATTCAATGGAGATATTATTGCACAGTTATTCCCAACCTGTAGAGCCTCTAGACGGTAATGACTCCATGATACCCACATATGTACAATATCTCTCCAAGTTTCTCCTTTTGCCAAACTATGAAGCAACTGTTGCTTAAAAATCACTTCAGGTGATTGACTCGAGCCATTTTGTTCAGTGAATGTAAAAGCCGTGGTCATTTTGGATTCATCTAATAATGAAAACCTGATTTAAAAGACAAAATAGTTTAATCAACTGCATCAACACAGTATGGAATAGTGCATGTTTAACACCAAACATAAATCGGCACAATAACAGTGCTATAAAGTTTGCCATTACAATGAAATTGGATTGCTATTGACTAAATCCTATCCAATACGATGCTTAAATAACTGCGATATTGACAAAACGACATACCTGCAGAAAACCAACTGTCTGTGGATTTCTGTAAAAAGCAAGGCCTGCCATACAAAAGTGTCATGCGCGCTGACTAGCTGGTAAGATGCCTGGCAGGTTTGTTCAAACCGACACACTGTTTGCGGTGAGGTATAAATCAAGACTATCAACAAGACTTCGGGTGGCAAGATACTAGTAGTCATGCTTTAGTAAATTCCAATGCACTATAAGCTAAATAGTATGCTGCTGTATTGATACTATCAAACAAGCTCGAGTGAATGACTAAAGAATGTGAATTGAATGGCTTTCCAAAAAGCTTATTTGGCGGACAAAGTAGTAATAAGCTATAAACGCATCAATTATCATCACTTTAACTGAAAGTGCTTTAAAGCACATGACTGAATAGACTGTTTCTCAACAGAAGTCATAAAATGCTATAACAAGTGGCTGAGAGCATCGTCACTTTACTTTGGATTTCGCCACTGAAGAGTCGAATGCTTGCGTGAACATTTATTAAACTTTTGTATGTTTTGAAATCAAAACTCGCTAGAATTCGGCACATTGAATCAATCTATTCATATAGTTATAGCAAGATTTATTTGTCAAAACCTTTTCTTGATATGGTCTCACATCATGTCCTCTTCTTCCTGATTCACTCCAGTAATTGTTGGCAATTCAATAGCTGTGCCAAGAGGTACAGATAATCCCAATTCTTCTTCACGAATCCCCCGATCAACTATCAATCTCGCCAAGACTCCTTCCAGTTCCATTGTACGTTCCATTTGCTTGGCTGCAAACAATTGCATATGGCGGATATAATCGACCGACCGACGCAAAATCACTCCCTTGTTGGGTTTGTTTTGAATGTCACTGGCAAATTCGGGTAAAAGGTTCGAAAGCTCATGGATCTTTTCATTGATATGATCTCGACGACGTCGTTCAACTGCATTATGTGATTCTCGTCGACGACGTCTTTTTTCAATAAGTACATCTGCACTATGGATTTAAATTCAGTTGAATTGAATGCTTCAACACCAACTTGAAAGCAATGGCATAGTATAGCCAATATTTGAATTGACTAGACAAACAATCAGTGCCTACCTTGGTTTTCCTTCATCTTCCACTGATCCAGACAAGGCAGTAGGTGTGTGACCAAACGAACCAAACGAACTTGGATGGCTGCCGAGAAAATTATTTGCATCAACCCCACTATAACTTGATGGATGCATAGGCATGGACATGGAATAGAATCCATTTGGCTGTGTTTGAAATCCTGGTGTTCCTGTATATTCAAACAAAAGACCGAATGAAATGCATTGGGTTGGTAGTGCAAGTTAGTTACAATTGGGGATTGAAGAACACGATTGGAAAGTTTCGTTGATGCAATAAGACCATAATCAAGTAGAAAAGTCACAAGTGGTATTGTCAAGATGCATAACCATTGATTATAAATAACATCTACCAACAATAGTCCTTTGAAAAGCACTATTCTTTTATCTGGCAGGAGGGATGTGGACATACAAAACCTTTAACTCTGACATCAGCCAGTAGCAATGATAGACTCATGATAAAAACAAACCTCGATCGATATTATCATGTGGAGAGGCAGACAGAGGGGACATCATGTGCTGGTCTTTGGAAGCAACTACGGCCGCAACTCTATTCATACCCATACCAGACATGTCAAAGTCATTATGTAGAGTGAAACAATTGGAATTGTCTAGAAAAGATTCTTCTTTGATATCGCTATGAAACTGTGGCAAAGACAGGATACTTGGGTCGATGGATGCATTGAACTGCTGCTGTGGTTGCTGTACATGTTGTCGAGGAAATAAGGTGTGTTGCTGCTGTTGAAGTTGTTGCAACTGAGGAATGGTTTGTTGTTGTGGTTGTTGCTGCATGTCTTTGAATAATAAAAAGTAAACAAGTCCAGTAACAAGTATGTGTAAAGCACTTGCTTCCAGCAGCAACGACAACTGCTGTAATTATCGGTTTACAGCCGTATTCACGTAAAATGGAACATTAAATAAGGGTTCCCAAAATACATAATAAACGGCCAATCTCATGGATTGATAGTTCACACTGAAGACCCACTTTTCTAACTAGTCTGTTGTTCAACTTTCGTTTTTCTTGAATAAAATTTAAACAATTGTTTCAATATTAACAAGATTCATATGACATTCACATTTAAAATCGTCTTGCTTCAAATCCTTCTAGCACAGACTCTAACCCATTTTCCAATTTACCCACTACACCTGACATACTCATGATTTGATTACCAAGTAGTTCCATCAGTACAGTCAGATTTCCATTAGAATCACTTTGTCCTGCTAAAATATCGTCAATCGCTTGTCGCGTAGACATGCATTGTGCAACAATACTATTCAGTTCTTGCATTCGTTCTTGTCTTGTATTCATAAATCTGTTCAAAAAACCAGGCTTTGTCTAGTAACATCCAAGACAATCGTATGATTAATAAAAAATCAATATTTAATCCTATTCCAAACTTGCTCTGCTAAAATTCTCACCTTGTCTTGATACTCGAGTTTATCAGCAATAGATTCAAAAATTTGTGCCGAATCTGGTCCAGCCCATATAGGTGCGTGCTCATTCCCATTAATCAATACGCTTTGCACTTTATCACATATATGCTTCAGGGTTTCTCCAAGTGGTACGGTTGAATTAGCAGTATCTATGGCATTACCAACTAAATCAAGAAAGTCTATCTGCAGCTGCCGTGAAAATTCAAAAGCATCACTGAATACAGCCAGTGCATCGACAATTGTGTGTGCACGGGTACCATCATTAGATTGAATGTTTGGATACACTTGACTAGAAGTAAAGGATGATGGGTTATGTCGAGTAAACTGGTCGCGATGCTGTCCACTGTGGGTGATGCTTTGAGGTTGTGATATGTGCGATTGATGCAAACCCATAGGCCGTAATCCTTCAGGTATATACGGTACACTTAGTCCAGAAAACTCAATCGATAGCTCTGGTTGCCATGTCCTATCTACATTACGCATTACCACTCCCGATGAAAGTGTCTGTTGCTCTTCATTAAAATCAGGCGATTTCTGGCTTAGCAGGGCAGCCAGCTCTTCAGCATAGGCAGCACTTTCAAATCCAGACCTTTCCTGTGGTCCAATAATTGCTACAACAATTAAAACTCTAGACAAAGCTTGATCCGCTAAAGTGGACGCATCAAACTGCTTGGCATTGTAGGCTTGCTCATTCGATATTGAAAAACCACTCTTTTCAATTCTTATCAGCTCAACATACTCTACGCCTGGAAGTCGCAAGCAAGCCATAATATCTACTCTGATCCAGTATTCAAATTCTGGCTTATCTACCAAATTGTAAGAGTTGGGACCCAAATAAAATGAAACAGTCACTTTTGAATTAGGTCGAGCCAGAATACGCTGGGCGGGTGTAATGGTGTTGGATTGACGCGATTTAAAAGCTGGCTTGTCAAGATTCAATTGTAAAGTAGGTGTTGTTGAATCATCACGCTGAGTTGATGATGCAGGCGATCCAAGTTCATACATAAAATCAAATTTATCTAAAGGTGCAATGATGCTTGCCAATAGTGACGATCTATCAAAATTTCGCTGACTAGGTGTTGATTCAAAGTCGACAAACTCGTCTTGTTGAAAAGCATCCTCGTGTTTAGGTAAATCCTTTAAACGCATCGTGGTATCCACGTTGACGTTTTTGTCCATTGGAATTTTTTTTAAATGCCCAGCAGGTTCCAAATCCACTTGTAAAACATTATTAAAAAAATGCTGTAGGTCATCAACCAGCGCTAAAAATCCGGTATCATCTAGCTGATCCACCATTGGATCTAAAGTAGCATTTTGAAGTGAAGATAATGACTTGGTGTTTGTTAAATCATCATTGCTCTGTCCAGGATCACAACTAAATGCAGCAAGTGAAGATACGCTGGACTCGTATGTTGGAATTCGAGAATGTAGCTCAGATGTGACATCGGCCGAGTCATGCGACATAACGGAAAAGCTACCTGAACATGTCATTGCAACACCACTCATATTGTACTTTGCAGTCATGGCAGATTTGGTTGGATCTTTAACCCGCCATTCATGAAAATATGAGGATACCTTTCCAGAAAAACTGCCACCTTTTCCTTGGCCATTAGCTGACGATATATTTGAAGCCAGAGAATTTGCTGCTGCATCCTTGGCAATCTTGTATATTGTTTTTCCTCCAAACACCAAAGACAGATTTGTTTCATTCAATGAAACACGGCCAGTAAGAATCTTGTCCAACGCCTTTGTGGCCACTAAAGCTAAATCTGTGTCTAACAAATCTAGCAGTGGTTGAATCCACTCTTCTTCAAACCCTACTTGTCCACTTTCAATTCCAGACTGTGACGATACTTTTTGATGCCCGCGCAGCATATCTGCACCAAGTCGAAATGCTCCTTCAGTGTGCCCATCCGGAAACAGCACCCTCAAACAAACCAGCACATGTTCCCGATACACAATCATTGTATTTCTCAACAATGACATGAGAAAATGCAAAACCTTGGTTTCCCATTTAGGGAAAAAAGACTCTCTGATGACAGACGCAAGTTGGCGCATAAACTCGTCCATACTGCGAAACCTTTTTTTGCTATACATTTCGTGCACGCGGGATAAACCTATATGATTGTTGATTTTGCAAATATGTGCAAGATAACTGGCAATTGTACATGACTCTTTTATAGGCAGCTGTGATGGTGTGGATGTGCTATCAATGCTGCTACTCGAGCTAGATTGTGGCTGATTGACTGGTTTGATATGGTCGTCTTCTTCACCCGTTGCATTAGCAGAAGCAGCAAAAAGTGCATCTTGGCTACCTTCATGCAACAAACGAGGCAAATTGGCCAAAACAGAAAACAGTACACGCGACGTTTGAGAGGCATCAATCAGTAACGAAGCCGGTAGCAACATCAGCTTATTAATGATATTCAATGATAGCATTTCTGTTTTTGAGGAGCACATGCCTTGTAGAATCAATGGCTGCAAGCCGTAAAATTCGCCTTTCCATCGCGTAGGAAGGTTTGCAAGAAGCAAACTAGAAATACGAGCATCAGATAGATCCAACCGTGAAATGATATTTTCAAGAAGATGTGCACCCATTTCAAATTCGCATTCATGCGAAGACTGAATAATAGCAATACTGGCCCAAAAAAATTGTGGAAAATAAACAAGCCTGTCATCCGACAAGTGTGATACCATCCACTGCAACGTCTCGATCAGTTCAAGAGTGTATCCTTGTACATCCTCGGAAGAATCCCCCAATGTAACTGAAAGTCTTGCCAACAAGTCGCCCACCATATTTTGAGTAAAGACAGGTCGCAGTGCTCTAAAAACTTGCAGCGATCGGCATGCAATATGTCGAACAGGACACTCAGTGCCCCAAGACAAAGCTAAAACTCCCCAAGTTTGCCGTAAAGTTGGATGAATGGTATGAAATAAGTCTAAAACCTCCAACACAAGTGCTGATAATTGGTAAACGCTGTCAATAGTGGGTTTGGAAGGTGAAACATCCTCGTATGTCCATAAACGCTTTCCTTCTTTAAGATTCAGTGCTGTAAGAGTAGCATCAATACTTTCTCGCCGCGTTTCTCTCGGTAGCATAGCCTGAATGATATTCACCAAGAGAGACCGTGCTTGCTCACAAATCAAAAATAAAAAGTGATCGAGTTGAACAAAAATGGCATGAAGGAGAAGCGGCAAATGAGGTCGCAAGGCAAAATTTCCAACCTCGATAGCAACCTCGACCAAACAAGTAAATGCAATCTGACCAGGTGAAAAGGGTGGTCGTTCAGGCATAGAGCTTAATGCATCATTTATACTCGCTGTAAAATAGCCTTGAAGATATGGGCATTGCTGTGAAAGCAAAGCGGATATGTTGTCAGGATTGGTAACCATATTCTTGGGCGTGATTTTTGAAATGATAATTTCGATAAATGTACCACATGAAGGTGTACGACAGATACACACGGCAATCTTTTTTGCAATTGCCACAAATCGTGGATTGCGGCGCTCAAGACCAACTAATAGCAAATAGTCTACAATAGTACCGATATTCTTTTCTTCCCATGCCTGCCGAGACGCTTGGTGGTTTTGATGAGATGTGCCATCTAAATCAACAAGATGCACCCATAGTAATTCAATATCCGTGATAAATATATCCCCAAACTTGGTCGTCAAATAAAAAAGATTTCCAAGAACCATGGCAGTGATGGCTTGAGCATGCAATTGATTCTCCGATTCAGGCACTCTAGAGCCAACTTGGTCACTATTAACATCGTAGTTAAATCTACCGTCTAAATCCATGTTTTGTAGCCAGGGACTAAGCGTTAACAGCAAATCTCGAATCCGCGGTTGATATAATGATATGTCTGCAAGCAAGTAAATTCTATGTATAAGCTCAGAAAACATCTATAAGATATAACAGTAAAAATTACGATAGTTTACAAAGGTTGTTAGATAAAAACCAATCTAGTCTTATGTTATGGCATGTACTTACTTCGTACGTCAGCTCGGGTCGTTCAATTGCAAGTCGCTTTGAAACCATACCCTGAGCGTATTTGAACACAAGTGGCAAAGAACTAGTAATCGCTGCAGTCTCATACGTTGCCTGAACTTCTCGTAACAAATCATCTTCTGAAATCATTAAGCCATCCATTATATCTTCATCATGTGCACCACCAAGCTCTAAAGGCTCGTCGTCCATATTAAAAGAATCCATTCTACTAATAAGCATTTCGCTAGACTGTGATCCACGGTCAAACATATTCCGCACATCAGCCGCTAAAGCAGATCCATCTCCACCTGATCCAAACATGTGCCGATCGACTGACAAAAGTAGTCTCGCCGCACCTTTTCGTCTTTGTGAACTATCACTACTAATGTTATACAGAGCAAGACATAAAATTTTGGACACGCTGATGGATGCTTTGCGACCTTGACGACACACCAAATCCACAAAAGCCATAAAATAAGCTAGAGTTAATTTAGATTCATCGTGTGTACCCATATAGTCCGTCTTGGATTTCTTTTGATGATTATAGCATTGCTTCAAAAGTTCTTCTATCAATCGCTCGTTGGAAATATTATTCGACAACAAGTGTTCAATTGTTTTTCGAGCAATTGGATGATACTCTACATGTGGTGACCCCAGAATAGCATTGATCCATATGATAAGTCTACTAAGATCAAGTTGAAGGTAGGCGTTATCTTTTGAGGAAATAGGACCGTTACATAGACTTGCAATGGATTTCAATGAAGCAGCCTCAAGGGCTTTGCGCTGCTCTTCCAAAGTAGAGGTGACTGTTGCTCGAAGGCTAATATCTTTGACTTGTTCAAGAACCACTTTCATCATTCGAGCCTCACGATCACGAGTCATGTCGCTGTTCAAGCCAAACCCGCACCAACTCTCAAATAGCAAAACTAATTCCAACCTAAGAGCAAATGGAATATAGGTTTCAATAGATTCCGTGCCTGATGCAGTCGGTCGAGATGAACCAACAGCCGTCACCAATGAATGGTAGAATTTGCTGATAAAACAACAGAAATAGTAGCGAAGCATTTGATGATCCCATTCAAGCTGAATCTCTGAATCCGACAAAAACTGTATAAGAGATCGAATCATGTCAAGTATTGGAGTCATAATAGTTGGGTCAAGACGGTATACATCATACTCGACAAACTCGGCAATAAGAGATAGCATATGTGTGACTTCCATTCGAACACGTTCAAGTCGTTTTATCTGAAAAAGTGCTTGGGGTTGCGAGAAATTTGCTTTACTCATTGGTTCAAACTTTCCGCTGATTGATCTGCTACGCATATCTTCAATCACAGTATGTAATGTTGGCTGAATAGCAACCAATAATCGGCCAAAGCAGTTGGGATGGACTGAGCCAAGAGCAAGTGATGCAATTTGGCGAATAGAAACGTTTTCGCACCACAACAATGGCGTAACAAGTTGAATCAGCTCATCAATATTAAACAAAGCGGTTGCATTATTTATGTGATGACGAGTATGAGCATCCCGTTCGCCGGATATTGAAGTTCGCGAACCATGCTGAGGAAGAGTTGTGGGGCCAGAGCCATTATTCATACTTGATACACCACTTTTGTTACTATGAAAACTGGCTCGATTTAAACTGGATGTGGAAGGTCGACCCTGTACTGTGCTGGTTTTTATAGGAGAGTAACATGTAGCAACAAAAACAAGACAACTCTTCCATTGATTAATCAAAAAATCAACACGCAGGCAAGAGTTACTGTCATTCCCAGATCCGGTCGAGTCATTGGTGTTACCAGGCTGACCGTGGTTATTTGGATGAGTGCTGGATCCGTTTACTCCAAAATGGAAATTACTGTTATTGTTCATATTTGTGTTGGTGGCAGTATTCAATAAATTAGCTGTACTAGTATTTGATGCGGCGGCACGCTTTTCTATAGAAACACGCTCCATGGCCCATTTGTTTACCGATCCTGCCATTCCTTTTGATGAAGTCGGTGTTTGCTGTGGATCAGCCAAAGTACAAATAGTATTGTGCATGGCACGAATGCGTAAAAACATGTCAATAATACTACGTTTGACGGCTTTTGGACTTGCATAGTCCATGACCCATTTAAGAAAATCTGGAAAACATTGATTCCAAAGAATCTTGTCCCGATAGTTTTCAGAAATGGCCAAAGTGGCAAAACAGTCGGGTTTGGCCAAAAGAGACAGCAAATAACGTCTGTTTTGCTGTTGTATTTTGGGTGGATCAGGACGTGCTGAGCTTCCGACGAGACTGTCGAAAAAATGTTTCTTCAACAGCTCTTGACCGCAATTTTCCATAATAGTAATGATACGCACAGTTTGATGTTTTTGTGCTTCATCCGGAGCATTAGAAACAGACAAATTTCGTTTATGATGAAAAGACTCTGAATCAGGAAAGGCAGGATACACAAAATCACTTTCAGATTCTTCTTGGATAGGCTCAGTTTGCTGCACTGCCTTTTTCCTTTGTAGAGTATTGCGCGTATTTCCATGAAGAGTCGTAAGACGTAAAAGAGTGCTGCTGTCTTCTGCAAGCAATGGGCGATTGCGGTTGAGTGTAGACGAATACTCGAAATTCTTTTGTTCATTTGGATCAGCAGAGCGTTTTGCTTTCAGCTCCTCAAGCTTAGTATCAATTGTGTTTGCCAGACGAAAGGCCTTGATGGCCATCTCACGGCATGCCGGCCGACCCATTGTCAGAAAAACCAAGCCACGACTTTCAATTTCGTCAATTACCCATGAACATTCATACCTGTCAAAGCTTTGCAGCGGCCCATCGGCCTGTTCAATAAAGTTTTCAAACCAAATTTCGGCAAGACCAACAAAATTGCTGGAAACACAATGCATTACACATTTATATGCATATTCGCTGACGCATAGATCGGCAAAACGGTGTCCAATAATAGACATGCATACACTAGTTGAAATTCTCAAAACTGAAGCAGAAATGCTTTCAAGCGAGCTGGATGTGAACCAAAATGTGTGTTGAGTAGACGAAGTCTTAATACGGGCAATACGGCAAAGTGCTGCAAAAGCTTCACGGCGGACATTATCATCCAAGTGAACTAGTAGTCGTGAAATGACTTCTATCACTTTCAATGGTGTGATCCCTAATGGGGTATATCTTGGAAGGCATTCCAGTACCGAGCACAGCAAATCCAGGTGTGGTCGAATTTTTACAAACAACTCCGTGATCGTTGGCTTATCTTTTTCCAGCCCTGCCAAAACAGATACACTTGCCATTGGAGCATACAACGAAACTTGAAGTACATCACTAACATTCACACTAGGACGTCGATGAAATGAATTTGATGAGCCGATTGTACCACCTGATGAGCACTCGGGAAACTCAAAACCCATTGAAGGTCGGTCCATGACATATACGTTGCCAAGGGTCTGATCCAAAAAAAGCAAGGCGCGACCAACCACTGAATTGATCGTCTCGAGCGTTTCTCGAATACTACTGCCCATACGAACCAAAATCTCTTCAGAAAGATACCCATTGATAGTAGGACAATTCGTGGTGGTTTTACTTATCGGCACAGCATCATCTTCAGATCCAAAAACAATATTGTGCTGGGCATGGTGAGCCAGGTTTTGTAATGAGCTCGACGTACCGTTTTTATTCGAATGATGATCTGGGAATCGCGGCGATGGTAAATTGATCTTTCCTTCAACCACCACCATCCCAGATCCAGACTGTACGGCAGACACTGTTCCAGCAGTAATAAGTGATGATCCTTGTGGATCTCCCAAACTGACTTCCACATCGGAGAGAAACAAAATAAATGATCGAAAAGCAATTAATAGCCGCTCTGGATTTGGAAGTACCTCTGTGTTACGAAATATTCCATAGCTCAAGTCTGCCTCGCTAGAGCCATAGGAAATCTGTGATGTCGCTGAAGATGTTAATAGCAGTGAGATGCTGGGTAAATTATTAAGCGAAGACGGCCCCAGTAGCATGTTGATAATCTCATTCCCATACTCGGAATATTTAACAAGCACAAAGTAAACAATGCGCACAAAACTAGTTGTGTCGCAATCTGTTGGGACAACTCCGCGCTTATTAGCTGGAAACAAAACGCGAAGAATCTCATCTACTCGGCGTTGTACTGTCAAAGCAGGAGACTCGAAACAACGGAATAGATATACCCATATAAGTCGAGTCAAGGACACAAATGCAATCTGCTTTAGTTCTCTTTCTGTATCACCCTTTTCCTTGAAACGCTTAATAAGCAATTGTACAAAGTCGAACCAGTTTTTGAGAAAAAATTCCCGTTTAGATACACATAATAATGTAGAAATAAGTGGAAGTGCTGCCTGTAGCGCCATATTAAAAGTGTATAAAAAACTGTCAGTGACATCAATCACTTGTAAATACTAAATCAATAGACCTCACTGGTAAATGTCTTGATTTGTGCACCATACGAGCTGCCTTTGGGTAGATAGTGTCAACGGTTTTTTGCCATGCTGGAAGATTGACTTCAGCTGAAGCAATCTATATATTTGAAACAAAAATTATATAGATAGTTAGATAAAAAATCATAATACCAGTAAGGATTTTGCTACTCACGCTAGCAATAGGATCTAAAAGCTCAACAAACAGATTGGCATAGGCGTGCTTCACATGAATATTGTGTGTATCCTGAAATAGATCAGCGCTAGTTTGCAAAAACTCGGCCGTTTCCTCAAGACAGTCCATTGGGTAAATCTATTTATACACTCCATTAGCATCCCTTGCATAAATACAATAGCAGATTCGACGTATAAAACCCATGAAATTGTATCTACCTTGAGTTTCAAAAATCGCATCGACCGAATGATTAGCTCCAGTTTGGTTTCCTTGGTGGGTGCTGCACCACGACCAATTTCGCTGATAAAACGATCACTAACTGTAGCAAATCTGATTCAAATTTCAATGGCAAATACGCCAATCAGCCAGAAACAAGGCTAAATATTTACTAAACAGCAAAAACAAAATACCTAATATTGGATAGTGCACCGATAAGCTCTGCAAACATGTCTACGTTGGCCTGTCGATTTACAGATTTTACAACAAGATCTCTAAATCACAAAGTTTGAATAGTGATATTATCAGACTGGATTAAAATAAACAAAACTAGCCTACAAATAGTATACTTACGGATCTGAATTTTTGAGCTGTCCAAATACCATATCTTCAAGCTTTTCACCAAGGTCGTTTGGCAATGTGTTTTTTCCAAGTTGTGATATAATTGTCGTTAAAACTCGACATAAAACAAAGTTTGCCAAAAGTGACTTTCGTTCCTTTAATATGGTTAGCAAATCCTTGGACTTTAGTTGTGGGTACATCATTCGACTATTTGTACAAATAAAGAACAGTCAGAACAAAATATGTCATCGTGTATCTGCAGTATATAAAGTAGTATAACACTTACATATGATCAGGAACAGTTGTCATGGATTGATCTCCTTTTGATTTTCTCCACACCATGATACTATCAATAATAAGCTTTGGGCAACATTTTGCAATTGAGGCAATTGAATAGAGTAGTCGGTCAAACGCTAGATCTACCCCAGGGTTGAGTGGAGATGATATATCGGTATCACGATCCTGTATGGTTTCAAATTAAAATTAAACAAACGATTAAGCAGTCGTCTAAAATGAAGATTTCAACCAAACACACAAGTATTTTTAACTACATCCGTATCCATGTAAACCAATACACTAGATAAGCATGTCAAAATCCATGATGGACAGTCTCATCAAATCATTGGTTTCAGTTTACTGGACGTTTACTGGACATTGTGTCCTCGAAACTCTTGGTTGACTGACTTTTCCCCCTTGTGCCCATTTTTGTATTAAAAACTGAGTTTTTGCATCGCAGTTTCAGTCAATCCTACGTTCTTGACACTTGTCCAATCTCCAACTCTTCAATCACTCAAACATCCAAACTAGACACTACAAGTAAACATTGCATGACCAGTATCCAAACTGCTGCATTCATGATACGTGCAACTTTTGTTCTGTTGAACTAAAGCGCGGACGTATCTGATATTTTAGAATACAGCAATAATGAGTTTGTAGAGTTTGATTGGCAACATCAAAACAGTCAACCGCAATATTTGGATTGCGATGGATGCATCTGGTTTCAAAATTGATGATCATAGCGTATGATCATATCAAAAAAGAACAGGTTCAAATCTATAGTTTGTATGCATCATATGATGAATGTTTGAAAAACTGAAAATGTCAATGTGTAGTAGGAAAGTAAGGGAATATCTGACAATTGTCCATTCCAAAACAAACGACAATCACTGCGAGTGTTGCAGTTTACACGAATATGATTGTAAAATCGACTGGATTAGTTAGCATCGAATATCAAGTATTTGATTTTACAATTTTTGTAAAAGATGCTGTACACAGTTCAAGTCAAGTCCTGATGAATAAATTCCAACATATATAGTATGTATGCTAGAAATACCTTGTAAAACCCAAGAAATCCTTCATTTTTGAGCGTTTTTGATCCACAGTCGATGACGCCAGTATATAGTGGTGCTTCCCGGGGTTGAGTTTGCAGACGGACTTTGACTGTATCAAATGGCTGATTAGCACGAATAAAAAACAAATTAACACAATAATTCAATTTCACAGTTGGGCGATCGCATAAAACAATGGTGTAAGTGATAGCCATAGTAAACCATAACCAGCAAAATGGTCTTGCATTTGAATCATATACAGCGACAGGAAAGTATTTTTGATAAAGATACAAAGTGCAGACAAGTACTTGCCTGACCAACTAAAACTTGTACAACACCACCAATGCTTCCAGCCAAAAGTTCTGTTGCAGTCTGATACTTATTCTTGACTGAATCCACACTGGCCATGATCTACACAAACTATTAACCGAACAAGTCGGATATTGAATAATTTTCAGTAAATTACAGTATCTGGCACGTGATTCTTGATTGGCTGGCGAGTGTTTAATACGATAAGCAATGCGGATAGAAAGAGTGAATGAGCAAGTCGTGCAGATGAACTTGATAGTAAGAGCAGTTCAGACTAAGTCTGGCATAACACTCCAAATACGAATAGATTGGATTCTGACACGATCGGATTGTTGGGCGAGATTTGGTCAAAAACAATCCATTGCAGTCTGTGTGGTGTGTACTGGACTTTGTAGCACATCAATAATCATTCTGTTTTAAAGTGCAGCAGATTCATATCGAGTTTAAATGAATGGCATGAACTGGTCGAGTCAAATATTCGACGTGAATTTCCTTAGACTTTCCACCACCATCAACTAAAGCATCCAAACAGCAGATTGTTAATGGAAGGCTTCCAATTCCCTCCAAGAGATGAACATGTTCCACAGCAGAAACCCACTCCCATAGCTGAGCCTACTATTCTACAGCGACCTTTGAGGTCATTGAATAGTCTTAATTCCGGAAACAGTCCGACTTCTGCCAATGAAAATAGTGCTGCTGGTATCATCGATAATGATGTTTCTGCCAGACTCGGTCTATCTTCCGGATATCCTAATACGTCCATCCAGTCCGGCCCTGTGTCTGGATTCCAAACTACTTCAATACCGCCACGATCTTCTAGTGAAAAACTAAACGTATCCACTGCCGTCGATATAAACTCGACTTTGCCAGGCCTGTCTGTCATTTCTGCTTCTGCTCTTATAAATACACCCCCAACTGCATCTGCAAGACACTACACGGCTTTGGATCAGGAACTTTCATCATCGCTGGGTGCTATCAAAAGCAATGCAGTTCCAATTGTGCTGCAAGCCATATTCGCTAAATTCGTTCATGCTGCTGAATCTAAAGTTGACAGTCTCTTAAGCTATCAGTTGGTATGTCGTATCTAGCATCAACCTGTTATATTTTACAATCATATTCGTGTAAACTGCAACACTCGCAGTGATTGTCGTTTGTTTTGGAATGGACAATTGTCAGATATTCCCTTACTTTCCTACTACACATTGACATTTTCAGTTTTTCAAACATTCATCATATGATGCATACAAACTATAGATTTGAACCTGTTCTTTTTTGATATGATCATACGCTATGATCATCAATTTTGAAACCAGATGCATCCATCGCAATCCAAATATTGGGGTTGACTGTTTTGATGTTGCCAATCAAACTCTACAAACTCATTATTGCTGTATTCTAAAATATCAGATACGTCCGCGCTTTAGTTCAACAGAACAAAAGTTGCACGTATCATGAATGCAGCAGTTTGGATACTGGTCATGCAATGTTTACTTGTAGTGTCTAGTTTGGATGTTTGAGTGATTGAAGAGTTGGAGATTGGACAAGTGTCAAGAACGTAGGATTGACTGAAACTGCGATGCAAAAACTCAGTTTTTAATACAAAAATGGGCACAAGGGGGAAAAGTCAGTCAACCAAGAGTTTCGAGGACACAATGTCCAGTAAACGTCCAGTAAACTGAAACCAATGATTTGACGAGACTGTCCATCATGGATTTTGACATGCTTATCTAGTGTATTGGTTTACATGGATACGGCTGTGCACTACCCAGTTTTCGATTGCTAAATATATCTTCAATATACTATTTGATAACCATATATTTAGGGTACGCTTACTCCACTGCTTGGTATCGGTGCATGTGTCTCGATTCAGTTTGGTGCATTAGAGGCTATGAAGCGTTACTTTTCTGGAAACAACAAAACTGGATCCCAAAACCTCAGTATTCTTCAACTATATCTCTCGGGTGCTGTATCTGGTGTTGCCAACTCTGTTCTCAGTGGACCCATTGAGCATATTCGTACTCGTTTGCAGATTCAATCTTCCACCAACAAGTTGTACAACGGACCTTTGGATTTTGTCGGAAAAGTATCCAAACAGTATGGTATGTCTGCCATTTTCAAGGGACAGACAGTTACGGTCATTCGCGAACTCCATGGGTTTGGAGTTTATTTCTGCGTGTACGAGTATTTGATGCAGCGTGCTATGGCGATCAACGGTATTAAGCGTAATCAGGTACCTAGCTGGAAGCAACTTCTTTTTGGTGCTACCTCTGGTTACATGCTGTGGATCTCTGTCTACCCTATTGTAAGGTTTATATTTTGATCAACATTATGCAAAACATATGATGTGTTGGATATTGACTCAGTGTTGTGGTGATATGTTGCTATTTTAGGATGTTATCAAATCAAAACTGCAAACAGACAGTTTTGATAAATCTACTCAGAAATACAAAGGCATGATTGATTGTGCTTCCAAGATTTTTGCTCAAGAGGGATTGACTGGTCTTTATAGAGGTATACAGATTTCTGATTGTTTTTATCAAGCCATCGAATTGACTCGTTAGATTTTTGATGTGCATTATCACTGACACCCAAACTTTGTACTGCCTTGGACTGAATAGGGTTTTGGGCGTGTATGCTACGTGCAGGTCCTGCCAACGCAGCAACATTTGCTACCTATGAAATGGTCATGAACTTTATTGGAAGATAAGATGTCTTGCAACTAATAAACTTCCCCACTATAAACAAGGCTGTAAACTGTTTTTCAATTAGATAAGCAAGCATCTACAATCGCTTGCACATCATGCATCTGTATTCAAGTATGGTTTATATTCAGTCATGATCACCATCAACTCCTAATTCAGCCTATTGCCAGGAATATCTATGACTGATACTGCCACAAACATGCAGACAAATCAATACAAGAAATCAGTTATTCATACACTGTATCGAAGAATCAGCTGAGCAGGGTCAATGGATGCTTGCCAACCCTTACAAAGTTCTGTTTGGAACATAGGGTTCAGAAGGTCAGATTCGCCGCTATCCTCTCGACAAGACCAATACAGAGCAGTTACCTTGCTGCTTTATCAACAAGCTTGGATTCAACTCCTTGCATTGACCACAGAAAATGCAGACCACCGCTCATATCAGTACAGCTGAAGCTTCGTTGCATATCAATCACAAGGACACTGATGAGGGTTTTGAAGATGATTATCCAGAAGAGTTTCCATTCTGGTACAGCTTTCCCAGTGGAGAACAGCATATTGACAGACACCAGCAAAAACTACTGTTTGAGTCGTCCAGTGCTAGCAAGGCAGTGTTTCCTTTGGATTTGTTTTTGAAGCAACGCTCGTCCGTCGACCTTCGAATTAGAAACGACTCGACTGTCGCTTTCGATGACAATCATCAGTCATTCCATAATCAGGACTCTGTCCTGCACTATTTCGTACCCACTACAAAGTCTGAAAAACTCCTTGACCAATATATATCTGGGGTAATTGAAGGTATTATGATTTTTGAATCGGGTAGTTGGATATTGTCTGCAACTCATCTAATCCTAAACTGTGCTATCCAAATCATCAATATTAGCATTTTTGGATGAGCCTGCTCCTATCTATGCGACAGCCGTTTCTAGGACTCACAGTCTGACTGGAAAGTTTGGTGGTTTATCAATTCCAGATGGTAACCGTTCATCCGTTGCAGATCTGGAATCATATCTGAACCATCTTAAACTCAACGTGATTGACAAATCCACCCGGACGGGCTCTTCCAAGATGATTGGCCATATGGTAATTTCAGTTGATGTTTGAATGCAATGATACGACCAATGACTGCTTTGGCACACAAGCTAATCCATTGACTTTTGAATAGACTACCGCACTTCCTTTTTTTCACCGACCTTTGGCAAGACTTTTGGCTGCTCTAAATCAAAACGTAGTAAAAATCGAAACGGCATCCACATTCACTAATCTGGAGCGCCAAACACTAGCCATGTTGCACAAGGCATTTTTTGGCTCCTCTGATGAATTTTACACTCGGTATGCATATGCTCCAGAATACGCTCTTGGTGTCATGGCATCTGGTGGAACGATCGCCAATATTACTGCTTTGTGGATTGCTCGCAACAAGGCACTGGCTGTTAATGCTGCTAACGGATGTCGTGGAATAGACAAGGAAGGGTATATATCAGCCATGCTCAAATACGGTTACAAGCGTGCTGTTATTATTGGCAGTACACTGATGCATTACTCGTTTAAAAAAGCAGCCGATTTGCTTGGATTGGGTGAAGAGGGTCTTGTGTTGATCCCTGTAGATGATGCATTTCGCATGCGCATAGACGTGTTGAAAGCCAAAGTTGAGAAATGTGTTGCAGAGAACACACTAGTCATTGCTATTGTGGGAATTTCTGGTACAACAGAAACAGGATCTATTGATCCTTTACTTGATATAGCCTGTATAGCTCACAAGTATCATATTCATTTTCATGTCGATGCAGCTTGGGGTGGACCATTGATTTTTTCACCCGAGCATTCTAGTAAACTAGCTGGTATTTCGCAAGCAGATACAATCACAGTGGATGGTCATAAACAGTTGTATACGCCAATGGGGCTTGGTATTTTACTTGCAAAATGCCCTTCTTTGGTAACGTTTATTCGCAAAACTGCAGGCTATGTCATTCGCCACGACTCGCCCGATCTAGGGAAATTTACTCTAGAGGGTTCTAGGCCTGCCAATGTATTGTATCTTCATGCCTCGCTTAATCTGCTTGGCAAGCAAGGACTAGGAACCTTGATGACTCGGTCAGTGACGGTAGTGAAGCAAATGGCAGTGCGATTGAATCTGCATCCTTCGCAAAGTTTCCAGACTTTACATGAACCCATGAGCAATGTACTTTTGTATCGCTACATTCCATCTGACTTGAGAGAGTCTATTGCTGACGGCACGTATGTGCCTAATCCGGAAGATGAAGATAGAGTGAGCGAAGTCACCAAAAGACTACAGATTTACCAAGCAAGCTGCATACCTTCTGATGCAGTTTTCCCCGAGGTGTCTACACATGCAACGGATGAAAGTACAAACGGAGAAGCGGGACTTCATTCTCAGCAGAATCAACTGCAAGGTGGATTTGTAAGTCGCACTCGTGTTCTATTCAAAGGATTTCATGTCAATGCGCTGAGGGTTGTCGTTGCCAATCCATTGACTACGTGGAGAGATGTTGAGGGTGTCATTTCTGACCAGCTCAAAATGGGTGCGATGATTGAAGAGGAAATGAAGCGGGAGCAGATGGTAAAGCGTGTACGGGACATGTATCCTATGCATCGACCCAATGCAGTTGTACCTGATAGTGCCAAATCTTGTACTGCTTTGGCTGCATGTGATGGTACGGATACGTGTAAACCAGATGATAAGATAGAGTGGTGGCCTGGATGGCCATTTGATTTGTAAACTACTTTTTAGCATCTTGTCATCCAAGCTGTGCCCATCATCTGCTAAATAAATTTTATTACATAATCAACAAACGAGTTTAAAATCAGACTCGGATAGTATTATAGTATGGAAGCTCAACAGGCTGAAGCGAATCATCACAATTCACAGCTACATTTGCGTAAAATGGTCACTAGAATGTCATTAAATAAACAGCCAATCTCATGACATGGTTGATGTCAGTTTACTGGAAACGATTGAATTTAAACTTTTTAGTTGACTGGCGTTTTCCCTAGCAATCAGCATGTATAGTGGTATTGTATGCATCATACGACGGGTATTGTGTCTGAAAGAATTGAAAATGCCAATTTCCAATAGGAAAGCACAATAAATATTTAACCATTGTTTATTTTAAAGCAAAATAAAACTGCAAGATAAATACAAAAAGGCTTTCTTTTACATGAGTACGACTGTAATATAATTAATGAATTCTTTATCCTATTGACCTTTAACTTCAAGATATAGGAACAATCAGAACTTCGGTATCCTTTGCCTTGAGATTATTCAACGCCAATGAGATTTTTGAGCAATAGTCCGCAAACTGATCAATTTCATTTTGCTCAACTGAAGTTGTGGAAGGTAAGCTGTGTATACTGATGGAATGGCCAGATGAGGTGGTGATGGGAGCGATTAAGGTACTGGGATTTAGCTGGATTAGTGTTTGAGGGTGTCGCTTCAGACGAAGTTCCTTGACGATATCGTCCTGTGGTGCATTTTCCAAAGCCCGTCTAATTCAAGTTGGTAAAAAGGTTAAATTGAAGCCATTGTATAAAACACATGTTTAGATGCATTCAAGCCATACCTATATTCAGCCGATCGCTGAACAGCATAGTTATTCTCAAGTCTATCCAGCATCCTGATCGAAGAAATATCCATCAAGTGCCTGTTATTGAAAAAGACCCAAAAATAGGTTTAAATGCATGCATACAGTTAATGACTATTACTAATCGAAAGACATGGCTGTATGATAGTTTCAAGCTCATTGTGGATAATATATGCACAGCCACTATGGTCAATTTGCCAGTAATCTTATTTCTAAAAAAATAGAGCAAGTCGAATATGTTTGAAAATATATGAAATAGACCAGTCTTACTCTGCTGTAGCTTGAACGACGGTTTTGAGTTTGTCCTGTACTATTGTTACTTCAGTGGGTGAAGACTCTGTATTCATGCTATACAATAAAGTCGTAACTGAGTGAATACGATGAGTTGTAATAAAAAGACGATAAAAATGCAAGGCATTACTCTGGTATGGAGTCATATCCGCTTGTCTGTAGTCGTAGATTAAGAGGACTGTCACTGTCCTGAGCCAAAAGTCGAGTCTGCTCATTAGACTAAAAAAGATGGCGAGTCAGCCAAGTCAATACATCAAGAATGGTATTTCACACAACTGTAGTGATAGCTTACCCCCGATGACCTTGTTCCACCAAGACCTGAGCAACACTGTCCCATATGTATGTGTAATCAACCAAGTGCTGAATGTGTTTGCAGATGTTGGATAAAGTTGTGTAAAATAAGATTAACGGGTATTAAAAAAGGTTTGTGAATTGCTAATGTATTGGTTGTATTCGTGTAAAATGCAATACTATCTTGCAGTTATTGCTTTGGAAATGAATTTCTATTACAAATCGACTTTAACAATACAACGATCATCATGTAATGCAAACTATAGTTTTGAATTGAGACTGTTTGAAAAACTACAGATTAACAGATATTGGAATACACTGCTGACAATCCAGCTACAAACTCGAATGCATTCGCGCTTCAGTTACACAAAACAGAGTTTCTAGCAAACCATGGCATGAGATTGGCTGTTTAACGTTCTGTTTTACGTGAATACGAACATTACTGTTCAGCTGTTGAGATTAGAAACAACTTGCCGAGAAGATTCAGTCTTGAAATCAGTTGGCAATTCCACCACAAACGCCAAACAACTTTCCCATTCAATCGAATTCCAGTTATGTTTCTGGTCAACTGGCTTTGGGATGTTCTGGGCAGCTTGGGTATGATATGACTATGGGTTTCACTACTGTATTATTGTCTGTTTTATAATGCTATCATTTGCTTCTGGAATGCATTGCTGGCTGTTTTGATCCCCACCATTCACATGAACACTCGAGTGGTGTCATGACTAAACGAGGTTGGTTTAGCTTGATGCAGCCTACCATCATAATCCATCGAGTCGATAATAGTCATACGCTGCTGACTATGCATATCACTGCTATTTAAAGCCATCTTTAATGCACCATTGATCTCATGCAGTCTAATGTCGCATTGTATCAAACTGCTGCTTCATCCATGCTAACCTTTTTGTATTGTTACTTTGGATCATATCTACTGTTTTGATTAACAGGGCTTGTAAACAAGAGCGGCCGTCTACTGTTTCTGGGTCTGGACAATGCTGGCAAGACCACTCTGCTGCATATGATGAAGAATGACAGACTGGCCACTCTCAATCCCACACTTCACCCTAGTATGAACTGTTTTGTTGTTGGTCTCTTGCTGGATTATTGTTCTCACTCTAGTTTCATACAAATTCATAGCATCGGAAGAATTGGCTATTGGTAATATCAAGTTTACAACGTATGATCTTGGAGGCCATCAACAGGGTATAGTTTTGCATTCATCAGCCATATCAACCAAACTTGATCTAGTTTATTAACTTTATGAATTCATATGGAACCTTGGATCGTCTTACTGTATATAAAATCTATTCAGCTCGTCGTCTTTGGAAGGATTACTTTCCAGAGGTTGATGGCGTTGTGTACCTCGTTGACTGTGCTGACGTGGCTCGTTTCCCCGAAACCAAGGCTGAACTGGATGTGGGTTTTAGATTACATTGCTACCAACTAACACACCATCTTGTTGAGCATATGCTGATCGCTTAGTCTAATTTTGTTTATTAGGCTCTTTTGTCGATCGAAGAGCTTGCAAAGGTTCCATTCGTGATTCTTGGAAATAAAATCGATGCTGCTGGTGCTGTTTCTGAAGATGAGCTTCGTGCCCACTTGGGACTCTATCAAACCACTGGTAAGGGTAAAGTTGCTCTCAAGGACATTCGCCCAATTGAAGTATTCATGTGCTCTGTTGTCATGCGTCAAGGCTACGGAGACGGTAAGCTAATATGAACTGCCATAATTGAAAAAACAATACAAGATAATTATTCTAATCTTTAACTCGACTACAAATGCAATAGGTTTCCGATGGTTGTCCAACTACATTAACTGATTACTCTAAAAAGATAAATTGGATCAGTGAAATCTACTTGATAAGATGGAACTTTTTCGGAACGACTAGGTTATATTGCGAGCTCAGTTTTCTTGCTGAACCCAAAATGCTATTTGAATAAAAGCCTTGGTTTGATTCGATTACAGCTGTATTCATGTAAAATGGAACATTAAATAGGGAGTCAGTGGTGTGAATCATCGTGTCATGAGACTGACCGTTTACTATGCACTCATTTAGTAGTCAATATTGGTTTTGAATTCATCAGTAGACTGATTTTTAGTGATTGTACCATGTATTCCTGCAACCTTTATTTTCTTGAACGCGAACGTGTCCGAGTCTAGAACACAACAATCGAGTCTGATGCTATTCAACCAATCCAAATATCTGGATTGCAGTGAATGAATCTGATTTCAAACGTCAAGCATTGTCCAATCCAAAGCAAAGGGAAATCACTGCAAGGCAAATCAAGTCATTTCACAAGAATACAACTGCAAAAGTAGAGTATGACACCACGTGATGTAAACTGATTGCATTTGAATTAAAATTCTGACGAGCAAACTCGAACCGAAAATGAGTGGAAGCGCTGCAGTGGGTGGAAAGTTGTCCAGAGAGGACTTTCGCAAAGAGAAGCTGATTGAAGAGCAGCGAAAAGCGTAAGTGATTATCACTGCACTTGCATTACATTTTTTGATTTTTAACCATCCCATTCATGTTGTAGAGGAACGCTTCCAGCTGAAGTCGATCCAGAAACTGGCCGAGATATCAACCCTCACATTCCTCAGTATATTTCCAAACCACCATGGTACCTTGATATTCAACATGCTACTCTAAAGCATCAACGGTATGAAGATGCATCTGTTTCTTCAGACATGAACACTTGGTATGCTCGAGGTTCTCGTCAAGGTCCCGCTGCAACTAAATATCGAAAGGGAGCTTGTGAAAACTGTGGAGCCATGACCCACAAAACAAAGGAATGTATGGATAGACCAAGAAAAAAAGGAGCAAAATGGTCTGGTCAAGGATTTCAAGCTGACGAAGTCATCCAACAGGTTCAGCTTGGGTTTGAAGGCAAACGTGATCGCTGGAACGGATACAATGCCATGGATCATATTAAGCAGGTCGAGGAATGGGAGGTGATTGAGGAAAAGCGACGCTTGAAGCGAGAAAAGGAAGCTCAGGAGGCTTTGGCTGCTGCTGCTGCTAAAACAACTGCTGCCAAGACTAATGAATCTGCTGCATCTAAACTGGACGGAGTTGCTGCTGTTCATAATGGAGATGCTGATGGATTCAAACAACCCGCTCCTAGATCTGGACTTGTGAGTGCCGAAGTTGCCGCTGCTGCCGCCGCCGCTGCTGCTGCTGTTGATGATTCCAGCGACGACGAAGATGAAGACAAGTATGCTGAAAAGGCTAATGTTGCAGGCCAAAAACTGGATACCAAATCGCGCATTACTGTCCGTAACCTTCGTATTCGTGAAGACACTGCAAAATACCTCCGCAATTTGGACGTCAATTCTGCTCATTACGATCCTAAAACAAGATCAATGCGTGCCAACCCTCACAATGACAAGGATGCCAGCGAGGTCACTTATGCTGGAGATAATATTTTGCGGTATTCTGGAGATGTGTCCAAGATTGCTCAATTGCAATCTTTTGCCTGGCAGGCTGAAGGTAGAGGAAAAGATGTCCATCTTCAAGCCAATCCCACTCAAGCCGAATTGTTATACAAGGAATATCAGGCAAAAAAAGGACAGGTTGCAGAAACTCAAAAAAAGTCAATTTTGGAAAAATATGGTGGAGCCGAACATTTAGATGCACCACCCAAAGAACTATTGCTGGCAGAAACAGAGCATTATGTAGAATATTCTGAAACTGGAAGATTGATCAAGGGACAAGAACAGGCAAAGCAAAAGTCAAAATACGAGGAAGACATGTACGTCCATATTTACTTTTCTGCTATAGATATGTATTGTTGATGGTCTGATTCACCCTGAACTTTGTCAACATGCTAATTGTTTTATATAGATTCCCCTTGAATCACACTACAATTTGGGGATCATGGTGGAAGGATGGCCAATGGGGATATGCTTGCTGTCACGCAATACTACGTGCATCCTATTGTGGTGGAAAAGCAGCGATCGAGGCAGCAAAAGCATCACATGAACAACTGATTCAATCTTCTCTATCCAACACTAATACTACAGCACCACCCAAGAAATCTCTTCTTGAACAGTATGTTCAACGTGCATCTAAAGAAGGGCCAGCCATGTCCAAAACCGATTATTCAACTAAAACTCGACTTGGTGAAGGGGATGCACTATTGGATTTAAACAAACTGGCTCAAGCCCGCGAAGCTGAACAAAAGCGCAAGTCTATGGGTGTATCCGAGTTAAATGGTGACCAACGTGATGGCAAGCGCAAGTACAACTCTTTCAATGGCTCTGGAGAGCTTACAGAGGAGCAGTTGGAAGCTTACCGAATGGAGCGTCAACGCGGCGAAGATCCTATGGCTAATTATATTGATGAAGAATAGTGTATCTCTGATGGTTCCACCATCTTTAAATAAACAAACTACTATTTTAGCTATTCAAGTTTGACATGGCCAATTATCATCTTCAAATCCTCTGGCATCTCAACATGGTTAGTTTTTATTCCAAACTGCATAAAATGACTACATGTCCAAACTTCCTTCATCATCATCCCATTCAATATCCACATGCTCATGCTTCAAATCCTTTAATCCACTCACTTCTTCCAAATATTCAGGTGAAGCAAGACCTTTGAGAAGAAATGAATGTCCATTTTTGGCATATTCGTCCAGAATCGATTTGGAGCAAGCTGGACATTTGTCATATGCATGACCTACTACCAATATATTGTTGAATTGACCAAGATGTCCGCGAATCTGATGAGGCATAGCGCCTAATATAGAAGCACCTGGGTCACTAGGTTGGTTGGTTGCATTTGCCCATGGTCTAGCCATTCATGCAGCAAAAAATGATTAATAATAGACAAAGTCAAATGTCGATAGACGAGACATCTTTTCATGTAAACACGCCTACCCATGTGGATGATTTGAAATAGAGGATAAAAGCTCCACAGCAAGTGCACTAGCTATGCTGGAAAGTCCTGGGCGTGTTACTGTGCATTGCTGATCCAAAGTGCGATCAGTAAGCGACTAGAAAGATTGCAAACAAAACCACATTCAGTCAGCAATAATCAAAATATCAACTTGCAGTAAAATTCAAACCCAATACACTACATCTGTTGGAGCAACCACGTCATTGCAATAGTAGCATCCAAGATCTACAGTATTATCACTTGTGCCGTACGGATTTACACCTCGCATGCCATGACGCATAACCAAAAATGTATCAAACCCAAGTGCAGCATTGATCACAATCTATCCAAAACATGTAGATTAAATCTTGTTTAGAAAAACTGCACGTCAAAACCAAGGTCGTATTCAAAATACCTTGCCCATACTGGCTCCTAGAAGAGTCGGTAGCCAACGGCCCTCGCGACTATCAGTGAGCAAAAATATTGCATCATGAGATTGAACCAGTTCCTCCAGCTTTTTAATGTCTTTGGTAATGGCGTGGGCTGTTTGGATAGAGTGTCCTGGCATCGGAATGCTCAACTCTACTCCAACTGAATTCTACAATTTAGAGCCAACAAATATAAAAGCAGTTGAAATATCGCCCAAGATGTATTATTTCAGAATACAACAAATTGAAGTCTTACCACTCCGGGGAAAATCTCTTTCAACGCTGCTGCTGCCATAATTGCTTTAGAGCCACCGCCATCAAGACAATCATTAAACTTGAATAGCGGTTGTCGAACTGGATTGGAAAATGATATTTTTCCATTATCCACTAGAGTAATGTTTCGAACACCCCATGCCTAAACATTGCGAGTTGTAAATACCAAAGTAATGGTAGTATTGGAACACAAACAAGGTTTTAAAAATCATGCAGTGTAACACACCAAGAGCAAACGAGCAACATAGCAGCCTAAAGTGCCAGCACCCAATAAAAGACATTTTTTTTGAGAAATGGCTTCCAGATTTAATTCTGGAAGGATTCGCCATCTCATCAACTTTAAATTCAAGTCTACAGCAGTTTCGGCAAGTCTATACGGTTGTGGTAGAGATACTAAACATTTTAGCAAGAATCATCACAAAGAATCAGACCATATACATTGGTGCATATGGATTACCTGGATGGATCCATCAGAGCAGCAAGATCGGCAACGCGTGGCATTGGTTTACCATTGATTCCTTTTTCCCAACCAGCACATTTTGGCTCATCTAGAATGTAATGTTCAAGACTTTAGTCCATTCATTCAAATCAGAACAAAACTTTTGTTATTTTGGAATAGCACATACCTGGAAAAGTAGTCAGAGTCACATCCAGAACGATGGAAGCGGAAATATCATCTCGACGCTTACTGGATTCTCGATAGCAAACAACAGTTACCTTGGACAACTTCCACCTGTATGAAACCAACGCTAGGAAATTACGTAAAGGCCACCCAGGATTTTCTGATAAGCCAGACGGATCAACAAATCCAAGTGTGACCTGCACCAAAGGTAGAGTTTAAATAATCTACAATAAAAATAGTTAACAATCCATTGTAAACGAGACACTTGCCTTGTCATCTTGGCTAAAAAACGTCTCGAATTGGGAAACATCTGCAATGTTGACTTTGTCATCTACCGCTTTAATCAGAAAGTATCCGGAAGTGGTCGAGGTTGTATGAAATCGATTAAACTCTGCTTGAAAGAGAGCCAACTAATCGATTGAAACTATTAGATTTACAAAAAACCTGAACAGTCGAGCGTGAATTTACTTGCCATCTCAGAGCCATATGATTCAACAAGCGATCGTGCTGGACCATCCAACACAATTGGCTCAGTCGGAAGCAGAGCAGGAAACGCAAACCAGTAATAGAACTTGTATTTTTTCAAGTCGGCAAATGTCAACAAAAGAAACTTGTTGAGCAGAGTTGGATCAGCAACAGCAGCACCTGAAAGAATGTCTTGCCAAATCTAGACTGAAATGTATTAGCCAAAATCAAGGATGACAATAAAGAACATGAAGACAAATGACATACTTCAAGGGAAACTGTCTTGATCAGACTGTTCTTGTCAACAGACTTGAAATCCTCGATAGTATTAGTATTTTTAAGCACACCAGGGACTATGCATGAGCGAGAATCCGGTTGTCTGAATAGAACAGTACGAATGATGCATGGCCAGTCCAGATTAGTTTATAATTCAACTGCAGTTTGAATGGCATTCAATCATCCGCAAGATACCTCTGAATCTTGGAGAACGAAGTAGAACTAACACATAAGCGAGAAGGAAGAGCGTCTGAATGGCTGCTGTTGATATGATAGTATGCTCCGCCGCTAGAATAGAATCCTTGAATTGGAACCGACGCATCATCCAGTTTGTATAGATTAATCTTGTTGCTGCCTAGAGTGTGCCAGAACGTAGCATCCACAGCACTCTGAAAGGGTTCGTACTGCAGTATCTTGGACATGATTGTAGTTTACTAATGACCAAGTTGGTAATATAGATCTGGTATGCGCTTGCAAGGTACTTTCAAGGGTTGTAGTTTGTGAAATTCAATGCTGGTTACGAACACTGAATATCAAAGTATAAACTCATTCCAGATACTATCAAACGATTACTGAATCTAGCCTTTGATCATCTTGCCATCCAAATGTATTTCTATTTCCAAATAGTTTAACTTGAAGCTGAATTCACAACACTTGAACATTGCATATGCTAATAGAGTGAATCTCAAATAGCAATCGCATCAACAGTGCTTACAGGTGTATTGAAACACGCATCCAATAAGTAGTCACTCAACCAAAGTACTGTAATCTATGTGAAATATGAAAGCAATGGATAGTAACTGCACTATTACTGCTGTATTCATGTCAAATAGGACACTAAGAGTCTTGTGAAATAATCATCTACAAATTCACTCCAACATTCTAAACTCATTACTGACTGGTCTTTTAGTGACTGGCATGTATAGTTACATTCCTGCAATCATTGTTTTTTGAACTAGAACGTATCTGATATTTAGAACACAAAAATGGAGTTTGGTTGATAGCATCGGAATAGTTGAATTTAACATCTGGATTGTAATGAGTCTGATGATTGTACAGACAATTTCAATTCAAAACTATAATTTGTACTACTAAAACCAATTTATAGTAGCAAAACAAGCATGTATTTCAAAGCAATGACTGCAAGATAAAGCATTTATTTTACACGAATGCGGATGTAGCTTACGCTTGGCCTACATTTGATAGACTTGATTGTCCAAAACTGGCTGTTCAATAGAAATTTCTTTGAAGCAGCATCACGTGAACTCGACAGGTTTATAAACTAGACAGCTTGACAGTCATTCAAGTCGTAATGCAAGTTCCTGTTCGCCAGAGCACTCCCAGACGCAGCATTGGAAAACCCCTCAAGCAGCCCAATGAGCTAACAGTCAAAGACTGTCATATCCACAAGCTTACTCAGTATAGTTGTCAAATTGTAGACAATGAAATTGAATGTCAAGCCTTTAACCGCTTCTTTAGAATGTATGTCTTCTATGCTTTTAGATATGCTCTAAACAAATTTGCATATCTTGGCTTGATTTGTATCGTCTAAACAACTGTGTTGCATCTTATTGGATGTGCTAATTAGTTGTACAAACAATGCTTCCAAAGAGATTCATCAATCCGAGTTCATTCAAAATAACCAGTCCAGCTCAAATACAAACGAGATTAAGAGTGTTCGTCCGTATTGGGGTTGAGCGTAAACTCGGCATGCAGTATTCCAGCCAGTACAGGTTGGGTTTCTACAGGGGTTTCTTTCTGGACTGGCAATTCAAATTGATAATGTCCTGATAACTGACTCTAGATCATGTTCGATTCACAAGCAATGATTAGAAAGATTAAACTCTGTCATATGGACTCGGCCTGAAGCTCAAACATTGAAACGGCTATAATTTTACCTGGCCACATAAAAGTGCTCTGAGCGATGTGCGAAACGTACCAAGCACTGTGGTTTCTGCTGGCGTAGCCATCCATTGCGCTCCTAAACCGTCAATGTAACAAAGCTATCAGATTTAGATTCCCACATTCATTTTTGAAATGGAAGAATAAATGGATTTGGCTATAAATAATCCTCTGTAATCTGTTACCTGTATCGGTTTTTGGTGCCTTTTTTCCTTTTACTGCTGTAGATCCAGCGCTGTTTTTTCCAGGCTTGTCTGTGGATTTTTTTGCAGGTCCTTTGGCACGATCTTGAGTAGAAGCTGAAACCGCACCAACGTCTTTTCCTGTTTGTACAGATTCAATTTGATGCGGCGATGTAGCAATATCATCCTTAGGTGATGGACACGGTATAAACATCATACGACGTCGATGCAGACTTGCAATGATTCCCTCTAGTTTTTGATCAAGCAATATTCTGTAAGCATATACAATCATTGGCACTCTCTTTCACGCATGCATTTAAACTACTAAGCGGACAAACATGCCTTGAAATGAATCACGAAGTGCTGTTGTAAATGGAAGTGCAACTATATATGAATAATTAATATTGATCTCTGGTGTTGCCCAGTCAACTGGAACCGATTCTACTGGAACCACACCGCTGTTTGGAATATCTATTTGAATAAAATATTTGTATCTAATGACCAATGTGGCACTATTAATATGTTGACTATTGGAGTTGAATGCAATAAATTAAAATGCATACTCGTCTGGTGGTTGCTCAGGATTATCTGAAGGAACAATGCTTGTTTCAATTACACCAGTCAACTCTTTCAAAGCAATCCCTAGCCTGACTATATTTGTTTAACCCCAAATATATACCAGCATCAGTTAATCAAGTATCAATATAATAGAAACCGTTTAATATCGATTGATATAATTTTTACCTGTAGAGATGTTTAAATGCTCTAATACAATAGTCTTGGATTGAGATAATGCGCTTTTGGGGACTTCTTTCTCGTCCAAATATGCTAGATTGGGAATATTGCATGTTACATACTTTGGGTATGCGCTGACCATACAAAGCGGATTTCCCTTTACGTGTATCCATACATTAATCATGTGTTAAATCAAGCAATACGCATAACCATTGTTTAAAAAACCATATTCATCTCAAATAGATGATTGTTGATGCTCGGTTATGGCAATATACCTGTAGTGACAAGATTTTAAGAAGAGGTAGTACTTTTAAATGATTGACAGTTTCTTCCAAATTGCACAAGTTATTCCAAGCAAGATCCAACGATACAATGGTTAGTGGAAAGACCGTATCCATTTTCAATAGCATTGTCAAAGCTTTTGACGGTTGAATGGATTGCGCATGCAACGTAGGCGATGTCAATCCTTTTAGTGTTTGGATTCGTGATGTCATTAGTTTTGGTTTTGCCGATGTGATGGATTGAACCTGCTTAGTTGATGGGGGATGAGAAACTGTGCTAATTGTATTATAGCTGATACCAAGATGAAGGAGGTTTTTAAGATGTGACACTTTGGGAAACTGGTCTAATCTAAAGACTCGCAGTACAAATTTATATACGCAGTTCTACTAAATAAGCTTTCTGGTTTCAAAAATGATCACTTAGATATACTTGAACTCATTGATACTATCATTCTTACTTGTTGGCGTTTAAATGCAGCACTTTGACAGATTCAGGAATGTTTTGCACGGTTGAAATTAAATTCCCAGTCAGGCTTAATTCTTCCAAGCAAATGAATTTTGATAGGCTTGCATCCATCACTTTAATTCCTTGGCCATGGAGTCGTAATGTTTTGAAATGCTTGTTGATATATGCCAAACTAAATTGGGAATCTGGTTTTGAATGGTCTTGCTTGCGTATATGAGTAAGAAACTGTTCTTTGAGAGCCAGTGCTTCATCGCTCCATGAGAAATCAGCTATTGATTTCATAATCAAATTTGCATATTGAAACAAGATTGTTAGATATTAATCATATCCAAGCATGGTTTTTGACTTGTTACAATATTTTTATAAATAATAGCGACTCAAGGATTTGGTCAAGTCCTTGAATCTATTTCCAACTCACCATTTTCCCATGGGTCAAGCTCTGCATCTTGAATGATATCATGTGTATCGCTTAGTTGATCAGCAATCACCCATGGTGGATGTACTACATCCATCAACAGCACCGATAGGTTGGAGTCTGTTTTGGAAGCAGCACCTGTATGAGCAGATTTGAAAGGTATTGTTGCCAATTTGGCACGTCGCGTAATGGATATTGATGGGTTTGAGCTGGTGTTGGGTTGGAATGAGGGCTTGAATGGTTTTAGTTTTGTACTAGCCGCCAGGTCTTGTAGATGAAATAACTTTAAAGATGGACTTTTGGCTTTGACTGGTAGTATGGTTTTTGGGCTAATGGGTTGGGCTGTTTCTGCGGCTGCAGCACTCTTGCTAATATGTTTTGATGCTTTCGAATGACGAACCTTTGGTAATGGGTCGAGCTCTTGCTTAGATACACGAATGCCAGTGTTTTTTCCCAAGATATAATAAAATGCAGACGCTACAGTTTGAGTTGAATAATCCATATTCACAAGTCTAGTGCTGAAGTTGTTTTAATTGTGAATGCCAAGCATAATGAAAGTAATTTTAAAATTGGCCAGATATTTGGATCATCAAAAACAGTCCAGAATCATTTTACAGTTGTATTCACATAAAATGGAACACTTGTATTTTGCTTTGGAATAAGCAGTGGCTAAATATTTGTTTCCTACTACAAACTGACTTTTAATAGATATTCTCAATGTTTGGAGTTGCATGTCATACAAAAGCATGTTTTATCCAATCATCAGCGAGGTTCAAGAATTGATAGTACGAAACCACCTCATGAGGTTGCTGTTGAGCGATTGACCATGTTTAATCAGTGAATGTGTAGCTTTGTCAAAAAGTCGAAACAATATTGCCCAGTAGTTTAATGGAAATCATTATTTCATGAGATTGGCTGCTTATGCACTTTGACTCGCACTCGGTGTCATTTTACGTGAATACAGCTGCAACTTCAGATATAGTGTCGGGTCTCGGGTATGCTGGCAAGAACTTCTTTCAAAATATATACTGAGATCAATGTGCTTATGGCGACAGGGCACAGAGTATCGGCAGCACAGTTTTCTACAACTATAAAGAATGATAGGATTCAGGTTGACCACCTTGTAAGTTGTATCGATCTTTCATCAAACTTGTTTACATCCTTTGAGTGATATTTTGATTTGAATCTCACTGAAACAACAGGTTATTGGTGCAGGTGTAGTCGGTTTATCTATAGCAGAACGATTATCCCGTCATTCGACCGCCTCCACTCTTCTTCTTGACCAACATTCAGTTTTTGGAAATGAAACATCGTCTAGAAACTCGCAAGTAATTCACGCAGGAATATACTACCCAGATGACTCGCTCAAGACAAAGCTGTGCATACGAGGCAGAGAACTAATGTACGATTTATGTAACAAAAACAATATCCCATTCAAGAAGATTGGCAAGTGGATTGTTGCTGTATCGCAGCAACAGACTGAGGATCTGCATGCGTTGCAGAAAAAAGCGCATGGATTGGGTGTAGAAACCTTTTTTCTAACAAAAAAGGCTGCGATAAAAGAGGAGCCTCATGTCAGCGCCTATTCAGTACTTGCTAGTCCAACCACGGGAATCTTGGATGTTCATAGATATATGCAATATCTAGAGGTAATTTTTGATTTGAAACAGTACCCATGAATTGGCATGTTTAAATGTGGTCTAGTTGTCAAACTAATTGTATTTTATTATTAGAATGCTTTTATAGATCAGGGTGGTACTACAAGTTACCATTCTTTAGTGTCGGCGATTGAAAAGCATGTAAATGGAGGCTATTTGGTGACGATCCGATCATCGGATGGATCGCATACTCAGATTGTCGCTGGTGTTCTTGTCAATGCAGCAGGGCTTTATGCGACAAATATTGCGTCTATGCTTATGCCACCTTCTCAAACTGCTTCACTCCAGATGCACTATTGCAAGGGTCACTATTTTTCATACAGGCGATCCAACTCGCCTGTTTCGCGTCTTATCTATCCATTGCCAGAAAAAAATGTCCAAAGCCTGGGTATTCATTGTACGCTGGATCTAGAGGGCAGGCTCAAGTTTGGGCCTGATGTATTGTTCATTGACAACTGCACAGACTATAGTATGGGTTCAGATTGTGATGATGGTGGAGCAGTGATGCGCAAGTTTCATCAAGCTATTACTTTGTATATGCCCATGGTAAATCTAAGTGATTTGAAGGCCGATTTTGTTGGAATTCGGCCAAAACTGTCTGGGCCAGGCGAGCCATTTCGCGACTTTGTAATAGAGATACCAGATGAACTACCTGGGTTTGTAAACTTGATTGGGATTGAATCGCCTGGATTGACATCAAGTCAGGCGATTGCTGAGCATGTTCATATGCTTTTGTTTGGCAAGTGACTGTGTAGATGCATTTCAGTCTATTGTTGGTTTGAATTAAATATAATACCTTGAAAACAAATTGGCCTTTTAGCAGTAAATCCCCTATCAATGAATGCGCTAAAGTTTGATTGGCCTTGATATATAACTTACTAGATGTAAAGATGGCAAGTATTAACTCGGTTTGCATACAAACTTTGTTTAAATAAGCAAATTGATATTCCAACTTGGGATCAGATCCCTACGTATTTGAACGAACCATTTGAACACGTAGTGATATGTAAATGCACGAATGGATATCTACGAAACGCAAGAGAAATCCAGAAAACTATCCGAACGCATGCTACTGCTAGATAATAATCACAGCCTCTAGTCACCGTCCGAAATTTAAGTTTTCAACTTCAACCCCTGAGCGTTTCCCTCTGCTCTACTAATTCATTGCTACATCAGTAGGTGTGTTATTCAAAGGCTTGTTTTTGCCAACTTGAAGGTTGGATGCTCTACTATAGATGTATATATTTTCAACCATGGCAGTTTTCTGCAATAATATATATTTATCTATGCCACTTTCATCTTGTCCAGCAATATGCATCTATCTATGACACCTTTATATCCTAAAGCCAGTGCATATACCTGGCACTGTAACTCCTTTATATGGGAGTATTCATGTATAAATACAAGTCATCACAAGGTGTTTTAACCATTGCAACATTCCCTATCAGTGCAATATGTTCCACTCTAGCCTATGCTTGACATAGTACTGTTTAAACCACCCAAATTGAATTTAATGATTACTTGCATTAGCATATAGTAAAGAAAGTTGCATCAACTGTCCACTACTATGCTGAAGCGCGTCGTTGTACAAAGAATGAGAGTGGTGTTGAGTGGGATTTATCTGATCAACACTAGCAATGATGATTGTTCATAATAAGAGCATGACACTTTGTCTTATTTCATGCCATGACTCGTTCCTCTATTGAATGCATGACATTTTTCAACAAGTGTTCAAGAGATAGCCATAGTGTTGATGGTCACTTGAGTATCTACTCAAGAATGGATGATAAATGCAACATGAATTCTTTTTGTATTTATTGACTACTGTAACGAGCAGTTCTGTCCAGTTCTGTCCAGTTCTGTTCTGTTCAGTAAGCCAGTAATGCGCGTATTGCAGGTTTCACAATACAGTCGTCTTGATAATAGTTTATGAATTCGATTCACTAACACTTTCAATATCAACGCATGAATGAATTGGTCGGTTCGAAATGCACTCTTGTCCAGTTCGAGTATTTGAGGTTTTGTTTTGCTTTGATTTTGTGAATTCTTTGCACTTTCCCGACTCAAACAGCTGTCCGAATGTTTGCTGCTGCCGCTCAGAGCAAGGTAATCATGCCACCACCAACTGTTACTTGCTATACTATATGTTTGCTATTAGTGTCCACTACCATCTACTCCCCTTTTGTTCTTTTTCTCTCTGGTCTTCAACCAGCACTGCTGATCAATAGAAAAGCTGTATCTACTGTTGGTTGCGTACTAGATATCTACCCATGTGTTTTTTACTTTCTTGAATCGTATTGCTAGAGTTGAGCTGTAGTATCATTCTGGTGTTTGTAATGAAGAGACAGTTGCAACATCATATGGCTCAACTTGAACTTGAGTTCTTTTCTTATGTTATAAAACAACTTCTTTTTAAACCCTTATACAATTTCATGTGCTATCTACTTGCTTTTGTTGTTTAACCATGACAGTGATGTATGGTGACAAACTAACATGTCTTATTTGGCTTGTTGATCTATCCAGACCAAGGTCCGCATCACTCGCCAATCAGCCGCTACTGCTGTAGCTGGCAAGTTCAATGATGAAAATGCCCGTGCTGTAAGATCTACCCGCGGCACGACCGCAAAGGAAGCTCTCAAGAGCAAAGACTCTTGCTCCACTACTACTGTCGTAACTAGAAAGCGTGCTGTTCTGAAAGAAAAGGCTGCAGTGTCCAACACCATCAAGACTTTGGTAGAGTATTTGAACGATGGTTGTATTGCTAGTAATTGATTTTGGGAATGTGGTATAAGGCAGTACTTGCCATTTATGATGCATTTGTGTCGCAATCAGCATACCGCTACCCAAGCCTTTATCTCACATTCTTGTTGCCTTCTTTGCTGTCGTTCTTTTATACTCATTGGTATTTGCTTTCATCAATGAGTATAGGCTGCTGGGGAAAAGGCGACTGCAACTCTCAAAACTCGCACTACTACCACTCAGATCAGAACGCGCAAGGCATCCGAGGCACTTGGCGAGGTGACTTCTGTACAAACAACTACTACCCGCACAAGATCTGCTGCCGCTATTGCTGCTGCACCAGTGTCTAAACTTGCTAAAAAGACTCAACAGGCCATTGAGGCCGTTGTCCCTGTTGCTATCCCCAAAGAAACTGCCCCTGTCGTAAAAAAAGGCACAAAAGAGGCTGTTTCAAAGGACTCTGCCATTGTTCCGTCTGCTGCCGAAACCTTCAAAGCGCATGCTGTTATTAAAAAGGAAAGTCACACTATTGAGCACAAGCTGGATCACGATGATTTTCAGCCCAAAGAACATATTTCCAAAAAGGCAAGAACTGTTGATTGGGATGATTTGGATGAGATTGATGGAGATGATCCAACAATGCTCTCTGAATATGTTCAAGAAATCTTTGAGTACATGCATACTCTCGAGGTAAGTTGCTTATTTTACTCGACCGCTTTGCTCTTCATCTGGGTTGAATTCAAAATTCGCGACGCGTTTTTTGTAATTGTATCATGGCTGTACTCATCTTTTTGCTACTCAATTCATGTTTACATTACATAGAACCAAACCATGGCCAATCCCAACTACATGGAGCAGCAAAACGAACTGCAATGGAAAATGCGTAGCATTCTTGTAGATTGGTTAATTGAAGTACACAACAAATTCCGTTTGCTTGCAGAGACCTTGTTTTTGGCCGTCAATATTGTTGATCGCTTTCTATCTTTGCGTGTTGTTTCATTAGTGAAACTTCAGCTTGTTGGTGTTACTGCCATGTTCATTGCAGCAAAGTATGAAGAAGTTGTTTCACCTTCTATTCAAAGCTTTCTTTATATGGCTGACGGTGGATATACCGATGACGAAATTCTTCGCGCTGAACGATATGTGCTACAGGTGTTAGACTTTGCTTTGCAATACCCTACTCCAATGAGCTTTCTTCGACGCTGTTCCAAGGCCGATGGATATGATATCCAGACTCGCACTCTTGCCAAATATCTTATGGAAGTGTCACTTGTGGATCATCGTTTTATCAGTATTCCTCCTAGTCAAATTGCTGCTTCTGGTCTTTATTTGGCTCGTCGCATGCTTGATCGTAGTCCATGGAACCCCAATCTTATCCACTATTCATCCTACAAAGAGGAAGAGCTACAAGAGTGTTCTGAGTTGGTTTTGGACTATCTTTCCAAACCAGTAAAATACGAGGCGCTGTACAAAAAGTACTCGGCCAGGAAATTTTTGAAAGTAGCTATTTTTGTTGAGGACTGGATTGCCAAACAAAAGGACAAGAGTCTGTTTTGCCAACCAAGCGATCGTTCTGATGTTGAACGATCTTCTGGCATGACTGCTCCCCAGTCGTGTTCATCGGCTGTTCCAACTGCAATCTCAAATGTAAGTGTCAAGTCCCATTCCACTACGCAACAAGAGTCGGAAAACAATGATCCTTGTGAAAATGCGCCCAAGCAGACAGTTAGATGCAAGGCTCAAAAAGAAAAGGACACAAAAGTTTGCCCTACACAAGGCTTGGAGGGGCGAGAGGAGAGTGTGTATGACGAGAAGCAGCAGGAAGATAGTGATGCAGATGACGGTCGTCCCTCGTCTCAAAGCTCAGAAACTGACGCATAGTTTAGGAAGCTTGGATGATTTTTCTGATTTTACCGTAGTAGTCTGCTTTGCTTTTTTAATTTTTCCAATAGTGTGCTATTGTTTTCTACAACACGTTTATGCTTTCTATGCGGCTAGTTATTTTATCTTTTTACCGGTTTATCCATATTCCCTATGCACAGAGTTATGTTGTCATCTCGTACACGGTTTACCACTAGTCATTCAATAGAGTTGTCGAGTTTTACCCTGCTGCTTTACATCCTTTGCCGCTTTAACTTTGGTGTGGCTTTTTTATTCCCTAGTTTTATTGTTTTTACCTCTTTATTTTTTGGTGTGCATAAAGTTAGTTGACTGCTGTGGGCATTTGTGTAGAATACAGACTCTTTTGCAAGCCTTTTTATTTTTTTTTGAACTTGGTTAGCTTTTTCATTTAGTTTTAATCCTGCTTGACTTGATGTTTTCAAACCATGCTTCCACTTTATTTCAGTTCATCTCGTATCCAATACAACTACATTGCAGATCTATTGGTTTTCTTGACCTATTTTACCAAGAATTATATAACAGTAATAGGGCTGATAGAAAAATACATGGATGGGGTTTGATTTAAATTCCAGTTTGTAACTATTATTCGAAATAGACTATGAACCTGATCAACGGACAAGATATAAATGTTCAATTGTGATGGATACAAAAATGATCAACCCAAAATAATATCCTTGATCGTCATATCCGGCTACTTTGCAGGATCGTTAAAAATGGTTTGACAAAATATTTTATTTTAAAGGTGGAACTTGCGTCGACTAGTGTCAAGTTCTGGCTTGTGCAGCCACTCATACTCTCCAAACTTGGTATCAAACGTTCCCTTTTGCAACGACATTAGCTTTAATGTAAACCGTGGTCCAAGCTCTTGGATATCGCATCGCTCACCATTACGGAAAATGTATCGATGGCGACGGAAAAAAATGAAATCGCGTTGATTATGGAGTGTAGCTACTTGACGACCGACAAACTCGGGTACATGTGGAAACATGGACGCAAACATCCTGCCAATGGTATGACCTAAGCGGGTGTTAAAGTTGTTTAAAATAAGTTCGGGCTTATAATCGTCTGCCTTTCCATGTCCTCTGATGAATTTGGGCAATTTTACACTTGTAAGTTTAAAGTGCGCTGTTGGACCATCCGGAAGATGGATTAGTGTAATGGCATCTGATGTTCAACACATTGGATGTATCAACAAATTAGTTTATGATTCAACCATGTCAAGTATAAACTACACAAATTTTAGGTTACAGCATACTTGGCTTCTTCCTGTCTTCGTTGATAACTACCAGGTCTGTATACGATCGTTCAATAGCAATCTCGACAATTTTCTTGATTTCGAATTGAGATCCACGCTTCACAAACTCGGCGTCAGGAAAAATAGATACAAACTGCTCTGCAAACTCGTATACACTCTAAAACACCCAGTCATGCATATGATTGTAGTAGATGCGATTGATGATTAGAAACAGAGTGATTGGTCTAAATGAAAGTGCTAAACTGATATGCAAACCGTTGATTTATAAACTACTTACAGCTGATGGACGTCTATTGGTTGTTACAAGAATTTTTGGTGGCAGTCCATCCTTGAAATATGAAGAAAATTCATCTGCATCTTCATCTGCAAATACCTGGCAATGTTATTTGATCATTTCAAAGCTATTAGCCTCATTGAAATCATGTACATCAATGTATTTTCAATAAAAACCACATACTTCTTCGTCCTGCTCAACCAAAGTTTCGTCCTCTTCTCGCAACGTTTCCAGTGTTTGAGGAACATTTTGCTCTAGTCGCTCCTTTTTCAGCTGTGGATTGGATGCTTCTTCCTTTTTCTGTTTTAGACGAGTTTTGAGCTTGTTACGACTCTTTTCTGACTTGAGTTTATGAAATACCTCGCCTCTCTTGATTTTGTTACGGATTCTTGATGGCTCTCTCATATTCTGGTTGGTGTCTTTGTATATATACTGCTGTTAAAGCCAATTATCAGAAAAATATTCTTTTGAATTTTCGACATCACGTGTTTGAAATTTACAGTTGTATTCACCTAAAATGAAACATTTTTCTGCATTTATCTTGCAGTGATTGTCTTGGAATAATCCATGGTTAAATATTCATTATTTTCCTACTAGAAATTGATTGTCTTTTATAGAGGCTCTGTTGTGTCCTAACATCAGATACGTTCGCGCTCTAGCTTAACAGAAAAAGGTAAACATTGGATGATCATGAAAAAACGGTTGTATTCCCAACTGTAATGTTTTGAAAAAAAAAAATTGGAGATTGGATGTCAACATTCCTTCAGTATTTTTGTACAAGAATGAGCATCAAGACCAACGAATTAATGAATTCAAAAGACAATCGTGCTCAGTAAGATTGGCACCAATCAAACATGACTGTTTATCATGTATTCCGACTTTGGTTTTCATTTTACGTGAATACGTCAAACTTGAATCAACGTTGATGATTTTGCCAGCATTGATTATGACTGAATTGTGATACTGCTCAGTTTATTTAATCAACGAGTCTAGTAGTTGTGGGACTCTACACATTCAATAGCTACAAAAAAGAATGAGAGTTTGTGCTATTGAATAGCTGTATAATAGAAAATAAAGCAAATGTAAACGTGGATATTGTAGAAAACATAAACGTTTTTTGAAGAATTTAAGACAACGTGGCCGAGTGGTTAAGGCGACGCCCTGCTAAGGCGCTATGTTCTGCATGCGTAGGTTCGAATCCTGCCGTTGTCGCTTTTTTGATTGAATTAGATTTTGATCACGTTGATTGGAATTCATTTTTTGTCTAGAAAATCGCACTAGTCAAATAACCCAACTTTATTTTGTTTAAAAATGAACTTTATACAACTGCAATAGTTTATGATATTGGCATATCCTGAGATCTTAAAGTGTTGACTCGTCCACGAAGTCGATCAGATGAAGGAGAATACATTGCGTTTGTTCTGGTATTTGTGTAATTTTTGATTGCGGTATTTGAAAATCGTTGTGATGGAGCCATAACTGGAACTCTTCCATCATCAGTAGCAGTTTTTTGAAATGGATTTGAAGCTTGATTTAGCGAATGCGTTGTATTTCTTGCCGGCATATCAGTATACCGGGGAGTTTTTTTCAAGCTTGGACTTACAGCCGAGCATTTTAATGTAGTGCTATTGCGAATCGAGTGGCAAGAAATACTTGTCAGTAATTATTAAATCAAACCCCCACATCTCAAATCGATGGACAAACCATTGGGTGTTTGTATTTGGTGGTAACAGGCTTTCGTTTTTGGATTCCAGTTTCAATGTAGGATGATTTGTGTTTAAAGCTATAGAAGGCTTAGACATTGGTTTATGTGCTAGTGATATGTTTTCGTTTGATTCTGATCGAGCCACGACTGATAAAGATTGGCGAGTTCGTCCCGTCAAAGAAGATATGGCCAACAGATCTAGCTCTGCTTCTCGCTGTGCAACAAGTCTTTCTCTTTCTTGCAAGTTCAGCAATCTAAACTCAAATTCTTCCTCTCGGCGATTTAAATTGGCAATGCTAGCACAGAATTACAAATAAGCAAATATAAATCTCGAATAAACTCGCAAAAGTTCAAAATATACCTATTTGACAAATCTTGTTCCCTGATTGAAAGTCTGATATGACCATGGGCCAACAGCTCTGTCGTTTCTGGTCTTAATTCGTGCTATTCATGATAAAAAGTCAAACATATTTAGTGCAATCAAAGCAGCACACGAATTTGAGTTGAAGATACCTTTGTGGTCAGCATAATGCGAATAATTGCTTGCAATTCTTGGCTATATATGGACGATAGCGGCAATAGCTTTCCCGACTTTATTTTTGCAGACAAAGCGGCCTGAGTGTTTGCCTGAAAAGGTGGTCTAATGATAGTAGTGAGTGTTTACGCTATTCGCACAAGCGTGACTGAATCATAGTGTTTTTAACTTACTCGAGTGCACATAATTCGTAAATCAAGCACCCTACATTTCAAAAATAACATCAACAAATAGTAATATTATTTTCTACAATTCAGCTCAATAGTTTACCAAGAGCCCAAATGTCGGATTTGGCGTTGTATCGTGACTCATCTACCAATTCCTAATATTGGACAACGTTAGATGAGGAAGCAGCAACTAATACAAAGTAGCAGGTGTTTTTAAAAATATCCATAGCTTGTTCTTACGGGTGACATGTAAAAAGGAGTTCCAACATAGGTTTTGGCAAAATCTACTTCAGGATTTTCAATGACTCGCGATAATCCAAAATCGCCAAGTTTGACATTCAGTAGTTTATCCAAAAATACTACATGTGTATTAGACTCTCAAAATACAACAGTCAACATATCAAACAATTATACTTACCATTGTCTGGCTTGATGTCTCTGTATCATTTGTACAAGTTAATACATCTAAAAAACAATTTACATACATAAATATCCCACGTGCACCAAAATAAATACCTGTGCAAAATTGTCGGATGCTTGTCTGAAGCATGACACTCTTGCAGTGCTAAAAGTAGTTGTCCCAACAGATTCCACACAATTTCTTCTGGAATAAACCGTCTATTTTACTCCAACAAACAATAAAATTCAACAAACTATCGAGTGTATGTGAATTTGACAAAGATGTATGACTTGATATACCCTTCTTTTTTGCATCGCTTAATAACTGCAGCGAGATCTCCACCTTCGCAGTATTCTAGAGATTTCAAGTTAGTGAAATAGCCTTGATGAATACAACAGATCAGCAAACAAAAACCGCGCAAGCAAATTGGTGTTACCCATGATGATGAATATAAGACAATTCTGGCGATCAACAAATCTCTCATAGTATCGCACAATATTAGGATGTCGTAGTTCGCGCAAAATATTAACTTCGGCAACCAGCTGTTTCTTTTCCTTTTCCGACATTTTACGATAGTCTATTTCTTTTCGAGCCAACATCTATGTAATGCATTGCATTAAATATGGTTAGCAAAATATTTCCAAGCAGAGTTTGATTTACTAGGATTGGACAGCGGTGTGTCCGAAACCAAAGACAACCAAACTTGGATCCACAATTATAAAACATTTGCAAAGACTCGAATTTGATTTTAAGCTTGCATAGCATATGGAATGAAAGAGTATTGATCCATGTTTAAGATACACAGCTGGTCTAAATAGTTGAGCATGTACCTTTCCGTCTTCTTTTCGTCGCACTTTGCGAATAATTCCAAACGAGCCAGACCCAACAGCTTCAAGTGGCTCATAATTGTTCATTTGTAATATTCCAAAATTTTAATTCAAGCTTATTCTAGACACTCTTGACTAGATTTACTAGAAAATGGATGGAATGGTCACTAGTCCAAACGAGTTAAATGTGCAGTTCAAATGGAATAATTCTTGGACAGCGCAACCACGGGATCAGAAACTCACTTTCTAGTCGTGTTTGCATTGGCTGAAAAATGAGATTTATTCACGTGCCATTTAGACCAGTCAATCAGATTGGCAGTTGAACATCTTGTGAAGGTTATGGATCGCAAGCTGGAGGTTATTGAGCCTCTTGTCGCTCTGGTGGACGAGATGCTAAAGTCAAAAGTGCCTGAATTTGTTTATTCAGATAACCATTCAGATAACCATGCCAGACAGAGCACTTGCTCAAATATTCAAATCAAAGACTACTATTCAAATGACAGCTTCGAGCATACCAGATATATGGATAATAGTTCAGATCTATGCAATCCAAATACAGTGAATCTTTTTGTACAGGAGTATGGTATTGTCGATTGGCAAAGTTTGCTATATCAACGACAGAGGTAATAGACATCTGTCAAGCTAGCTATATCGACTCGACTTATTGACTATATGGAACTTTTCTGGATATGATTGTTCAACTTCAGAGAATCTGTGGATGATAAAGGCATTGATTATCTGAGTTTACGAGATTTACAAAACAAAGATTGGGCCATATCATGGTACGACTTGAATTGGAGATTGCTCATTGTCATCCTATTGATGTTTCATAGTCTAATAAAAAGATTAGTGCAAATGATGGTATAGCTGCTGCTCGAAAAGGGAACGATTCCAGTGCAATGAGGAAATACAATGCTGCACTAGACATGGATCCAAAATGTGTAGATGCTTTAGTTGCACGAGGGGCAATGTAAGTAGATCCATTTAAAGCATAATTCAACCTGTTGGTAAAATCTGATTTATTACTCCAACGCATCAATTAGGCTAGCAAATCAGGGAAGATTGGACAGAGCGTTGGTAGATCTGAAGCATGCTGTGTTGCTCAACCCAAGGCACGAAAATGCATCACGATATCTCAAACGAACGCAAGATGCCATTGCAAAAGAGGATCAAGAAAAAAAGGCAATTCTTAGAGGAGAATTTTTGATGGTAAGATATCGTAACAGTGATTAAATCTCAAGACACATTTCATTACATAGATCATGCGCTAGTTGGTTTTTTTGCTATGTATTTTAGCCTGCAAATTATGATCCTGGAGACAAGAATGCATCAAGACTGAATAGTGCTTCACTACCAACAGATAAGTACTCGTTGATAGATGATCCGGATTCAAGCGACTATGAAGGGCCAAAACGGCCCCATACATCTAATTCCGATAGCAATGACCAATCTCGGCGCAAAAATAAGCACAAACACAAAAAGAAGCATAAGGAAACAAGTAGGAAAACAGGCACTTCAAAATCTAGTAAAAAGTCAAAGAAATCTAGAGACGACGACTATTAAACCAGCGAAGCATAAAAAAGTCGTTCTACTACCACAGCGGAGGTGATCGCTCATCTGAAAGTCGAAATGGTTTGTAAGATTCTAAAAGTGACCAAAGTCGCTTTTTATAGAAAAAGCTGCTTTGAGGCTGCTTCAAGTATAAAACAATTCTAAAAATACAATTGTATCGACTCTCACTTTATTTTTAAAAGCGACTATTGTTTTGGGTTTGGGTTTGGCATCAAATGATGCATGCATTATGCACTATTCCTATACTGTCTTTTCTCGGAATAGTGCGATAATCGCAATTTTCGGTATCCAAATTATATACTGATTTGGAAATATCAATAGCATTACTGTCCTTTGCAGTTGTAAAGTATGCTTTACTGCTCTCTCCCATCGCCTGCAGAAATAATTCGCGTGTACCCATATCCTCGGGATTTCCTTCCAAAGCCATACGTAGACATTCAACTGCAGCCATTGCTTGCTTTTCTCGCAAAAAGGCAACCCCGACTGCCCTATATACCAGATGTCAAGATTAGAACTCAAGTAGCGTGCGATCTTGCCGTATCACCATAAAAGCCAAAAATTTGCAAATCAATAAGAAATCAAAGTTCTTACTTGAGAATATCGGCGTCCTTGATTCCAAGATAAAGAGCTTGTGTAATTGCCTGATGTGCTTCAGTTATACGACCTAATGTAAGTGATAGCAGTGCGATATTGGCCCACACCTCGCTGTCGCGATTGTTCAAAACATTTGCTTCCTTGATTACAAAAGTTTCTATATTAAACACTAAAACTCACGACTTTTCCCAGTACTCCAACATCAACCACATTTTCACTTACAGCAAAAGCGTCTTCGGTTTCCTGGTACTCCTTAAGAGCAAAGCACGCTTTTCCAGCTCCGTGCCAGCTCTGGCTTGATGGAGTGGTACTACATGCCTTTAAAAACATATTCTTGGCAATCGATGCCAAACTTACATCCACACATTCTTCGCGATGCTTTAGGAACTGAAGGTGGTTGGTCAAAGCATCCGGATATTCAGATGCAACAGGCACTTCTAGATATGCATTATGTAGATAGATGGTTCCAAGTCGGATATAGATTGGAGCCATCTTTTTTTCATCTGTACAATGCATCAGCAAAAAATGATGTTACTATTTTTCAAGTTCATAATTCATAAATTGTTTAAATTATGTTGAATAACTTACCAGGATTGAATGACAGTACAGTCTCATATGCATGTTTTGCCTCGGTATATTTCCCCTGAATATACATTAAATGACCTTACAAATTGATTCATAGATACACTGTTAATAAGCTAAAACAGTCGAGTGTTTTACAACCAAGGCAATCTTAAACTTACCTAGTTCTGTCCATACAGTAACATTGTTACTATCTAGTGCAAGTGCCTCTTTGAGATGCTCAAGTGCCTTATCGTAATGGCCAGACTGAATCTTTAGCTGGCTTAATAAAAGATAAGGTTTGACTGTTGCGCCGCGGAGAAGCAGCTCCTAAAGTTGATACATTGCAGTAGACACTGGTTAATATCGATTACTGTAAAAACAATCTGCTAACCTTGACCCACCTGGGATAACGCTCGATCAGAAAAATCTCCCAAATGAACCGATGTAGCAAATATTGCAGCTTCTAAATATGGTGTTGGTCCGTCCTCAACTACCCGATATAAAATAAAATATTATTGTATGCTACATCAATAAAATGGTAAAACTCTGGTTGTACTGAATAGAATTACCTGATTCATGCTGCAAGCCATGCAAGAGTTTAGCCTCGGCAATATATTTTTCAGATTCGGCATCGTCGCCCAAAATATCAAGAAGAATCCCCTAAAATATAAAAACCTACATATAAGCACTCTAGCCACTCAATGGTAAATTTGATAAGATTATGTTCAAAACAGGATTTCCCACCATAAAAACATTGCTGAGAATGCACTTTGGCTCTAGCTTGACCGCGCTTGTCATATACACATGTGCCTCGTCAAGTTTTTCATGGGCACAGCAAATTGCACCATAAACGAGAAGTGCTGGAACATACTTTGAGTTTCGAGACAGAATTTCTTTGAAACATGCTTCGCCTTTTTCTAGCGAATTGGTTCTCATCATAAAACATCCATAGTCGAACCTGTATTAGGTATCATTTAATTAACATAATCGCCAAGTGCCTGTATAAGATGCTATATTGCTGTTAAAATCAATGGGATACAAGACATGAGCTAGTTACCATGCTGAAATTGTATCTTCGTATTTTGCAACACGTTCAAGATGATATCTTGCAGAAATAGAATATTTTCCATTAAACTCTGCCACGTCTGCAAATTCTTTCAATGAATGGAAATCAGCAAGTCGGTCCATAGCGGGATCCACAAATTTGGGTTCTCTTTTTGAAAAAATCTAATCATTTTGCAGAAATTCAAATATTTTTTAACCCCATGCCAAAAGTTTTAAGACTAGAAAATGTAATGTAGCCAATAGGTCTACTACTGCTTTGAATCTTACCTGATTGATAGCAACGTGCATTTGGTCAATCAGATACACGTAAACATTACTCATAAACAATTGCTGCTCAGCTACTGATAAAAAGGGAGATTTTTGAAGGAAGCGCTGACATATGAATCAGTGCTTAAATTAGTCATGACTTGATAAAATGCATTCAAATCACCCTGTATCATCTAATACGAATCTTGCATACCTCCCGGATAACCTGAACAACCGATGCTTTTAATTGCTCTTTTAAACTAAAATATGCACCACTTTTGTTTAAATGATACATGAAGAGTTTTTTCCGCTAAATATAATAAAGTATGAATGTTTAATTTAAACATATTGAATTGTTTTTCAAAAAACCTACTTGCTGCTGACTTTCTGCAGATCTCGACTCATGATCATTCATTTCTTCACTTTGCAGCTCAACCTCTTTTTGCAATGTGTCTCGGTACTTGTCCACTAACTTGTGCACAATCTCGTTGATTTTTGTGCGGTAATCTTCATCTGCCTGGTTTGACCGCTTTTTGAATTGCAGATCTTCTGGAATGTATCGCTTGGGAATGAAATCGCTTACCGACTTGGTACTCTATTTTGTAAATTTCAAATAAAAACAATCAAAGATTGATAAGCATATAGACCAAGCTCAATGACAACATCAGATCACGTACTGCTTGCAATTTCTTTTTATCAATCAGCGGTTTGGATAGCATGAATTCCATAGATACTGCAGAACCAATGTTGCGATATACGTTATTTTGATCCACTAAGTAATTTACCATGTTAGCTACTGAATTAGTATAAAATAAACAAAACTGAATACCCACATTTTTTGTTTCCCTTGAACTGAGCTGGAATTTCGTTGAAAGAAGCGGCTTGAGCAGAAGAATCACTGGTATCCACAACATCCAATGGAAAACGACCTGTAAAATCATCCAGCATTTTATAAAAATAAATTTCAACAATAAAATAGTTTGACCAGCTACTACAATTTACAAGAACTTGCCTTTAATTCCAATGATGTTTGGATACATAAGCATTGACATATCAATGGTGGCTCTACCCCGGTACTTGCTAGCAAGAGTATCTGTAACAGACGTAAACTTTGTCATGGGTGTGCGAATAAACTTTAACGCAGTACAAATGTAATAACCAACAAATAAGGTCAGTTCATAATCATTTTTAATCATCAAAAGCAACTCAAATTTTAAAACCTAATACACACCTCTATTTCCAACGGCTTTTTATCCGTAGCCTGTTTTCTAATCTGTTCAAGAACAGTAGGACTTAGATATACAATCGACGATTGTCCCCAAAACACGCGTTTTGTTTCTTTGATTTCTACTGGATCACTGTCAGCCTCTTCAAGCGGCTGGGAAGAAGAAACCCCTGCTGCAGACGCCAATGTAGCTTGGGCTGTATGTTCTTTTCGAATGTCTGCCAGCGTGACAGTTCGCGGAACATTTGCAATTGGATCTACAAAAAATGAAATATTAAATTCTGGGATCAAATACTCTACTGTAATTTGATTTGTATCTAAATATCACATCATTCAATACCAGAAACTACTGGAGCTTCGCATAAAACCAATGAACCGTTTGAAATTGAAATGACACGCTCTTTTGATTGGTCGCTTGGAAGAGTTAGATTGATGGTGTACGAAAACACATCTAGCATTATACTTGTCAGTCAAATTATTTTGTAAATAGTACTAAAACAATTATGTTCACTATTCAATCTACTTGCTTGAGTTGAGATCTTTTTCAGAGCCTTCCTTGGTGGTCCATTCGTCTGGAATAGGATATACATCATCAATGCGTAGTTTTACAAAGTTGCCATGAGAGATATCATAAGAAGTAAGTAGGGGTCTAGAAAGAGAGATTTCTATTGTGCACTCTGAAACAAGTTTGGAAGCTTCTGGTGATGTTAATAGCAGTTTTGGATTAAGATAATCGATTTGAACTGTTTTTCTGAATTGTAATGGGGCTTCGGGAATTACTCCGTCATTTTCTATGTTGCGGTCGTAGTATTGTAAAAATGGTTTGTAAAGTGATACTTCAGCGCTTCCAAGAAGCGCAGTTTTTTCTTTAGGAAGCGATTCAATCAATGTCAGCGTGATCAACTTGTTTGCAAATGTCTCAATAAGAGTCTAATATTGTTAAGCACCAATAAGTATCAGTTGCAAAATATAAACATTCAAACTTTGTGAGCCAATATAATGATTGAAAATATACTGCAAATTCAATTCCAGGCTTACCTCGTCTACATTAAAAACATGTTCATAGGATAAATTGTAGTCCGGATTGCCATTGTCCACAATTGTTGCAGTCTGTAAAGTTGATGGAATAAAATGCAGTTTCATTAGCTTAATTTTATCCAGGCGTGTGGTGTCTAATCAGATTCAATAGAATATTGATACAAAACGATACTTGCATCTTTGTAATCAAAATCAGCAAACTGAGTACGAATAAATGAATTGACATGCTCTCCTTTTGCACCACGAATGTTTACACCATTAACAACTCTAATGGGTGAATAAAAGAAACAACTGTCAAGAATCCAGCCAATAGACTAATTATAAAATATTTCCAAAATGGGTGTTTCTGTATGCATGAATAGGCAGGTCCAATTAAAATATACGCTTTTCCAGCTTAAATTGAATGTAGTCATAAATTACAATCGTATTCACGCAAAATGGAACATTAGATAGGAATGTCAAAGTGCATAGTAAACAGCCAGTCTCGGAATATGACTGGGTCAATTTGTTGAACAGCATTGTGGTTTTAAAACTCGCTAGTTTTTTTGGTGACCAGCATGAACACAACAGTTATATTTTGAAATCTGCAATCTTTGTTTAAACTAGAACGCAAATGTATCCGAGTTTTAAAATATAACAGTGAGCTTGTACATCATCAAAACAGTTGAACCCAATATCTGAATCACAATGGATGAATTTGTGCTTAAACTTGGTGATCGTACAACGTATGAATATACTCAACGAGAAGAAAGGGAAAGTTTAAAATTATAGTTTGATTATATCATATGATGAACGTTGTGTTTGAAACAATAATTGGGTTAGTTTCTAGTAGGAAAACAACGAATATTTCACCATTGCCTATTCCAAAACCAAATGGTTATTACAAGATACAAGTGTTCCATTTTACGTGACTACAGCTGGAAATGCGCCACATATACAGATAAACCAATGAATGAATGTCAAGAATCAGCATAAAAAGGATATTCATCACGAGAGATTCCGATATCGAGGCTTCCTGTCCAGTACCAGCAGTAGAGACTGCTCCAATATTTAAATTTTGCAAGGCATGGCTCTGATACTCTTCATTACCGAGTAAAGCTGTAGTTGTTGTGCTGGCTACAAATGGAGCGGACTTTGAGTCTGCAAGACCAGCATTAATAGACTTTTGTGCAAAGCTACTTGAGAGTTTGACGGCAGTCAATTTCGAATTTACAGTAGATGAAATGGTTTCAGCATTCATAGAAGCAGTTCCAACAAAAGCAGGATTTGTGCCTTTTTTTTGCGTACTAGCCATGAGATGTAGTTTGAGCTTGAAGTTGAGTATCGAAGGAAAGGATGGAGCAACGCGTCGTAAAACAATCAAGTTGCACAACTGTCGGTTGGCTTGAGTGGGTTGACAGATCTGGTTCTTATTTGGCATCATCACTGAGGATTGCATATGAAATGGCTTGACATGATCTTGCAAGAAATTCTAATCTGTTATTTTTGTGATACACAACAGTGACTATTACAATGAATCTGTCAGATTCAGGATCTAAACGAGACCATAAACCTTGATAAGTTATTCGGTTACGATGTGGTCCAAGGATGACATGCTTTAGCAAGTTGTCAAATGCATGCATTTTATTCGTATTGAAATTATATTTGATTGTTTCTACGTAAAACATTGAATATACGGACAGTCATCGTATAGCCAGAAACTGATTGATTGGCAATGGCAGAGAGTGCAGTTCGTACAGGAAATAATAACAAGAATTCAGAACTATGGCTAAAGCTTATTAGCAGCCATCTGTCTGTGCAACTGGCAGCTCTTGATACCATCAAGTCCAAGATTCAACAACTGTCACTTGATGATCCTAGACGAACTGTTCTTATTGACAAAACACTATGGCCTGCAGTCACTGCCTTTGAGCACCACTCACTTCAGACTATTTCCAGTCATGTCTGTCTTGATCTAGTTTTTAAAACAGTGCTGGATTTGCAGGATATTCAACAACGGCTGCTGGCTGGAGTAGCTGTTGCACCTTCAGTTGCTCTGTTGTCGTGGGCAAGATTATTGATCAAACTAATTGGTATTGATCTTGCTCGACATGTCGATACATACAGAGCATCTCTTGTTGAAAATATCAATGTTATTGAGAGCAGATACGATGTTCAAGGTGCCGATATTCATCCATTTATAGTGGCTATTGCACAGCGGTCAGATATAGCTCCGTTCATTGTTCTGGCATACCGTGAAGAGCTAAAATCTCTACTGATTTTAGATGGAACTGATTGTATTGAATCTGATGCAAATATGCTTGCCAACATTGCCACTCATCGTCCTTTTATTCATTATATGCTTTCATTGACTCTACACCAACCCAAAAGTGTTTTAGAGTTTCAGTTGCATATGCTAGATGCGCTTTTATCCACCATGATGGATATTCCAGCAACTTTTACTAGATCTAGCAACTATATCTTTGCAGTATTGATGGATCATGTTTTAGATTTCGCTTCTGTAACTCAAGAACACACTCTTGCGGGAATGTATCGCATCTGGCAATTCAACAAAGCTGTAGCCGACCAATACTCACTGATTCAGCTGCTTTTGAATTGTATTATGCAACAATGGTGCACTTTCAGATCTATATCCACCAATGCTTCTGCGTTTCTATTCGCTATTATCAACCAAACAGATGGATGCTTAAAAAATTCCGAGTGCGCTTGCATTATGTCTGTTGCATCGTTTATCCTTCTTGACATTACAGATGGAAGTTCACTTTCCATAATTGTTCAGCTGGTATCCAAAATATTTCAATCCGTGGACAAGTTTGATGTTGCTCTTGATCCCATATTTTTGGCCATTCTTTTTCCTTTGAATGCCATCATCCCGATTGTTGGAGCGCTGTATTCTTCCGACTCAAACAAGACTATATCTGATACACAGTCTCTGTTTGCTGGCATTATGAAAAAAGTATACCATAGATTTACACATTTGGATAATGTCGATACAGAAGCGCAAAATGATAGTAGCAAACAAATCATTGCTACACTTTGTAAAGCACAGGCAAGCGCATCCTGCATAGAGTACTCGCAAATACTTGGAGTTTCCATCAAGATCCTTTTACACGAAACACCATCTTCGTATTGGCATTCCGACACTTTGCCTGAGTTATCCATGTTGATGATTGGTTTTGGGATTTTTCATCCCAAATCTTCAATCAAATATGCATATCTGACACGTCTTGGCGGATTGATTCAAGACTCGCATAAACCGTATTTGATGAAACTTTTTGCATCTATTATCTATATTTTAAAAGGCAAAATAGAGCCAGCAACAATGCATGCTATTATTACAAAAACGATTCCTGACCTGTCTGCACGCAAAGATCCTTTTTTAACTAGCGCATGCATTCGGTTTGTGCTTACTTTATTGGCAGGTGAAAATCTCAACACATCGGCAGAGCTTGCCGGATTCGAGTCATTAATACATATCTGTAACTCACAGCCGCGTATTTGGGCTCAAGTCAAAACGTATATATTTCAATGGCTTCAACGATTTAAAGGTAGTCAGGGTGGTGGCCGTATAAAAACTAAAGCCGAGATACGCATTCTACAAGATATCGAGGTTTTTATTTTGCAATCCGTCAGGTAATGCTTAATCTTGTCTGCACGACATTTATATCCAGCATCAACTGTTTTTTGTTTAATAATGTTTAAATCATTTTAAAATCCTAGTCAACTTTCAAAACAAAAACCGACACAATGTGGTTACGATTTGCTTCCATTTGTGATTCAGTACCTTCGACTTTCTTTTGCAAGCGTATCGGGCCAATCTATTGCATTACTGACAATATCACAGGCAATTCGCGACAATGTCTCGGCACCATTAACAACCTGGAATGTAGTGATGCAAAATTTTGTTTCAAATATCAAGCCAGATTGCCCACATTTGATTTTGGAGTCACTTTGCGATTACTATTCTACTGTTGGAGAAAAAATGCAGTTTAATGAGCAGTACATTGCGTTTGCATCAGAAATTTTAACCCTGCATCTGGTTCCACTGACTGTTTGTGCTGTTGATAGTATTAAAAGTGCCGCTTTTCGAGCACTATCCAAGTTCCCTTCATCGGATGTGTATCCACTGCTTGGACTTCCGCAAGAATTTCTTACTTTTCAAATACCTGATCAGCCAATTTTATCTGGACACCGTGACTTGCTGTGTAGTCTTATCGAGCACGAGTGCAGTACAATGCGCCGACCTGTATTCAAGGGTATTGCTTCAGCGGAAGGAGTAGTGGGAAACAGTAGTCAAGATACTCAGATGGATGCGCAAACTACACTGATTTCCAAGGTTTATACTATATGTTGTAGTCTCACAGAGATCTATGAATCCGCGAGATTTAGTAGCGCTGCTCGTGGCGGACTTGCATTCGCAGTTTTATTTTCAGCCAACAAAAAGGAATATGTCAAAAAAACGGTCAATTTTTCAAAGCTAGGTACTCATAGTTTAGAATTTTTCCAGGTTGGTAATGCAGCAATAAAAGATCTGGTGGTTACAGATTTTCCGCTTGCTCGATCTGAAGCAGTCGAAGCTTGGTGCACATTTTGGAGAAACAGCTTTGCTCAAACAGCCCGCTACATTATTGACCCTGAATCGACTATGCTTCCATTAGAAGCGATTGAAACCCTTTTTGAGATGCTAATTGGTGAATTGGTGTTTGACCAGATCAAAGGCAGCAAAGCACCAGCAGTAGTGGCAAACAGCTTACTATCCGCTACAGGAGCCGTTCTTGCGGCACACGATCTGAATTTTGCATCTGCATGTAGCCAGGCTACGGCGCTTGTTGATCATTGTGTCGATCAACTTCAACAAAACACATCACGTTCTGAAACTATAGCAACCCTTTTAACTTCGCTGTCATTCTTGGCACAGACTATTCATTTGAGCGATGGTGTTCGGCTCGAATGTATTTTAAATATCATGTATTCGCATCTTCAACCTCTACCTGATATATCTGATGATGAAAAAATCATTTCATTGTCAGCAGGCGTTGGTTTATCTAGAGTTATTCATCATATTCTTACACTCCCCACGGCATTCAGTCAAGGCAAAATCAACGAAATTTTGATGCAATACGTTCAACTACTAGATTCCTCTCTCCCGTGGAACGTTGGTGTAGCCATGGGATGGTATGCACTATTATCTAGCAGTGCATATGATGATATTGTGGAGTGTATTGGTAGTGTGTGTTTAGAAAACGTCATCGCCGTTTCGGTAGAGCGAGTTCAAACATTTTCTGAATCTCCACAAGCAACACTCGAAAGTTTAACAGATGGTCATTCATTTGTTGCTGTTCTTTGGGTATTATCAGCAACTGCTCCACATTATCCCGAGATGTTGATCAATTTTGATTATCTTGCACTATTAAGTAAATTTCAGCGTCATATTCAAAGCGATGTAAGTTATTTTAACCAATAGTAACACTTGGTATTGAATTAGTTGTTTTGTATTTGTTACTTACACTCACATGGCAATACATTTTGGATTTTCGCACTACTAGAGAAAGTTTGAATTTTTTCTGCCGCATGTTCTTTTTGCTTACAACCATGAGATTGCACGTTTAGCTCGACTAAGTAATGGTGCATCGGCATCTATAATGGCTGATACACTCAACTATACACTAGAACTATGTCAATCGACAAACAATCTTGCGTCTCTCCGCCAAGCTTATATCCAGTCTCTCGGACCTCTTCTTGGAACTAGTTTTTCATTTGAGCTGGACTTGCGTGCATCGTCTCTAAACGTTGCTCAGCTGTTGGAAGTGTCAAAAAAGCTTTATGAGTTGTTGATATCTCGCGACGATGCCAAAGTTTTGAGATTATGTGGATGGACAGTTGGTTCTATACTATGGTCTCTTGGATACGCTTTGGATAGCGACGGCACACGTTCTGTGCGACGTCGTGAACCACGCACTTACCACCGCCTAAATGTGAATTCTTCGTTTTTACGTGGTATTCACGACAGACTTCAAAGATCTATTTTCGAAAAGGGTATGCCTGAAACATTGTGCCGACACTTTGTTCTCTATGATTTTTTCTTATTTTAACTCTATATTCTACGTCTTTGTACTGTAGATATTGATATCTCTCTCACATTAATGAATGTTATGGTTCGTGTCGAATCAGCCTTGCCATTGACTGATTGGTCTCCACTGTTTGAGGGTCTGATAAACCTTGATGAGTCGCTTCGAATGCCGATTTTGCTTTTATCACGAAAGCAATCTCAGCATGACTCGTCGAAATGTTTTTCAGATTTTTTTACCAGCCAGCTGAAAATAATTGCACTATCTCTCTCATCACTTTCAGCGGAAAGTTTACCAAATCATTTACGTTTTATTGAATTTGCTTGTTCTTTTGAAAGCATTTCTACTTTGCTTAAGCTTGGCGGGATTCAAAGTGATACCACTTCACTAGTAACTGTCAAGAGTACAATTTCCGTTTCTAGTGCAAGAATATTGGATATTTTGACACCACTGTTGCGATACCTTTATTTAGTGGAGCAGGAAGTTGAAAACACATGGCAGATTACTGTTGCGGAAGCTATTATAAAAACGCTGCCTGCGCAATCCACTCGATCTTTACTTCACCGAGATATTGCACGTCTCGCTTTGCAGCTTTTGGAGGAAGACCATAGCATTGTGCAAACTGATTCTAGCGCAAAGGCCACATGCTATCTCGTTGAATGTGTACTGACTGATAGCTCATGTACCGAGACACTGATTCGTCGTTTGGATGGATATGCTTTAAACCCTTCAACACGGCGTTTGTGGATTCTTGGATCAGTGGTTGTCTTGGCATCATCTGCCAATCAATCAGAAGGCATATTTATTAAAGCTCTCAAGAATGCGTTTTTGGAAGGATGCCCAAACACGGTTACTGCGTGTGTACACAGTTTGCTGACGGTGGTCTCCATCAAAGCAGTTGAAAAGCAAATTGTGATGGATTGGATCAGTAAAATGTTGGATGTAGCAATTCTTTTAGCCATCTCTTGTGGATCCAACACAGCAAGTCTGAGTGCTCTCCATGCCATTTGGAACTACGCGATTTCTGGACTGTTATCGCTAGGTTGGGGATCTTTGAGCATAAAGTCTGTTGCTACTGATCTGAATTCTTCAAATGTGATGGAATTGAATTCCATATTAAAAGAATTTGTCTTGGTTCTTGTACCTGTTGATGCATGGCCTCAAATCAAATACGAAGCAATCAATATTTTCCAACGATTGCTGCTTGATGCCCATAAAAGCCATACTCTTACCACGAGTCTTCAAGTCTCTGGTGTCAATAAGCGGCTGGTAACCTTGTTGAATTGTATAACGACTTCTGCATCTTCCATTTCAAAAAGTGTCATTGAAAAAGAGGATGTCGACTCGTCCTTTATTGGCCCACTTGTTTGTGTTTTGAAACGACTTACCGCTTAATGTCTGGTCTGTTTTAAATCCACAGCAATATATATCGGATTGCCTTATCTAGACTCTATACACTATTTGATATAAATACACTTTAATAAGCGAGTATGTTTATTAGCTTTTGATGAATAAATTGCAAGAAAAATCACAATGCTAGTGACATATACATTCATGTCTATGCAAATCGCAATCAACAAGCAAAAAATGTAGTCAAATATTAAAACATTCCTTCAAGTGTTCCATTTAGCACAATTTCTGTGGGAAACGTTAATGTATGGATTTCCAAAGAAGTGGAGCCACTGTTTGCAAGTTCGAGCATCAGATTGCTCTTGACATGTTTTACAGAGTTGTTAATTGTTGCAACAGTAATATGCGGGATTTTGTTGCTACAAGGCATTTCTGGATAAGTTCCAGTCACTTCAATTGCCATAAGCATGCCATCCCATGCAATTTTTTTGATACATACTTGAACAGGCTGCATAGGGGAGAATAGATATTTATCAGCATCGCCAAGAGTAAGCGCGTCGATTTGGCTGTTCGGCTCTGACTTCAATGAAGCCGAGCCATTTATTTTCCCATTAATAGCAGTACGATACCACCACTCTAGATATCTGTTGTATATATCCCCCGTGTTTTGAAATCCAAGCGTAACATGCCACCCATTTTTCCTATGGGCATCAACTCGTCCGCTTTTCACCAATTTAGACCAAAATCCATCCAAAGCCAATTTAGAATCACTGAATAGTGTTTCTAAAATTGGTTCCAGATCTTCAGCAATTTTGATGGCAAAATACCGAGGTCGCTTTTTTTTGGGTAGGCCAGAGATATTAAGATTTTGAGTCAGAGAAACTAAATTGGCGTCGGTAGATTCGGGCAGAGTGTTTTTTGGCCGGTTATTAATGGATTGTGCAGCTGATGATATAGAGGCCAAAGATTGATTAGCTGGAAGTTTGTATTCTAAAGCAAATTGAACTGATGATACCATATCCGATGGATCCGGAGATTTCCATCCAAGTGCTTGAATAATCAACTCGGCATTTTGAGCTACAGAGTTTTTGACATTAAGAGATATAACTTGATCAAACATGGAGTCGGCTGGATTCAACCTATCAAAACGTGATCGTTTGTTGACAAACCCATGAATTATGCCGCGCAACTTTGGATCTTTTGAAGTCAATGTTTGGTGATTGTCACCTCTGAAAATCAAGCAATTAGAGTTTTCTATCAGCATAATCAAAAATCATTTCTATAGTAATCAAACATAGTATCACTGCATTTAAACTACCTGCTATTGATTCGATTGGTAGTGAGACGGATCAGCTCGTTTTTGTCAGCCTTTTCCACACCCCAGTCTAATGCAACCAACTTTCCATTTGGATATGCCCCCCTAAACGAGATTGACAACTTTTCACGATGTTGATAGAGATGATTGTTGCGATCAGCAAACACAATGTCTTTGGTTTTGAATGAATTGATAACCTTGGCTAGAAAAAGCGAAGCAGTCCCCTTTTTTGATTTGATATCATCACTTTGAACGTGCTCTATTGGGAACATGTTTGCTAGCGCCCGTGCAAGAGTAGTCTTTCCTATCCCAACAGTCGCAATAGGCACCAATAAAATCTTTTGATTTGCACTGTCAATACCATTCAAAGAAATCGAGGTAGAACCATTAGTTCCTGTGGATGGAAGCAGACTTGCATGTTCTGTTTGGACATAACTCTCATTAGCAAGTTTCAATATCTCACTGCCACAGATACTTTTCAGTCCTTGTTCACGTAAAAACAAGTTGCGAGTGTAAATAATTCCCTTCATCTGAGTATACTTGGCAAACAAATGCGGTTTCTCTTTACGCTTATTAACCACCCATGCCATGTAATTTCCTGTGAGTGCATGACGCGGCGTGAAGCGATCTGCTCGACCATGTAAAATAGCCATTGTAGCTTCACGCCATTCGCGGAACATAAGATAAGGCTCATCATACTTGATTTTAAATAGATAAGTCGCTTGCTGCGATGTTTTGCTCAAACCGTGCGTATTTAGTTGACTGCGTACAACAAACCCTTCAATCGGACGACCTTTATAGCTTCCTGTCTTTCCACATTCCTCTGCCAGTGCACGAATATCTATTGTATCAAGCCAATAAATATGTGATTAGAGTTGGTGATCGATTGATTGGTACAGTAGACTCCATCAGTAATATACAAGCATCAATGGCATATTACCTGCTACAGTATCTCTGATTAGAAATTCAACCAGAAAGAATCCAAATCTTTTTGCAAACACTGAAAGTCTTTCAACACTCCAAGTGATAAATTCGGGAGTGTTTTGATTGATTCCATGCAAATACAGACCACGACGGTCAGGTGGATACTCCAAAATATGCTCTTCAAACTCGTCATCGGCAAGCTTAAATTACAAGAAACAATTAGTCTTGATGTTGATGCGCCTGAACATAGTAGATTCCAGCTATTGGGTACTAATTTAACATGTCTAGACATCAATCCATACCTCAAACACAGCAGTTATGTTGTGTTCTGTAAGAAACTCGGCCAATTCCTTGCGAGTTGAACCAGACTGTTTTAAATGGGTATCCAGCCATCTTTCTCCCATGTCTGCATGAGACGGAGCTTCTCGGTTTGAATCCTTGGATGGACCCAATGCATGCTTGGATGTAACTAAAATATGGCCCTCGACTGCAGCTATAAATATAATACATCCGTTCTCCTTGAGTGTGATCTCATACGGACCGACAGCATTTTTTTCAATATAGTCCCATGTAGTGGTAGGGACTTCTCCGACTAATCAGCAGTGGAATTGAGTAAAACAAAGAGTCTTGATTTAGTCCAATTGCTCAATGACATATTTTAGAATACAACCATAACTCTTGAGCCATACATACCATTGAAAAACTTGTCGTATCCACGAGCAACAATCATCCAGCTTCCAGGCACATCTGGGACTTGTCTTACAAACAAGCCTCTAGCCTGCACAGGCAAGACGTCACTATGCTTTTTGAATGCCCACTCAACGCAGCTGTACGAGTAGATGGGGATATGCACATCAGGTTCTGGTCTAAAGTCATACTGATTACAGCTAGCGAGGGATTTGGATCTTGTCAGACCATTTATACCCTTTTGAATATTTTTAAAAGCATCTACCATAGCATTGGTGGATTGATACGAAGACGTGCTGCTCATGTTGCGACTGGATGAAATGGCTTGGGATCGCAAGTGATAAACTGACGGTTTTTATAGTAATTTGGCTTATTACCAAATCCCAACTCAACCAGAAAACTGTTTACACCTGGCTAGCTACGCCACAAGTGACTTTGTCGACTCGGATGAGTCGATCGATCGTATTCAGTTATTAGAATATTCGCACAGCTTCGATGTCTCACGAAACCTTGTTTATTCTTCAACTCAAACCATTAGAAAGTTGACTGTACAGCTGAAGTTTAGTACTGGTAAAAGAAAGTATTTAAGCTTCACTATTCTTGTTCTACTTGGTAGCCTTGCTTACAAGTGACTATCTCAATTGTGATCAAGAATACCTCTGAATAAAAATACTACAGGTCAAGCAAGTGGGATTTGAAAAATTAAACTATTCAGATATTAACGAGAAGGAAAGGGATTTCAAATATAAGCTAGCATGATGGCTAGAGGCAGTATAGTTTGGCTTGATCAGCAGTCTAGTTTAACCAAGAAACTTTACTGCAATATCGTACAAGAGAACCGATCTGGTACGTGATAACTTTGGTGCAAAGCTGGGTGCTTTATAACTTGCTCTCTCAGCATTAACAACTAATAAATTACCAATAAGCATTTTAGTAATTTAGAAGCAATTAAAATATGCAATGTGAAATTCTCTTGAATAGTATATTGCATGCATATGTTCTATTACACTACTTACGCTTATGGAGGAAAAAGTCTCTTGACATTGCATCCATCTGAATAAGCGGCGGATCTGGTATTTCAGGCAAAAACGATGGAACGCCAGCCTTGCTGGCAATTTGAATTCTATCAAACAAGCATCTTTGTCAGTATACAATTTAAGCAACCAAGTTCCACAAGTATATACTACCTATATCCTTCCTCTTCGGGAGTTACCAAAGCAACAACATGGTTTTGATGTGAAGTAATACTAGAAAGATCAAACGCAGTCTTTTCATCTTGAAAAATTATCATGACAATGTCGTTTCCAATATGCCTTTTTCGTTCCAACTGTTGCTTGTCTTCGGGTTTGTGAGGGAGGAGCGTGGCAACATGGTACATGATCTCATATCCTTGCCATTTGGTATACACTGACTGGATTCCTGTATTATTGGCTATTATGTTTAAACACCAATATATGAAAATTCAATTAAACGTCTGAATTCAGCAGATGTGGCACATTTATACAAAAGTTTAAAATGCAACCACTTACCTCCAGAAACATCTAAACCAGCACGATAACCTCTCCATCCACTCAACTCGATCGTTTCACCAAGAAAAGTCAAAAACTTTTTGTAAGCAGGGGATGCGTTTTCTGAATAGTATCAATAATTAGCAAAGCTGTTTAAAATCAATGCAGTATTTAGATAGTATTGATAGGCTTGAATCATACCATGAGTATTGCATAATGCATGCTCTTCAGTTGTTTGACCACTAGAAATATATTCCACGCCAAATTTATACGAACGAATAACTTGGCGTTCTTCCATGGATAACAGTTCAGATGGAAGACTAGAGTCTTTACATAGCTTGAGAAAATGAGATGGAACAGTATATCCCATCGAGGATATGATGTTTTCTAAAGTGGGGGATAGTCCAAAAAGCTTTCGCATCGTGCTTCTCTGAACTTTGACTATAGCAACAGAGAGTCGTTCTGTACCAAGATTTGATCGAATCAGTGCCTTGTATATCGTACCGTCCTTGGCTAGCGAAATGGCCAATGGCCCGCGCGGCGAATCTGGCGCAAGATAGTTTTGGTGGACTAGTATGGATTCAGAAATCAAACAGTCGCATCCAAGGCCAGATATAAAAGTCAGTTTGTATATATTTTTAAAAATAAAGCTTACTAGTTTGAGATTATGATAGGTGTGTTTAAACAGTAATATGCAATGGGCGTTGCAAGCCATTAGCCATTACTGGCATTTAAAACAGGTATATTCACGTAAAATGAATCACTAGACAGGGAAACCAAAGTGCATAAACAGCCAGTCATGAATGATTGATACCAATTGCCACTACATTTACTGGACAACACTGTGTCCTGAACTCTAGTTGATTGGTCTTTGCTTATTTTTGTATAAGCAACTGAACAAATACTCGCATTGCAGGTTCAATAAATTCCACTTGTTCAATCTCTTTCCATCCAATCCAAATATTGGGTGATTGCATGGAAACAACAGTTGCATTCCTAGACTGCAACATTTGTCCTTTTAACCACACATGCATCTGTCAGGATCCAACAATAAGCTTGTACAGACTCGAAAACAATCAAATCCAATATCTGGATTGCAATGCATGAATCTGGTTTCAAACTTGGTGATCGTACAACGTATGGCTACACCAAAAAAGAAAGAGCAGGTTTAAAAGGAATAATTTGATTGTGCATCACATGATGGACGCTATGTTTAGAAGAGTTGAGGCTATTAAAGAAGCAATATAGTCAACTTTTAGTAGGAAAGCACAGTGAATAGCTGACCATTGTCTATTTCAAAACAGTCACTGCAAGATACAAGTGTTCCATTTTGAACGAGTGTTCAATACGGGAGGCGCGCATCACCATCCTGCAATATGAATATCAAGCACAATTGCCAACCAAAATATCGTCAAAATCATGCTGTGTACTTGGTAGGCGATAAGCTAGTCACCCCATCCCAATATTTTAGCAAGCACTCTATAAGGTGCTCTACACAGTACCTATATACCACATCTAGTTTGACCCGTATAAGATATATCATGGGAGCGCGATGAGATGTCTATAATAGTGGTGCCTGGTCATTTACCTTTGCCAAGAAAATTATCCCTATACCATAGAACGTCCTTTTCACTCTCTTGCAAGAGGGATTCTTGAACTCCAGTTACTCGTGCATTAGGGTTTTCGGTCAGTATTTTCCAGTCTGATTTTCCAACTGATGCGGACATCAGGTTCGATAGTAGCTTACTGGATTTAAGTTTGCTCTTTTTGGATGTTGATTCTATCAGCTGAGCAAAACACGCTAAACGCCTTTTTGGCTGATAGTGTTGCAGGACAAATAAGATATTTGACCAAATGGCGTCAAGCATGACATTAGTGGCTGTTTCTACATTTCGTGATGGTTCATGAATGGCAGCTTGCAACCGTCGCCACAGGTGATCAGCTCTTTAGATTTGCAGCAACATGCTGTATTGTTCCAGCATATAAAGTGAGGATTTTGAGTTCCGGGGGCTTTACTACGACTGGTGACAAAATTCAGTAAATTGCTATTACTAGGCGGAATATTGCCAAAATAAGCGACAATGAAAACAGTTTTGTATCCATCTACTCTGAATCCCAATGGACTATTGGAATATAATTTTATTTAGACATTCAGTTCTGATAATATTCATATAGCAATGGCTATTCTAAACTTTGATCATTGTCAAATTATAGTGGGGCAGAAATAAGACTAGTGATCCATAGTACAAAAAAACTAGAGTATGATATCAGTTTGGTTATTCGTGGAGTGGTGCATTCACCAACAAATATCAATATAAACTTGTTCGAATTGACACTGTAGCTACTCATGCATGCCACTTGCTCTATATATACCATGTCTTGATTTAATATCAAGCTGCATGCTTTATCGGAATTGATATCAAATCATCATTAAATTTGCCAACGCTCATCGGTTTAATATCAAAGCATGTTTAATTTCAAGTGGTTTAAATCTAGCTTTAATTCAAAACCAGTCGAGTGTACATCGCAGATAGAGACTTGAAATGAACTATTCTCACGATATACAGTTAGTATTCCGAAAATGAAGTATGGCCAGTGGAACTGGCATGTGCTCGTGCATCTTTCTCGCCAACCAAAGGCTGTAGTATTAGTTTGACACAAACACAATGAGTCTATACACAAATGATTCAAAAATAACGAGTCAGGTTATACATTTCATCGACATACCAGTAAGCAAATGCCGCACTTGAGAGTGAAATCGACCATATTGGTAAATTTTCGTTGCTAAATAAAACAGTGAGTTTATTGCAAAATATATCTGTATCATTGACAATATTAAAGCCTAGTTTCAATACCGTTTTCCAAATCTCAGCCAACTTTATTGCTCCGCGTGCGATATCGTCTGCTTCTTGATTTTTAAATAGCCTTTGTTCAAAGTCGTGAGGAGCATTTTCTGCTGGTGTCCAAGAGATGGCATCATAGTGAATTCCTGTGTACATGACAAATATCCTTGATTCATATTGATTTTCACCTAATAGTAAACAAAGCAACAAGAAACACCAAAATGAGCAATCTCCAGCACACAATTTTTAATATAGCAAAAACAACTGCTTACCAAGTCTACTCATTCGGGTAGTAGCGACATCTATCAAATCTATTTCTAAAAACAAGAGATTGAATATAAATGTATTAACGAGTTTAATTCCAATTCAAATACAAGATCAAGTATTCGATACTACGTACCCACTTTGTAATGCTCAGACAAAATAGCGAGTTCAATACCACCTCCCCAAGAATTTGGCTTGAGTATCCAGCTGGCGTATACAGAGGGATCTTTTCCTAGTATAGCAGCATTGTAGTGTATTGGGTCTGCCAGAATTTTGCTTGAAACGACTAGTTTAAACGATAGGTTTAGCCATTCAAATAAACTGGTATGACGACAAACTGATTCAGTGCATTTGGCATGGCAAATCAATAATACCGTTTCTTAATTTAGAAGATATTTCTGGATTGTTCTCCAGCAGATAACTTGGATTATACAAGGAGATGTTAGCAAGTATTGCTGCCGAGTAATAGTATCCACGCAAGCAATAGCTTACCCGATCGATCGAAACAAGCAGCTATTGTCATCCTTCATTTCACGGACTACCAATATGCCACCATTGACAGGGATGGAAGTAGCAGGGATAGATTTTGAAGCGGGGACAGTATGTGGTTTGGTAAGTTCTACACTAGCACCCAGAGTAGTATTTCTATCGACAATCAATTGCTCGCCGTCCTTGATTCCGCATGCAGAGATGGTATCGGTATCGGCTCCAGTAACAAGTTTTGGCGGAAATCCAAATTTAACTATTAGACCAAGCCAATGAGCAGATGCCGTTAATAAGAACAATATCAGATACTGACTATAAAAAGCAAGGGTTGAAGCAGAAGAGGATTGACTCAACTGGACTGAGTCATGACAGGGATTCCAGTTACAGCAGCCAGAGAAGCTTTGAGATCAGCGAGACTGGAAGTAGAGTCTAGACCAGCACCAAATGTGTCGACGCCTTTTGCATGCCTACAACGAAGTCTCTGTACATGAGTCAGTGATGATGTGGTTTATAGTGATGTTAGTAAGCAGGATTGTACATACCATCGTGAATGGGCTGGAGAGTGCTGATACTCAGTAAGACTTCAATGGTAGTAAATCACGTGTAGTTGGATGTCAGAAGCGAGTGTATCTGAAGTCTAGGATCATAACCAGCAATAGCAAGAAATAATCAGAAATAATTAGAAAGTAATGTCATGAATCAAGCCAGAATACTACACTAGAATGGCACGCTTTATTCAGCATCAACATGTCGAATAGTGACTGATCGACATGTTGATGATGCATTGGTTCAAGTCGAATTACTAAACTCTGGTTTTACCGGATTCTGATTGTATTCTGCTAAATCAATGAATTCCACTACGAATTCTACTACGAATTCAACCGCTGGTCCAGATTCTGGTGCTGTTCCTCCCACCGGTGGGATTATTGAAGCATTGATGCTCTTGGTCTTTGATGTTCTTGCCTTTGTGAGCCAACTGCAGTCGGATCCAAAAGGCGCCATCAGCAACCATCAGCATCTTGTTGTCTTGCTTCTGATAATGCTCGTTACTCCTATCCTCTTTAAACTGATTTCAAAGTTCTCTCTTTCTACTCAGGTATCTATATTACTGATCCTAATCTTATGAGTTACAGACCGAGTCGCCCCACTTTGTTCTGTTCATGTTCTGGTAGTTTTTCTTTATTCATATGCTGTAGTCTATACTAGTATCTAGTATGAATTGCTATGGGATCACTAGATACTGTGTTTCTAATGTCTTGAGGCACATACTACCAATTTCAACCATCTTGTGCTGATTGTTTATGCACTTGTCCTGTCTTGTCATTTGCTTTGATCAAACTATGAGTTTGATGAGAATGCCTCAAATACCACGGCATGGATCTGTTTAATAGTCGCTATTCTATTCTTTATCGCTTTGATCAATCTTCAGCTGGAAAATCCAGTGTCACTATTTACTGACAATATATTTGATATCTAACAAGGCAGGAGTAGATCTTCGATTAGCAGGAAATGTTGAGGAGGAGGCAAAGGAACTGGAAGAGGAAATTTGCAAGGCTCCCGTTACCGAAGCCATTTGGGAGATTGGTGTCAGTGCCAAATCTGCCTCTGTTGTCGAGGAAGGTGTCGTTCGTGTAGTTGCGTTTACCAAAAATCTGCGTCCTCCCACTGCCGAGCATATTGTTGCTACTCTGATCAAGGCCATTGCTCGTCCCGAGTTTTTGACCAAGTCGCCTGTGCGTCGTCCAAAAATCGCCATGTTTTTATCTTCCCGTACCTGCTCTGACGCAATCGTTTCCAAAGTCGCTTCTATCATGAATGACAAGTGCGGCATACGTGTCACTACTAGCGAAGCTCTTGCTCCAGAGCTTTCTAAAATCCAAAAGAAACGATCAAAGGAAATCTTGCAACAAGAGGCAAAGGATCAGGTTACGACCCCACGCGGTGTAAAGAATCTTGATATTAAGCTGCTGCCTATGCCCAACCGTTTTTGTTTTACGTGCAAAAAAGAAATTCTTACCAAACCTAGCCAGTGCAGTGCTTGCAAAGCTGTCATTTACTGCTCTGCAGAATGTGCTGTATGTATTGTTGTTTTAACGTTAAAGTGTTGGATTTAAATTGTATCGGTTTTGATGTTATTAACACTCTGTTGAACCACATTAGAAAAAAGATTGGCCTCAGCATAAGCCCATGTGTGGTCTGCTCAAAATCAATGTCGCCCATTTGGAGGAGTGGAAGCTTCATAATCTGCCTTTTGATTTTTATACCGAAAAATCTCCTTTGGCTTCATACAATCAAGTTCCTTTCCTTAGCCAGCAGGGGTATCACAATGTTGGCATATTTCGTCGTCTCTGTGGCTGCTATAACAATGTTGCCTGTGGTGAAATGGCAGCTAATATGCTTGCTCAGATCCAGGACACCAATCCGTCAGCACAAGAAAAGTTTACTATGCTCGGTCTACCAGATGAGATGTACCCATTATCTAAGCCTTTTCCTAAAGACTTTGATGTCAATACAATTGTGGACTGGAAAACGCTATTTGAGGCTCGTGGATGGTCGTTTGACAATCCAGCCGCGCTTGTTCTTGACATTCCCATGACTATTTGGTACCTCACTAATCGTTTTGTTATACAGGGTCTTGCCGCTCAAAAAAAAGGTATGCTTTTGCAATCATGGATCTATTATCCAGCACAACACTAGTCGCATCTGCCTTTTTATTTCTGACAATCTATACAATTAATTGTTTATACCCAAATGTTTAAACAGAGCCTTGCCTTATCACCATTCACCTGGTGGGTGTCGAAATTGAGGCCGATTACATGGGACTATTTGAGGTTCTTTTGCCCATGTTTCCCGGTTGCCATGTAGCAATCCATATGATTGGGCCATCTATTTCCAAGGACATCAAGGCAAAACATCGATCCATTGCCATGCGCAGCGAAGCTTCCGATAGTAGTATTTTTATTTCTTTCAACACGGATCTCTACTTGCCCAAATATCTTGAAGGAACTGCTTTCCCCATTCCACCCAACCTTCCCGATGAGATCAAGACCAAGTTCAATTTTGGTGTAGGCAAGCCTGATTTGGTCATTGCTCTTAATGCAGCTGTCATGTCATACAAAGAATGGAAACCGTGCGTTCAGATGCTGATAGAGGCCAATCAAAAGGCAGTGTTTACAGATGGACTTGAGCAGATGGGCGATGCACTGGGCTCCAATCTACCTCACCTTGGATCTAAACTGTCAGTCAAGGCAACTCCTAACCCCTTCCGTCATCCCGTGTATCAGTACAAACCAGACGTTAATCTCCCATCATGGTCTAATGGGTTTTACTTTGGAATTGGTCCACTTTGAGTTCAAAATAAAAATGCTGTAAGCAAATGTTGCAAGCAAATACTTTTATTTCAAGTTTAGATCTACATCTGTATACACGTAAAACGGAGTATCATTACAACTGTATTCACATGAATGAAGTACCAAATGTTAAAATGCATGATAAACAATCATGTTTGATTAGTGCCAATCTTACTGGACAATAATTTTTTTGAATTCTTAGTTTACCAATCGCTGTGCTCATTCTTGTACAAAAATACAGAGCAAATGCTGATATTTCTGTTCCAATACACTCGAGACCTTTTAAACAGCGACATGCAACACTCAGACTGCCATTTCATTGAGCAATACTCCATTTCACAAACCATCTGTCTGATTAACATGGTTCACCAACTGTTCAACAGAGGTTTGAAGCTACACTCATAGTCCTTTATTTTCTATTCTTGAACCCCACAAAAAAATGATTCTAGCGTCTGGAATGGACCAACACCAACGCACGATGCCATCCAAATACCAAAAAATTGAGAGTTTTGATAAAAGAATCAGTTTATAGTAGAAAACCCGAATATCTAACCATTGCGTATTCCAAAACAACCAATACAAAATAAATACAAGTGTTGAATACAAATTTAAATACTGTTTATTTCAGAGGTAGTTACTTCAAGATCAATACAGTATTTCATGTTACATGAATATAATTATTGGAGATGCCAAAACAACCAACTCGGTCAAATACAACTTAAAAATATACCGCTTCTCAGGTGCAAAGCATGCCATAGAAGAAAAGGACACACCCTGTGTTTTTAGAAGCGGTTAATGCATTACCGCTTAATATTTGTCACCGGGAACGTGAGATCGACCACAGAGCAAAGTCGAGCTCGAACTAGTGGTGCAGTGTTTATTGTTCAAGTGGAAAAAGATTCGGTGAAAAAAACTAATATTTATAGTAATTAAATCTACCTGGGGATGAGCTGATTGTTTTTTCAAGTGGAGTACTTTCCCCAATCCAGTTGAGCAGTGAGATTGGGTTGGACATGTACTGATGGATGTGATGCTATATTGTACAAGAGCATTAAGAGAACTGACTCATGATCTCAATACATTTTTTATTCCATGAGATCTAATAATAATTTATAAATGCCACTAAACACTTGTAATAGCTGCTTAGTGTGTTGCAAGTATTGGATTGGAAACTATATATTTATTTACCACCATTACACCCATATTCATGTAAGGCGAAACAAGACAAAGGAATCAGTAAACAGTCATGAAATGACTTGTCGGTTTATTGGACAATATTATGTCATGAACTCTCTAGTTGACTGGTTTTCATATTCGTTTTTGAATAAAAAATTGAATGCTCATATTACAGCTTCAGTAAATCCCACAAAGTCAAATTCAACTTTATCCGTGTACAAATCATGTCATTAGATATGGGTTCAACACCCTATGCAGATACAGAGCTGAAAGAACAGTCAACAGAACACCAAAAAATCAGCGAATTGTCTCAAAATATTGCCATCAGCGCCATTGCGGAGCAGTTTTTGGATGTCCCAGAAGTCAGTTTGGAAATGCGAGCATATCTGGTTCAAACCACACTTCCAACAGTTGTATTATCACTCGAAAAATTGATTATCGAAGTGGAGAGACGCAAAAACCTTGAATGCGATGGTATAGACAAGAGCTTGAAAAATGAATGCTCCAGGTCCATTGAGCTTGCCGACTCTCAAACAACTTTAGACGACGCAACCAATATGCAATACGATTTACCCAAGGATAGATTTGACGCGCTCAACTGGCTTGGTATGTTACTTTAGACAGCCAAATAGTGGAATAACATCAATATAATGGATGCATGGGCATGATTGTTTTAAAGTACTATATTGATCCAATCTATATACTTTTTTACCAAAAACTTTTTAGCACAACACTTGTTTCGAAACAATCCTACATACTCCAACTTTTCCGAAGAAACATCATCACCATATGTCAAAAGCATAAAGGCTGTAGCCGAAGGACTTTATAAAAAAATATCAGATTTGGTTGCTTTCAAGGAAGCAAAAAAAATTGCAGACGAGTTGGCCAAGCAGGATGAGATTGAAAGAATTAAACTTGCTCAGATTGCACGAATCGACGAAAACAGGCGCATCTTTACTAGCTTGCTTGGCTCAACATTCAAAATTTGGACTACATCTATATGGAGAAAACAGCCAGGAGTGCTTTACCGTTCAGAGATTGTAATTATACATTTGCTTATATGTTTTAATGTAGTTTTTAAAGTCTGATGGCTAACTGCTGCGCAAACATGGATTAAAACTAAATATACAATCGTTTTGCAATACTAATAGATTGAAGAGTTCAAAAGTGTAGCGCAAACTACCGATATTCAGTCATGTCCGGAGCTATACGCTAAAGTGATTGAGCAGTGCGAATATATCTCAAAGGAAAAATCCAGCATGAACATTGATATTCCTCCAAACAATTTACTGTTTGATCCATCCGAGCCAATCTATGCCCTGGATCCAGCAGCAGTAGAACGATGGGACTGCAATTTTTTTACAAAGATGAATCTTAAACTTATGTGCATGTGGAGCGTCAATGAACTAACCAATTTTCTTCGAGTTCTCTCATCAAAAGTCAGTGGTCACAGCACACTGCTCAATACAGTATATAAAGAACATCTGTACGTACCCAAATTCAAACTTTCTCCAAACTCTACCGTCAATGATTGGCTTGAAGCACTGTTGCCAATTTCAGAGGTGTTGAAGCTGGACGATTCGATTCACGAGGATGCAGCCTCTAAAGCATTCAAAGACTTTTGTTTGGGAAAATCCAATCCGCGATTCCAGAATGAGACTGATACAGACATTACCGCAGATTCTGACGACACTGTGGCGGTATCGGAGAGTATTTATAAAGGTTTTGCTAAAGGAATTTTAGGAGAATTTGGCACTGATTTGTTCTGCAGTCTAATGACTCAAATCAAAAAAGAAGTCGAGGAAGAGCAGATTCATGCCGAAAAGCGTACAGCGCGAGCTAATGCTGCCATAACAGCGTCTCAAATAAGCTCTGCCGTAAAAGCACAGCTGGAAACAAAAAATCAAGCTCTTGATCAAATAGGCAGCTTTCTTGCTTGCCTTTTAGAGCCAAGTGGAGTTTTGCGAGTTGGATACCTTATCAAAATTCTCACTATTATCATTGATAATCCTGATATTTCTCCTACAGTATTGAAACTTTTATCTAGTATCAGATCACACCTTGGATCGCTTGAAACAGTGTCTATAAAAGAAATGCTGATCAAAATTGAATCCATATGTGAATCTGATATTCAAGGGCTGGCTGAAATGGTTCCATTGCTGACGTGGGCACTCGATGTGGTGACGAGCAAAGCTGCAGAGTCTAAAGAAAATACATTTTCTCGATCTAAAATTGAACAGGAAGCACTGGAAGAAATTGAAACAATGGCATTGCAAACTGATTTATCTGTTTCCACTGCTTGCAACGCTTTTATCAATGTTCTAGAAAATGCATTTCAAAAAATTCATCCAAATAGCAAGGCATTTGGCCGAGTTTCGTTGGTTGAAACTGCTCTCACCGGATTGACTAATGGACACGATAAGCTTACCGATGAAGATTTAATTGCTTCAAGTGGAGTTATCGAATCATTTATGCGCACAGTAGCTACCAGCAAGGAGCTCAGATCTACTCATTTGGGACTAACCACAAACGAAGGCTCTGGCATTGACTACCATATTATTTTACTTGAAAATAATGTTTTAATTGAGGATGTGGCATCAAATGCAATGCTGTCGGAAGATTCATTTGTAACAGCGGTAACTAAAAACATTCAATCTAACGAGCAAGCTAAATTTATGGGTGTCTCTTTGGTTTCAGCGCAAGATAAACCATTTGGCGCATTTGATATGGTTATGTGTGGACCTGAAATACTTACTCGCGCTGATATGGATTTTTCCAAGGTAGCTGATGAATGAGTAACAATGCTATGTTTTTTGGTCGACTATTTTAAATCACAAATTTGAGGCAAAGTAACTGATTTTATTTGCATTGCTAGCTTGCGGTATCTCGATTAGTAAGTCTTTTAACCCGCATAGAGAATCGTATCAAGTCAATTGAGGTGGCAAAATCGGCCATGAGCTATTTGTCTAGCCGATGCAGTGCTGAAATTCAAATCTTTATAGTTGAGCCAAATCCTAAATCACTTGATCCCGAAATTTTTCAAATCGAGTCCGTTTCTTTATCTACACCAGAAGCATCTTATCCGCAGTCCGAGTCGCGTTCAATTCAGGCTTCACCTTACATTAGACCATGGTCATCTAGGCTTTCTAAAGTTGAAAAAGATGATATCCCTGGCCTGTAAGTGGTTTTTATTCTTCATGCAAAAGTCGTGCATTACAACTATTTTTAATACTAACTTCACTATTGATCCATAACTACAGTTCGGAAAAGCTTGTGGAAGTATGTACTACAGGATTGGCAATCACGGTGCCAGAAAATCAAATCGGATATTGTGTAATTCCAATTAATAATGCAAATGGAGAGTGCATTGCATTGGTGACTCTCAAATCTGACAGCAACATGGAGGCTTTGGATGAACGTGTAAAAGAAATATCCAAACTCTGTAAATTAATTGCTGGAGCTTTAGAAAATTTTAAAGAAAGTCAATTTGGAGCAGTAGAAAGCACACAAAGTGTGCATCTGGGTAAGTGGGTTGAAAACTATATATGCCGTTTCTAGCCATAGATTGACTAACTTGCAGCTGATGCATCAACCAATACCTCTTATAAAACCAATTGAATGCATACATAGATGCCAGTTCAATTGATGAGATGACTCGGCGACGATTTATTTTTGGAAAAATAGTTCTTGGATATGTACGAGAGTTGTTGCTCAAAATGGACAATCGGGCTTTGGCGGAACTTCGTAGCTACAAGAAACCTCCAAAATCCGTGCATCGTCTTGTCAAAGGCGTGCTGTATATTTTTGGAAAAACACCAAAAGAAGGTATGGTGCTGATTTATCATTTGATTTAGAATCCAATTTTTAATCTTTTGGTTTGATATAGTCAAAATCTGGTTAGACACAGTCAAGGTAAGTTGATGCGCGATCTTGGACTATAAATAAGGTGGCTTATGCAGTTTTTATGTCCTTTAGCTATTTACAATGGAAATTGTCAAAAAAATGATTCATTATGACCCTACAGCTATTCAGAAAAAGATCCGGTTTACACGAGTCAAAAGGATTCTAAAAAGTATGTATTTTCATGAAAAATTTAAAATGTATATGGCTGCATCAATCTAAATTACCGTTTTTATCAAAGTGGTGCCTTTCCAAGATCAAGGAGCTGATAAAAACTACGTGGGATCACCGGCGCAAATTATCCGTGATTGGCTCACAGTTGTGGTTGAGCTTAGAGATCAAGCAGTTACTGCACGTCGTGCAAGACCCGATGTGTTTGCTCTTGCATCGCCTGAATCGACAATTATGGAGGATGCTGATGAAGAGGAAGAGGATGTGGAGAAAACAGCTAGTGATGGAAATATATATGAGGCAGACACCAAGATAGCATCACATAGCGAACTGAATTCCCAGCCAAATGATATAGCAGATAATATGGTGGGTGAAGATACTGAAGGATCGCAGTTGGATCTTACTGTTCGGTTTGGTGATGAAGATGTGGTAGCAACTACCGACGCGCCAAAAATATAGACTCTTGGTGTCCATGTTGCATTATCATTTACAGTCGTACTCACATAAAATAGAACACTTTTCTGTATCTATCCTTGTGATTGTCTTTATTTTTGTTTGAAATAAACAATTATTAATTACCCGTTGCGCTTTCTTACTAGAAACTGGCTACTCAATAAACATTCACGATTCTTGAATAAACACAATATTGTTCAGTAAACTGACAAACCACTTCATGATTGTTTATCATATACACTGACTCTTTCGTTTAGCGTTCCGTTTAGATGAATACGGATGTAATCGTACTTTTGATAACAAGTGTGATCCCATTGCTGAGCAGACATGACTCGAAATGCAATGACTAATAAAACGAACCGTGAAATAAGTATTTACAAGAACTTTGACGAGTGTGTCAAGAGCAGCGTGATAACAGTGTTGATTTGAACGCAGTTATTTGAAACTGATACCACATACAGTTCAAGATGCCATTAGAGCACCAAAAATGGTCGACGGAAGTTTCCGTTAGAACACAAAATTCGCCAAACAAGTATAATCAATTCAGCAGTACATATACCATCCTTGTCTTGATAAACTCCTATGTGGAAGTGGCAAACCCCTTTCAAGATTCTTCCTTCAAAACAGCAGATTTTGAATGTTGACCATATTCAGAATAGTCCTAGCTGCCAATCAGACCAGCCATCAACGCATCTTGCAGCGAGTTCGGACCAGTCAGATTCACCACCACCAAATAGCATTCTATACACACCCAAAGAACTGCTACTTTCTCAAGAACAGGAGACCTGTATTCCACTATGTCAACTATTAGAATCCTTTTCACCTATATTTCAGCATCAGCTGCTGTATGTGCTAAATAGCGAGTTGAGTTGGATCATGCTGATTCCAGATATTTGCCCATGGATTAGCAACACCGCCTCCAAAGCATTAATTTTAAACTCTTCAAAAAAGCAGTATCAAATGCCTTACAAACGAAATCGATTTGGTTTGATTCAAAAAAGCTGTCAACAGGTAAAGTTTTTTATCTGATTGCACCAGATATATGCATCCATGAATCGCATTAATTTTGAAAATTGTGTTTTTATATTAGGCTTTATCAGATACTCCCAAAGTGACTGAATCCGAGGTTGCCAACGCCATTAAATCGCTCGATGTTTTTATTGAAGCATGCGAATCTAGTAGTAATCAGGATGGTTTTAGCGCTATCATTTTATCACTAAGGCTTATTGAGCATTGCCAGCATCTATTGAATATACGACAAATCTCACCAGTCACCAACAATCAAACTATTCTTTGTATAATCAGTTTACTAGAACGACTGTCAAATCAAACATACAGTAGCATTTTAGCTTCTACACATGCTTTACCAACAATACTATGTGTAGCAGAGTATCTTTTTTCTTGCATGGCATTTACAAATCAACGATGGGTCAATTGGAATGAGCATATTGAAACTGTTATTTTCAAAGACACTGAAAGCACAGGCTGGGAGTTTGAAAATCAGGACATTCATCGACTGCTTTTAACATGCTCCAAGTTTTTAAAATCAGCTACTTCATCCATGGATCAGCTATATCAATCAGCTATTCATATTTCATACATTCATATTATTGGTATTTTGATAGCCGAGTATCCGACGTGTGCTATTCAAATTCTTTCCAATTCTACTACATGGGCTTCATTGGTTGGCTGTTCAGATAAACCTTCATACTATGACAAACGGATTAAAAATGCGTCTATAGCCCAAGTTCAGTTCTATAAAATATTTTCGCAGTGGTCATTGATTAGACTCATGGATCATTTGGCCCCTACAAAAGCTTATTCGCCCATCGTAAATCCGCTCGAGACAAAAATGGAAACCGAGTTAGAACCTGTACGAGTTCATTTTGATTCATCTACGCTTTTGGCATTTTTGCTCAAGTATCCATCATCTGTTTGGATGGAACAATGTGAATCCGCTTCTACGATAATAGACTTTGATATTTCACAGACATCGCAGTCATTTTTACTACCTCCATTTGTCCTACCCTTTAATCAAGCCGAGCTTTGCGATTGGTTATCTATACCGTTTGAATCAAATAATGTGTCTATAAAATTGGCAACATCTTGGCAGCTTGATTTAACTTTGGGCGTCATTCAAAAGTCATTTATACGACTCAGTGATAAAGATGATAAATTGGTTTTTTCCAATTTACAAACTGTATTTGATCAAATCCGCTTGGCCCTATCACCTTGTTCATCTTGGCTATCTACCTCTACCACAATATTACATTGTCAGAGCGCTGCATCATGCCTTTTATTTATCAGCAATTTAACAATAGACACTCTTGACTACTCTCAGCTATGGAAGGATGAGCTTTTCGAGGCCATACTTGGCTGTGGATTTGTGGATCTTTTGTTTGATTTACACATGTTCTTTCCTTCTACACTCTTATCCATGCCAACCATTTCATCAGATATACAATGTCAGCTTGTCTTTTTTGTGGCACGTATACTATCCCAGTTTACTACGTATTCAAGTCAAGGAAGTCAGTTATTATCCGACAAGATTATTCAATTGGTTTCTATCAAAACCCACATTGATCAATATCAGATCTGGCTTCAATTTTTTATCAACGTATACGGAAGCGCGTTACATCCGTTTCAAGTATTTCACACCGATCCTAGTTTATTCACGGCATTATTCTGTACATTTTTTTCATGCAGCTCAGTCAATAATCTCAATTGTCGCTGCACAATGTTTGCATTGCTTTTTACAATCAGCAATCGAAATCAACAGGCATTCGAGAGTCTGTTTTATCAGAATGAGGATGTACGACTTTTTCTTTTTGGTATGCTATCTACAGAAGACCCCTTGGTTATATCTACATCATTAGGCATGATATTCCATAATATGCAAGCTTTATGTTGCCATCAAACTGATATATGCGTGTTGATACCTCGCCGAGATGTTGCTGTAAAGGTGTTTGAAAGATTATTGACGTTTTTGTCTATGCACACATTTATACCTTCTCAGCATTGTCTTGCTGCTCTTATATTTGAAAAAATCTGCACACTTTTTAAAAGCAGCCAAGCATCTGCGATACTCGAGTACACAATATCCCAAACACATTGGATGAATCATCTTGTTGATACTATTCTTGACAGATACTCTGAAAACGTTGTTGAAAAGTCTTGGAAATGTCATGCCGATGATGCTAATGAGATATTTGAACTGATTATGAAGTGCATTCAGCATACACTTGAATGGATTCCCCATAGTCGATTAGCTTTTTATGCAGCCGACGGTTATAGCAAGGTGTATAGTAAAATTCAGAACGTGAATCTTATGTCAGACAAGCTAATGGAAAGGTTTGTAAGTATGTTTTGTAATTTTGGGGTATCTTCAAATGCGCCAGTACTTCGAGATACAACAAGCGTTGCAAGTTTTTTGCTTCTTTATCCTAAATTTACTCAAAGACATCAACACGATGCGACATATCGATTGAGAGAACTTGTACAATCTAGTCATGAAAACATTACTGTTTGTCGACAAGCTGGTCTACTGACGTTTCTTCTCAAAACTGCTTTTCCCACGGCAGTTGACAAGAATCATGTCAAAGCAATCGTCGATATTATTATTCAGCTGGTATCATATTCCCTTAGCATTTCTGACGCTAAAACCCTGTTTCAACAGTTGAAACATCATGATACGTTTGTTTCAGCTCAAGCGCACCATTCAGATCATGAAGCAGCTTCTACTGGTACTCAAGCGCCATCGCCTATTTTTACGCCTATTTGCTATCTTCCAACAATACACGATGAGCTACTCAATGCCATTACCATCGCTGTTCAAGCTGATTCCATACAAGAAAACATTGACTACTTTGCCTTTCGACAAAAACAATCATATATACAACTTCCAATACTTACGCGATGGCCAGATCCCACTGGACGGGGATACTCGGTGTATATCAACTTTTTATCGTCGGCTTTTGCTACTGATACTTTTAGTCAGATACTTTTATCAATGATGTCTCCTTTTGGGTCTGGAGAGCAGTTGAGTATTGAAGATCACTCACTTGTTATTACGGTTTTTTCTCCACCGGATCCTCCTATTTCCACAAAGATTGTTGCCCCATCGGTAATACCTGGAAAATGGTACTCTTTGATTGTTACACATTCCACTGGAATATTCAACTTGACTACTTCTACTGTATACATGAATGGTGTAATGGTGTGGAAAGGTAACGCACCTTTTACCAAATCTACTGAAAATGTTCAGGGCTATGTCGGATCCAGTGTCACGTACAATACCGATGGGTCTTGTATTTTATCGCCGTCGTTTTCCGGTTATATATCTGCTGTTGCGCTTTTCAATTATGTCTTGTCTTCAGAAATCATACAAACGCTGCATTTTGGACCACCAGAGGATGTGGAAATTCAGTCGGATGTTTATCACTTTCAGCTTCTTTCTTCACAGCAACAGCCTCTATTATTTCTAACTCCGCTATCTGTTTCTGGGACAAATTGTCGCAACCTGTCTACTTATGATCAAGTAAAATTGCATGGCGATGCCACACTACATAGCGTGGCATGTGTTTCAGTTCGTACATTTGCAAATGCGATTCAGTGTCTTGGCGGTCTAAAAGTCCTTTATCCTCTTTTTTGCCAAGTCAGTTTTCCAGTCTATGAATGTGAAAAAACCATATACTATCAGTCATCTCCCCAGGAACGAACCTGTTTTGTATTTTCTTTAATCACTACTGCGCTTTCGCAAAGTCCTTTGCTCATGAATCAATTTTTTGAATCAAATGGTGTTCGAACAATCTCGCTTTTGTTGCAAAAAGCGTGTTTATCTGACCTATCATTTCAAATACTTGAAGAGATGATCAAGATGCGCAAGGTACATTGGCACTGCACTCACGTAATACATTATTTAAAAGTTTTAAAATATCTGCTAACTGCCTTGACTAGGTGTGTGCTTCTTTTTCTCAACTAGTTGCAGCGATTGACGAATACTTGATTTTTGAACCTCAAATTTGGTCGCATAGCAGCAGTACTATGCTTAAGACTTATTTTGACGAAATTCAAAAACTACTATTGCAATACAATGAGCTTAACGACAAGTTTGGATTGCGATTCTGGTTGGATGCGATTGAGCAACACTACGGCTGTTTTAAAATGACGGGCGATGAACATCACGCATGGAGGTTTGCAGTCAATCTTCTTAAACCTCCAGTATATTTGGATGATACGAGTCCAATCATTGAAAGTCTTTGGTGCTCTATATATAATCACGCATCTTTGCCTTTATATCGGATTTTTCTTAATTCAGACAGCCTGCATGGCCAGACTTTTATAGCAAAGCTTCTTGATTCTGTAGATCTCGATATTGTATTCAGATTCATGGATAGTTCAGTTGAGATGATCAGAACATTGGTATATGATTGGATTGTTTTTGTTCTTCTTTCAGACTCGATCCAATATTTTCGATTGCAAAAAGCCTTGTTGGATATTCATCCATCTGTTATATTTGGAATTTCAAAAAACTATCCATTGACTAAGCATCTATACGAATGCCTTTTAAAATTGGCTTGCATTTCAATCGATGCCAAACGAACTAGAACAAATACAATTGTAATGCAAACAGTTGAATCTACACTTGCAGTTTCAGCAGCATGTGAAGATCCCAAAATCGAATTTTCAAAATCGGCGCCTGAGCTGTCAACAAGCAGTGCAAAGACTGGGTTTGAAGCAAGCAATTGCTTGATTGTAAATTCTGGTTTTTTAAAAGTGCTTTTGGATTTGCTGGTTTCCTGTCAAGATGTTCGACCAGAAGTTTCTGGGCAACTTGGAGATGATTTATTGACAATCATTTCATTTCCCGCAAACATTTCAACTTGTCGTCAGATAATGAGTCTTCCAATTATGATTGCTATTATTAGCCGAATATGCAATTCTGGAAACACCGGTTCATTAGACGAAACAGTTTTTCAGATGACTGTAAAAGGTATGATTGTCTAATGCCCGTTGGATTTTCTACTTGCAAAAACTAACCTTTTTATTTTAACCATACCTTGGTTTAGAAACTAAAACTCCAGTAACTTTATTAAAAGTGTTAGTTTGCCTCATTAGCCAACCGGATGATTTGAGTATTATCCAAACGAATCTAGTAGAAGAGTCTATTGTCGCGTTATGTTTGCTGCTTCCAGTTAATTTGGCCTATTTTATAATTCAAACCCTCATTGTCATGCTGATTGATATCACTTTAAACAAACTTGATAGCCGATCAATACTGTCAGATTTAGATATTGTAAGAATGATTTTTGCATATAAGAAAACTACAAATACTGTAAACTAATATTTATTAAATACACAGCAAAGTTTGTCAAGTTTTGCAAGCTTGATTGATCAATTTTTGTTTCATAAGCTGGATATTCTTAGTGGTTTAAAGCTGGAATATGGCGATGCAATGTATACCTGGTCAAGTTTACTCCAACAAACCAAAAGTGAGTTTTTATCAGCTTGTTTGTAGTCATGACATCGGTGTATTGCTATGGATAACTGTTTGGGATCAGTCGAGTTCTCACTTTTGAATTGATTTGATTGTGCAGCCATAGCAACAACCTCGTCAAAAAGAGTTTCGACAACGGATCTAGCAGTGCATACTTCAAATCCTTTTGACGAATATCCGGATTTGGCTAAAGCATATTCCACATTTATTGCAAAACTTATTGAAAGCAAGCAGCTTAGACCGCGAAAGGGATACCATTTTATGTGGAAGGTACACAATCTGGTATAAACATACGACCATATTAAAACTGTGGATAATTCAATCTAATACTGTAATATACATCGATTGTAATGTTATAGTCCACAATTCAGTCATCGGATGACTCATTCATTGTTTTGCTTGTCAGAATTTCGTTAAATGGACTTTTTTCTGATGTTGAAGATAGACGAGATTTTGCACTAGATACTTTATCCCGCGTCATCCCGTATGAAGAAATCGCAAACGGAGAGGTGTCAAAGTCATTTGTGCTTTACCTTTTAGGTAATTTGATAGAGGCAGACAGGATTCATTCAGACTTTATACCATTAAGGAAATGCATCGCAAAATTACTTCTTGTATGGAAAAAGGTTGTCGAGTCAAGCTTTCCCGAAATTGTGAATCCATCCTTGGATGCAGTTACATCTGGCATAGAAAAGTTGGATACATTTTTACAGAGTGAAATTTGGGCCGTGTTTTCAGAAAAGCATTTGTATTCTGCAATGCGTAATACTGAGCAAGAATGGATGGCAACTGTATCCAAAGTTACAAAACGGTTTGTAGATGCAAGCCGCTTGATTCTGTCAAAGGCTGCAAAGAATGCCGACTCTAGTCAGGCTATATTTACTACCATGATGACCAAACTTTTGGCTACTGCAGCTACAAAAACAGAAGTTCGAACACGTCGCATTACCGAGCGTATTCAGGCATACGAGTGTGCAATGCAACTTGTGGTAGATCAATGGAGCTGTCAATCTGAGGAATTGGGTCTTGAACGGCATATATGGGCCATAACAACACCCTCACACCGATTTACTAAGCTTTATCCTTATGAAAACTCTTTGAGGATGCGTCGCAGACTTGTTTTAAACAAAAACTTCAACACCCATATCGATGCTTCTACCAAACGAGACAAACTTCCTCCTTCACGTTCTAGCTTTTTAATCAAGCGAGGACTACTGCAAGGCATTTCGGCAATGTCGCTACACTCACTTTCTGATCGTAAGAAATTACTGGCAGAGCGTATTCAGAAATTACAAGCGGATTCTGAATTCAAGCGTGATTCATCTGATGCAAGCATGCCTAGTATTGACGAGTTGCCAAACGACGATACAGTGGGCCGTATTTCCAACGATGATTTACAAGTTGGAAAAGAGCTGATTGTGTGTACTGCGTTTTGCGAGATGATACAATGCATGTCTTTTGTCAAGGGAAAACTTAGACTTTCGTCAACGTTTCTGCAGTTCATTCCAGAATCCACCTCAACAACAAGTTTAAATCAATCAGCTCAAATTTCGACTGCCTCAAATCGGCCGATTTTAGCAATTGATAAAGACGCCATGACTGAAAAAAAGTGGCTGCTGGTTGATTTGCAGCATGTGTTTTTAAGACGGTATAAGCTTCGTAATAGCGGTGTCGAGTTTTTCTTTGTTGATGGTCGTACACAGCTGTTTAGCTTTTTTGATGGAGATGGTAAACAGGGAAGCAAGGATCGCAATCGTATTGTACGCAAAATATTCAGTTTTGGGCTGCCAAACTTGAAAGAATCTGCGCTGGTTGGGCCAGAGGAAAGTTTGAAGCGAAGTGATTTGACAGATCGTTGGGTTCGTCGTGACATATCCAATTTTGAGTATCTAATGGCTCTTAACACACACAGTGGACGAACATATAATGATTTGACGCAATATCCTGTTTTTCCATGGATACTGAACGATTACTCAAGTCACACAATTGATTTGGCTGATCCGACAATCTATCGAGATCTGTCTAAGCCTGTCGGTGCGCTAAATCCAGATCGTCTAGCACGCTTTTTAGAGCGATATCATTCGTTTGAGGATCCTGAAGGTCAAGTTAAAAAGTTTTTGTATGGGTCTCATTACTCCCTACCTGGATCAGTTTTGTTTTATTTGCTTAGATTAGAACCATTTACTTCCTTGCACATCCACCTTCAAGGAGGCAAATTTGATCATCCTGATCGACAATTTCGATCATTGGACTCGTGCTGGCATTCTGTATGTACAAGTAGTAGTGATGTAAAGGAGCTTATTCCCGAGTTTTTTTACTTGCCAGAATTTCTTCGAAACGAGGTTAGTTGCACATTTTTGTAGACATGCAATGGAGTGATGTTGTAGATTACTGATTTTTACATTATCACTCATGATAAAAGAATAATTTTGATTTGGGAGCAACTCAATCTGGAGAGCGTTTGAACGATGTTGTTCTTCCACCCTGGGCATCAACACCCGAAGAATTTATTCGAATACATCGCGAAGCATTAGAGAGCGAATATGTATCCGATCACCTCAATCAATGGATTGACTTGATTTGGGGCTACAAACAAACAGGAGATGCTGCCATTGAAGCGCACAATGTGTTTTACTATCTTACATACGAAGGCTCAGTTGACTTGAATCGTATCAGCGACCCCACAGAGCGTCAGTCGATTGAAGATCAAATAAGCCATTTTGGTCAAACACCATCCAAATTATTTTTCAAGCCTCATCCATCTCGACAAAAAATACCACGTCGTAGTATATTTTTGAATACTGACGAAACTGCAGCGACTGATGTGGTTTCTCTGGCTACTTCGGTAGCGGCCGCTGCTTCATTGTTTGTCACAGAAGCTGTAAATAATCTTAGTCCCATAGGGTCTCCGCCTAGTTCTGAATCATTAATCACGTCGTTTGTCGACCCAGTCCACTTTTCAAAACAATTGGCCACGGCTTCCTCGACACTTGCTGTGCCTATGAAGATATTGGATGCCTCCAGCTCAAGGAACTCGTCCGTATCTGGATTCATTGATCGTCCAAGTGTTTTAAGCTTTACTTTGAAATTGAATAGAGAAATTCCTCCTGTAATGATAAAATGTGCTGAAATTTCTAATGCAGGCACACAGCGATGGACAAAGACATATAAATCAGGCTCGCGTGGCAATAGTGGATCCAGTATAGTGATGGTTGATGAAAAGTTGCATATTTCTGTATATCAATGGAGACCCTCGTTTCCATCAGACTCGGTTCCCATGCGACTTGATCAAGATCTTAAAGGATGCGAGAGCAGGTAGTGTGTGTTATTTCAAGCTGTGTGCTTTTACTGATTACAAGATTTAACCGTAAAATATCTCTTATTTCAGATTGATTCCCACAGTTCTTGCAGATGGCATTCAGCCCAACTCGCAATGCATTGATATTACTTCTAATGGACAGTTTATTTTTGTCGGAGGAATTTGTGATTTTTCGCTTTGCATTTATCAGATTGTAAATATATCGGTCAAGTTGTCTGATCGAGTCTATGGCCATCGTGACGTTATTACCTGCGTTGGGTTGTCTGAGGATGAAACATTTTTAGCTACTGGCTCAAGAGATACCACTGTTCGAGTGTGGCCGCTCACCTATATGCGTGACAAATGTATTGTAAACAAAAATGGATGTCGCATCTACTACGGGCATGATGATTTGGTAACTTACTTGATATTAAACATATATTGGTTGCTGATACTATAAACCATAATGTTACAGTATGCTGATGTGTTCAAAACTGCTGTAGGTGACCACTGTGCTTGTGAACCGAGATCATGGCATTGTGATTAGCGGTTCTGCTGATGGAACCCTCATTATCAACTCTCTTTATGGACCACCGTGTCCGACTTCTATAGATTTAGATTATCCCATGCACGATGGTATACAAAGTACGATCTGCGACGTGCTTTTTAATTCTTGTGATGCTACAATCATAGCTCATTCTCAGTCCGTGTCTGGTCCTAGCAATGGATTATCATTTTTACATGTGTTTTCTATTAATGGTCGCAAGCTTGCATTCAAGGATCTTGGTGTGCCTGGCTGTACTATTCAGTTGACATCACAGGGATTTATGGTTGTAATAGTCGACAAGAACAGCGCAATTCAATTTTTATCAAGCACAACGTAAGTCTTGATATTCTTGATCTATATGTAGACAAATGTGACTTGTATAAAACAAAAGTATGCAAGCTCAAGTTACCTATTTGCTTGACATGTTTATTCATTTTGTTTGAATTGTAGGCTTGAGCAAGTGCATGCATTGAAGTCGGAACTTGAGTTGACAAGTATGTGCATTTATGCATATAAAGGATTAGCCCACAACCCTAGTGGGGTTTATGACTCGACGATCGATATGTTTCAACCCAAAATCAACGAGGGACTTTTCCCTCCAGAACGAGTTTCCTTGGGCTCGACACCTCCATCTGAAGCCCCTACTGCTTTAAAGCATCTAAGGATCTCACCAGAACCATCTTTTGTAAAATCTCACAAATCTGTTTCGTCTATTAGTTTAATTGATCTAGAATCTGGGGATATGGCGGTGTTTGGACGCGCCGATGGTAGCATTATGGTGGTAATGCTGTAACGGATGATGACTCTTGGCTTCACATGGCGGTTTAATACAAAACATGTATCGATTTGCTTACCGCCGCCGTATTCAAGTAGCATGAGATACTCGATAAAAGTGTTGGTGTATAATAAACAGTCTCATGATAATCATCACCCTATTTACTGGAACTGTAATGTGAAGGCTACTTTAAACATGTGTTGGTATTTTATAGAAAAATGAGTACAGAGATTAGCGAGTCTTGCTAAAGGGCTCAGTAAACACAGTATTGCCTAACGATTTGGTGAGAATGATCATTTCATGAAACTGACTGTTTATACGACGCTCTTGTCGAGTTTTATTCTACGCGAACATGGCAGTAAAGTCCAATCAAGACAATGTGCAAGATGGTTTTATCAACTACAATCTCTCAACAACCCGTATTGTGAGATTGTATCGAATAGCATTTGCCTCAACCTCGGGTTCAGTAAACTACAAATCACACAAATCGGCTGATATTGATCATATGATTGAAAAAAAGATGGCTATATCGCATATTTGATCCAACCACGAGTTGACTACATCCCAAATTGTGTTTTGAATTTATTACTAATCTCAATGACTGGAACTGCATCAAAGGGAAAAGTGCTTCTTGCCTATTCTGGCGGTCTTGATACTTCCTGCATTCTTGCATGGCTGATCGAGCAAGGCTACGAGGTTATTGCCTACATTGCCAATATTGGTCAGGAAGAAGACTTTGAAGTTGCTCGCCTCAAGGCTCTCAAGATTGGTGCAACAAAAGTGTTTATTGAGGTGGGTGATCAACTACGGCATGTGGTTCCTGCTCGATAAAACATATTACCAATTCCATTGATAGTGCTATTTGTGTGAATTGCTTATAACTCGAATAATAAGAGTGTTTGACTTGATTGTGATTTATATACTACACTGAAAGCAGTGTAGTGTTTGTTTTGGATGTTAAACACTCGATTCCTTACTGGAACACTCTTTGATGATATCTGTCAGAACCGAGCACTGATTTAAATCCCAATGCTAATCGAACGAGGTTTTTTGAATAGGATCTCCGCAAAGAGTTTGTTGAGGATTTGATTTGGCCTGCCGTTCAAGCCAATTTGTTGTACGAGGTAAACTGAATCATATTGGGCTTATACTGCTGCAACACCTGTTTAAACCAAATCAGTAGTTAAATCTATTATTCTTGATACAATCCATTAGGGCGTTTACCTTCTCGGCACTTCTCTTGCTCGCCCAGTCATCGCTCGTAAGCAGGTGTGTAATCTGATATTGAATCGTACTGATGAGATGAGCATTCTATTCACACTTTTATGACAATTAGATTGAGATTGCTGCACGTGAAGGTTGCAAGTATCTATCTCATGGCTGCACTGGAAAGGGCAATGACCAAGTTCGTTTTGAGCTGGGCTACTATGCCTTGAATCCATTGATTGAGGTGATTGCTCCATGGCGCGATCCCGAGTTTTTTGAAAAGTTTCCTGGTCGATCTGCATTGCTACAGTATGCTGCAGAGCGAGGCATCCCTGTTACCCAAACAGCGGCAAAGCCATGGTCTACGGATGAAAACTTGTACCATATATCCTTTGAAGCTGGAATTCTTGAAAATCCCAATACTACTCCACCCAAAGATATGTGGAAACTCACTGTTGATCCTGAAGATGCACCCAACACTCCCGAGCGCATTGAAATTCATTTTTCACGGGGAAAACCTGTCAAGGTGGTCAACACTGTAGACGGAAAGAGTGTCACTGACCCACTTGAACTGTTCCTCTATCTTAACGAGCTTGGTCGTAAGCATGGTGTAGGTAGAATTGATATTGTCGAAAATCGTTTTATTGGTATCAAATCTCGCGGATGCTATGAAACCCCAGGCGGTACAATTCTTCGTGCTGCTCATGTTGATCTTGAAGGTCTAACTCTTGATCGTGAGGTACGTCGTCTCAAGGACACCTATACCCAGCGTCTTGCTGAAATTGTCTACAATGGATTGTGGTTTTCTTCTGAGCGTGAATTTATCATGGCCAGTGTTGAGCAATCTCAAAAAGCAGTCAACGGTATTGTCAAGGGTAAGTCAGTCATTGTATTTTTTGCTTTGAAACTCTACCAACATGCGTGTTCAAATGAGTACAAGACAATAATCTCGGTTGAATCTGCCATCTTTGTAATGTTATTCAATAGTCAAATTGTACAAAGGCAATGCTATGATTGAAGGTCGTTCATCGCCTACATCTCTTTATGATGAAAAGATTGCATCAATGGACGAGGCGGGTGGGTTTAATCCTTCTGACAGTCAAGGTTTTATCAAGATTCAAAGCATTCGTCTCAAGGCATACATGAATCAGCAGGCAATGATAAACAAGTTGGACCAGTAGGCAGCGGACCAAAAAGTAACTTTGGTTTGGAAATCAAAGCATTTACAAGTGCATGCTTGATTTTAAAGATTTATGAATCCATTCTACCGCTCTAATAGCTGCAGAGTTGCAATGTTAAGCATTGCAAAATGAATTCAAATGTGGTATTGGGTTTATTAGTTTGAATAATTAAATGTTTAAAGTAAAAATGACAAATGAATTGGACTAAAGGCTAAGGAGATGTCACACTTGATTTGGATCTAGAACAAGCCCAAGGTGCAACACCATCCTCACCAAATGTTCCGCCATTAGCAATAATATGACGTTTTAAAGCATCGGCACGGCCAAACAGACGGAGACAGTGTGAACACCGGAATAGTTTAACACCAGCAGGAGCATGAACACTGCGACAATGACGTAGTAGCTCCTGACGACGACGGAACGTTGCAGGACATTTGTCACAGGCATGCGGTCTTTCATTGGTATGGATGGTCATATGCGATCGCAAGTTCTGACGACGAGTGAATCCCAACGAGCAGCCTGGAAAAGTACATAAAAAGACATGTTTGGTTTTAGACTTTTGCGGCTGCTGTCGAAGGGATGAATGAGTGGAAATCTGTTTGGCGGTTATAGAGGTGGAGAGAATAGAATGACTGGGACTAGATGAATAGGATGGAGTGTAGCTGCTACCATTATCAGACAGAGCAGCAACAGATGAATTGGAAAATGGAGAAGACTGAGACATTGGAATGGAATGTACAGACGATGAGACAGTGGAAGAAGACTGGGATGATATGAGCTCATGCTGTGATGGAAAGTCTAGAGATGTAAGGATCGGGGCGGGAAGAGTAATGGTAGATGGCACAATAGAGGACGATGATAAAGTAGAGCGTATGGAATCGGACTCGTCTGAAACAGCAATAGCAGCCAATGTTGAGAGAGCAGTACAGCACAAAGACAAATCTTGAATTGTAGTAGTGGTTCTAATAGTATCAAGTACGGCATTGGTAGAGCAACAATCTATCAGATCGCTACCAGTATGGCATGTACCAGCACTAGTATCCGAATGAGTAAGCGCGACTGCAGCCACGTCTTTCGAGCAAAGCGAATATGCAGAGTGGCTTTTCTCTTCAGCAATATCCTGATTACCAGCACCCTGAATATACGTACCAATAGTTGTTGGAGTGGCATCACATGTGTCTGCAGTTGGAGTTTGTGGCAGATCACTTGTATTGGCTTCAAAATTAGAGTTTATTCTCATCCCATTGAACCTGATACCAGAACACGTGTAATTTGTTGTGCACTGATTGGTGGATACGTATTGTGAAACTGGTCGACTTTTTATGCATTCAGCCTTACTTGATTGTTGCTGATTGAATTGCTCTAGACAATCATGGTGATGAGGCTCAAAACTGTTTTTTTGTCGACTCGAACCCTCTTGAAAATTCTTGAATATCGATGGTGACTGGACACGTACTATTGGCGGTGAATATGTCGGTGGTAAAGGAGATGCAGGACAAGGCGCGGCCATTGCCTTGGTATAACTTGAAATGACACCAGATACACTGGTGATGGCTCCATTGGCTTGAAAAAGTGGCAGTGCATTCATAGGAGTGGCAATTACAGCAGATGTCTCGTTGAAATTTTGTCCAAAAGAAGTCGCAGATCTAATTGTGGTTTGACATTCTTGCAATAGATCTGGTTGCGGTAGAGTCCGACTGGGAGGAAGAACAAGATATGGTAGATGAGGACGTCGAAATGGCTGACTGGCATTTGAGAGAGTAAAGGGTGACATGGGTTGGGAACAAGCATAGGACAATGAAGGAGTGGACAGAAATGTATGAATTGATGGAGACTGCAATGGAGATGTGCCTGTTAGTGCTGGAGATGGATACAAAAGACTTGGTAAGACATTGGAATTAGCACTGTAACGATGGTATGGATGGGCCAAGGTGTATCTAGCTGTATGGGGCTGATACGATAAAGAGTTTTTGTTGGTCAGAGGTATTTGATGCTGCCGAGGATTGCTTTGGCAAGATGAAATGGGAGACGGTGCAACAGGCATATACTGGCTGTGAGAATAGTTTGGATACTGAGGATTGGATTTTCCAGTAGTGAGGGGTGGTGGAGCATCGACAAAAGCAGCCAAATCGGCAGCAGGCATCTTGACTGCACTAGTAGTATTAGTGGTAGCACAGAAAAAAGTCGGCTCGGTAGGGTGGGAGAGCGAAAGCAGCGTCCTGACAGGCTGCTCATCAATAAGCTCACAGATATTCATTGTAAATCTAACTTGAAGCAATAAAATAGTATAGGGCCAATTTAAAGGTAATAGGGATAGTGGCCGTTTAATGCAATACTATCGACTTTAATTATGCTTGTATTCTTTATATGACTTTGATGGATCCAATCAACCCTAAAAACTGCGGGGCGTACATGCTTACGGTAAACCCAGTCCACGAGATACTATAATTCATCCCATCAAACGAATCACTATCCCACGTGGACAAACCTTGGACAACCCTGAGTTTGTAATGCAGGTATCCACAATAAAACCATGAATCCTACAAAGTAGTCTAGACAAACAATATCGTAGTAACTCATAATATAATGTCTTGGTAAAACCATCAAAGCCAAGCAAATACGATGCGAAGTTTTGTCGCATAAAATAACCGGCTTCGGTGCTATGCAAATACAGTGTTTCCAGCCTCAACAGAGTCGGCTAAATGAATCATAATAGGGCGTTGTATGGTCAGGTTACGTTTCCAGTGTCAATATATATTTTAGTTTGATTTATGCAAGGCTCAGCCCTTATCGCTACCATGTTAAACATATTATTGAGAATAGAATGGTAAATATCAGGGATCATCTAAAATTGAATCAAACTTGACTATATCAAATAAAGCTAAACATCCCTTTATGCAGGGCTGGCATAGCTGGTGACTCAAATATATAATGTCCAAGAATGTTAATATGACCCAATTACCACTTTTTCCTCATGAAGCCTTTTATCACATTATTACTGGGTGTTGTGGCCATTTCCACTGTTCAATGCAATGACCCACCACATGCCGGAACTAATGAACTTACAGTCAAAGTCCGCCCCACCGAATCCAAAGTTGGTGGTAAGCATAAAAGCAAAACAAAACACATTGAAACCCATCTACCACAGCTACCTACCATTGAAGAGCAAGAAATCGTTGAAGAAGATGAGATCGCTGAGGAAGATGAGCTCATTGAAGAAGATGAGATCGCTGAAGAAGATGAGCTCACTGAAGAGGATGAGATCGCTCAAATTGAACAAGATGCTCGAAAAGGCGGTTCTATGCAGATTGCTCAAAAAACAAGTTTACTCGAGTCAAAGATGAGTTCCTGTCAAGTTAGTACCGAGCTATCAAATCAGCTTTCAAAATATATGAATTACGCTGCCGGTATTTGTAAGTTTAATCATTCATACTATGGCTTGTATTGCAATACTCGAATATAGATATGCATTGTTAATGGAATTTGATTGTGTAATTAGACTGTGATTCTGTTCTTCTTCATAAAGCATGGGTTTGTGAAAAATACTGCGGCGGAGATACTGCTGGCACAGTGGTGCATCATATATTTGGAGATGGCGTGTCTGCTGTGGGGTAAGTAAATAATCAGATCCAATAACAACAACAGTTGTACTTATTGATCTATATACACTATACTTTAGATTCATCGGTGTCCAAGAATCATCAGAAACTATCATTGTGGCTTTTCGTGGAACCGATGATATGAATGACTGGAAAGCCAATATTCGAATGGTACCTCGAGCTACATTTTGGCTGAACCATATGGTTGGCACAAAGAGTCGTCGACGATTTCCCAAGTTTCATCGATCGGTTCCTCCGCCTAAATCAAGGGTTAGTATTGCTTACATTTTTATTTGCCCTCAATAGATGTTGATATAGAATATGAACCAAGTGCATCTAACTTGCTAAATTTATTTACACTAGACTCATAGTGGATTTCATAAAGAATATAACAAAGTCAGAAATGCTGTTCTTTTGGTCATGGATGCGGTCAAACTCTTGCATCCTAACTTCAAAGTCGTGTTTACTGGCCACTCACTTGGTGGTGCACTGTCTACTATGGCTGCTCTCGATTACTATGATAAATACGGAGGAGGTGCTATAAGAAATGCATATCTTTACACTTATGGGTCTCCCAAAGTGGGTAACAAAGTTTTTGCAGATTGGTTTTCAAGTTTGCCATTTGGCGGTATTTACCGACTCGCGCATGTGAGCGATATAGGTAATTTCATGTCTATCAAAAATGTTTGTATTTGGTGCATATTGAACAAATTAGCTTACTCTGGTTACACCACCAATATATATTTGTAGTGCCACATCTTCCACCCTCATTTTTCGGGTACGCTCATATTAGACCAGACTACGAGATAACTCAAGATAAAACTGTTTTTAGTTGTAGCGGAAACAATGTTGGAGAGGTCTATGTTCGTCAAGCAACTAGTATATGGTCAACGAGTGTTTCAGCACACAAGATTGGTTACCAATTTGCATCGTAAGTTTTTGACACTTTGTAAAACTAGTTTGACAAGTGTAGTGTATTAACAAGCCACCATGTTTACCTTTATATAGTGGGTGCAGATAATAACTACCGAGTTAAAAAAGGTGTGATTACATCTAGAAACATTGCACCAACAAGCTAATTTCACAATCTAATAAAAAATAAACAACGATACATTTCAAATCGTAGTTTAAATCATTTAGTCAATGGACGCTTACCGTTTGAATATTCTGCTAAATGACTGTTTCGGCATACTCGTCAAACATTTTAAACCCTGTATTAAAAACAAGATTGCACTCTTGATGCAGACTGTATAATCCAATCATACATGACTATCTCGCCTGCGATTTAAAAGGCTCAGGTGCTGACTTTTCAGTTGGTATACACTGTTACAGCTACACATTTTCAAAAGTAATCAAAACGATTTATTTCTAATCGTCTCTGTTGATCTTCTTTTTGGCTGCCTTGCGGTCCTGGGCCTTGAGTTCCTTTTTAGTAGGCCCAGCAGTCTGGCTAAAATATTAAAGCAATCAAGATGTAAGCAGCTAAACATTCACTTTGGTGGTTATTGCATTATATCCCAAATATCAATAGATACCTTGCCATGCCAAACCCAGTTTTGAATGGTCGTGCAAGGTTGTCAGTGGCAGGTTTGCCTAGAACGTGAATTTGAAACATGGGATTGCTGTAAAGCTGGCGCAAAGACATGATCGCCTGAATAAACAGTGGACGAAGGTATCCCCATTTTAAATGCATAAAAGCTAAAATAGCCACAGCAGTCAAGCCCTGGGTAAAAAAGTTTTTAACCTGCTCTTTATCATAGTCGCCCACAGTGGAAGTGACCACTTTTGATTCACTAGCAATCAAGATAAAATATAGTGAGTTTTCAAGCTTGTACTAGATCTAGTTTGCTTGAACCAATGTATACAGATTTGGCAAGTATTTACTTTGGAGCAAATGGATTTTTGGACTCGTTGTAGATCAATGCAGTTTTGTCTATGTAGTATCACATTTCAGTGAGCTCAGTTAGCAAATAAAGCCACTTGGTAAGATGCAATGTATATAACCAGCAATACCGTTTTTGTCACGAACACGCATAAACACATATGCCATGATCGAATAGCCTACTAGCTGACTAACACCATAGGCAATGCGAATGTATCTAAGCCACACAATTTAGTACGATGAATGGGTAAGTGTCAAGACTCGCAACTTTTTAGAAATAAAACGTAGTGCTACCAAGCTGCAACGCAGAATACATACAAAATATTCTCTGGAGCATCCAGCTTAAAGTAATTGGCCTAGAATTATAATAATATAGTGATCAAGCAAGTCAAAGGTCGATAGATCAGGACTACAGTAGACTAAAGCAAAGGATGAAAAGTTTTTGGAAGCGCTAAAGATGGCAGTAGAAATGTGGGTTCAAGGTTTGCAGTTGGATAGAATCGAGGTAATCATGACAGAACAAAGTGCTGTGAACTTGAGTATAATCTATCAATATAAAGCAATGCTACCGGATATAAAAACTTACCACTTGCACGACAGAAAGCACAAGTCCAATGTTGATCACCTGAGCAAGTGTAAAGGCGCATTCATTCCATGGTTGAGCAATTCATGAGCACAAGGCAATATACAAGTCAGTAAATACAGACCAGACTAATTTCAGTACAGAGGAGCAGTAATGTGCTACTTTCAAAAGAATGCAAACTTACTGCATCATTCATGACTGCTGAAAACTATTTTGAATGGGCAAGTTTTAAAAGAATTCGATTCAGCTAGGCTTTGGATCAGAAATTCATGCAGCCATCAATCTAGTACACATCAGTATCACCGCTGCATCAGCCACTGTTTTTATATTCTGAACATAGTCGTTGGGTAAAGAACATGTTACACCTGCAACTGGGCTAGAGCAATCAGAACCATCTTGGTTCTCTTGAACCAGTATCAGCAAATCTATCATTTCAATAGACATTCGCTATATATTTCACAACAGCAACATCTTCAAATCATATATTTGTAAACTATAACAGATGGGCGACCAAGAGCTAAAAATAGGTTGGATACGAAAGATGAATTTATTCGTAAAAGAGACGGTCAAGACCACGAGCCCAGCTCTTAGCACCACGAGGGAACCACTAGATAATACATGTCAGTTGACAAAGTAGATACATCAGGGAATAGTAACGGGAAGAACACATACCATGGCAATTTCCTTCTCGGCAGACTCGACAGAGTCAGATCCGTGGCAAATGTTCTTGCCAACATCAATGCTAATAAAGCAAAATACAAGACGGATGAGTTGATACCAATCGCATGCATTTAAATGGATAGAAACAATCAGATGATCGGGTACTTACCAGAAGTCACCACGGATGGTGCCGGGAGCAGAGGCAAGTGGGTTGGTCTGGAGAAAAGAAAATACAGATCAGACACAGATCAAAGTCTCATAACTACTGGCAAACATACCTCTCCGAGCATTTTGCGGCCAGTCTTGACAACATCCTTGCCAGCCCAAACCATACCAACAACAGGGCCAGAAAGCATATAGGTCACAAGTTTAGGGAAAAAGGACTTGGTTTTGAGGTCACCATAGTGCTCTTCAAGAAGAGCCTTGGTGGGGTGCATGAGCTCAAGAGCAACAAGCTGGTAGCCACGGCTCTCGAAGCGCTTGATAACCTCTCCGACAAGACCTCGCTCGACACCGTCGGGCTTGACCATGATATAAGTGCGTTCAGTAGACATGTCGAGTAGTGAGGTTTAGCAATGGAAAAGGTTGGTTTTCTGTGAGGAAAGATTTCAATCACTGCTATTGGCGGTTTATTTTATCGATCGTTCAAGTTTCATTTGCATGCAAATATTTGCAACTTGCTTTGCATTCAGCATTTCTGGATCTAGACAAAACTTGACGCTGAACTTATAGTTTATTTGAGAATAAATCAAACAAGACCTTCTATCCGATTAGCGTGGAAAAAGGAAGAATGGGCATCGGCAAAAGTATATTCGTTAGAGCAATAGTCGAGGCTTCTCAAGCATTGACAGGTTTTATATACGCTTGAAAACATGGGCAGGAGTGTCAGGTTTAAAGGGAACGCCAAGCTCTTCTAGCTTTTGGAAAGCTTTGGCAAAGTCCTCGAAAAATTTGCCTTCATCTTTAGCATAGATCTCTGCTTGCTTTTTAAAGACACGATCATTGGTAATAGCCAAGTCAGTAGGCAACATCATGAGTGTACCAGTAGCCTTGTCAATAGCTTGCTTGGGCCCAGTCCATTTTTTGTCGACCCACTTTTCGCTAAAAAGAAGCTATTTCCAAACAATTCGAGTGGTAAATAGCTAGATCTGCATGTCCATGTCCATGTGATAAAATAGAAAACTTACTTTAAAGTATGCGTTGGAGAAGGTGGTGGGGCTAAAGCTCCACGGTCCATCATAACCAGATCGATCAGTGTGACAACGTCCAAGAGAATGTGCTCCAGAAAGAGCGACAATCTCTTGATCGTTGAAACCCATGCGGTAAAAGATGTTTCGCAACTATAGCATGAATTCATTGTATATGCAACACAGTTAGCAATACAATAAGAGTGTAGCAAGAGATACTGAAGCTACATACGTGATCGTGTGACTGACTGGCATCTGGGAGACGGCCATCAGGAGTGCAGGCAACAGATGTCTCTGCGTCCTTTCGACCAGCGCGCCATGGGATATCTGGACCACCCTATAGATCCATAAATAACAATACATGTTGAACAAAAGCTATGTTATAGGTAGCATGGCAGTGCAACACATTACCATTTCCTGAACAGCGACAACACCAGCAAGACTCCACAGATCTGCGTATGTGATGGAAGGGAATTGCTTCTTGACTTTTTCAAGACGTTCACGGGCATGGCTCAAACCAGCATTGGCGCCATGAGCACTTTCAGGGTTGAACCGCATGGTTGCCCCATTGGAGCCGCCAGTGCCAGTGTTTTTGTCATAAGTGCCAGATGCGTGCCAGGCAAGACGTAAAAGAACAGGACCATAGGAGCCATCATCATAGTCGTTTTCATCCATTACCTCAGCAATGGCATTATAAACTGCTTGATAATCAAGAGGCTTTTGTGCTATTGTATTGATAGCATATAGATCATATGGATTAATTCGAGATCACTCAGTAGGGCCAGGGGATTAGAGATATCAAGATAGACATGTCCCATTACAGAGTAAATTTATGCAACATGCATCTGACAGCAGATCATGATTCATACTATTAGTTGCAATACTCTGCAACTTTGACCATCTTTTGATAGTCAGGATGGCAATGGGAGAATCGAGAAAAGCTCTACAGATCACTAACCTGCACCAAACTTTGAACTAATAGCACATCCATCCTGAGTAGTATAGTAGTAGTAGCCAGAGCCAGCAACCAAACCACCAAGAGCGAGCCACATGAAGGAAGAGCCATTAGAGCCACCACTGCTGCTCGATCCTTTTGTATCAGAAGATTGAGTGGTTAGGGCACGGACATGAGGAGCTGTATAGCGAGAAACAACGGTGGTGATGGGAGAGCGAGCAACAGTGCGTAAGATGGAAACAGAGCGAAGCATGACAGTGAATACAATATTGGTTCAGGTGCAAGTCGAAGTAAATCTACGTTTATATTGATATGCAAGGGCATTGACTTGTTTTATTGTTCCGCATTTATTGCCCAGACTCGAACAGTTGTTGCTTTTCAGAGTTTATCCGTTTGTCAACTGAATCAATTTTACGTGAACACGGCTGTAACTCACCTATGGCATTAGCTGTGGATAAACAGTTGCTTTGAGTCTTGATCTACTATTCATGCTTATCAAGCAAAGTTATCAGTGCTGCCCACGCTTAGCAAGACCGGTTATTTTTTATTGCTCATACTAAAGCAATTTCACCTTGGTAATCTGAAAATCGTGTAAATTTATAATCGTTGTATTTCAGCCCATTGACCTTTTAGCTCAGTCCAATCCATTTGCTCAGTGCACTTGGTTCAAGTCAAGTAGTGTTTATCAAAAGATGCTAATTAGCAACTTGTATATGGTTTTCAATTGGTGATTGTAAAGCTAGAACCGTATTCCTCTAGAATGAAACACTTGTATTTATCTTGCAGTGATTGCTTGGAAATATACAAGGGTTAAATAGCCGTTGTATTTTTCTGCTACAAACTAACTGCATTAATTCTTGAATGGTCAAACCGTTATATGATGCACACAATCAAACTAGTTTGAACTGAGATTGTTTTTTTGGCAGTCATGCATTGTACGATCACCAAGCTTGAAACAGACTCATGCATTGCAATCCAAATGTTGGGTTTGTTTTCAACCTCTACTTTGTTGTATCCTGGCAGATTGGATGCATTTGCTCTCTAGTTTAAAAAACAATTTCAGGAATACAACTAAACATGCCAGTCACCAAAACCAAGTCTATTGGTACAATATTTAATAAACAGCCATGAATGATTCGTGTCAAAATTGTGTTCATTCACGATTATCGACAAAAGGAATGAGAACAGAGGCGATATGGAAATAGTCAGCAACTCTTGTGTGATCGGGGTTGGTTGTTGTTTCTAAAACTCCCACTGCCAAACCCACAGTGTCCCTTAGTAATTTGAAAAGGGGGTTAGGAAGTTTCAGGTTTATATTGTGGGTTGTGTAAAGCCTTCCATCTTTCAGACGAGCAACTGAAGATCGACTGGTGTGCATTTATGATTGACGACCTTGTACGAGAATGTGCTGGTAAATCACCTCAATGCGTCAAGTACTTGCAGAAAAACAAATGACCAATCAAACTCTCAACCAAAGAGTTTAGGTCGTTTCTTGCAATGTGTATACACGATCAAAACCACACGATTGCTTACAGGTTATCCTTGGATATATCTCCTTTTTACACAACTCACGCGGTCATGCTGAAACATCTACAGTCAAGCGTGTGTTTGATAGACTGTCAATCTGGGTAAACAAGCATTGCAGCAGTGAATGCTGTTTTTGTTGTGAAAGCGAAATACAAGGTGCTGTTTTGATGCGTCAAAGGGAAAAATCAAGCTGCAACAGCCAAAACCAAAAAATCGTCGAATCTAAACCATTGATCACCATGTAATCGCCTTGGTGTCAGGACAAGAACGCCTATCACGTACATGCTAGTCGGGCTCATCACAACAAATGAACTGATGGTTCTGTTTACCTTGTTCAATGTCCTTTAACAGTTGTTGTGTTAGCAACCATTTTCCTCGAGAAAACACGGAAATATAGACCTGTATTTTCAAAACCCTTAAATCTATGCATCTCATACATGATACACCAGTGATGGTTACTGACTATTTTCAGGTCATCTCTGTTCTCATTCCCTTTGTCATAATCGTGAATGAACACAATTTTGACACGAATCATTCACGAGTGTTTGCTAACAGACTCTTGATATTTCATTTACATGAATACAGCCGTGATTACGAGTCTGTTCAATGCAATCCACAATAGTTCAAGTGAAACTATAAAAAAACAAGCAACCGCAATTGACAAACTACACGCTTGCAAGGCTTTGATGAAACAAGTGATTTCAAAGTACAAATTTTGATTTTGATTCTGATTCTTGAATCTTTATTGCTGACACCAGATATTGCTATTACCATTAGCTGCTTTTCAAGTTCAAGTCCAAGTCCAACCTAAACCCATACATTGCTTGATAAATACATAAAGGTAACTGCACACATGATCGCTTTAGCATGACACACTGATACACCACTATAACCCAACAAGGTGTGAAAGTAAACCCACACTAGTTTTACAAAGACTCAAGTGCAGGATCGATTTCAAGTGATTTGTTCATATTAGCAACAACGATTGTTTCCATAGAACTTGATTGCTGTGTTAGCACTTGACCATCTACAAGTTGCTGTCTTTCCTCAACACGACTCCGTCAGCGGATTCTTATTTTTCTTTTTTGGGGTTTTCTTCACCTGCTGTTGTTTTATCTATTCATACTGTCGGATACGACTTGGACTCTTGTTGTCCAGCTCAAAGGGGATTTATTGTCCTGCTATCATTAACCCCTTTCTATTGCATTTTGCTTTTTAGCCTCGATACTAGGCCGCTAGTGTGTAATTCTGAATCCTACCTTTTTATTTTTATTAAAATATCATAGGCAAGTCCTGATTCCAGCTCGAGTTCTATTGTCATTGCCTGCTAATACCAGCTATAATCAATTTGATTTTACAATAGTCAGCTACTACAGCAATGTCGTGGGCAAAGTTGGCATCTCCTACAGCGACTCTACCTGCTGTTGCTGCAACTCTAGGTGCGTCCAAATGGATGTTTTCCTTGTCTAGACTTGCATTGTTTTGGAATCGGTGAATCATTGTGGCTAGACTCGATCGAGGCCCATTGCTGATTCCTTGTGATCATTGCTGTATCAGCCTGTCATGACAAACCATTCTTGCCCGTTATTGTTGGCTGGTCTTTTGCATCATTAAATTACCACATGTGTTCAAGATGTGTACATGGACAGTAACTAACATGCAATATCACATGATATTCTTTATTTCTTTAAAATACTACTATACTCGATCCTCTGGTCTGATTATGCTGGAATCTCGTTACTGTCCTTTCTAATACCTCTAATGGATAACACTCCTTTAACTAGAAGAAGGTTTTTTTGGAATGACTGCACCATCTGCTGTTGAAGCAGATTTCACAAAACCTACTCTCAAAGTAGCCAGTGTATCCTTGTCAGATACTTCTTCTTCAGACACTTTACATACCTTGCATACTTTTGAGCCTACTATTTCCGCAGAATCAGCTAATGACCTAGTAGCAGATGATGACGAGTCATGTCTTGAGGAAGGAGAAATTCGTGAGGAAAAGGTGGATAGTCCTGCAAGCACTAATTTCAAACCAAAGGAAGAATCGGAAAAGCCATTTGTTCCTGCTCCACCACCAACAGTCAATATATGGGCTGTCCGACTTGAAAAACAGCAGCTTCAAGGTCAACCTTCCCCTGCTGGTAGTCGTTCTGAACCACAGCCAGTCAGTAGTACTACTGGATCCAGTATCACCAGTGTACCATCTACTCGAAAACAACGATCAACTATAGGACGAGAAACTCCATCTGAAAAAAAGAATGTCGTGTCTGAAAATTCCACATCAGGCAGCAGTAACAAGTCTTCCACTGTCGATCAGGATGGTTTTGTTGCAGTAACCAACAGAAAATCGTTTCAGTCAAAATCTTCAAATACCAAACTTGCATCTTCTGGTGGATCTGGTGCTGTTCGTAAACACGCACCAAAAGCATCTTCCGCTAAACCAAAAACCGCCATCGCATCTTCTACATCAACGGCTGTTTCAGCACCATCTGCTTCCCTGACTGCCCATCCTACTCTAGCGACATCCACTCCTGTTCTTGGTACCGAATCAATTTCCACTGCAGTTATTGCACCTGCAGATGATGCTGCTACAATAAGTAAACGCGAAGCTGCCAAGATTGTGCAAACTGCTGCTCGTAGTGTGAACTTGTTGGAAAAGCAAAATATGCCTGAGCCAGCTTCAAATAAAATTATCCTGGATTCATGGCCCACTCTCAATGACTCGATCACAGCTGCCTCGGATGAATCAGCTGGATCTGTTGCTTCAGGGAGTGCAAGTAGTTTGCATGATCAGCAACCCACCTCTTCATCGACTTCATCTGCCTCTACTATCGTTGCAGGAAAACGTCAAGGATGGTCAAAATTAGATGTTCAGATCTGCTTCAATGCTGCTCCCTCGTCCATGGGACGTGCTTCCGGCTCCAAATCTGCTAGTCGATCTGGTGGCTTTGAAAAGCGAGACGCTGGTCATAGGGGAAATGGACATCGACATGAAAAACAAGATGTCCATGCATCTGCTGATACTATGGCCAGTAAGTCACTCAAAGACTCACATTCTAGATCACGATCAGCTCAGACTTTCAAAACTGGTGCTGATGAACGGTCTCGTTCTGGATCAGTTGTGTCTGCTTCTTCATACGCTTCACAAGCTATCACTACCCATACAACGACTGATTTGACTTCTCAGCAACCGGTGAATACCAACAATTCGAATCATAGCCAAGGCGGAGCCCGAAATAGTGGATCTCGTCAACATCGTTCTGCAGCCCGTGGTCAGCGTGCATCTTCTACGCAAACCTTGTCTGCAGCGACTACATCGTCATCTAGTGGCCGCCAATTCCGCAACGCAGGATCAAATGCCAACGCGCAGCGTCATGGAAACAATTCATACAGCCGCAATAATCGCACTGAAAACTATAACATGTACTATCCTGGTACACCTGTAGACCCCAGTAGTGTGGATCTTCCCACAATTACATGGCTGGTTCGTACACAGGTAGAATACTACTTCTCTGTTGAGAATTTGTGTCGCGATGTTTATTTTCGTAGCAAAATGGATAGTGAAACCGGCACCGTTCCTATTAGTGTTATTTCCGGATTCAACAGAGTTAAATCCTTGGTTGCTGCCACATATTTCAAATTACATACACTGGAGCAGTCTCCTACTGTTGGTGCTAATCAAGTAACATCTACATCTGATGTCAAACTTGAGAGTACAAGTAAAGATACATTGACTGCTTATCCAGTCACTATAGACTATAATTCTCAAGAGTACAATGATTGGTCGGTAAAGTTTTTGATTTCAGCTCTTGAAAACAGTGAAATTGTCGAGGTAATTACCGATAAAGTGGACGAACCATTGCTTCGCTGTCTTGAAAACTGGGCCATGTGGGTGCTTCCTGCAAATATTCAGTTGCCCGTCACTTTCCTACCAACACAGCATAAACCTATGGACAATGCTGCTGTTGAAACCTCGACTGCTTCTACCGAGGGTATTGCAGTGGAGCCTCCTGCTCTTGTACCCACAGTTTCGACTCTACCTCAATCTCTTGATGTGACTGACAAAACCACCACGCCTTTACCCTCTCTCACAATTTCCACAGCCGATCAATCTGATGCATCAATTGTTCCCGATTTGAAAACTGGCGAGGATGAGGGTTGGTCATCGGTTTCTCGTAAACGTCGTGGTAGCAAAGTTTCTTTTGCAGATTCTTTTCCAGCGAGTGCTGCTTCACCGTCTCTTTCATCTCCAGCCATAAGAAGCGCTGCTGTCAATTGCACTCATAACGATGACGATTTGTTCGAGTTTGATGACAACGAAGATTGGGCCAAGCCTCCAGAGCGTGATGTTCCCCGCATTGAGCATGATCATTTTGACGAGCTTGAGGACGACGACTTGGATTCTCTGATGATTGTTACTCAGCGATTTGGAGACTCTAGCTCCACAACTATCAACGGAGCTACCAAGCCTATAGCTAATGGACACAGTAACACGATGACTTCTGGAAGTGTTGGTACCAGTACATCTTCATCAGTGCATGCTCGTCAAAACATGCCTCCTCGCAAGCATGCTACTACACCGTACAATCGATCCCACAACGATTGTGATATTGTAGATATGATTAATGAAGGATTGTTTATGTATGAACGATCAGTGGCCAAGGGTACTTCAAAAAGCTCACTGCTTTCCCAAAGCAACGGATTTGGACAACAAGGCAAGGTGGGATCAATCAAGAGTGAGGTGTTTACTTCGATGCAAGAGTCGCTGAAAAGTACTTCACCTGCTCACAGTGTCCCTAAACCTGTCAGTATCAAACCTCGCCGTATGTATGAGGGCTTCACTGCATCTTCTCCTCCAGTTGGTTGGATGATGCAGTCTGTTACTGATGCTGTTGCTGCGTTATCGTCATCTCCGCGTTTGGCTGCTTCGCCGCGCATGTCTGTTTCGGCTTCTCGCTCAGTTGAACTCGTGGTTCCTGGAAATCACTCTGTTGCTGCAACTCCAGCTTCGTTTAAAGAGTTTACTCCTTTCCAGCATCCTAGTTACGAGCTGCTAAAAAATAACGGATTCGTACAGCAAAAATACACTAAATTCCATGCCAAAGCCGTTCGTGATCGCAAAACACGCGGTCCTGGACTTTCACATGAGATGAATACCCTCTATCGATTTTGGTCCCATTTCTTACGCGAACGCTACAACAGCAAAATGCTGACAGAGTTTAAGCGTCTTGCTGTTGAGGATGCCAAAGCAGGGTACCGCTATGGCATTGAATGTTTATTCCGATTTTATTCTTACGGTTTAGAGAATTCATTTCGCTCTGATCTGTTTAAAGAATTTCAAGTTCTTGTTCGTGACGACTATTGTGTTACCAAGCATATTTACGGTCTTGAAAAGTTTTGGGCATATCTATTTTATCGCAAGGATAAAGTTGAGCGTCCCAACATTGAAGCCAACATTTTACCTGAACTAAAGCAAGCCTTGTCACAGTTCAAAACTGCTGATGATTTCAAAAAAATGCGTCCCCCTAGGCCTGAAAAACCTCATTGGCAACACAGTAATAGGAATCATGCTCACCAAGGCACTGGTAGCGGCTCAATGCGTGATGTGTCTAAACGTGGATAAAGATGATCTTTTATTCACAATCAAGCCTACATATTTTGCATTTCTACAGTTTATAACCATCACTTTGATTTCTACAATGATTGTGTTACTGACTACTTTGCTCCAATTACAGTTCTATTCTCTCTGTTGGTTTCCTTTCAATATCTTTCTACTTGACACTTAAATCCGCTTTTTTCTGAATGGTTTTTATTGAATTCTTGTTTGACTTCAAATAAAAATGTATTTTAGGAGTGGTGTTTTTGTCTGGGTATTCAAAGTACTGATATGATTCCACGACTTGCTCGATCAAACTTGTATTTGACTATGATGCTGACAAGTATGAGTGAAAATGAAATCAAAGTCATTCAATACTTTACAAGCGTGCACCTTATCAGAGTTTACAGCAATACTTTCCAGTAAAGCAACTCATCGTTTACGAGACTATTATACTTGTTTCATTTTACGTGAACACGACTGTAAAATGAAGTTTACCAACACAATCGAAAGCGATTCTTGAAATTGTGTTGTGCTTGCATGGCCGATTAATAGTCCACACTTTCTAACTCCAGCCATATCACACGCCCAGTTTTAAGCATGATAGATACAGTCACCTCTACTCTCACACCTAATACGACCACCAAGAAAGAAAAACCTCCAAAACCTGGATCCAAAAAAGCACAACTGTTAAAGGCACAATCAAAAACTACATCGTCCAAGGGAACCGACCATGCTGATCCGTACGTGATGCCAAACTATGCTGTTCATGGCCAAGTACTGGTTCTCGTCTTTGCAAAAGCCTCGTCGTTAAAGGCAGCACTTCTTCAACCACATATTTGCTATGAAGGGCAACAACTAAACGGCCCACTCAAAGGAGTCAACTTTCCAGTAGCATCGTTTTTAGAATGGAGTGCACAGACTCCCAACAAAACACTTGCAGAAACATCAATCGTTGACTTGGTAATTGGACTCGAGGCAAATAAAGTCATAGAGGATGTTGTAAAACCAGGTTCACAAAATCCATGTTCGGTGTCTTCATTAGCAAAAATAGAACCTTCAACTCATGCAGATGTATTGCCGACTGGAGCATCACTCCAAGCAACGGACTCGGCCAATGTGCTTTATATTATTTCTGGGTTAAAAGGCGACAGGTCCACATTCCTGCATGAATGGGCTCATGCACGGTTTTTTCTAGATGCTTCGTTTAAAGCAGAGTCAACTCGGATCTGGGATGCTCTTGATCCTCAACTGAAACGGCATATCCAAAAAGAATTGCTCATGAGAAATTACAGACCGGATGTGTTTGTGGATGAATTCCAGGCATATGTGTTGGAAAGTGCTGAAGATTTTGGAAAGCGATGGGCGGAACACTTGAAAGTTCCTCATGCCAAACTGCGATCGCTTGTCAACTTGCCTTCTAATATATGTTGATTCACGTAAAATTGATCACTTGTATTTATCTTGAAATAGAAAATGATTAGCTACTTGTTACGCTTTCCTACCAACACATTGACTCCAATTCTTCAATAAACACAATCATACTCGCATTCAAACCACCTTTTCCTCTATTTTTGTCATAGTCATACATTGTATGATCACCAAACTGATTTTAATTCAGAACTCAAGTTCTGGTGTTGTCAGTCAAGCCCACAAGCTTCAATTTAGCAAGTAGCTCAGAGGGCAATGTTATTTGATAAATTTAGCGGAAGTCATCATGTATTTGACACCCTTATTGAGTGTCATTTTATGCAAGCACGGCCAGCTTTTAGTACATACCTTGAAAATCATATGATTAATACAAACATTAGATGGACATCCCTTTGATTGGAATCACCAGTCCTACGCAAAACGCGACGTTGGCTATCTATTCTAGTAGGGATGCTTTCAAATGCTATTCAAGCACCCTTTGTAATTTATCCCCTACTCATTTTCTATAAAAGTGCATAGAATGCATACTCGAGTCATCATCTGCGAATCGTCATTTCAAGGCAAAAATGATTATGAATCTCGGTTTATTAACAACTCTCTTCATCTCCACTGTCGTCTGCAGTGCCATCACTCCTTTGTCAAGTGATACCGATCAACATGATGAGTTTTCTATCCTTTCCAAGAGAGATGGACTTGCAGTCGACTCGGAGGTTGTTGAACAAATACAGACCTATGTTCAATATTCAGCTGCCTCTTGTATGTTACTTTTCATATAATGTTTATTGCTATGCCATCATTTGATGACCAAGCCTTTACTATCTCGTGTTTTCGGATTTTCGGATTTAACTAACATTTGATATTCTAGACTGTCCAAGCGTCATTACCCATATGGGATGGATTTGTGGTAGTGCTTGTAGTGGTCGGACTGCTGATACCAAAATCGTCAAGGTGTTTGATAACTTTTTCATTGGGACAGGTGTTGCAGGGTAAATCAGTCTTCAATTGCTTAATACGTCGCATTTGGATTGTACTAATCTTGATGATAGATTTATAGCATACAATGAACGCACGGAAACTATCGTGGTTACATTCAGAGGATCAGTTTCAGCCACAGACTGGACTAATAATCTCGATTTCTTTCTTAATGATGCTTCATTTGGTGAAATGGTTCCTGCAGAATTTGGGGGCGATGATGTTCAGGTATTGTACATGTCTGTTTATCAAATAGTAAACTATTATGCTTTTCAATATCAATTGATGACTGAATTCTATATTTCCATCCAGATTCACAGCGGATTCATGAACTTGTACAAGGGCTCCAAGGATAAGATTGTTTTTACGTTGAAAACTCTTTCAGCTCGTTTTCCAGCGTATAAGATTGTGTTTGCTGGCCACTCTTTAGGTGGTGCAATGGCCGCCTTGTGTGCTGTAGATTATCATTTTTTAAATCCCGATGTTGCCGACAAACTATCGGTCTACAGCATCGGTGCTCCTCGCATTGGAAACTTGGCATGGGCCAACTTAGTCGGCAGTTTACCATTTTCGTCGCGAATCTACCGTGTAACCGCTACAAGAGATCTTGGTACGTATACAGCTCATTCAATATCACTTGTATTTGACGAGCATTCGAACAGCTATTTACTTTTTACACTTGTCAATCAATCTAGTTGTTGATATCCCAAAAAATACACCACTGCTTAATTACGTTCATCATAGTCAGCAATACAATGTTCAAAACGGCGTCACAGTCAAGTGTATCAACTCTGGTGTTGGTGGGGAAACTGTGGGATGCAATTATCCCAATTATGGTGTTCCTGGTCTTTTTGCGCACGGATTTGGCTACTATGGTTGGTCTACCTTGTTTCGTATCTGCTAAACACCACAACAAATATCTTTTACATCTTCAATATGCTAGAACGCTGCTGTTCTAGATTTTCCATTATTCGAATATTTGAATCATGAACATCCAAATCATGCAATGGTTATTACACCCATTTTTCGCATACAATTTTCATGCAAAAAACCAATATAATATATCTACAATTCATGTTGATATGCAAGATATGTTTGAGCATTTTAAACTATATGGATTTATTATACTTTGAGTTGAACTTTGTCTTTTTCTGCTAATTTTACAGCATCCTTGACTCGATAAATGACCAATGGTCGACGAGAGTTGGGATTTGACAAATGATCGATTGATTTGGAATTGGCTTTCGACAATCCATCACCCATGATTCCCTCATGCACGACATGAAAACTAGCGGTATATTGCCCAACTGGCTGTACACCAACATATGCCTTGGTGTTGGTCAATATCGACAAAAATATTGAATCGTATGAAAACACAGCTGGACCAAGTGATAGTAAATAAGGTCCAGTGGTTGATAAAAATCCAAAAATGATAATGTCCAATAACTCTTCAATCAGCTGTGATGAAACTTCGGTTAGGATGAGAAGGATGATGATCACTATTCCTACCCATACGGGCAGAATCGAGCCGTCACACTGGCTTGTAGCAGAGCATACACCCGGCATCGTTTGCTCTGGTTCATGCATCCAAAGTTGGGCTAGATGAACATTAGCACCAGTTGTAGAGGTGTATCGGATATAAAAATTAAAAGCAGTTTGTTGCTGCAAAGATGTGCCATTATCTGCCGCGACAGTTGCGTTGCGCATATTGTATATAGTTGGTGCAAAGTTATAAGAGAGTATGGGCTGTAAAGTACGCGGAACAGATATAATCGTTGGAGATCTGCATAACCCGGATACAGTGCATCTCGATATGAGATATGTGAATGAATTGGTAGCATAGTCTATTCCAAGTCCAGCATCATAAATTCGACACGGCATGACTTCAGTAAACAAGATTGACTTGGATATGATATACATGGGTGATGGATTTGCACCAACATTGTTTATGTCCCAAACCATCCCACGTAAGTAATGGAGTGTGTTTGATGGTAATGTCGAGGCTGGATTAACTGTTACGCCTGTTGTGTTGGATGCCATGATAAAAATCATTTCGTAGGTAGATCCGTTACGAAGATTGGCCTTGGCACACAAAGCACCACCGTATGCAGTTGCATTCAACCACGTTGCTCCCGCTGTATTGTTTCCTGAAGCAACGGAGGAATTGAATGTTGTATTCTGTGATGATAAACTTTGTGGTGCATATGGACTAACTTTCACCTGCGAAGTATTTCCGGGCCGTAAAACAACAGCAGGACCAATCAAATTGGTTTGCTGGATTAACATGGAGTTCCAGTTTGCAATGTTTTTACCAGATTGTGATGCCCCGAACCCAAAAAACATTGCGGGATCTTCCCCAAACGTACCATTATCGAATGGAAAATCAAAATCAACTTTGCTTTCTGCAATCATGGGTGTCGAGTTATTTCCAGTAGTGTTGACTGCAGATGTCCAGATTTGCTGTTGAAATATACTCGTTGGCGAAATGGGTAGAATGCCATGCGAATCCACCAAAGGAATTTCAATAGGCATCTCCTGAAGCGCACCAAAACTTGAATTCACTGTAGTTTGGATGGCAGCAAGAGAGCATTGGGGGATTTGATATGTAACACTATTGAGGGTGATGGAACGCATGGTTAGTCCAGTAACATTCCATACAAAGTTGTTACGTATATCCACCGGCGCGATAGTTGCTGGAGCAGTGGAGTTGAGCAAACTGGTGGAAATCATCAAAGCATATGAGTTATCCCACCATGGACCAACCGTAGGACATACCAAAATCCCAGTTTTGGGATTGCAGTAATCTCTTAATTCGGAATATGTCAAATTAATTCCAATGCTGGGTACAGTGAAGCTCATGTTTCCAGCAATGCTGGGATCAACAATAGCTCTTGGATACAATCCCTGATCCGTCTTGATGAATTTGGAAAACAGGACATCAGTAGCTTGAGCACATATGGATATGATCAACAAGCATATTGTTCCTCCAATTGCTGCTGTTGTTTTGGCTGCAGATGGTTTTTCGCGTAGTTTTCTTCGTCGCCTTTCCATTTCACTATGTACTTTTTCATTTGCATAGGGTGAGGTGAATAGGCTTCTACCCCGTGTTAAAAGCGTCATAACTGTTCGAAACGGAGCCAAATGGAATGATGCTGTCATGCGAATTACTCCAAATCGACGTGCCCACCAGGACATTAGATTCCATGAGAATGATATGAGGGAAACTCGAATAATTGCTGCAAGAATATTAATCACGACAGGTGTGACCACATAGTTCCAATAAAATTTCATTTAGCTAGATTAAAAGTTTGATTGATGGTCAGGGATGAAGCTGTTTTGACCTGCAGGCGAGTTGTATTTGAAGTCAAACACGCTTTAAACTTGAAAGATTGTATTCTGTTGCAGATATAGCTGCATCAAGAAAAAGCATTCAGGATTATATAGTCAGGTTCACTTTTATCTAGAATTCACCCTGACCAAGCTTGAATCACATTGTTAGAATTCATATTTCTAATTTTAAACTAGTGTGATTTTTCCTCTAAATTTGTCAGAACATGTATAGTTTTTATATTCTACCATCATATATGGTCAATTTAGCTTCGACAATTCTTCGATGGTCGCTAGGAATTGTTTTTTGGGGAGTCATTTCATTTTTTGCAAGACGATGCGGCCTTATTCGCTTCTCTGCTCTACTTCAAGTAAAGCCCACCATGGCTCTCTGGGGATTATTTCGTGTCGAGGATGCAATAGGCTGGCATGACTCGGCAAGATCCCGATACTTTACTTTTCCGTTAATTTTGCTGCTCTTTGGACTTTTTTTAGTCTCGCAAGTATCCGAAGTGTTTTTGCTGGCATTTGTTTCGAGAGGACAGGGATTTGCTCCCAGTAATTTGACACCAAGTTTGACTCATTCAATCGCTTCGATTGGGATAAATTTGACATACTACGATTTTGGTGGACTGGCAGAATATTTACCCTGTAATGACACGACAAACTGGTGGGATACAGATTACAGATTGATGGTGGCTTCACTTGCAGGCATTCCCAAATCGCCTGTATCCATTCCATCTGCTAATATCCAAATCAAATCCACCAACACCTTGCAAACATCGTTTCTCGACGTGCCTCTCCAAGAATCTGATATTAGTAGCATGGCAAACTCAATTCTTACTACCACAGAGCTCATGACTTCAATTCCATTGAGTTTAAATATTGCTGATCCAATTTACACAAATGCTAGAATATTTTTCCCTGTAACGGATGCTGTTGGACATATAGTATACAATCGATCGCATGTGATGCAACAAATCATCTGGCCAGATGAACCACCTTTGGGAATGTACTGGCAAGCAGAGGTTCAGCTCACATTGAATTCAGGGTATACGTTACATCCACAAACAGGAATGAAAGGATATCCCGAAATGAACATGACATGGTTAGATGCGATTTTTCCATTTGCAACACAACTTCCAGCCAACCAAAGTATTCAGGTGGATCAGGGATCAACAAATGTTTTTGCTTTTGGAGATTACATGTGTTTAACGGGAAACACTGCTGCTGGAGATTCAGCTGGAATAGTGATTATGCCTCGTGTGATGGATCGTGTTTTAGGCACCACATCCGGATTACAGTATATTGTGATCAACTCCAATGGAACTTCTGTGGCTTATCCACATCTATATTTATCTCAATCTGTCGTATTAAACCAAGTCATGCGATGTCGAGCATATGCTAACCCCACACTTGGATCTCCATTCAGATGGTGGTTGGCGTCATGTACAGAAACATCTACAGAATGCGGCACTCCAATCTTTCAAGGCACGATTGATCCAGTTCAACTCCAACCTGTCGGGATCATGGATTTTCAAACTACAGTCATCAACACACGACAGTGTGATACGGCTTGCTTGGAGCGTAATACGCCAACCATTTCTAAACAGCCGCAATATACACTGCCATCCACATTAAACACGATTCTAGTCTCTTTTTACATTCCGTATGAATCCACTGTCGCGTGGGTAGCTCAATCCAATGTATTACATTTTGAAAGCAGTCAATGCTTTCCTGGCGTATGCACTCAGAGCGGGTTATGTTCCGGTTGGCTATTTCCCTTATGGTTACTGGCCTCAATCCTGGGTGTTGTGGTGGCGGCTGCATTGATACTGGCATGGGTGGAAGATTTATCAAGAGTAGTTCTGCATGGGTTTTTGCAGACTACTGGAGCATACGGGTACGGATTGCATGAAGGGAAAGGAGTCTTTCGATCCGATACATTGTGCTATTTGCATACAATGCATCGAGAGGCTTTTGTTGGGGTTAGATCGTGGGATACTCTTTATGAACAATCGCGGTTTATGGCAGATCCAAATGAGCGCATGGTTCGAGGTAGAGAAACAGTTAAAGTGTCGAGTTTAGGCGCTGGTCGTAAACTTGCTAAACTCAAAAACTTGCATTTGGAGTAAATCTCTACGTGTCAATGTACAATCTCATCAAAAGCTATATTAGAAAATTGGTAGTCAGTGTAGACAAATGTCAAGTCTATAGAGTCGAGTTTAGTCTCGACTGCTTTCGTGCAGCCATTACGATCCCATTAAAGGCTAAATAAAGTAGTGGCATATAGTCTATAATCGCATTCCAGTTGTATTAAATAATATTAAATAGATTCCATCGTATAATCGGACCAAGCATACCATATTGATTTATTCTGGAAAAGTCTACAACTTATCAAAATAGATAAACCCATGCTTAAAAATAGTTTAGATAGTTATAGACGAACCCAACCATGACCCAAAGATACGTGTCATGGTTGTTGCACTCCATTTACGAAATTCGGGTTCAATAGTTTCTGGAACACCATAAGTATGATGTATACCAGAGCCTGGTCCATCACGAAGGGTGCGCAACACACATTGCTCAAAGTTTTCACCAAGACTCTCTGTTAAATATTTTTTAACTGCCCGCTTCATCTCCACTCTTTTGTTTTTGGGAAGAGTGTTGTAGATTGGCACCATGGATTTAAGTACGCTAAAAACAAATTTACAGTGGTAAAAGTTAGTAAACGTGAGCTAATAGATTGCTAAAATGGTATTGAATAGTCAGTTACTCAACTGATTGTATCGAGAGATACGGAGACTCTTGCCATCAATATGCACGATTTGAGGGATATTATTATTGACCATACTTGATGCTTCGCTGTAATTTGGACTGCACAGATCAGGTGTATTGGTGGATAAAACACGGCGTGATACAGGTGTCAAAGCCCCTTGGTCAACAGTTTTCTTTTGATCATCCTGCGTCTTTGATGATGCATGTTTATCCTTCATTTTAAATGCAGAGAAGCCAGCATCAGTTAAAGTAGCAGCCGTATCTGAATTGGATTGTGTGTATTCGCCTTTCGATTCAACACTTGGACTTGCTTCAAGCTTGAGCTGGATCAAGTCGGCTGATTGACTCTTTATATTTTTTCTGAGTGATCCTGCTACAGGAGTATTGAGAAGGGTGTCATTGGAGCGAGGTTGAGTAGATGGCACACTTTTTTCGCGACGCATGGACCTTCTAGGTTGCGACAATGTCTTGGCTGATGAAAAAAGCATCTCACTTTTAATTGGTTTGGTGTCATCGCCGCTACTATGATTTGTGAATGTGTAATCATCAGTCGGACCACTTTTTATGAATGCAGAGCTGACGTTATCTGATGGTAGAGCATAATCTTGACTAGATGCATCATTCGTTGCAGAAGAATCCAACTCCAAGATTTTGGCATACTTTGAAGAGGGTGCGGATTTCGATTCAGCGGCACGACGCTTTGCAAGTGTAGTTTTACTAATACTTGGTTTAGTAGGTGTGAATACTAGAGATGCAGTAGTGGGTGTGTGAGAAGAAGTACTTGGTGCCGCACCATTAGCAGATTTCTCGGGAGTTTCTGTATTTTCATCAACCTGGGCAGGCATAGTTTTGATTAAACCAAAAGTGTTGCTGGTAATTGAAGCGCTAATAGTGCTGCTAAGTTCTCCGGTATAACAGCCAGTCGATTTTAGCCAGTGGGAAAATCTATTAATGCAATGTCTTGGGATAAAGTGTCCACATTTTAAGATTTCGGCACTTTCTTTGTCAGTTTTGAGGTTTGAAATAAACTCTTGTGCTGCATGAATGATGCGTGTGATGGCCAAGGGCGGTACATTATTGATCCCATCAAATAAGTTGCCCCTGACTCTTTCCAGAGTACTCCTCCATATCACCATGTTGTGTTGGAATGCAAGCGCTTTCTGCTCATGAGTAGGAGTAGGCCATGCACGGTATATAGGAAGAATAACACTGTCTTTTTTAGCGGGAGTAAAGACCTCGGTCTTTTTACGAACAAAAGCCGACTCGAATTCAGTCAAGAATTGAACTTGTATTTCAGGTGGAATTCCCTGGTATGTGAATTTTTGTGATCCAAACAAGCTCTTGACCATGACATTGCCTAGATGATTCCGATTGGAAAAAAGTGTTGAAAACTCGGCCCAAGCATTGTCCTTGGCAATAAACTGGGGATATTTTTGTCGAATGATATCGACCCATGCACACCAGCAATCTGTCGCAGAGTTACTCAAAGTGTTGGATTCCTCTTCACATTCCATTTGGTCATTCTGTATAGTGGATTCATCCAAACCATCGGCTTTTACATTGCTCACAAATTTGATTGCTTCCGTACCTGCTGCTTTGGCATCAAATATATCATTGTCTTTGGCTTCTATAGTGTGTTTTGTCTCGACGGCAGTTTCCACCTGGTCAACGCTTCCGTCTTCAATCGTATCGCTTGTTTCATTGAAAAACAGTTTAGTATCGATTGCTTTTGCCGGTGTTGCTGGCAAACCAGATTGGTTTTCGATACTTTTTTTTGATTTTGATTTACGATTATTCTCCAACAACCCATTATCGAGCAGGTTGTTAAACCAAATCAAAAATGCAGGGAGCATAATTTCTGGAATAGCGGGCTCACTTCGATTACTTTTATCAAATACGATACACAACGCTGTGTTTTTGGAACCGATGATACTTGTTAAAAAATCACGAATTGCACTGCGGATGACATCGCGAGTTGACGGCCGCATGTGAGATAAAGATCCAGGATGCGATTTGCGAATGACAGTTGTCCAGCTGATGAGTTTATTTTCAGAAGCATCAAGACAAAAGTCGTTATCAGAAGACTGCGCTGGCGATGTGTTTACTACAGGTGCAATAGAGGATGGCTCATCTGCAGTTGGTATTGTGTTTTCAAGATCAGTATTTTCAATAGGTTCTTTTTCAACGTTTTCAACAGGCATATCCGATTCGATGGAAGCATTAGTCAGGGGTTTAGAATCATTCAAGGACTTTGAATTAGTCACATCAGATACAATCTCCTTATCAATGCCTTGAGTGATGGGCAAAGCATCCAATACAGGGCTTGTATGATTATCATTTAAATCATGATCTATGGGTTCCACTTCAGGGTGTTCAACCACCTTATTAGAAGACTCGATTAAAGTTTCTGTTTCAGGTTTTTGAATTTGGACCAATTTTTCAACAATGGGCTCTTCTAAAGGCAATTTAGACTGAACGGGAGTTTCCTCAATAACTGGTTCGATAGTAAGAGGTGGATCTAGGACAGCTGTAGAATGTTCCAAGTGATCGATTGATGGACTAGCAGCAACTGTGTTGCTCTCCAGAGCAGCTGTAGTTACAGTAGGACAATCTGTAGAGATGAGTTGTGTTGTGGTTTCCTGAACATCTTCCATGGAATTGTTTTCCAATTGCTCAGTCTCGACTACAGCTGGAGGAGTGTCATGAGTCGCTTGAACCGACTCAGTAGATATGGGTGTACTTTCATGCTGAATTGAAACTCCCGAGTCAGTAACTGTTTTTAAAAGTTGAGCAGTAGGCAACACAGGTTTCAGATTGGTTGGCGCAAGACTAGTAACAGATTCAACCCCGAATGTTTCAGCTGGAACCGTATCAGAGGCCTTGGTATAAGCTGGAGCGTTAGACTCTGTCGGAATTCCTTCTGATTGAACTATATGAGGTTCTGAAGTAGAACCAACATCATTTGGAACGCTAGACTGATGAATTGGGGTAGCAGCTGGTTCAAAGGTAGGAAGCTCTCTATAATCACGATTGGTATTAGTTGGCGGATAAGAAGTCCTGGATGAAGTAAAAGGATGGTTTAAAGTTTTAGAAAGACAAGGAGTAGCTGAATTGGAGTTGGAATACGATGGGTTATAGTTTGCAGGAGGAGCAGACTGATTCCAAGGAGCAGTTTGTGGAATAACATGAACATCAGCTGGGCCAGCAGCGCCAACTGGAGTAAATGGATTCGGCGGTTTTTGACCATAATATGAGTAATTATACAGCTGATGAGTCTGTATACGATTTTCAGTATTAGAGACTGTAGGCGAAGGACGGTATGTATGATGCGGATTGTTATTGATATGCTCTGTTGTTGCAGACGACGAGTGAGGAGTGCTCGAGTAAGAACGCAGTCGGGATTCCAAATAAGCAATATGGTTTGACTGACTGGCAAGCTGTTTTTCATATTGAGAAATGATGATATTGTCCTTTCGACAGATATCTTGCAAGAGTGCAATACGATCCAACAGTTGATCCATCAGACTCTACAATTGTACTTTTATAGAAAAATGCTAAATAAAAAAATCAGAATGCACGAAAATCAGTTTCATGAAAATAATTTCTACCGAATTTGCTAATAATTGTTTTTCAAGCTCGGCAAAATTGGCTGCTTCTGTGCTTGTTCTGCATAAAAACTAAAGATTTACATCATAGTTTCAGTCAATTTACATTAAAATAGTCGAGTCATTGTACAATGCATGGCCATGTAAAAAAGTGATTGATTCCAGTTCAAAACTAGTTTATTCCAAAGTCAGTCACCAGGATGAGTACAGAACTGTTTTATTTTACGTGAATACGGCTGTAATGAACCATCTCACACAGAAGGGGGTATTGATGGGAGAAAATCAAAGTATGTAGATATTCAAAAGATATTGGCTTGGTGCTGTAATATACATCAAGAAACCACCAAAGCAAAAACCTCTGTTCAGTTAATCCGTTGATCATATATGCAATTCTGAAAGTAAAGGTAGCGAATCTAACATAAATGTGGTGTTTGAGATATCTACAGTGATATTCATGGCCGAGCTTTCAGCAGTTGATACACGGTCCAAAGATATTGTGTCTAATTCGGTCTCGGCTTTGGATTGTGATGATAAAGGCTTATCCTGTGATGGGTCTGATTCAAACTCCCCAAGACGAAATGGCCCAATCGAAACCACACCACGGCACAAATGGCATAGTGTATCGGCATCGTAAATATTCGGATGAAGAACAAACTCTTCTTGGCGAGAACGCTTTTCAAAAAGATGATCCAGTATCAAATCAAGTTCAGCATCTACTAAATCCATGTCAATTGATTCTGGAATGAAATGACCTTGTCGAGCTTGGTTAAAGTTGTCCATCTCTGATGGCTCAGTGTTCATATCAGTGGCCTCGGAAGAATCGGAGCTCAATGACGCAACTGAGAGTCGAGACTCGACAACTTTGTTTGGTGATACAGTTTGATCAATTACTTCATCGTCCGCTACAATTGTTGACAGCGAAGATGACCTAACAGGGGAACGCAAAACGGGTGAGCACAAAACATCGTCTTGATCTGATTCGATATTTTCATCATGTTCAATGTCACTCAAGGATTGGCTTTCAGTGAGTGAATCTTGTTTTATGTCGCAGTCCGAGTACAAGCTCATTTGATATTCTTCCATATTGCCTTTTGTATCCTGATTGGAGCAACTGGGTTGAGTAGTTTGTGTGGCAGCAGTAGCACTTCCAGAGCACATTACCATCTCACTATAACGATAAATGAATCGTTCTTGAATAAAGTTGCGGCGAAAGACAGATTGGTCCCAAAGCCTAAATGGCTCAGTGTACCAGTCTTCAGGGTTGAACTGCATTGACTGCGGACGTTCATAACGGAGCCAATCGATAGCTTCTTGGGGTGTTAAGCCGTATTTCTCCAGCAAGTAGATGGCAAGAAACACACCAGTGCGACCCACACCAGCCTGACAATGCACAACAACCTTCTTTCCGCGCGAGATATAGTCTCGCGCATGATTGAGAAAAGTCTGCAACTGTTCGTAGGATGGAACACAGCCATCATGAACAGGAATAAACAGCGAGTCGAGACCATGGTGGGGCTTTACATCACTAAGCAGATTTAAATCGCACTCGATAGAGCTGCTGAATGTACCTGTGAAAATCGAGAATTGAGGGGATTCAACAAATAGTCCATACATGGAGATGGGGTCACGGGCCAACGGCAACAAAATAGATTCGCATCAACACCAGTTTCAAGAATAAGCCATGCGGAGGCGTGACGATAATATCATGCAAAACACCAGGAGCACATTACAGAAGCCAAAACGCATGCACAGGTATTGTAAGGCAGTAAAACATTGAATGCAAGTGGAAAGTTAGCGATGCACAAAATAGAAGCGGCTGTTATGGGATAAACAATCTATGCAAACATCACCACATGGCCAAACAATAACGTACAGTCAGCACATCCAATGGCGCAATCATCTGGACCGGTCTCGGAAATTCGACCAATATAGTCCTCGGTAACATTTACAATCAAGCCAACACCAGCCTGAGCTAAAGCAGGGTAGTGATTGCGTTCAGTAGGAGCACTCATACCACCCATCATGCCATCGTCAATCCAAGAAAAATGCCATGGTAGATCCTTGTCTTGTGGATACATCCAACTGGGTCTGCCCTGCTTTGTAGGCATTTTCCGTTTAACTGGAACAGTAGAGTGAATGGCTTCAGACTTGGCTTTAGTCATTGAAGCATGGCAATGATTAGAGTCTGCGGACAGAGCATCATTCAAAGAATCGGTATGGTGAGTGCTAGGGTTCAAGCGTTTAGAAGCAAGTTCAGTAATAGGACAGATGGCCGCAAGACTAGATGCCATTATTTTGAGTAGTAAGAGTGGTGAATATGCGAAAAGTTAATTACAAAGGATTACAGAAGCCTATAACAGCAATATCAACGAATGAATGAAAAGTTGAAGCGATGCGCCTCATTCTTTTAACTTGATACTATTTGTTATCTTTATTGCTATGGCAACCAAAATATTGTTTTATCGGCCACTTTCTGATTGTACGCTCGATTGCTCAGTGGCGGTGGCTGCTACCCGACAGCAGATCTGAAAGTCTATCAGGTTGCTTTTTACGCAAATACAAGCTTATTTGTACGCTTGATAGATAGCCACTTGGATTGTTTTTGTTCTTATAACTCCATGTTTTATTGGGTCAATAAGCTTTTCAAAGTATCCCAGTGCACCTTGCACTGACTAGAGTGTTCACCCTGATTTTGTCTTGTAATCTCTTGTATCTCTTACAAGCTAAAGTTTCTACGCTATGCATGAGTTGTAGCTATTTATGCGATAAACTGATTAAATCAAGCAGGGTATGGCTTTCTTGATTGGAATCAGCCCCATTGGTGTTCAAATGCGTCTCCAATATACATCAAACATTTTGATTCAATCTAGCAATGTATATTTAAGCTTATTCATCGCTGTATTCACGTAAATGCAGCACTAAATAAGAGTCCGTGTATAATAAATAGTCATGGAATGGTTGGGTTTACTCAACATTGTGTCCTAAACTCTTTCATTGGCTGGCTTTTTCCTAGTTATTGGTCTGTATAGTTGCATTCCTGAGATGCACCGCCTTTGGTTTTCAAGCTCAAGATACAGCACATGAGTTTGCAGTGTTTAATCGACAACATCAAAACAATCGAGTCCAATATCTAGGTTGCAACATATGAATCTGGGTCCATTTTTTTGATCGTATAATGCATGGCTATGTAAAAAAGAAAAGTTCAAAAAGACGGTTTGAATTCAACTTCATTACATAATGAAGTTGTCGAGGTTGATTAAGAGAACTACAGATACTGGTACTTTTAGACAATGGCGTTGAAAGAACATCTCCTAATTCATTTGATTCTGGACAGCATATCATTCCACACTGCTACACATTTGCTCACTAAAATGGCTTGCCGATTTCCAACAGCCATGTCGCGGGGCCTAAAGCTTCATTACACAGCTCCATACTGCACATTCCTAGACCCTGTTGGAAATTGTTATAGCATAATAAAAATGATTTTATGCGGTGTGATTCCAGATACAGAAGAATTGAGAATGTCAAATGAATAAGCAGTGAATTTCCAATAAGAAAGCGCAATAAATATTTGACCATTTTTTATTTCCAAGCAAAATCACTGCAAGATAAATACAAAAGTGATCCATTTTACGTGAATACGGCTGTAAAATTGCTTCTATCCAACTTTATTGACATCTGAAATCACAAGCCGATATTCACTGTATCTGGTCAAGTGTATAGTGGAGCTCACCTAATCTTATAGTTAGAATAATGTATGTATCCTAGTCTCCTTGTATTTGATTGTAGCACAGTTTCCTAGTCAACGCCTCAAAAACCATCATGGTGTTTTGCTCAAGATAGAGTTATAATGATATAGCAGCAACTAGATTTATCACACTTAATACCAAGCAACTTTTTACTTACCAAGTGTATAATTTGTATTTGTTGATAATTCTCTAAATATGCAATTCTATGCCATTGGCACACGATGGCATTGCAATGGTATCGCTAATGGAATGTCTTGATTGTGACTGCTGTATCTGGTACAAATGGTCTTTTCCATATGATTATCTGATTTGACTGGGACCTGTACGACAAAATCATATCCACGCTGAACAATCTGGACATTACATTTTAAACACATCTACCATATACAATTGTAATTTATTCCAATCTACTTGATGACTTGGCCAATAAAATTGCTTTGTATATGACGTTGCTCGTGTGTCGTGGCGCACCAACAATATGACCCCTGCGTGTATAACAACTCGCACTTGGATATGTAACCATGGTCTCAATATCTGGCTTATATCGCAACCTGCTGTGGGTTGGATGACATCCAAATCAATTCATGACAATTTATGGATGGCTCTATCACTGCGATGTTCATGATTATCGATTTGATTCTTGGAAATGCTCATCTGGTTGATGGATTTCGACGGACACGCTTATGTTACAAACTGATACTCCTGACTATTGACATAGATTGCTGTGAGTGCTGTGTTGGACTGTTTTATTAACAATTGCTTGTTGCTTTCTGTCGAGTTTCTGGTGTATTTGTTGCTTTGCAACAATCCTGTCTTATATTATCCTGTTTGCATCAATCCGCTACTTTAATTCATTGTTTTTATTAATTGTATTAATCACTGCTGCTCATCTGTCTTCATATACCAGCTCTTTAATCACAGCACATAATCTGTCATTAGCATCTTTGCATGGATTGGGCAACTCAGTCGGATGACCTTGCCGCTCTCTTGGCTCAGGAAACCACTTCTGCTGTAGCAAACAACTCCAGTCCTCCTGCTGCAGAAACCCTCATTGTTCATACTCTTGAACAGCGTTGTTTGCTTCAGAGACCTTACACTTATGTTGGTGCCAATGTGCTTCTCTCCGTTGGTGCTGCTGCGGGCAGTAACAATGCTGTCGGTGGAGTGGGTAGTCTATCTGCTCAGTACGACCGGGCTGCTGAAACTGCCATTTCTACCACTGATGATGATACTCTCTCTCCACTTCCACCTCACACCATGCAGCTAGCATCCACTGTTTTTTATCAGATGTTGGTGCATCAAGAGAATCAAAGTGTTGTCTTTTGGTAAGCAACCGTTTGACTTTTTAACTCGGATGTGCGGTCATCCATCATTCATTTCAAATTCTAAATATCCAAGAATGACATTCTTGTATTTCATTTGAATTATTATTAAACTGACTAATTGTACTGCCTTCAACCTCCCTATACAGCGGTATGCCTAGTGCTGGTCAGTCTATTGATCGCAGAATTTTTTCTCAGCAACTCGTTGATTTGAGTAAAAATGGTAAAAAAAAGTCTCGTGTGTTGTCCGGTGCAGTCAAAATGGAATATGCTCTGGATTCGTTTGGCATGGCTAAATCACCGCATGCTGTTGATGCTGCTTGTTACGGTAGATATACCGAATATCAATATTCTTCCACTGGCCGTATGGTCGGAGTTAAACTACTCGACTACACTTTGGACACTGCTCGTGTGACAGCTGGCTCATCAATGGATGATGGTGAACGCACCTTTAATATCTTTTATCAGTTGCTTGCTGGTGCTACAAAGGAAGAAAAAGAAACTTTACATATTTCAGAAGCAGCTTCCTTTGCATATTTAAAAGGCACTAAACTTGCTCGTGCCAATACCATCACTCGATCTGGCACATTGAGTCGTCGCTTCCCTACGCTAGGTCGTTCTGGAACTACTTCTAAAAAAGATGGAAATACTCCTGTTGCATCCCCAATGGCTGCGTCATCCACATCTGCCCATCCGTCGTCTTCACCAGAAGATGCCATTCCAACCGCCAAGGATGCCAAAAATTTCCAAGAACTTCGCGAACATTTGAAATCTCTCGGTATTGGCCGTCGTACCCAGAGCCAAATCTATCAGATTCTGGCCGCCATTCTACATCTTGGAAACATTGTTTTTGGTGTTGATCCCAATTTGAAAGAGGATGAATCTACTGTAGTTCGCAGCACCGAAACACTCAACATTGCTGCTGCCCTTTTAGGTCTAAGTTCTAAATCATTGGCTGACAGTCTCACGTATCGTTCCAAACTTGTTGGTCGTGAGCTGTGTTCCATCTATCTACAGCCTGAAGGAGCTTTGCTGCAACGAGATGCTCTTGCAGAAACTTTGTATTCTTTACTGTTCTCATGGCTTGTGGAGCATCTCAACACTCGTCTTTGTAAATCTGAGGAAGAGGTCAACAGTTTTGTCGGATTGGTGGATTTTCCTTGGTTTCGTTCACAGTACACTGGCTCTGCTACCAACTTTTCCATTTTTATTGGCAACTATACTCAGGAGCGTCTTATTCAGTATACACAAAACTGTTACTACGATGATATTGATTTTATTTTTAAAACAGACGGTCTGTCTGTTACCCTTCCTTCTTATCGTGACAATCAATGGACAGTAGATGTGTTTCGTGGCACATCTCGTCAAAAAGGACTTTTGGCACTGCTTGACGAAGAGCCGGAATCGGGCGAGGATTTCAGTTTAAATCGCAATCAAAACTTGCTTACCCATTTGGATAACGGGCTCAAGTCAAACCCTCATTACATTGCTTCTTTCCAGTGCTCTACCGTTGCAACTGCCAGTCATTCCGTGGCCACTACTTCTGCAACAGTCAAAAATATGTTTGGAATTCGCCATTACAATACCGAGTCTGTGGTGCAATACGATCTTGACTCTTTCTTGGATCAAGATATTTGCATGAGTGACTTTGTTGCGCTTTTCCGTGGCTCTGCAGGAGTGGCCGAGAGCGATATACCAAGCAAAGAGCCCAATGTCACATTTATTGCTGGCTTGTTTTCTAATCGCACTGGTTTAAAGACTATTCGGTCTGGACGTGGTGCAGCAATTGGTGCACAAAAAGCTCAAGGTCCATTACGCAAGCCATCTCTAAAGCGCAAGAAGAAGCCTGTGACAGATGTCACTACAGATTCACCTGCTGAAACCAAAGAAACGGGCAAGGACAATGCGTCTATTGCACCCAAAAGTAAAAGAGTGTCGCCGTTTACACCTGCTGCAGAAAGTATTGACGAATTGATGGATACACTCAAATCCACACGTCATTGGTCTGTGATTTCATTTTCATTGTCTGAGCCTGCAAGCTCCTCATACTCTGCATCTCATATCAAGTGGCAGCTGTCACAATTCAACATTTCTGAGCTGTGCCAATTCCGATCTGTTTGTGATGTGGATGCCTCGCATGGTCTTAAATACAATGTCTTTACTGAAAAGTATGCGTCGCTTTTGGCCACAAAGGGACTGTCGCACTCGGCAGGTTCTCCTCGCAATCTCGTCAAACAGTTTGTTGCTGCCCAATACTGGTCTACACGTGAAGTTTCACTTGGTAACACGATGGTGTTTTTGTCGGTTTCCAGATGGAGATGGATTCATGCTGCCATGAAACGCTTGGAATCGACAGATGAAAATGACAATTTACTTTTAAACAACAACAAGACTAACTCGATGATGACTTTACCCTCTCAGCCCGTTCCTAACGCTCAGCCATGGTTGACTTCTCGACAAACTGGACCTCTTACTGAGGATGATCGATCCGATGTTGAATCCAATTACGAATCGGAATACGGTTACAATGACAATGATAATCGTTTCCCTGGAAAATCTACGGATATGGAAATGGGTAATATGAATCGCACTAATATGGCTTCGCCCATGTCACCTGTTTTGGGCAGCAAGCGTGAAATTGTCGACAGCGTCACTCCTGTAACTCGCTTACGTAAATGCTGGGTTTGCTGTACATGGACTTTAACCTGGTGGATACCTGGTCCATTTCTTTCTTGCTGTGGCAAGATGAAGCGACCTGATATTCGCATGGCATGGCGTGAAAAAGTTGCTCTATGTGTGATTATTTTTGGGTTATGTATGTTTCTTATGTTCTTTATCATTGGTCTGCGGTATATTATCTGTCCTACAGTTCCTATAAAGTCGCAAAGCGAAGTGCTACAAAAGGCATTTCGACTTGGACAACAAACCGTTCCCTGGTTTGCTGCCCATGGTAGATATTACTTTGCAGAAGATCTTATGTCACAGCATATTCGTGATTATGGACCGGGTACAGGTCAAGGCTCACTTGCCTTGTATCAATTTCAACAATTTTACGGCAATGACGTGTCCAATTTATTTTTCAAGCAAGATCGTTGGAGTGTATACTGTCCTGGTCTCGCTGCACCTCAGCAGGGTTGGGACTACCTTGATCCCAGTATTCCATGGATGAAGCGTTCCGATATTCAAGCAGCAACTCCCATGGCAATGCATCGATCGACAGACCCTTCAGGTCAGCCCCAGCCGTTTTCCGAGAGTCTAGATCGTTTTGCCAAAGGACGTATTGGATGGACTGAGCAAGCTGTCAATGGCATGTCGTCCAACACGAAACGATTTATCATTATTTTTGATAACGTATACTATGTGTCGCCTATTGACGCTTTACAAAACGCTACGTTTTCGTTGACGGTGCGTAATCTACTAAGCCCAACTCCGGGAAGTGATGTCACTGCAGCATGGAAAGCTACCCGTGCTCAGTCTGGGGAACTTCAACAAGAACTTGATACTGCATTGACCTGTTTAAACAATATCTTCTATGTTGGAACGGTGGATCGTCGCGACACTTTTCAATGTCGTCTCACTGGCGGTTTACTTTTATCCACTTCGATTGTTCTCGTGTGTGTTGTTGGGTTCAAGTTTTTGGCAGCGCTGCAGTTTTCATCACGAAAAGAGCCCGAGGCAGGTGACAAGTTTGTAATTTGCATGGTACCTTGTTACACCGAAGGCACAGAGAGTTTACTGAAGACGTTGGATTCTTTGGCGACGTTGAATTATGATGACAAGCGCAAACTTTTGTTTGTTATTTGTGATGGCATGATTATTGGTTCTGGAAATGATCGACCCACACCACGACTTGTTCTTGATATATTTGGAGTTGATCCAGATATTGATCCTGAGCCCATGGCATTCCAGTCGCTGGGCGAAGGCAATCGTCAGTACAACATGGGAAAAATATATTCAGGCTTGTACGAGATTCGTGGTCGTTCTGTGCCATTTATTGTTGTTGCCAAGGTGGGTTCACCTACGGAGCGGGTCAAGCCGGGTAATCGCGGCAAGCGTGATTCTCAGTTGGTTCTTATGAGATTCCTCAATCGTGTTCACTTCAATGCTGAATTTGCACCAATGGAGTTGGATATATATCATCATATGAAGAACATCATTGGAGTGTCGCCTAGCTTTTACGAGTTTATTCTTATGATTGATGCCGACACGGAAGTTGAACCCAATGCACTGAACCGTATGGTGTCTGTGATGGTACACGACGTCAAGGTCATGGGTCTCTGTGGAGAAACTAGGATTTCAAACGAAAAGGAGTCGTGGGTTACCATGGTACAGGTGTACGAGTACTTTATTTCGCATCACTTATCCAAAGCGTTCGAGTCACTGTTTGGCACTGTCACATGTCTTCCTGGCTGCTTTAGTATGTATCGTATTAGGTCGGCATCTAAAAACGTGCCTTTGCTTGTTTCACCGGCTCTATTGACAGAATACTCGGAGAACAGTGTAGACACATTGCACATGAAGAATTTACTGCATTTGGGAGAAGATCGATACCTGACTACACTGATGTTGAAGCATTTTCCTACGATGCGTACCAAGTTTGCTGGCGAGGCGCGTTGCTCAACAGTTGTACCAGACAAATGGTCTGTGCTACTTTCGCAGCGTCGTCGTTGGATTAATTCTACAGTACACAATCTGTTTGAATTGGTGTTTCTGGATCAACTGTGTGGACTATGTTGTTTCTCTATGAGATTTGTAGTGTTTTTGGATCTATTTGCTACATTTGTGCAGCCAGCAATCGTTATTTATATTGTATATCTAATCTACTCTGTTTCCACTTCAACAGATACATTCCCTCTTTTATCGATTATTCTGATTGGATGCATCTATGGGTTCCAAGTGATTATATTTTTGATCAAGCGAGAATGGCAGCATATTGCGTGGATGATTATCTACCTGCTTGCCATTCCAGTGTTTTCATTCTGGATTCCATGCTATTCATTCTGGCATTTCGATGACTTTTCATGGGGCAATACGCGTGTGGTGGTTGGAGAGGGTAAGAAAACGGTATATGTGGCGGATGCCGAGCCATTTGATATCAGATCGATTCCACTGAAGCGATGGAAGGACTTTGAAGGAAGTGGTGGAGCAGGAAGTGTAGACAGTCGAGGTGGTGTAGATGCGTGGGAACATGGATCACAAGCATCGGGATCCATAGTGCAAGCAGGAGCACACCGTAATAAGGCAGCTGGATATGCAGGATCCGAGTATTCATCACCAGGTGGTGGTGTCTACCATCGCGGTTCAGCAGCATCCAACTATGCAGGGTCGGCGTATGGGGGACCAGCCCCATCTATTTCAGGTAGCTACCATGGCGGATTACCAGTGATTGCTCAATCTACAGTGCCGGCAAGATACAATACACACGATCTGACACCAGGACAAGCGGCAGATCCACAACGATTTTCAATGATATCGTTTGGAGCCTATCCAACACAAACTAATGAGATGCAGAATGCACGCAATTCATCAGCATCGCTTGTTCCAGGACCTTTCCCATCACAACAAACGAATAGATATTCAATGCTTTCTAATACGTCGCAACAGGTTCCTGTACAAACTGGACCAACGGATGAACAGATTTTAGCAGATATTCGACAAATATTATCATCAGGCGATTTGATGACACTGACCAAGAAACAGATACGAGATGATTTGGGACAACGATTTGGAGTAGATTTGCGACCACGCAAAGAAACAATCAATCGAATGATTGATGAAGTGCTTCAAGGACGGCTTTAGAATCACGGCTGGTGACAAAAAGCATGAGAATGGAGAGATAAAATAAAAAGTCATCAGTAACCACCACCATCAGTGTGTCATGTGTTTGGGGTGGTACTTGCATAAATTGATTTGACACGCTTTTATGTGGTCGAGTTTGTTATTGTTTGGCAGCCTTTTTTGGAGTGTTTTGCAAATATCGGTAAATTGTTCCATCAGTTGATGTGAATGACCAGATCATCCATTGTGATTTCTGTACCAAGGCAACAACTCGATGTTTAACACAAGAGTTTACTAAACGATCTACTGATCAAGTTGATATAAAAACATGTCGTTTGGTTTTGTTCAAACACGATCCTTGGTATTCTACTTGAAGTCTAGGTTAACCTTGAGCAATCGTGTAGTTTTACCAACGAAGAATGCATGAAATACAACATCAGTAACCTGATAAATACCATCAGAATATGATTAAAACTGGATTCAACTATAAAATGATTTTGTGCATTCTCGTCAGAATTAACCAATTTAAGAGTAAAACGAAGCTTTCAAACCAACAGTGGTGGCGTTGAAACGAGTGGCTAGAAACGATAGCACCAAATTACCCTTAAAAGTGGCAAGAGAGTTGTCTAGACTCTTGTAGACTCAAGCCAGCAATCACTCATGCAACTCATTGCTACATTCCTACTTGTTCTGGCTGCTGCTCTGTCCAACGCTCAGAGTCTGTCTGGATCCACGGCTCCTCCAAAAGGATGCGAAGTTTGTAATACGTTTATTGGACAAATGCAGACTTGCAAGACTACTGCTGCTCCTGCTTCTGAAGCTCAAGTAAGTTTGAATGCGTTGTTGCTGCGATTGCTACGATTGCTACTGGATACTAACTTGCATTGTAGTGGGTCGATACTGCTACTAAACTAGCTGCTTGCATCTGTCCCGTCTTTGCATCTGCCAACTCGGACACTTGTTCCATCTGCATTCAAACCACTGATCCCACTTCTCCTGCTACCAAATTGTTTTTCAAACTCAAGCAGGATTGCTTCACTGGTGCCATGGCTTCAACTGCTGTTGACATTGCTTCCATCTTCAATGTCACCGTCAATGCAAACAGTATTCCTGTCAGTCCATCCTCTACTGCAAACCCACCTGCAAACTCGGGTACAACTGTTCCCAAACAAACTCGTTCTTCTGCCGTGTCCATATATACCGCAACATTGAGCTCCATCGTACTGTCTTCGCTGTTTTCTTCTCTTCTCTTTCTTTAGACTGTTTAGTTATTTCATTCATCTCTAATTGTTTTTGTTGGATCCATCGATTTCTTTCTGGATCAACAGTCTTGACATAGACCCAACACCAGTAATTGAATCTTGTTTACTACACCCAAGCAATGGCAAATAAATTTTATTGACTTGTATGTATAGACCGATTCTTGTGTGCAGTACCACGAAAATAAACTATTAAACAGCTAGTTTCATGGACGTTATTGTCAAGAACTGAAAATCTCAAAGGTCAATTTATAATACAAAAACTGAATACTCGACCAGTCTATTCCAATGCAAGATACAGGTGTTTCATTCTACGTGAATACGGCTGTCAATACAGAAAATCAAAACTTGAAGAATGTACTCGAAACTAAATATCTACTGCAATAAAATACCAAACTGTGTCAGATTGGGTTAACTCGATTTGTGTATAACCCAAATCGAATATAATCAATTTTTGCAAGATATCGACAACTTTTACATCCAATAAATAGCATGTTTAAACTCCGCTTTAATGCTGCACAATACGTTCATGTCAAGGTTGCTCTAATAGTGATATCATTGATGGCCATGTAAAAACAACTGCAATACTAAAACATGTGGAGTATTATCAAGTATACTCAATACGCTAGTACAAAAAGCATGTGATGGTTGCTAAAGTCTGAAAACCATCTAAATCATAAAATCACATGCTAATGCATGTTCAGGGAATACTGTATTTGCTTTTGAATGAGGTGCTGGAAAAATCAATTGTTATATTTAGATATATAGGCACCAATTATCTTGAAATCAGAATGAGTAATCGACGCTCTAAGCCCCTAGTACTGCACCCTTTGCATTTAATCTCATGTTTAAATATGACTTATTATTAAACATATCAAGTGATACCGTGGTCTAATAATGTGCATGGACTGAAATCAATTAATTTTATTCACATCATTGATGTGTATGGTTCATTTTAATACGAGTTCTTGCTGCTTGTTGTTCAAGACATACAAGCTTTTAAAACAAAATGAGTTGATTGAATGTACATGCTCAAGTACTAGTATCTCGCCATTGTTTTAGATAAACCCAATCAATATTGCATAATAAACCCGCGACTATTTGAGCTAAATATTGGCTGCTGTTACTCCAAAAAAACGTCTGTGATTTTATTGATAGAACATTCTATGACCAAAATGATTGGTAACACTTTGAATAATAAGTTTGAAGAGCGGAGTTGATGCTGTAGAGCCAACCGCAAGTGCCACAACTTCAGTCGCGTTCCGTCGACTCCGACAATTACTGATATTTAGCAATGAATTAATGGGATCATTACAACGCTCAAGTTCTTCATTAAGCAATAAAGCAGCTTTAGCTGCATGATATTTACTTTTATCCATCTCTTACCCAACGAAGCTTCCACTTGGCCTCTACATTTCCCCGCTTAAATCTATCAAAAGTGCAATTCGTCATCCTCAAGCCATCGCAATTTGTATTCATCTAATTCAGTCCGGCAACCATAAATTATCAACAGTCGTTTATAATTCAAAGATAAACTAAACTTGTTGCATAGTATGACGAGACCTGGACGTAAACCGCCGGTTGGAAAGTGTAAGATCCCTTTGTTACCCTCAAATGCTAGAGCGATAGATAAACCTAGATTTATCCAAATCCCTCACTCTATATCAATCAATGGGTTGCTACCATCCAATATGCTTGCAATGCATCTCCAATCCAGTGAAATCCATATCAACTAATAATGTATCATATTATTGTAATGAATTGATTCAGATCCGGTTGCTAATAGCAATAAATCCATGTCGAATACTGTGTGTGATCTGTCATTACATCGTATTCCGCCGAATGAAGCGAATTCAAAACCAATAGTAGATACAGACAGTATCAGTCACATTCTTGTTCAGAAGCTACACAGTGACAAAGCATCCTACACTTGGATTGGGGACAGCGTTCTAGTAGCTGCTCGACCTATTGTTCCTGTACTCACTGCCGTTACTACAGATACCATCGTTGAACAGCTGTCCAAAGACCGAGCGGCAAAAACAAAGTCTCTTGGGTTCACACTGCTGAATAAACCATCTACTTCACCTCCTGAGCTAATCCCATCATTGTCTACTCCTGTGGTCGAACCTCACCTTTTTGATTTGGCTGGCTCGGCATTTGTACATCTCCTGAATGACAAGCAAGATCAATGCATTTTTCTTTGGTAAGCAGACAGTTGTGCAGGAATGGGTCAACCATAGCAATGATGAAGACCAGACTAGATGCATGTGAGCAAAGTCTTGTTGCATACTCCATCCGTACTAACCGACCAGCCATGTGTGTAATATCAATTTAGTGGTAATTCCAATAGTGGTAAATCTGAATCGGGACGACTGATTGCTCGTCATCTGAGCGATCTTTCAAGAAATACTGTGGCTACTAAAAAGCCAAAAGTTCATTCGGCTGCAATCAAGCTGGACCATGTCTTGTCAGTATTTGGCAATGCTGTTTCTCCGCAGAACATTAACGGCTCACATTTTTCAAGATATACAGAGTATCAGTTTAATGATGATGGCAGTATGGTGGGCGTTAAACTGCTCGCGTACAACCTGCAAAAACAGCGAGTTACTGATGCAAGCCATACTCATGCCAACTTTAACGTGTTTTATTATCTCCTGTCTGGTGCCGATCAAGATATGCGAACCAAATTTCATTTGGCAGAAGCATCTCATTTTTATTTCCTAAATCGTGTACAGTCCAAACCGGCCATTCTCTCACATCAGCATCACTTTGATCCTGAAAATCTTAATCGACTGGTAGATCACCTCAAAGCATTGGGAATTCCTAAAAAGGCTCATATGGATATATTCCAGCTTTTGGCTGGTATCTTGCATCTTGGCAACATCAATTTTGTTCGTACTTCTGACTATGCAAATCAAGCATGCGAGGCCAAAAACTACCAACATGTTCAGATTGCTGCCACGTTACTCGGTCTCAAGCCTGAGCATTTGTTATCAACACTTACATTTGAAACTAGAGCAGTTGGCCGTGAACTTTGCACCATGATTCTTGATGTCGATGGAGCTATTCGTCAAAGGGATACACTTGCACAACTTCTTTATTCGCTGCTTTTTCAATGGATTATTGAGCAAATCAATACCAAGTATTGCAAAGAGGAGTCTGAATGGACACGTTATATTTCTGTTGTCGATTTTCAAGGCATCCAAACATCTTCGCCTGGACTTGGAAAATGCCTGGCTCGCTTGGTATCCAACTATGCTGCCGAACGTGTTCAAGGATTTGTGGTGTCACAACTTACAGCCGCTACCGATAGGCTTGTGGCTGAACATGCCATCAAGATACCACCAAGATCGCGCACTAACTCGGCATTATCTTTGGTTTCCAATAGCGACGTGTTACATCTTTTAGCTGCACCAGCCACTGGTGTCATCTCTATTCTTCAAAACGAATATATTCGACGAGAAACCTCTGGATTGCCTGGAGCAGGTTCATCTACTGCCAACAGTATTAACATCTTGGAACGCATTGCTAGTGTGAGCTGTGAAGATCCAAAACTAATCACCTACACCTCGCCACGAAAACAGTTTGGTATTCGCCATTACAATGGTGTTGTAAACTACGAGGTGTTTCAACCCACAACAGCTGGGTCTTATACACATGGTTCTATTGCTACTAGTGTGGGCTATAATGACTTGTCAGCAAGTACCAATATCTCGACTGATTTTATTTCACTATTTTGTGGATCCATGGACCAACCAGCTGCTCAATTTTCTCTTGTCAGACAGTTGTTTTCCAAGCGTTCTATTGCTGTAGATCTCCATCCTAAAAACCGAATTACCCTTTTGCGTGCGCGATTGAGTTTAATGACATCTAGACGTCCATCTACGCTTCGAAAACGTAACACGATTCGACTTGGTGCACCTCATACAGTATCTTCTCACACTGGTCATGACAAAGACGCGACTAATGAAACCATGTCATTTATGATGGAACCTAGTATATTGAACGCTGATATGTCAATGGCAAACCGACAATCTCATTTAGTCTCTCGCCCCAATAGTTTAGTTGCCTCGATGAACCCATCCACCTTGGCTGATGGAGCTGCATCTCTTGATTCACAACAAAACTTTTTGCTGTCTCAAACCCAACTAACAATGGATGATCTTTTGGACAGTTTTTTAGATACAAATCTGTGGTTTGCTATGCATATTTGTCCAAATTCCAATGCGCGATCAACTGGTATTGACGTGGATGAAGTTACTCGACAAGTTCAAGCTCTTCAATTGGACGCCATTGCTAATTCCATGTGCACTCTATACACATGTGTCATGCCGTTTGAAACTCTCTGGTCCAAAATAGAATCTTTGAATATTCCAAACTCTCGTCACGCTGTTTCTGATAGCAGGCTTACAACCCACGCCAAAGATTCTGTTCATGAATTACTAAATTCATTGCGTTACATTGGTATAACGGACGATTTGTTTTTTGTTGGAGATCATCATGTATTTTTTACAGAACTAGGATCACGCCGATTTTACAGTGCCATCAATTCAGGATACTTGTTGCTTGAGCAAAGTGCTGTAGGCATGCCTTTGACACATGAAACAACTGAAAATAATGGAGCATCTCTTGCTAAAAACTCACACATCATTTCTGTCGAGTCTAATCAGCAGCCGTTGGGTGATGTTTCTGACGATGGAAATTATGAAAACAACCCTACAGAAAAACTCATTCAAAAAACCTCGGATAACAAACACCAGCAGAAAAAATGGAGATATCGTAAAACTGCTTCCATGGCCGTATCAACCACTTCTATGCAACCAACAGAAGATGATCCATATGAAATTGAATCAATGTATGATTTTACCTATGCAGCGAATGAAAAGGACAAAATGGGATCTATTTCTCACGAGACAGTGCGCAGATCCTTTACTAATTCCGACACTGTGCTTGGACATCTGAATGATCCGCTCGTGGATACAAAGGAGCGATCTGCTAAAGCTGGCTCTGTTGGTGCGATCAAAAAAACCCACAAAACAGAAAACAAGAACAGTTTGACTCCACCTAAACCTCGCACATTTGCTCGAAAATCTTGGCTGTGTTGTACATGGAGTTTAACATGGTGGATTCCTACATGTCTGATTTCATGTTTATTTGGGAAACGTCGGCCCGATGTACAAATTGCATGGCGTGAAAAAGTTGCTCTGTGTACTTTGATATTTCTCATGTGTGCCACAATGCTGTTTTTAATTGTTGGTCTTGGACAGGTTTTATGTCCTAAACAAAATATACTTTCCGAGGGTGAAGTAAGCACTCATAATAGCTTAACCGATGCATATGTAATCATCAATGGAAATTATTATGATATCAAAGACATTGTCAAATCGCATGTACAAACTAGTAGCTCTTTTATTGGAAGTGCCGCATTTGTTGTAAGTGGATTGATTCGAAATATTTATTTTTGAAATTTTTGGTTTGCAAGTATACCCATGTGAGCTATTATGTTAATGATTGATTTTAATCTGACTTGTGTGATTTTTGTTTTTATTGTGTTTAGAGCACTGTACTTGGAAGAGATGTCAGCGCAATGTTTTATCCCGCTAACCTTCCACAAAAATACTGTCCAAATATGAGACTTCCTGCTGGATGGGATAGTGTTTACCAGCGTAATAACCAAGGCACACCTCAAACGTGGTATTATCATACGAATGGTCAAAATCCAAGTGTTCCTCCACCAGATTATATTGGCGCCATGACATATATGAAAAAAGGACAAGTTGCACGATCGAGCGACTGGATGTCATCCTTCACCTCATCTGATTCAAATCACAAGCTGATTGTAGCATGGGGTCGCGTTTATGACATTTCTACATATTATGATGCAAGCAATGTTGGTGCCTTGGGAGATGGTCCAGGTTTCTTTGGTCCACTTGTCAAGCAAGTATTTGATGCATTTAGCAAAACTTCAATGGCTGGTCGTGATGCAACCTCTACCTTGAATCAACTGATAAAACCTCAATTTGGCGGACCTGTTGCTTTTGCTAATTTCAAAACCTGCATGGACAACTTGTTTATGACTGGAACTGTAGATACACGAGATAGCATCAAATGTGTACTTCCAAATTACATTATGCTGACAGCATCTGTGATCATGGTTGCAGTCATTGGTTTTAAATTTCTAGGAGCATTACAATTGACCAGCAAGGTCGTTCCAGAAAGTCATTCCAAATTTGTTATTTGCCAAGTTCCTTGCTATACAGAAGATGAAACGAGCCTTAAAAAGACAATTGATTCCATTGCACGTACTCAGTATGATGACAAACACAAACTGCTTTTCATTGTTTGTGACGGCATGATTATTGGTGCTGGTAATGACAGACCCACACCGCGTATTGTCCTGGATATTCTTGGTGTTGATTCCAGTATTGATCCAGATACTCATAGCTTTCAAAGTATTGGTGCAGGTCTAAAAGAGCATAATATGGGCAAAGTATATTCCGGACTCTATGAAACTGAAGGTCGCTTTGTTCCATTTATCGTTGTTATCAAAGTAGGAACACCAGCTGAACGTAATCGTCCAGGAAACAGGCAAGTGCTAAAATGCATATAGTAAATGGGTCAACTATTGATCTTTATTTAATGGCAAACAGTTCATGTTCTAATTATATTGTTGTGATGAAAACCTTGCATGTCAATTTACATTTTTGATAAAAGGGGGAAACGCGATTCTCAGATGGTTTTGATGCGTTTCCTCAACCGAATCCACTTTAATGCACCCATGGCGCCGCTTGAATTGGAGCTGATGCATCACATGAAAAACATTATTGGAGTCCATCCAAGTCTATATGAATACGTCTTGATGGTTGACGCAGATACGGAAGTGCTTCCAGATAGTTTGAACTTGCTGGTTTCTTCCATGATTGTAGATGCACGAGTCATGGGTATATGTGGCGAAACGCAATTAGCAAATGAGCAAGAATCATGGGTTACCATGATCCAGGTAAATTGTTTGATTTTTTGACATGTTTGGGTGTTGAATTATTATTTGCGTGTATTTAAACAATTTCTTGATTTGAACATTATGAAACAGGTTTACGAGTACTATATATCTCACCATCTTGCAAAAGCGTTTGAATCTTTGTTTGGAACTGTAACCTGTCTTCCAGGATGTTTCTGCATGTACCGTATTCGATCCAATTCGGCAAGTCGTCAGATTCCCTTGCTGGTATCTCCGCAAGTTATCAATGACTACTCGGAAAACAACGTCGACACATTACACATGAAAAACCTTCTTGAGCTTGGCGAAGATCGATATTTGACCACAATAATGCTAAAACATTTCCCAACACTCAAAACTAAATTTGCTAGCGGGGCATTGTGTCGTACTGGTGCACCAGAGAAATGGTCCGTGTTTTTATCACAACGTCGTCGCTGGATCAATTCCACAGTCCATAATCTGTTTGAACTGGTGTTTTTGTCAGATATGTGTGGAGTGTGCTGCTTTTCAATGAGATTTGTAGTTTTTTTGGATCTATTTGCTACATTTTTACAACCATCGGCTCTTATATACATTGTGTATCTGGTAAGTGTGGCTCTAATTTTACACGAGTCTGACAAACGTACTTTATAAGCTGACATGTTTTGATTGTGATAGATTTATGCTGCGTGTACAAATACCAGTGGTAGTTTTCCGACCATCTCGTTGATTATGCTGGCTACTATATACGGTCTACAAATGATCATCTTTATTTTAAAGCGTGAATGGCAGCATGTAGGCTGGATGATTATTTATCTTTTGGCTATGCCAGTATTTGGATTTTACGTTCCTCTCTATGCATTCTGGCATTTTGATGATTTTTCGTGGGGAAACACTCGCATGGTTGTTGGCGACAATGGAAAAAGTACCGCATATGCTGCAGATGCAGGAGAGGTGAGTTGAATCTTGTTTTACTAATTTGATGATTCAAAATATCAAGTAGTTTTAAAATGCAACGTCACTCATATCATTGTTGAAATAGACATTTGATCCATCATTGATTCCACTACAACGATGGGATGAAGTAAAAGAAAAGTCTGACGAAAGCCAAAATGTTCGATCCAAGAGTGTTGCGAGTTATTCTGATAAATCGTCTTTGCACTATGCTGGAATTCAACGTCCTCCACCTACAGTTAATTACGAGTCAAACATTTACGATTCGACTGTTTCTCAACATTCGATGAATGCAAATGGTATGAATGTTTTACCTGAAGCGGCAAGTATGAAGAGAGCCCCTATTGCTATGCAGCAGATGTATAGCAATCCATCGCAACCTTATGGACAACGTCACAATAGCAAAACCAGTAGTCAAGGAAGTGGTGGTAGTCATGAAGGTAATTCGAAGCATCCCATCACTCAACCTGCTGCGTATTACAATCCTTTACAGGCTTCCGCGCCATTAGTCTTTTCCAACATTTGGTACAACCCGGTGAAACCGTATGCACCAGCAGCATCTAGTGGAATTACTCACGACACTCCAGTAAATCATAATTTTGGTGGAAACGCTACTTCCAACGTTATTTACCCACCCCAGCATCATCCATAACAGTTTTAATTAATGCGATCTGGACACAATCAAACTATTGGTCTATGCCAATCACAAAAAAATAACTGTACCTGCAGTGCAACAATTTACTATCATTTCAATTTCCAAAGCATCATGTTTGAAAATACGCTGCAGTTGAATTAGGGTTGAACAAAACTTGATTGACAACTGGTTATGCTTCATTTATGCACGAGTCGTGACAGTCAAAACCGAGTTACCCTTTTGTTAGCTGTATATTATAGCCGTATTTGCATAAAATGAAACACTAAATAAAGTGCCAAAATACATAATAAACAGTTTTGTGGAATGATAAAATCATTAAATTCATGGACATTGTGTTCTGAAAATGATGCAAACTGTATGAATGCAGGTAAATCAGTGGGAGATGGTTAGAGCAAGTTTGACTCACCAGCTGACCAAAATGGGAGTATTTAGTTGACAATTGGTATTTGGACATGTTTGAATAAATGGATTACAAGCAGGTGGTAGTGTAGATCGTTGAGCAAACAGGTCGTGTCAACAAGTCAGATTGTCACTGTGGTACAGGAAACACAATCGATGATCATGCCATTCAAATCAACAATCTACCAATACTTACAAAACAGCAGCAAGAGTGATGGTTGCTGGTAATTTCTCATTCCATCTCTTCATGTTGATGCACATTTTAATTTATTTTAATATACGATTGAAATGGTTCAGATAAACTATTTTGGCTAACCCTTTCCAAATGCTAAAAAATGCGTTTTTATATCTTTGGTTTCATTCATCAAAACCGTTTTGATTGCGTATACTTGAATGCTTGAAAGGTTCGAGATTGCTCGATCTGGACAATATGCACTTTCCTGTGGCCGTCAGCTTGTATCTACGTTGGGAAGTCCTCAATTGCTACCAGTTGGTCGTCCATGCATTCTTCTTGTAAATGGGTTTCGATCTACCTTTACCAATTCTAAAAAAGCCAGATATTTGGAAGACTGGTGTGCTCAACAACGATTCCACTTTGTCACTTATGATCATGCTGGTCATGGTGATTCTTCAGTTGCATTTCAAGACTGCACGATTGGTCAATGGAGATCTGATCTGGCAGTTGTAGTGGAACAAGTAACTGGTCAACACAGTACCATTTGCCCTGCCAGTCCATTGATTTTGGTTGGATCCAGTATGGGTTTGTGGCTTTCGCTCCTGGTTGCTGCCTATGACCACCCATCTGCCATATCTGGGATCATTGGGGTTGGAGGTAGTATCAATTTTACAGAACGACTGCTCAAGGAAATACCACTAGAAATTGGATCAGTTTGGATGAGACCATCTCGATACGACCCTAATGGGTATCCCATACATCGAAAGCTTTTAAACAGTGGTCGTGAACATCTTTTAGTCAAAAATACTGTAATCAACTGTCCTATTGAGCTTATTCATGGAATGTGTGATGTCGACGTAAGTTGGGAGCAGTCGGCCCATGTCGCTCTTTTACTAAATACTACTTCATCTGTTGTTGTTACTTTGATCAAGGATGCAGATCATAGACTATCAGCGCCATCTGACTTGCAGGTTATTGGCCAGGCATTAGACCGACTTGTTGAAAAAGTATCAAATTCAAATAAACTCGGATAATACTTTTATTTAGACTCGATTGATATAAACTCAATCGAATCTAAATAATCCTGTTTCTCACTATTACTACCACATAATATGTCATATTTTAATATTCCATAAACATCAATAAAAGCAATGAGATTGACAAGACTTTATACGAAAAAACAAGTTTGGGTTGTAAGATAACCTATTCATAACAGTTAAAGTGTCTAGGAGATGACTGTATGGCTTAATGATGTATATACTAAACCAAGATAGATCCATCGTGTAAAATAAACATGGATCATACAAAAGAAAGATATCCAATGGTTCCAAGTGCAGCCAGTAATGGAAGTAGAATTGCAGCCATGCTGGTTGATACTGGGGAAGCTGGCTCAAATGCAGCATTGGTTGCAGTATTGGGTGGAAACGGGTTTGACTTGGCGACTGGGATTTGATTAGAAACAAGCAGTCTAAAACTAGCAATGCCCATTCTTGGAAATCCAGTATTGAAGCAAGATGCGGGGGTTCCAGACAGTCCAGTGGGATCAACGTTATCAGCAACGATACGCAACTAAACGGGTAAAAGCAATAAAGCGACAATGCATCAAAAAGTATTAGACTGGTGGTAAAAAATGAGGTTTTTAGCAGACTGCATTCAATGGTAATTTACATTATAGCTGTTGGCAGGAGCATTTGGGATGGTTCCAATAAATGTGGTATTGGCAGCAGGGACTGTAGTCCATAATGTCCAAGTGCGAGTGACAGTAGCACTCTGATAATAAATGGAAACTGATTTTGCAGGAAATTGAGCTCGGTCTGTATCTGCAGAGTAAGTCCTATATGATAATGCCAAGCAATACGATTTAAAATGATACTTGGTTAATTATCTAGATAATTAATCATGACATTGTAGAAATGGCTTATAAATGCAATGTGTAAAGACAAATGGGATACGACTGGAACCATTGGCAGGATGGTCTTGAATATAAAAATGCAGGTCTATTTTCTGTAGATGGTAGACGAGAAAATTCTCACCAGTTGACAAGCACTGGAGTTCCAGTATAAAAGTAAACGGATGCGTTGGGTGAGCTCACAGCAATGTATGCGTTGCCTTGATTATTTGTAGTGCAGTTTGCGCCAGGACACATTTGTATGAATGGGTTGCAGGCAGCAGTAGGCGCAGAAGTTGCATTGGGTGCTGGAGCAGCAACGGTTGTTGGGGCAGGCACTTGACCTGAACTATTAGAGAGAATCAGCAGTAAAATAAAAAGCTGTTGCATAACCCAACGACTTCCTTGACTGTCGGTTCCAAAACGAGCAAGGTATAGCATTGCAAGCTGAAAGTATTCACGTAAAGCTCTAAACAAGAATGTCAAATTATATAATAAACAGTTGGTTTCATGAAATGATTGGTTGACTAGCATTATGCCATATGAACACTCTTGCGTGGATACGCTGCAATCGTGCTGTGCGATATAATTATTAAATTTCACAAGTCTGTTCCAATGGCAATCCCAATCAACTTGATTGCTGGTTTCAATCAAAACAATTAAACTTTCCAAAATGCATGCCATTCTACGTCTGTCGGGCCACTATTCAATCTTGACCATTTCCATAAAACTAATTAGTGGCGCTAACCCATTTTCAATGTGTGCAGCTATTCGATCCAATGTTTGCTTGTCTACCAAACTGCTCGTTGCCATACAGTCTAAAGTTTGAATGTAGAAAAATGGCGCTTCATTCACGTCCGCACTCGTCTTTCTCAGCGTGCTAGCTAATCCTGATTCCATTGAAATAGAATGTCTGCATTCCTTTATTTTTGATTGACAGTTCAGCAGCATCCTCTATTTGTAAATTGATTATACTATTGTGCATTATATTTATAACTTTCAAATGTCTTCATTTTTGCCTCAAAACAACTCCACTCAACAATCTCTGCCCGATGTCTTGATAAATGGTGATACAACAACAGTTGTGGTTGAGCAGCTTATTATAGGTATGTTCATTGGCTTGTAGTTCAAGTTTTTTCGTGCATTCTTTTGGCAGTGATATTAACCATAACGCCTAATTCATTTGCATTAGCTATTGGACTCACCATTCAAGTATGCAACACTATTTATGGTTTACGTCATGCTATTTCCATGAAAACCGGATTCAATGTGGTGCTGGCATTCTCAATGATTATTTATTCAATAGCATATATTCCCTTGATGCGTAAGTTGTCCCTAACCCTCTTTGATGAATATCATCTTACATTTCTAACTTTTCATTTTCAAACTGTCTAATACTCTGATATATCAACAGTTGACTCGGGTCTTACGTCAACTTCTGACTCCCTACTTAGTTTCACAGACAACGAAATCTCGATAAGATTAAACACGATCGTAACTCTGACTGTGACTCATAATGTCTTGTATGTAACTGCCACGTTTATCTATTTGCTGTTGGTGCAACTAAGATTCCGTGTAATCAAAAACATCATCTCTTATCCTGCCGTATGGGTAAGTTGTTGGGCACAATACATGGTGTTGAAACCAATCGACATGTGCTAACTCTAGTATCGAATGTAGGATACCTTCTTTATCGTCCTTACTTGCTTAGTATGGGTATGCGCTGCGGTTGTAGTGGGAATTTTAGGTCCAGCCATCTGGCCATCAATGATTAGTATGCAAGTTCATATGATAGGTCTGATCATCTGGTCTGTTTATGCGCTCTTTATCGATACCGTCCTTTCGTTTACTTTTGCCATCAAAATGTTCTCTGCACGCCAACGCATTACCAATTTGATGAAATCGACCCAAATTAAAAGAGAGATTCAGACTCAAAAAACAACGCAAAACGTAATGATCGCTTTGTGTGTATTGTGCACTGTGGCTTGGATCTCGTTTATCATTGCTGCTGTTGGTGCTATATTCTACTATCATATTCCTGCTCGTCGCAAGATCTTTTATTGTGTTGGATTTTCTCTATCTTCACTCGAATTTAGTGGTGCCTTGGTAGGTCATCAACTGCTTTTCCAATCATGACTGATTGAATGACTGTTAACCCATTGCGCTGTTTATAATGTATAGGTCTTTATCTACTCTGTTAAAAACCTTTTTCAAAATCAATCTACAACGTCTTTTTCTGATGCTCGCAAAGCCAGTCTTACTTCAAGTATTGCGGAAAGCAAAGTGTTGGAGTTGCAGAAACCATATATCCAGTCGCGCTCATCAACCAACTCGGAATCTGCAAGTAGTTCCAATACTATCTCAACTCAACTCAATGCACACCATTCAATCACACAAACATGCATATCTTCCAGAACTTCGTCCATTTGTACTTCTGATCCTTTACTTGCTCTTATTGATGAGCAATCTAAACAATCGATGTATAATGCTGAACCCAGCGTGTTGTCGTACTCATCAAAACGGTGCACTCATTCCTCAAATTCATGCTCTCAATGCTCAACTTCGCCTCATACTTGCTCTCATTTGATTTCCGTTTCGCCTTGTGCTTTAACTGCTCCTCCTATGACAATACTATCACATCATTGCTCACACGTTTGTCACCACCTTTGTACTTTAAACCCACCTCAATTTTTTGTATCTTCAAACCCAAATAGCCATAGTTCGATTGTAAATCTGTTTTAATGGACTGCCTTGTAACTACTTACTGCTTCTATTCGAGCACCACATCTTTTTTAAATATATATTATACAACTATTGGTTCTGGCTCATGTTTGAATGTGTATCCAGTATGTAGAGCAGCGAGTATTATGAATTACCACTGTTACCAACACACGATTGAATGGATTTCTAATATAAGCTCAGGACTTGAACCTACCCAATCCGTTAGTCACCAACCTCAATAAACGCGATGAACCAAATAGAACCCAATACCAAGGCAAACATCAATTTATATTGAAAATATCGATTAAATGATATCGCAAAACACATAATAATATAATAGTACACCTTTCCACAACCTATGGAGCATCATTTGGATTTATCGCCGTTCGTAATAAAGCATATATGCATATTGACCACCATGCCCAAATACTTCTCCTTCTACATCACTTACAAGATCCACACGGTCATCTGAAATTCTAAACCATACATTAGGTCCGGCTTGATCAGGATGTGTAGAGCTAGGAGGCATTTGAAATGTCCTATAGGTTACAAAATGTCCCGAGTCATGACTGCCATAATGCAAAATAACGGCTTTGAGGTGATACACAAATGGACGTGGCTGGATATCTACATCAGTGGTATTCGACTCGACAAAAACAGGGTTTCGATTCGTTGTATCATGAGTGGAAAGTACACTAGAATGATCCAAATGAGTGTCAACACATTGATCCAACAAAGATGTAGAATGACTCGGGTCTGATTCGATATGGGTATCTAGTTGAGGTGTATCAAAACGTCCAGCTAGAGAGGTTACTGATGGAAGCGCGGTGTGAGTAGCATTTTCAAGACTTGGACTTTCTAGATCGGTCGATAAAGACTCTGTAGTATCAGAAAACAAATCGTCTGATCCAGTCTTATCAGCACAATGCTTTTCAACCACTGTATTGTGTTTCATCATCGACAACATACGCGCTACACTCGTACTAGAGCGCGATGGAATGCCAACAAGACTGTTTAGATCGAGTATATCATGAAACACAATTCTTGAATTGTTCTTTATCAACTGCCCAGTTGGGAGATACACTGAACGTTGCATATGCAAGCATAAACAAGGTGGAGGAAACACAATAGATATTTGCTTGGTAGAGATGGGAGATGCAATTTTGACTTTGTTGACAGTTTGGGGCTACAAGGGTATACATTAACATGCAATGATAAATGCAAGTATCCAAATTAGCTCAAACAGCCCAATGAGTTTAAACTATATAACCAAATGACAGTCATGCATGATGTTACGTACTAGCACTATATCGTATTTCTGTTCCTTGATGGCATCAGTGACAAACAACAGATCGCGACGCAATTGATCTACATGAGCTGCTGTTAGTATGTGTTGCATGCTAGTTGCCAAGGGTTTAAAAGACTCGTTTTGAGTTGATGGTGAAGAAATGGGTGTGTAAGTGGAGCTAGAAGATTCAGATCCCAAAGGTGTGCCAGTCGGTTTCCCTTTTTTTCTTTTTTTTCTCTTATCCGAACTAGTATATGCTTTTTTCTTTGCTCCTGATACATATTTCTCAATACCACTATGTTCCATATTGGATATGTCTTGCACAGATGCCTCCGTGCTAGTCTTTAGTTTCATTTCATAACGTGATAAATCTTGCTCGAGTTTTTTGGCGGTAGCAAACAATGAGCATCGATCACAAATATAGCCATGAATAGACTCTATTCGTACGTAGTTTTCAATAATCCTTTCCAGCGTACATGATGGCTGGGTAATATAAAGATAAAACTAAAGTAAGCCAAATGCTATATACGTGTAAACAGCACTAATGATACATTCATACCACGCTAGGAACCGTCAGCGACAGGTTATCAAAAATGTCGTGCCGTAATGGTGACTAATTAGTGCCAATAGTGTAGCCATATTAAACGTACTGTTAATTAGTGCTGTTTTTAATAGGAAAATACATTATGCATTGAACACGACTGAAAGCAGCCTCCCAGTTTCAAACAATGCATGTACCTTGTAACCACATTGATGGCAGCAAATCCGACTAGCTAAAAGACCTGATAAGGGACTGCGCATTAAAACTCGTCTAGGTAAGTATACAAAATTGCCACTAACACAGGCTTTGATAAAATTGCCAAGGACAGCTCCATTCACTAGGGGTAATCGCTGTGGAAGAGTTGATATATCAGCAAATGATGAGATCATGTGTGGAACAATGGGTTGTTCTTCTTTGGTAAGGAAACTCGACACAAACTGAAAGAGTTCGTGAGCATCCTGTTGTTGGTATCCAAGAAGATGGTTTTGATTTCCTTTACTCCCAGCTAGCGCATCCACCAATCCACGAGGCCGAAATACCTTTTTAGATGGACTAGCATCATTCAATGCTGCAACATACGCAAATAGGTAAACCAAGTAAATATATGAGTGTATAGTTCAAATGCAACACTGAAGCAACTCACTAGCTACCATTTACAACCATAACAATGTAAATCAAAAGGGTTTAAAAATAAATCCGCATATTACCCTCTGACAGATCGAATAGGGCTTCGGTGACAGGCAATGCAGGTCGTGGATTATCGTCCAAATAGTAGCTCTCAATGCGCTGCTCGAGATACTTGACGAGTCTAGGCATTGATACAAGCGATTGAATCACGCTATTCATGAAACATGTGTTTCCCATGTTGTATAATCCTCCAGGATACCAAATCTCGTCATCTAATGTTTTATGAGGACCATGAATAGAATCAATGTTTAGACCATGTTGTTGATAGTCATGAGTAAACTGCACAGTAGCATCTATTTAGACTAAGATATACAAACTTGCACACCTGTATGCCTGAGAGACTGTAAATCATTATCGTCAGCACCATTATTTTTAGACTTGAACACATTTCGACGTCGACCTAATGTGTTGTCAACATCTGTTTGAGGGATATATGGAGCAGCCAGTTTCCAGATCCCCAATCCACCGACAACAACGTACAAAGCGAGCTGCATAACCCAAGTAGGTGGTAATGTGAAGGTAGAGATGGGCATGATGATAAACTGAACAAACAAGTATCGAATAGAGTTGACTATGACAGCCAAGTAGGAGAAATAAGTGACTTTGTCGTAGTTTGTGTAGATGTTGTTGATGTCGTTCCAATTGGATGAGTAAGCGTCTGGAGTATCTATAAGTGGTTGAAACAAGGCAGTGTTTATAAGCAGCGAGATGTGATCAACTATACTGGATATATCGTGCCAGATGGAAAAAACAGCGTCCATCAAGTTAAACCCGAATACAAATGATAGATTGCTGAATCAAGACCTAAATAGGCCAGAACTAAGATGAGCAAGTGGTGTTGAAATCCTGGCTAATAGCTAAGTTGGGAAAACCTGTTTTTTCGATGTTGATTATTTATTGCATTTTTGTAATTCAACTTCGGCTTTAGTTCACGTGTTTTCTAATGGTTTGATTCGAGTGTTAATCCAATATGAAACAATTGCCAGCAAATCAGTGCATTCGAAGCAGGCTGATTCAGATTCAAAAACTGCAATTTAATGGCAGTTTAATAGCAATGCAACGTATGCTGTGGAGTGAACTAACAGAGAATGTTGCATAGCGATAGTCCAACACTGAATAAACAAGTTGATGAAAATGGCATAATTGAATCAAATTTATAATAGTAGACACTGATACAAAGAAAAAGGTAGCAAAGGGCTAATTTCATGAATGATTGATGTTCAGCAACATTGAGCTGCAAGTCAGTAGCTATTTAGCCAAGTCCTTGGAATACTTTTTTCATAAAATCAACATCTAGCTGAGCATCTAATGGACTTGACGGAGCAGGAACTTCTGTGTCTGGAGCATTGGTGATTTTAGAGCTGTTGATGGTTTGGATACGCGATGGAGAGGAGTCACGAGCAGTCATTGATTTAGTGCCAGCTGCGCTTCCAATCTAATTGATTCAAAAAAAGTTGGTTAGGCTTTAGTAAATACATGATTGATTCAACTCCTGTTCATCCTTGTGGTACCTTGTGAAATCCCTCCATGATTGTGTCGTATGTTTCCAACTCGGCAACCACGCCTCTGGATATTAAATTCAAGATATTTTCCATGTCTTCGTGGGAGAGAGTATCGTATAACGTCTCGTTTTCAATGGAAAGGCGTTTAATTTCATCAGCAAGACTGACTCTGACATTTAAAGACTGATCCAATACAAGTTAGTTTTAGAAAGACTGGGTGATTTGTATTCAAGACCAATGCTAAACATTACACGTACATCCTGTAGCATTGCAAGGTCTCGTTGCTTTTTTTTCTTCATCTTGTAAGATTTATCTTCTTCGCTATGTAGTTCATTAATGAGTCCTTGGATGCGAGATTTGTTATCCACCTGCTGAGTCTAGATGTAATATGGATCAAGCAGCAGTATGGGGAGGGTTAGACAAGCCACAAGGATTGAATGGCAAGTATCATGCGTAGATGAATAGTTACCTTGACTTTTGCAATGATAGTCTCAATGTTTCCAAACAAAGGTTCTTCAATTTCCTTTTCGATTGTGGATGCCTATAGTTTGAACACATGAGTATTTGCAAATAAAACGATCGACACAGCAAGCCCAAGCAATTTACCCATATTTGATGTGTGTTGACGAGTAACTGAGTGCTATCAATAAAAAAGTCCAAGTCAGCCACGACAGAAGCATTAGAGAGTTGGGCTGGACATGAGTTTAAGATTCCGAGACAGGACAAATCAAAGAGATAGTTAGCAAACCAAGACTACATGACCCGTGGCGTGTGGCAAGGTGAACGAGTTGTTCATTAACAACACCATTACATACCAGCAGGAACACAATCCGACAATTCTTCAAGAGCACGAACAAACGTATCGGTAGCAGCAGCCATGGCTTGTATTTGTCTACGATAAACAGCCACCGCCTGAGTAAAGGACTGATACTGGCGTAGATTGAGTGTGGGAGGAGCATCCGACAGTTTCTGACGACGAGGATCCAGAGGACCGCCAGCAATGGAAGCCGAGATATCGAATCTACCGGCAGAGAAGGGAGTGATGGCAGCATGTGCCATGGGCTGTAAAGCAGCGGGATTCGCTGGCTGTGGTGATGAGCGACCAGAAGACTGTAAAAGGTTTGACTGGCGTTGCTGACGATGACGAGACTGGATGGCAGGAGTGGAGTTGGCAATGGGATGCGGCATATGCACTACAGGAGGAGTGCCGTATGAAGATGTACGACCAGATCGTCCAAAGGACAATCGCTCTGCAGTCCTTGCAGCCATACCACTCAGTGCACCACCAGCAGCGTTATTGCTGGGACCTGAAGCACTTGCAGCTGCGTGCATGACATCAATTCCAGAATCTGTCGAGCGTTTTCCTGACTGATGATTATGATAAGCCATTGGACTCATCAATGGAGTGGGTGATGATATGTGCTGCTTGCTGATCTTTCTGTTCATTAATAGTTTTGTCAAGTTGGTGAAGCTTGCCACTGGTGAACCCGTTTCAGACTTGGTCTTGATGATTGGATTATCGTGTCTTGACATATTTTATATATTTTATATAATGTTGCTCATCTTATTATCACTCATTGCCTTGACGACTGCATGTAAGTTGTCGATTCATCAATCTATTTGAATATCGTAAAACTCACTCTGTTTTTAGTCACATTAGAACCTCATCATTTACAGCAACTTCCACCATGGCAACCGCTTTCAAACAACTCGGCTCACACTATATTGGTCTCAAAAGAATGGCAGTCATTGGATCCTGAACTCATATCCTTGACCTCTAAACTCAACATCGATATTCATCATTCGCATGGCGTCGCTATCCTCAAAATCGTACCTCATATCAATAACATCGCTGTTCATGGTGCGGATAGAATACTCACTCTTGATTATAACCAGAATAAATGGATGCGTGGTGTTGTTCATGGTGGAAGTCTTGCTTCAAATCATTTGTTCTTGCATGAAGAGTCGAGTTTACTCGACCATCTTGTTTACACCGATTATCATGCTGCAAAGTTACCTCGTTCTACTGCTGATACTCTGGAAATTCCTTTTGTTACTCCATTTCATAGTATTGTTTCTCAAAAACTCGCTGACACAAACCCAGTCTGCATCAAACCTTTACATTCAACCAATCTTCCTATCGGATTCACTCTAACCGCCCATAATGCTCTTCGCATATCTCGCAAAAACAATGCTCACCAATCAGTACATGCTCACAATGATCTACCTCATTTGGATCTTATAGCTAAACCATTGTATTTATCTTCGCCTGGCTCAAAACTTCGTCCCGTATGGCGTATCGCTGATCCAACTCATTTATCAAGCAATCGTCATATACAGTTCATTGACGCTCAATCTGGCAGTATTGTCGCAACAATCCCAAAAGTACACCATGCTCATAAAGGCTATGTGTTTTCAGAAATTGGTATGCCACAGTTTGGATCAAGACCTCCCTTGACTGCTTTGGAAAATGTCTTTGATCCAAACATTGTCAGAAACAGCATATTCGGCAATAATGGTGGTCATGGAATTGTAGGTCGTGATGTTCGAAGCTCAAACGCCTGCTTTGCTTATACATGTACAAACGGCGCAGTAAATGGCTCATGCAATGAATCTCAATCTATTTGCATTGATTTCAGTTCTTACAGTAAAGATATGGTTCTGGGAAAAGACTATTTTATTGCCACTTCTTATTTTTCTACAGAAGGTGCTTTTATCGACTTGGACCGCGATTGGGTTGCTGACGGTTATATCAATGGCACTATTTATATGGCTTGGTATAATGCTCCTGTATTTGCTTCAAAACTCGTCGCTCCTGTCTTTGTTGATCAAAACGGTGACTATATTTGGGGATCTGATATCAACTTTGCATCGCTCACTGGTCGAGAACGCACAGATTCTTTTTCAGAATTACAGGCATATCACTTTCTTTCAACACATGCTGAATTTATGCGGAATCTTATCAATGATACATCATTATGCTTGATTGGTACGGGTGCCAATTGTGCTTTTCAAGATCCGCTTAATAATCGCACTGCTACTGCATTCGACTCTCCAATGCGATTTGTAACTAATCTGCAGTCTCTTAAAACTTGGCCAGATGCTGGCTCTCCTTATCCTAATATATTTGCTCAATTGAAACAAGGACTTGGAAAAAGTCTAGATAACCCAATTGTTTTTTACGAGCATAGTGATTACGGTGATGCCTACTTTAGCAGTTTTGGTTTTCAACCACCAACCAATGGCACCGAATGGAGAGATTGTAGCTTTGGTAAATGCGTATCGATCCAAGACTCGTATTTGGATTACATTGCATTTGGTCAAACTTCGGTTAGTGACTGGGCATTGGATGACTGCATTGCTTTCCATGAGCTGACTCATGCATTTGTGCACAAGTACATTCCTGATTTACCTTGGGTTGTCTGGACATCGTCCGGACTCAAAACCGATCCAGGTGCTATGAACGAGGCATGGGCTGATTACTTTAGTGCCATTCATTGTGGTATTAGCAATTTTAAAAAATCGTATACTCATCATCCAATCAGGGATTTAGATAATTCGCTCACCTGTGCTGATACCGTGGGCGAAGTTCATTTCGATGGCATGATTTTCAGCGGGGCATTGTGGGAAGTTCGACAGGCCATTAAAACTATTCCAACTCTCGTTGATAGTGATTATGGTCTTTATGATCGTATCGTACTGCACGCCATGATGCATGGCCATACAACAGATCTTTTTGAAACTCAATTGAATTCAATTCTGATGATGATTCAACAGCATCCACGTCTTAACGTTCTTGAAGACATTGCGACTAAAGTTTTTACGCACAGAGTCTTTGATTGTACTCGTGTTTCACCCATGACGGAACAATCTACAACAGCCTTTTTTCTGCCCACTGCACTCACTACAGAAGCCAATATATCTACACTTCCCACTCAATTGATGTTCAACCCTCGACCTGGCGATTGGGGACTTTTCATGTCCTGGGATCAATGGTACGAATCTCCTATTCTTGGGCCACTTACTATTGGATATGGCCGTACATGCATCAAAGCTTTGGTATCATTTGAATGTCCCATTTTTCTCAATGGATCAGATGTCAGTTCGATTGTTCCATATTCATCGTGTGGGTCCAACTCTGCCAACACCACTTTATCATGGACTTGTTCAGAATATGACGTGACTACATTTACTGGGAGTCTATATATTCCTTTTCCTTTTGGACATACACCTTCTACAGTGTATGTATGGTATGCGCATCAAGTTCCCGCAACTATGGTCATGTACTCATCCAAGATCACGTTTTATGGTTTTAATCGAATATGGAGAATTGTGTTTTTGTCTGTGGCTACCGCTGGGGTGCTTTCCTTTTTGTTGATGATCACGATCATATTTATAACATGGCTAGTCTTGTTGATTTGCAGTATATTTTCATCTCGCACAGATACCGCATCGCCGTCAAGTGCAGAGCATACTGATCAAAATAATGCCGAAACCAATAGATGCTGTCGTTGTGGTCCACGCGCACTTGGTATACTTTATATGGGCACATCTGCTTTTTTCCAATGTGGTGTATTGGTTCTGACATCCATTGCACTTGTATTTGGAGTTTATCGAGACTCTTTTACATATGGGACTATTGGTATTTTTGTCATCGTTGGCCTAGTTGATATGTTTGCAGGTCTGATGATTGACCAATCACATCTTGCTCAGCATGCATTACAAGGCTCGTATCTATCAAAGTATGCAGATAAGATTCCAACACTTCCAGCAGCAATTCTACGAAAATCACAAAGATTGACAGCCCTTCCTCCACTTCAGCAAATTTTAACAAGTGTAGGATTGATGTTTGTAGTAGTAACACTATGTGTGTTTCCCATCATGGTTGCACAATCTACACCCATTGCAGTCCATGTGATTGGATTGATTGTATTTTGTATTCTAGCGATAGCGCGATTTGGATGTTGCCTGTTGTTTACAATTGGATTATGGCGCAGTGGTGTGAATAGATTGAACACATGAGTTTTATTTGACTAGAATGATCCAAGTTGTGTATATAAATGATATTTTATAGATGTATTGAATAGTAGAATGAGTGTGGTTAGAATGTGATTCAACAAATTGTTTTTAGTGGTAAATTCTCGAATAAAAGCCAAATGAACTGTTGTCATCAAGTAAAATAACAAGACACTCTCCATGGCATGACATATCCACAACGATGTCGATATCCATCATGAGCATGTGATATCCTACATCAGGTCATGTGACCACAACACAACTTGTCAAAGCTTGTAATTTTAATCCAACTTGGATTCACAACTACAAACTACGCTGCCATGTCGTCCCGCTTTTCACAGGCGATGTTGGACCAGATCAAGGCCTTCTCGGTGCTTCCTCAGACCTCAGTCTCGCTAAAACAAATGGTTCTTTTTGGTAATATCAAGTCTTACTTTTGGTGGCTTTTTACTGCTTTTCAAATAGACTTCCCATAGGATCATATCGGCTTCTTGGGCTCTCCTCTGCCTATCTTGACAAACACATGTGGTATCCTTGTGTAAAATGATTCGCAATCTAACTAGTTTAATTTTAGGTCGGCAACCATCCCAAATCACTCTTTTGCACGGCACTCAGTTTGTTCACCATGAGCTGCCTGTCCGTCTAGCACATCGGGTAGTTGAGCTCGAATCACTTCCATATGAACTGTCAAAAATGTCGAGTATAAGCACAGTCAAGGATTGGTACACACAAAGTTTTCAGGACTTGATCGAGTTTCCGACTCCGAAGCAGTTTGGCTTGTCTGATAAGCATTTCTTGCCAAGCCTTGATAATCGTGCCAATCCAGGCATGTCTAATACAATGTCAACTTTTTGGAACCTCGTTTAAATCATACGCTTTATTGGCATTGAAAAATGATGCTATAGATGTCCTATGTTTACTAATCAACCTATTCGATCTGACATGTATTTTGTAGAGTTTCGATATTTTACTCCAGATGGTGCTGATTCACCCCAGGAAGTCAAGGCATACAACTTGAAGTTTTCAGAGTGTATTGAAAAGATCAAACGGAGACATGATCCTACTACAACTACTGTTGGTAATCATCTGATATATACTTTGACTCATTTCAAGATAACTGTATTAATCCAACATCAACTAAGATTTCTTTACTGATGCTTCATTTGATGCACTTTTGCCAGCTCAAGGAATCATAGAACTCAAGGAACATTGGAAGCGTACAAACTCGCCATTGTTATATACGAACGCTACCAAAGAACCTGTTGGTATTACTCCTTGTCAGCTACCCCTTCCCACTGCCATCCAGTCTTTTCTCGATAATTTTTACATGTCTCGCATTGGTATACGCATGTTAATTGGCCAGCACACAAGCATGACCAAGGCAGTTTGTAATAACACCACACAAGAGGACTATGTAGGCATTATTTGTACAAAAACGAATGTAGGAGAAATAGCTTCTGATGCCATTCGTGATGCCCGTACCATTTGCCAAGACTACTATGGTCTATACGATTGTCCACAGATCAAGCTCATGGGCTGTACAGATATTGATTTCATGTATGTTCCTAGTCATCTCCACCACATGCTTTTTGAGCTTATTAAGAACTCGCTACGTGCCATTGTTGAGCGATATGGCGTGGATTGTGAAACTTATCCCGAGATCCGGTTGGTTGTTGCGGAAGGCAAGGAGGACATTACCATCAAAATCAGTGATGAGGGAGGTGGTATTGCACGTAGTGGGATGCCCTTGATATGGACCTACCTGTATACTACTGCAGAAAAACCACTACTTGAAGAGGGATACAACCAGGGCGATTTTAGAGCACCTCTTGCAGGGTGAGATATGTTTGATTCCGGTACTCATAATCAAGACTATATGTACTCATGCTTTTTAATTTTGTAGATTTGGATATGGACTTCCACTTAGTCGACTATATGCTCGGTATTTTGGTGGGGATTTGCGGTTAATATCAATGGAAGGATATGGCACAGATGCATATTTGCATCTATCTCGCCTATCTGACTCGTGTGAACCATTACCATGACAGAAACCAAGTGAAATAAAGTAATGTTTTAAATCTGCGCTCAACTGATTCTTGGAGAAATACAGAATATTTAAACAGTTTATTAGCAATCACGCAACAGTCTGATACTCAGTCTAATACGCAGTCAGCTATAATCTCATGCGAGCATCCAATCGACTTGTGTGGATTTCATTGCCAGTTGGAAAAATCAAATGTCGCGGCTTTGTCCTTGTTGCCACAATCAGCAGCTTCAGCAAGAATCGCATTCTTTTACTAGTTTACAATTGTCATTCGGTCTTCTTATATGTCCAGGAGAAAGGTAATAATAACGACTGTTTATTGACTTTGTACTCTTTGCAAAAGTGGATTCAATGGCAATCCACTTTTGCAAAAGAAGTTCATTGAATCGAAACCCCTTGTACATATGATGCGATTGTAGCCATGCAATCCTTGCGATGGCCATCACTGACTGTTAGTGTTGACTAAACGACTGGCTTGCTGAAATTAAAGTATTGGATCATGTGTCCATATGTTTGCAACACATGCCATCCAGCAATCCACCCTTTCATCACATTCACAACCCAATCTCTGTCAGTATACGACTTGTCAAAAAACATGAAAGCTGGAACCATTGCAAAACTAAAAATTATGGATTGACTATTTACATTGCTTTTTGGTATCCATTCCATCATCCAGCTCTCGGTCTCTCAGCAGAATGATCTCTTGACGTTTCTTTCATCCCCTGCTGTCCCAAGTGTTGGAAACTACACTCTTTCTCAAACGATCGGTCAAGGTTGGTCAAGATCTTTAAACTGTTTTACTTGGACTATTCTGTAGTGTAAACAATACCAACTCATCCGAATTTTAAACTCGGCATTGTTTTGAATAGGAAGTTTTGGTAAAGTCAAAATAGGATACCATAAACTCACTGGTCAGCAGGTACATAGTATAGCGTTGATTTAATGAATCTGTTTTGATCCTTCATTTAATGTATTGATGCTGTTGGGTTGCACTATAATCAAGTATGATTTAAACCATAGCATCGTTGGTTGACTCACATTTTGACTGATACCAGGTGGCAGTAAAGATTGTGGACAAAATACATGCTCCAGCACTCGTTCGTGAGGTAGATTTTGCTTCAAAGTGTACATGGTTTGGATGCATAACGCTGCTCATATAGTTTTATCTATTCGTTGTATTATAATCCACAGATTGAGACATGGAGACAAATGCGACATCCAAATATCACACAGTTATACGAGGTTTTATGTACAGAAAGCAAAATATACATGGTGATGGAATATTGCAAAGGAGGAGAAATGTTTGACTACATAGTCAAACATGGCCGTTTAGACGATACAAAGCTGGAATGTCGACGCATATTTCGGCAAATTGTAGATGCCGTTGCCAAATGTCACGAAAAAAACTTTGTTCATCGGTAAGTGCATATCCATGTATTCAGAAAAGAATATGTGATTGTGTATTAGCTGACTGATGTAGTTTTGTTTAAAATAGGGACTTGAAGCTTGAAAATGTATTAATGACTGATGATTTGAATATCAAACTGATTGATTTTGGATTCACGCGTGACTATGAAGGATCGACATTACTTGATACGTACTGTGGCTCCTCGGCATATGCTGCACCTGGTATATACTTTTTTCAGTTGTGGTGAATCTATATTTGGATAGTCTACAATGGCTGACGTTTATCACTATTTGGTGCATTTTGATGCCTATTAGAAATTGTATCTGGGAAAAAGTATTTAGGACCCGAGGCAGATATTTGGTCATTAGGCATGTTCAAACAGTTTGAAATTGTAATGAGCTGATATAGTGGATTATTTTATAATTTTAACAAGATGTACCATTGAAAACAGGTGTGATTTTATTTACAATACTTTGTGGATATCTCCCATTTGATGAAGAAAACGATGCCATTATTCATAAAAAGATCAAAGAGCTTGACTATGAGTTTCCAGACTTTCTATCCAATGGTAAGGGTATTGCTATAAAGTGAAATGATTCATCAAATATGTTGACCATGTTGCACCTATACCGCCTCGATTGACTAGTATTTCAAATGTGTTTATTTTTTAGAAAGCAAGGATTTGATATCCAAATTTTTAATCATTGACCCTAGCAATCGCATTACACTATCCGACGCACTTTTGCATCCTTGGTTTAGCGCGGTAGATCAGACTACTCAACTCATGCCGCTTGCTGATGAGCCTTACCTCAGCGGATCAAAGGAAGAAATGATGCTTGCTGCACAACTCGAGGCTTTAGGGTTTGACGTTCGATCTATTTTGGAGTCTGTGCATACTAACATGTGTGATCAGGCATCAGCACTATGGTACCTGCTTCTTGCTCGAAATAAATCTGAATCGCAGGCCTACAATGCTGCTCTATCCTCATCATCCTACGCTAATCCGACTTCAGATTCACGCAACACTACGACAGCACCTACTGCCACATCTATTGGGTGTGCAGCACTCCCATCAAGTGATTCTGAGCTTCCTCGGGAAGATATTGTTCAGCCCATGCTGCTTCCACTAAGCATGGACGTTGAGAAATACTTTACACATGCTAAACAAATTTCATCACAGTCCGAGAATCCATTGCTTAATTTTGCCAACACGTTTTGTTCATCGATATCACCCGTTCCATTTCCTGTGAGTTTTCCGCATCTCGGAAACCCGACAAGTGCTGCGCGTGGTAGACGCAACGTCATGATGGATACCATGCGATCAACGACCCAACCCATTAATTCCACATCTTCAACCATTGCACAACCCAATGGTGTGATGACTTCAGGATCGAGCCTGCTTGGAGATACATCTACAAGAGTGAAACCCGGATCGGTACGCTATAGCGGAGCAGTTGTGCATTCGGGGAGTGTACGACGTCATCCGCATATCAGCACACCCACTTCAGGTCCACCATCTGCCCGTATGGTAGGGTTTCCATCTGGACATGGTGCAGCAGATATTGCAGAGGAATCTGAACCAGATGATCCATTCGACACATAGTGTATACTAGTGATTGTTGAAATATCTGTTTATTGTTCTCCTTGACTTTGATCCATCAAGAAATATCTGAATCTAACTACTCGACATTCAAACAACGAGCATAGTATGAATCTGCAGCACCTAATTCGAAGCTTGCATTTTTGGCATATCCACCCTTAATCTTGTGACAACGTAATAAAGATTTATAGTTTTTGAATACGACAGTATACATCGATAACTGAATGCAACGCACTGTTTTAGATTTGACATTTGAAGCAGTGTATAACTGGTACAAACAGCATCACTCGCGCAGTATCTCGACATCAGACATTAAACCAACACATCAGACCACAAGTGAGCAGCGACCTTGTCCGCTTTTTGTCGCACTCAGTGGACCACAAGGATCAGGCAAAACCACACTTGTAAAAGAACTGGTAAAAGAGTTGGACCAGCGAGTGGGATTAAAAGCAGTTGCCTTGAGTGCAGACGATCTATACCTGACACATGCAGAGCAAGTCATACTAGCCAACACACACAAAAGCAATACATTATTACAATACCGAGGATTACCAGGAACACATGGCATCTCATTAGGAGTTCAAGTTCTTTCTCATCTTGCAAGACAAAACGAACACATCAACAATAGTGTCAGTATCCCATGTTATGACAAATCTCTATACCAAGGCAGAGGAGATCGAATGGATGAATTGCACTGGAAAACAGTGACAGGACCGGTAGATATAGTCTTGTTTGAAGGTTGGTTCTTGGGATTTCGATTCAATTGGAATGCATCAACTCAACCCAACTGGAATGACATTCTCTCATCTCGATCCGAGTCTCAATCTGGATCTCAACCTGGATTCACTTCAATCTGCACTCAAGACAATCTTATTCAAGTCCTCAACTCGCTTGTGGAATACAATCAACAATGGTATCCATTCATCCATGCTTTTATCCATATAATTACCCCACAACTTGATTGGATTTACGATTGGCGATGGGAACAGGAACAGACCATGAAACACACTGCAAATACTTGCAACCTCAATACTATGGACACTGTTGGATTAAGTCGAGTTCAAATCAATGACTTTGTAGATCGGTTTATTCCCGTGTATCGAATGTGTTTGCCTCGACTAATCTCAAATGGGTTTTTTGAAGAGACTGAAAGGCAAAATTCAAATCAGCATTTACAGATCTGGATTGACTATTCCAGAAAACTGGTTTCTTATAAATATATTTGACTATTGAATCATATTTGTGAGTGTTTTTGACTTGTGTTGTGTCCGGACACTTTATGCAAGACACGTGTTGAGGCTGCTTTTCTTTCGGACAAAAATCTGGTTTTAGTCTTGGTTTTCAACTTTAAATCAAATATTGAAATGGCTCGTCAGCGTCAAGAACCTCAACAGCAGCTGCAGCATGAGGAGGTGGTAGTTGATGCTGCATTACAGCAATCTCAGCAGATGACTCAGATGGAAGAGGATGAAGCATCTGGTCCCTTGCGTGTTGAAAAATTAGAGGTAATCCTTTCATGCATATCATTGAGTATGTCCGGACTGTTGTATTCTCTAAACACTGGACAGTTGTAGTAGTTTCTATCGTCTTGGTTGTGTACAACATTCTTGTTTTGTCTGCATTCATGTTGGTGATTCGATCTTATCTTCAACTAACTTGTGCTCTGTTGTATCATGAATATCTCATTAAAAAGGATTTTGGAATCTCCAAGGGTGAAGTTGAGAAGCTGAAGGAGGCTGGATTTCATACTGTCGAATCTATTGCATTCACTCCAAAAAAATCATTGCTTGGCATCAAAGGCATCTCAGATGCCAAAGCTGACAAAATTCTTATGGAAGGTACATTTAACTCGCAACCTTTAGTAAAATAGATTTATTCTGTACTAGTCTGCTGTTTAAATATCCCGTTGCAATTTTAACGCCAACTACAATATTCATCACTGATCGGCAATCGGTGTGTTCTGATTCAACTTGTCTAACCCTATACTATGTCTACATTCTCCTCCAGCTTCAAAACTAGTGCCCATGGGCTTTACTACTGCTACAGAGTTTCATCAACGTCGTAGTGAAATCATTACTGTTTCTACTGGTTCAAAGGCTTTGGATGCTCTTCTTGGAGGTACGCATGCTGTGCTACTGATTTGATTTCAACTCTAGTCGAGTTTAAACCCGTTCAAAAATCATGATTGGTTTTGGCTAATTAAACTTGCACGCTTGGCACTCTTGTATATCCTTTACAACTATGCATGATTTATCTATTTGGTTTGTAAACCAGGTGGAATTGAAACGGGTGCTATTACCGAGATTTTTGGAGAGTTTCGTACTGGAAAAACTCAACTATGCCATACTCTTGCTGTGATTTGCCAGGTACTTTTATCGCTCTGCATTGTATTAACTCGAGTTTCTAATCTACTTTGGTTTACTGTATAATTGAAAGCTGCCTACTGATATGGGTGGTGCGGAAGGGAAATGCTTATATATTGATACAGAAGGGACATTTCGTCCTGAACGTCTTCTCGCTACTGCCGAAAGGTAATAGACTTGCAACACGGTTTGATTCTGCCGTTTTTAGGCTGGATCTAATTGCTTTTTTGTATTGCGCTACACGACAACCAAAATACAATATGTTTTGAATGTTCAGATTTGGCATGAATGGTGACGAGGTGCTTGATAATGTTGCATGTGCTCGTGCGTACAACTCTGATCATCAGCTTAAGCTACTAGGCACTGCTGCTGCTATGATGGCTGAGCAACGATTTGCTTTGCTGATTGTAGATAGTGCTACGGCGCTTTATCGTACCGACTATGCCGGTCGTGGCGAGCTTTCTGCTCGTCAGGTTCATTTGGCTCAATTTTTGCGTACACTGATGCGTCTCGCTGACGAAGTATGTACTGGTTGTTTTGTGCATTCATTTTCTAATCTTGAAAACAAAGTATTCGTTGTTGATAAATTTACTTGATTCCCTTCACTTGATGTGACCATGGCCAGTTTGGTGTTGCTGTGGTCATTACCAATCAAGTTGTGGCTCAGGTTGATGGCGCAGCAGGAATGTTCAATCCAGATCCCAAGAAACCCATTGGTGGCAATATCATGGCACATGCATCCACCACTCGGCTCTACTTACGCAAGGGCCGTGCTGAAACTCGTATCTGCAAAATCTATGATTCGCCCTGTCTTCCAGAAGCAGAAGCTGTGTTTGCCATTAATGCTGACGGTATTGGAGATGCCAAGGAATAAACTTTATTTTATACTGTTTTAATTTTTATTTTCAATCTCATTTTCCGAATCACTTGAATCTGATTGTGCTTCAGAATCCTCACTGCTGCTATCCTCTGATTCTTCGTCGCTGTCGTCATCACTTGACTCAGTATCTGTTTTGTGATCTACCACTTGGCTTTTTGAATCTTGAGATGTCTGTTTCAATTGCTCGATTCTTTCTTCAAGTACGGGCACGTAGTTTGCAATGAGAGTATTTTGCGGATATAGTTTTAAAACTTTGGAAATTCAAAATCAGTTGTTTTGTTGGTACCATTATTAAACCAACCTTGGTATTGCATAAAAACCTAATGTAAAACTACACCTACTTTCTTTTGCAAGCACCAATGCCTCCTGGTATGTTTTTCTAGCTATATTTATCAAAAACTACAGGTACACCAAGTATGAATAACAGCATTAATGCATAAACCCTAAACTTTATGATCGCATCCATTTGCTAGTCAGAAGTATACTCTGACGAATTTCAATACATCTCACCGTTTGCATTAAAGACAGTTCTATATCTTCACCATCGAGACTGCTGTCTTGGTCTAGTTTTTGGATATTCTACAACGATACAACACATGCACCTGTTAGTGTGTTTTTACTCTAGCTCACTTGGCAGCTGTTTTCCCACTGTTCCCACTGTTTCAAGTTTATTAAAGTATTACTGTATTGTGTTTTATACTTACTACACAGTCCATGCTGCTGTTTCTTTCAGGATACGACACAGTATCCAACAGTAATGACGTGGGTATTGACAGCTGCTCAATAGTAGCGTTCATGCGTGTAATTCTTTGGTTTATGTCAATACTTTAGTAGTGCAATACCAACTGAATAGTTGATAATCGACTGCTTATCACAAGAGATTTGAAATAGTTTTGAATAAGAAACACCTGAAATGGCTGAGCGCGACTGGCTTGAATTCATTCGCCAAACCCATTTTTGGTTTCCATAATTTTCTTTTTTTTAAAAACTTGAACATCGAGTTGTACTCAGTTCTCAACAGTACTATACCGATTCAGTTGCCAAGCAAGTCGATCCAGATTAAAATGGGCAAGAAAAGGGGAATTGATTCTAAAAAGGAATTGGGTTTAGCACCAGCAGCAACTACCATTTCAGCTGTTGAGCCAAAGAAATCCGAATCTAAACTACATACATTTTCTGGATTCACAGTGCTGCCTATTACTGTTGCACCACCTACTGTACTGTCTGAACTTGATACGCAATCACTTAGGTTGCATTTCAGTCCAGAGATTGTTAAATCTCTTCAGCCTGAACGTCCCGATGTAAACCATTATTTGTTTATGCGTCCACACTCGTCTCGCAGCACGCTTGAATCACTACCAGCACATCGGACCTTGTTTATTGTTAATCTACCAGTAGACACCAACATAATGCATCTTCGTCGACTGTTTCGAAGATGTGGTGTAATCGAGAGAGTTGTGTGGAAAGGATTACTCGGTTTGGAAGGCGAGAATGATGATGTTGATAGCATTGTGGTAAATGAAACTCTAGTGCGTCGTGTTCATGGTTGGATTCATCCTACTGGATCTCATGCACATGTTGTATTCAAAGATGATGAGTCGATCGAGCATGTGCTTGCAATGAAACCTCGCAAAAGGATGTGGTCCGACGTGATAGACGAAGATGATCAGCAAACCGATGACATCGATCCCGAAGAAACACAGGCTGCAAATCAGATGGGTATCAACAGTAAGTAACATTCTATTTTTGTATTGTTCAATTCCAAACCAAACTATCAGACAATCGTGTTTTTAAATCGCTGTTTAGATGAGCATGTTAAATTATGTCCCATTGCTCATTTTTTTTATTTTAAACGACCTGATTTGTCATGTCTAGAATGGATATTACAGCATATTGCCATGTTTCCCAAAACTGATCATTTGCAATCCCAAGTGGATCAAGCCATGTCCTTGTTTGACGACTCGGAGGAGCGAGCTAAACAGGAATTGGAGAAAAAGCACAATGCGCCTGACGATGATGGGTTTGTTCTCGTCACTCGAGGTCGTGGAAAATACAATACGAGCTCTGATGGAAAAGGCGCCGTTGTAACGGTTGCTCAAGAATCAGCAAAAACCCTCAAACCAAAAAATCTTGGCCTAGTCGACTTTTACAGATTCCAGAAACGAGAAGCAAAACGAAACGGTAGGCTTTATGATTTGTATTGAATGTATACTATTTTGTTGAGCTGGATCCGATGAAATGGGTCTGGAGTTTGATATCAAGCGCATTTTATTGCTCGTGATTGACTGCATGTACTAACTTGACATTTACATCTCGGTGTATCATCTTTTTCTTGACAGAACTTGCTGAATTACGCCGTAAATTTGAGGAAGACAAGTCCAAAATCGAAGTCCTTAAAACTAAACGGCGTTTCAAGCCCTATTAACTGTAATAAATTTTGGGTTTGATGTTTCTACTTATGCTTTGTCTGCTCATCCCAAAGTAAACCCAATTCCAACATCATTATTTCAAAGTCCAGCTAAAAATATTGTTTAAAAATAGTAATGTTTGAGGTTTATCAAAAGGTTTGGCTGCTATGACCACCACGACGCACACGAGAGATACGCCATTCATCCTTGACTTGGTACCTATTATAAAGAGGCTCAATTTTTTCTTGACGTTTACGTTTAGATATTTTAGTAGAATCTGCCTAGCATAGCAATAAAAAATTGGCATACATGTATCAGAAGCATCAAGGTTAGCATGTGCATGATCAGACTTTAAAACAATGATATCCTGATCCAAGTGAAACATGGCTGCCAAAAAAAGCATAAACATACCACTTTGAAAAAGGTTGGAGCTACTTCAACAAGCCATTTCGGTTCAATTGCAAGTACCTCACGCATATACTCTTTGGTAGTCATGACCAACTCATGATAAATCAGCCATTCAGGCTGCTTATTAAATAATGCAGAGCTTGGATGAACATGTACAGGGGTGCCTTCGACAAGAGTTTTATATCCTTCTTGTGGATCTTTCTTGGCTGCATTGCGGAAATACCCTCCGCAAAGTGCTCGTCGCACTTGGTTATAGTTGCGGCCACAAGACACAATGTCTTGACGATATCGATCCATAATGCCAAGAAGTTGCTTTCGCACATCTTGAGCTCGTCGCATCGTACGCGCTTGAATATAGTTTTCGTGACACCACGCATTGGAAAACTTGGACGCCTTCCATGCATTATAAACTGTTAAAAGTGTCAAATGGTCTCCTTCTGGTTGGTGGAATTTCGCCTTTTTTTGATCAGCTTGAGCCTGCTTTTCTTTTGGTCGGTAAAATACATTTTGTGCTGTAAGCATCGCTACAATCGTCAATAATTCCTCAGAGCAACCAAGATCGGTTGAAATAAGAAGCGTTTTGGCCATTGTGGGATCCATAGGAAATTGTGACATTTTACGACCAAGACGAGTAAGCAAGCCTTCATTGTCCAATGCACCCAACTGAAACAATAGCTCAAGAGCAGTCACGAGTGTTTGCACAGGAGGTGGATCCATAAAATCAAAACTAACCAAATCATTGATACCCATGGCTTTCAGCATAAGAACAATCATGGACAAATTCATACGCTGAATTTCTGGAACAGAATTTGGAAGCATCTCGTTTCGGTATGCAGCTTCGGTATAGAGTCGATAGCACCTGTCCAATTTCATTCATCATTTTGAATTGTATTTCAAATAATTAGTCTGTCCGTGTATAAATACATGACCATAATAAACGACAATGCAGATACATTAAAAAACTATCTACAAAAGGAATACACTGATATGTAAATGACATACTTTCCGGGTCCTGTTCGACCAGCACGTCCAGATCGCTGACGAGCCTGTGCTTGGGAAATAGGGACAACAACAAGTGCGTCCATACCAAGCTTGGGATCATATGTGCTATGTTTAACAAAGCCGGGATCAATCACATAGTAGATACCATCAATTGTAATGGATGTTTCTGCAATATTAGTGGCAAGAACCACTTTTCGAGCACCTGGTGGAGCTGGATCAAAAATTTTGGATTGCATTTCAGACGGGAGTGCAGAATACACTGGAAGAATAATCAGCTCAGGCACCATGGGTCCAAGAGCCTTCATACGCTCATATAGAATCTCGGCAGACGTGTCAATTTCCTCTTGACCAGTGAGAAACAGCAAAATATCTCCAGCAGGCTCAGACAGATGAATCTGCATCACCGTAATCAATGAGCTATCAAGATAATCAGATTCGGGCTCTTTTGCGTAGAGAATCTCAACTGGATAGGTTCTACCGGGAATTGTCAAAATAGGACAATTGAAGAAAAAGCTAGAAAACCGCTCAGCATCCAGTGTGGCCGATGTGATGATCAATTTGAAATCCGGACGCTTTTTAACCGTTTTTTTAAGCAGTCCAAATAGAATATCTGTAGCAACGGTACGTTCATGAGCCTCATCGAGAAGCAAAACTTGGTATTTCGAAAGCATATCGTCTACCAAACACTCTCGGAGAAGCATACCATCTGTCATGTATTTAATTTTTGTTTCTGGAGATGTACAATCTTCAAAACGAATAGTATACCCAACGTCCTGACCAAGACGGCAACCTACTTCTTCAGCGACACGTTTAGCAACTGACATTGCAGCTACTCGACGTGGTTGGGTACACCCAATCATCCCCTTACTGGCAAATCCCTCTTCTGCAAGATACTGTGTCATTTGCGTAGTCTAGAATGTCCGTCAAATTGCAAAATATAAGTACTTTGAATAGGTTCAAATAGTAGCACCAAAACACACCCCATAATCAAATAGCCATCGATTCAAGATTAGCTACATACCTTTCCAGAACCAGTGTCACCCACTACAATCAGCAACTGATTTTCGTCAACAGCCTTGACAATAGTATCCCTTAGTTTAAAAATGGGAAGTGACTCGCGCTGGCCTTTCATTGTCAAGCTGGTGATTTTTCCAAATGTAGTAGCGTTGTTTATGATTGATTTTTTCCATTCTGGGATATCTGTTGCTAGACGACCAAATCCTTTCAAATCCTGCGCAAACATCTTGTCATCTGCGTTGGGAAGAGGATCCAACCAAGGCTGATTGAGATCACGAGGAACAGCATCATAATCAGCTGCAGCTTGTTGCTGACGAATTTCACGACGCTCCTTGGCAAGCGAAGCACCTGCAAGAGCAGCACGATTGAGAGTACCGTCAGGGTTTTTGACAATCTTTATGGGACTGAGCTGCAAGCTCTGTTTGGTCTGACCTGCCAAAAATGCTGGTTCATCCTCGCGTATTTCAATATCAAGCTCTTCTTCAGCTTCTTCATAGTTTAACAAGCCATGCTCTTCATCCAAATTGGGATAGTCTTTAGGATCCAGCACGCCTGATGCAATAAGCTGTTTGATTTCCCATCGCTCTGGAGAAGAGATCCGTTTAACGGCTGTTTTTTGAGTATCCATGTTTTCAATGACTCGCACCTGCTGCATTCCTGGAAGAGGCTGGTCAGGATTACGATTTGCCTCGGCTTCAAGTTCTGCAGGTGTTTTGATACGAAGGTGCGGCGTAAGATCTTCTCCAGTTGCCTGATCAACATCTTTCATGGAAAGACTTAGACGATTTCCAAGCACAGACATGACCTTGACTTTAACATTTTGATTTCGAGAAACAACTTCGTTTGGATGGTTAATGCGCATTCCTCCTTCCTTTAACGAGCCAATATGCACCATTCCTTCGGCTCGTCCTCGAACACCTTCAAGTGTGACAAATGCACCAAAGTCCTTCATTCCACTGATTCTGCCATTGTATATCTTGTATAACACAGGAGCGTCGTCCAATGATTTCCGCGTAGACGTACTTTTTCCGTCACGACCATGACTGTCTCTATTATAGCCTTGACCACTGGTACGCTCATATGAGCCATTTCTTGCTCTTCCACGATCGCGCTCATCAGGACTTTGACTATCATTGCGACTCCGTTTGACATGACTGAGATCTGGTTTATCGGACTGCCTTGTTCTTGCACCTTCTAGTTCAGCCATGATATCATTTGCAACCCGAACATCGTCTTCACTAAACAACTTTTTAACCTGTTCTTCATCATTTCTAAGAGCCAGACCAGGAAACTTTGCCTGGCGAAGTGCTTTTGAATTCTCCTGATCCAGCTCCCACTGAGATTTAGGAAGTGCAGTTCCAGAGCCATCTATGTGTGCAGTTGAAGCATGTGGATCAGCACTCCCACCCATTCCAGCTGTAGCAGACTCGGCAGCCTGTTTTGAGCTAGACTTCAACTTTTTTTTCTTGCCCTTTTTGGATAGTCTTTCTGCCATGGATGCAGGAAGAAGAGTACGGATAAGCCTGTCCAAGTTTGCAATAAAAGACTCTGGAAACTCTGCACCCACATCATCCAAACACTGTTTAAAGACAGTAGGATTTCCACTCGACTGTGAATGCAAACTGATGACAAACTCTGCAAGCACTTTATCCTCGATGCCAGTGTGATTAAGTAACTCATTGGTGATCTTGGAGACCAAGGAAAGATACTCTAATTTCTCAAGATCTGCCATGTGTATTCAACAACTTGCAATAACGAATGGTTTCCACAATAATATGGATGAATGCAGTTGAATTGAATGGTTGAAATTTTGTGTTTTCCACTTGTTTTCCGCCTTGAATTCCAACCAAGAATCAAATTTAAATTCCAACTAGTATCGCATTTAAATTCCAATTACGTCCATCATGAGTTTAACAGAAACAAGATATTGCTTTCTAGTAGACTGGTTTGATAACCATGCACAGCTTACTCGGCAGTATGAGTTCTTTTTTTATCCTTTGGACTCGACCATTGAAATGGTATGAATTCTCGACTATTCATTCAGATACTATATACATTCTATGTTGCATCTTATTGTTGTGTATTTGGTGTCTTGTAATATCCAACGCATACTCTTGTTATGTTATCAGCTTGCTCTTTATTGATACTTGTTTTGTTTATTCATTCTGTTTGTTTCCATTTATAGTATGATAGTAAACAACGACGTACATTTTTAAAAAGAACAAAATACACCGTTCGTCTTCAAGACCTATTTATTGGTGCTGCCATCAACGTCCATTCTCGCCAATTGATCATTAGAGACTATGGTGACGAATACTCTCGCAGCCAATTGGTTAATCAGATGGAGAGGTATTTACACATGACTTGTCATTTATAAAAACATTACTTATAGTTTGGTTTTACAATTAAATACGATAATCTTACTAAAAGTATAACTGATATTCATTCGGGTTCATTATCATTCAACTGGCTTAATTCGGACGCGCTGTCCGGAATTCGACATTGAATAACTTATTCATGGACATAGTACACTGCTTCTGATCAAACCAGATGGATATGCCAATATAGGGAAAATCATAGACATGGCACTTCAAAATCAATTTTCTATTTGCCGCTCAAGAATGCTTAAAATACCTCCATATTTGGCTCAAGAACTGTTGGGAAATGATACAGACATTGCCACTGCTGCAGATTCTTTTACTGGAGGTCTTTCTGTAGCTATAGAGCTATTGAAACCAAATGCTGTTCAAGATATGATACAACTTTCAGGTAAAACTTGCATTGTTGTTATCGGTTGGTTAACCGGCTTGTATCCAAAATATATTCATGTCAATATCTTGCAAACTAAAATTATCACACATCTAAACCTGATCAACAAGGCCCTCCTATTGTGGCTGACGCCAAAAATAGCGACCCAAAATGTATCCGTGCTAGGTTTGGGTCGTTGGGACATAAAAACGCGGTTCATGTTCCAACAAACTCGACCGAGGCAAAACAGGTAGATGGTGCTTTAGAATTCTAGATATCCAAGGTTCCAAAACAAAATGGTATAAAGGTTTAATCCATTTAAATGTAGCAATTGGATTTAATCTTTGGATCGGGTGCTCATAATTTTCCCAGAACTGCAACCTTCAAAAATAGTACTCTTGCTATTATTCGTCCTCATGCAATTGTGCAAGGTAAATTCAATATAGTTTAATGACTCGTCTGTTTTTTTGCTTTTTCTAGTCTTGGTATGTTGATTTTATGCGACTATATTGACTAACCCCTTTTGTCTCTATTTAATATCATTAGGAAAAACTGGCAATATCATTTCCATGATTCAAGATGCTGGATTTAATATTACAGATATGGAATTGTATCATCTTGATCGCTCCAATGCAGAGGATTTCTTGGAAGTATACAAGGGAGTGGTGCCAGAATATCATGTGAGCACCTGAATTTGCTAACCTTTTAAACGGTGTCTATTTATAATGTATTTGCAATATTATAACCGTATATATTAATCTACTTTATTTGTAGCTGATGTTGAATCAACTGACTTCTGGACCTATAATTGCCATGTAAGTTGCTAGAATGATCATGTTTTGTATGTGCCATGAAAAATGATTTTTGTTGCATTGTGTAGGTTAGACTAACTGCTATTTAAATTTAGGGAAATTACTGGGGACGAAACCATTACTACAACATTTAGAGAGTTTGTTGGTCCTGTTGACCCAGAATTGGCCAAACAAGTACGTCCCAACTCTCTACGTGCTAAATTTGGAATCGACAAAGTCTGCAATGCAGTTCATTGTACAGATCTGCCAGAAGATGGAACGCTTGAGGTGTGTTGGCAGTTTATTTGATTCACAATATATGTTTCTGGTAGTACACTAACTACTATATATGTATACCCAGTCTCAATTCTTTTTCCAAATTATGCAATCGTGATCTAATAAATGCTGATGCGCTTTTTGAAAATACAAACGGTACACATTGAAAATACGTCACTGAAATTACAAAGTTTAAATCAAAATCCCTAATTTCCAGTATATCGAAAAAAGAGTGCCAATCTACGACCGTATTCACATAAAATAAACCACTATTTCAGTGACTGCCACTATTTTGCTTTGGATGTATAATGGTTAAATTATCGTTGTTTTTTCCTGCAATTGGTTTCAATATATTTATTCATTGCAATCTAGATGTTGAGCTTGACTGTTTTCCATCATACTCCACTTTTTATTTTAATCACACACATGCGTCCTAGTTTAAAACAATAAAGGCTGCATATCTAGTGAATGCAAGTTGTTTCCGTGACAATCACCGACACAAATGCAAGTAAATTAAAAAATTCAGAAAACAATGTTGTCCAATAAAGTATTGCGAATCATTACACAAAACTAGCAGTTTATTATGTACTTTGGCATCGTTATGGAGTGATGCATTTTACGTGAATACGGCAGTAAATAAAGTATTTACTCCAACGGTTTGATAAACTGGCCAGCAGCAAATCGAGTGGCTTTACGGCCTCTCTCGTTTGACCAATCTACAGGCTTTTGTTTAGCGAGTTTACCTGTTGCATTTAAACCATCAGAAGAGCTCTTCGTTTCATTTGTCAAAATAGCCTTGTCTGCGTCGATATCGCCCCTTTCATCTCGTCTCCGTTTTACAGCAGTAGTTCTAGATTCATCTTTTTTATCACGATGAATTAGATTGCTATACCTGTTTGTCATCTCTTTGTCGGATATCAATTCTCTTCGTTCATTCTCTTCAGCCTTGTCCAGCCTTGATTCCTTTTCAATATCTAAAGAAAGTTTCTACATTTGCGCACGGTTTACAATATAAGAAGCGATGTTCCAGAAATGAGACAGCTAATTCAAACAAGATGGTTGACGACACCAATCATGAAAAACAATGATCTACTCATAAAGACTGTCATGTCTAATTTTCTGTAATAATCCATTACACCAACATTAAGAATCTGAAATAATGTACGTACTTCCAAGTTTTTGTTGAATGCATTAAACGACTTTCTGGCCATTACTGGGGCATCAATAAACATCATGTAGCTTGATAATTGCTCGTGCTGCACCTTACTGAGTGATTTCATAATGTGTTGGGTAGTTGCTATTTATAAATGGATGACGGTAGATTCAATGTAAATTGGTACCTTTTGAAATCAAGACTATCGATTGTATCCAACATCCAGGCGGATTTCTGGTCCTGTATACGTTGTTCTTTCTCCAAATTCTCTCGTATCCGTGCTTGATTGGCTCTGTTCATAAACTATCGTATTTAAAATAATCATATTGGATAAGTTTCATAAATAAAAGCTAGGCAGGCTACTCCAAGCCTATTGTACTGTGCATGATAACCCCAATGCACATTTCCTGCTGTTGATTACCTTCATGTCCTTGATCCTTCCAGAAAGCTGAGTCGATAGTGTATATCAAGTAAATTGTCAGTGAAATAGGTAAATAGCATTCAAAATCATGATCAATACACTCAAACTGCTCATGATGTGGCAGGTGGATGAATCCACAACCTAGACAAGGCTATTTAAAAAAACCAGTCAAGGAGCTTACTTCTTTTACATGAGCTGGCCTTCCCTGCTCATTTACTGACATTTTAGTAATAACACTGGAGTGATTGTTGATTTTGTAGTCGAGCTGTTTTGACATTTTTCAGACATAATCCAGGTCAAGTAAATATCACGTGTCGTTTTGAGATTATAAACCAACCAATCCAATCGAGCTGTTTTCATTCTTACTGCCGTATTCACGTAAAATGCATCACCCAATAACGATGCCAAAGTACATAATAAACAGCTAGTTTTGTGTAATGATTCGCAATACTTTATTGGACAACATTGTTTTCTGAACTTTTTAATTTACTTGCATTTTTGTCGGTGATTGTCACGGAAACAACTTGCATTCACTAGACATGCAGCCTTTATTGTTTTAAACTAGGACGCATGTGTGTGATTAAAATAAAAAGTGGAGTATGATGGAAAACAGTCAAGCTCAACATCTAGATTGCAGTGAATAAATATATTGAAACCAATTGTAGGAAAAAACAACGATAATTTAACCATTATACATCCAAAGCAAAATAGTGGCAGTCGCTGAAATAGTGGTTTATTTTATGTGAATACGGTCGTAGATTGGCACTCTTTTTTCGATATACTGGAAATTAGGGATTTTGATTTAAACTTTGTAATTTCAGTGACATATTTTCAATGGATTCAATGGTTGATATTGAAAATGTATGGGAAGCACCCTGTGAGTTTCAACATATTTAAGATTAGATTGTCGAGGATAGAGATATAAACCTGTTAAACCAATGACTAATAAAGTATATCTAAATAGAAAACAATCAAGAAAATAGACTGTATTAAGCATTTGGTCATGGAGCTAAACGACACATTGTCCAAGATCCATGGGCTGCAGGATCATTGATACGATCCAAGTTAATATCTCGAGAGTACTTGAGACGATCGTGCAATCGAGAGCGTCGTCCCTGCCAGAACTCGACCACATCAGGAACAAGTCGATATCCACCCCAGTGAGGAGGTCTTGGAGGATCAGCATCATCTTGGAATTGTTCAACAAATGACTGATGTAGTGCCTCTAATTCTGACCTTCCTTGGATCGTGGTGCTTTGAGGTGAAGCCCATGCGCCAATGCGACTGCCCAATGGACGGGATGCATAATACTGGTCGCTTTCAGCTGGGTCAATGCGGACAATACGACCTTCAAATCGAGCAGATCTCTGACCCCACCAAAAAGTCATTGCTGCCCATGGATTCTTCTCCATTTCCTGGGCTTTGCGAGAATCATAGTTGGTAAATATGGTCAGACCTCGAGCGTCAAGACCTTTAAGTAGAACCATACGACACGAAGGACGACCAGTCTCTGCAGATGCAGTAGCCAGAGCGACTGCATTGGGTTCAGCATCAGCAGGTAATTGTGTTTTTGCTTGGATAAGCCAGGCATTCAATAGCTCAAATGGGTCTTTTGGTGCTGCATCTTCAACTAGAACATCCTGTTCATAGGATATGCGCATACTTGCCAACGATCCTGAATCCAGATCCATGTTGATGCTGCTGTAGATTGATACAATATTCAAATATGAATATCAACTGTTATTGCAGTTGTATTCATGTAAAACAAACCACTTGATTCACTGCCTTTTTTGCTCGGGAATAAACAATGGCTAGATATTCGTTGTGCTTCCTATTGGAGATTGACTGCAATCAACATACTGTCCATCATATAATAAACTATAGTTTTGAATCAAGATTATTCTATTTGGATCGTCATTGTACAACTACAGGATTCATTACAATCTAGATATTGGGACTATTGCTAATAAACTCATTTTGTATTTTAAAGACTCGAATACGCACTAGTTTAAAAACAATTCCAGGAATGCAACTCTACATGCCAATCATCAGGAGAAAGATGGATAGATTTGATATGAATTGATCAATCAATTCATGATACTTTTACTATGCACTAAACTCTTGATGTTTTATTTTACATGAATATGGCAGTAAATGGAGTCAAGATCGGAGTTTCGATCAGCCAAGTTTCAGTTTCGAGTGATCCTGGTCTTACCCACGCGCCAAACTCATTCCATGAATCAGGAAATCCTAATACATAGTCATTCTACCATCTGTGGCCATCGTACTATCCTTATTGCCACGGATTTCTCTTCGTCAAGTACATTTATAATGGACTGGACTGCAGAAAATCTAATCAGAAATGGTGACAAAATCATTCTTCTGCATGTCATACAAGATATTGACACTGGTCCAGATATGGATGATGGTGGGTTGATACATTTGAAGATGTTTAGTTTCTGTGGTGTATGGATTGGGTTTTGATTAAACCTACCATTGTAAATTTACTTTAAATTGTAGATGCAGATATTATTGAAATGGTCAATATTGCTTCAGATACCACTGCCATACAAGTAGCTACTCAAACGGTAATATACTCTGATTTTTTATTTTGAATTCAACTGATATCTGACCTTGTTTGCTTTCAATATATCCAACCATGTAGTCAGTATCGTGCCTCGAGGAATCAATAGATGGATTTGATCGTATTTTTGCAGCCAACAAGATACTTGATTACGATATTCAAAAGGTAATCTGTACTGGTGCGCCTGGACCAACAATCGTTGCCAAGGCAGCCGAAATTCATCCCAACATGGTTATTATGGGCACACATGGTCGAACTGGGTTTTCTGAACTCATCATGGGAAGTGTTAGTTCATACGTCAACAAACATTGCAAACAGTGTCCAGTAGTAGTTGTGAAAAGCAATCATGCCAAGAGTGAATGAATGCTCATCATTATTTATCAGATTATCCTTTTTAACATTTGCAAGAATAAACAGACATATTCAACCCACAATTTCACAACCAAAAGCATGAATGTATAAATGATTGTGTAGGTTCAGTCAATATATTATAAATCTATCAAGTTAAAGATGACTATATAGCAGATCTATAGAATCGCACAACAAATAGCCCTTCAAATCCTGCTTTTCGTTTTAATACAATTTCCGAATGTAGATTGTATATATCCAGCATATGCTGCATGATCTCTTCGGGACGATTCTCCTTGATCAACACAAGATAGCACTGGCCTTGCTTTGAGAGCAGTTGCTGAGCAATTTAGCATATCAAATACATCATTTAATGAATACATTTAAATACGATCTTGAACAAAAATAAACCCAACACGTCGACACTTACAGAAACAAGTGGAAGAAACTTGTCAATGACTTCGCGACCATCAATGCCACCAGCCCACGCAGCCTCGATTCCATGACTTCCTACCTCATCACTTGTTGTAACAACATAAGGTGGATTGAAGATAAGAACATCTATGTTGTGGCATATTCTTTGATGTAGCGAGGATGTGAATGATGTAATGACTGCATCTATTTGAATCTGGTTGTTGGGTGATCATGACAAAATGGATAAGCTTTCTAGTATGAATTGGTTCACAATCTATAAAGGTACAATCGATAAAGTACCTTGTTTGCCTGGCCAGTTTTCAAAGTAGTTTTGGCAGCAAAGTCGTTGATATCGGTACACAAGAATACTATTGCAACAAATCCATTCAGATTAGATTCAACTTGTTTTCAAGAATATAAATGTGAGAAAAATGCCATGGTCTGAATTCACACTAGCATACATGTATTTGAAGAACCAAGCAGTGCACCAAGAAATGCAGTGACGCAACCAGATCCGCTCCTTATCAGATCATATATCAGTTGATGTCAGACAAGAGTTGCAATATCAACTAGATGAACAAGATTAGCCAAAACACACCCGATTTCTAATGCAATGGTTGGCTGAATGTCAAGTAAGATGTTTCTATCCTTTTCTAATGCATCTAGTAGTAGAAATGTGTCTTCTAAATACTCACAAACCAAAATGGATGAGTTGGTATGTGGCAGCAGTTGTCACTCAAAGATTGTCACTTACCGGCTGGCTCATATACAGATTGGTATTGATCTCGAGAAATATGCGAAATATCGGGTGTAGGAACATTCATTCTATATAAACTATTGACTGACACTTGAAATAAAGGCACAGTATGAGTTTGAATTGCAGATGCCTCGAATGAATTAACAAAATAGAAAATATCGAGATTTCAACTTTCAATCCATCAACAGCCAGCAATTATTTGATTCGCACAGATCTTGAGTCTGCAGCAACCTACTCAAGCCAGTCTACTCAACAACAACTACAGAGAAATGGATATTTTTGACATGTTTGTCTACATGATGGCACATCCCGACTTGTTTTTAACGGACCTTCTTCGTACATTTTGGCAAGCTGTTGCAGCAATAGCAATATTCACCCAGCAGCAAGCACCTAGACTGATGTCGTATATAGTATCAGCAACCCCATCACAGATTCTTGTGCTTCTTTCAGGATGTCTAGCTATCTACTTTGTCCTATATGTGACTGCAACATTGATGCAAGGAATTTTGAAAACAGTAGTGCTTCTGGTCAAGACTGTAGTGTTTTGCTGTGTGCTGGTATTGGCTTTTTATGTTCTACAAGCTTATGTGCTGGCTAGATCTGGCGGTAGTCTCGGATCTCCGTTTGTAGGTCTTGCAGGATTAATAGGACAGACTGGATCTGCAGAACTGTGAACCGTTGAGATTACCATCCAAGTGTATATTATATACTTGTCTCTGTATCTCAACTGGCCGAGTACAGCTCAAATATACTGAACGAACCATGTTGTATTTTGGAATATATGCTTGAATATTTCTTTTAAACCTCTTGATTGCTATAGTCGAATATTTCCACACCTCAAATTCATGTGAACGTACAGATGGACAAGTGTATATACTGTGATTGCATTTTACTTTAACCGGAACCAATATATGTAAAAGATCACTCCAAAAACAAACAACATCATCATCCACATCCAGCCTCCAGTTTGAGATCGAGCCATTATCTTGAGTCTACGCATAGTCTGACCTAGAATTCCTCCCGTTTTTTCAAAATCGTTATGCTACTCCAAGATAGATGGTTTAGATTAGCCTTGCATTTTCAAATTAAAAATGCCATATCAACAGATATCAACTACGCATATTTGAAGCCATTGAATAAAACAGACGAGGCTCAAGTACTTACCATGTCATCCATTAGATTTTGCTGATAAATCAATTCATCTGAAATGTCTAAAGATACCTTTAATATTAAAAAGTCAAAAGAATGCAATGGACAACTTTATCCGATTCAACAGTCATCGTCCTATTCGATGCATACCTGTTTCAATGCACCAATCTGTTTAGCTAACGCAGTGGCACGGCCATCATTCTCATCATCATATACTCCTGTGCTTACACCAGGTCCCACTGGATACGGTCTGTAGTTGAATAGACAAGTAAAAAGTCAAATTAGATAGGGTACAATCGCCAAGAATGCATTCAAACTAGAGTACAATCGTAAAATGCCATCATTTAGTGTTAACGCAGTGGTATGGAATGAGCCAACTGTGTTTTGGAGTAGCAATGACCATGTTTGAAATGCAATGGTGATGCTAGGTCATTACAACAGTTTCAAAATAGTGTAGAATTCCAAGACGGCTAGTTCCATTATGATCTTTGAATTAGAATGGGTCATGATGGTTGAGTAAATCACACCTACGACTCATGTTATTTTGAAACCTGGGCAAGTGTGATTTTGGCACTTGGCTTTAAAAAGTGATTCATATTATCTAGTAAACACCCAATACGCTTTTTCAATATTACGGATGTTTTGAATCTAAATAACAACTATGAATAGTATTCATGCAATAGATTGTAGTCGAGACCCATCCCAGCTGAGATTGAATCTCGTTCTGTTTTTAAATCGTGACGAGTAGGATATAGACACTGATTCATTAAATGTATACGAAAAGATCATGCAATCAGTGACTAGTGGTGTTATACTCTTATCTGTAAAGAGGAGTCGAGAGAATCAAACCTGAGAACCAACAACTCAGAATGATGTCGTGTTTGGATTCCATTCATTCAGCAGTTTGCCAAAACAATTGATACGCAACTCCAACTACAATGGCCGAAGTAAGTGTAACCATTTGACTTGCTCTTTCCATGTAAAATGAGTTGCACTTGCTCAATGACAATCCACTATAGCTGCTGGGTAAAGTCTAATGTCAACTCATTCTTTCCGGGACGATATAGGAAGACTATGAGTTTGATACCGATGCTATGGACTATGATGTGGAGCAATATCAGGCTAGTTCTGGAATAAAACCCATTGGGTTTGATGTTTCTGGTTCTATGCTATTTAATACAAAACTAAGGCCAGGCGCAGGGTTTACTGATGGTATACTGACTGGAAACCGTATGCGTGCCAATACAGAAGATATCATTATGGATCAAAACTTTTTTAATGGTAATGCCTGTACACTTTCAATGTATATTGTCTAGTTTAAGCTAGAAACCTTGACCAGACGGTAGCATTCACATGATTTTTATGGTATAATCTAACCTGTTGCTTTGTCATGCGATTGAAATGACCAGACTTTCAGGATGATTTTGACGACAGAAACTATACACTTTAAATACAAGATCTGTACACAACAGTGATAACAAATCAGGAACACTCGCCAGTTTGAAAGGGGATCGGAATCTCCCAAAATCGGATTGGATTAATTCTGGGCAGTTTAATGAAGAGCTCGAATTTACAATTCAGATATCTTTCAAGTGTGGTGTGGTCTGAGTACTTTTTAATATGGAACAGCATCAAAGAGGAAACTGACACTCTCGCCATTGTGGATACGACGAATGGCTTCTGCAAAAATAGGTGCAATATCAATCACTTTGATTTTAGAGCAACTTTCAGTGTGTTCTTGCTGAGGAACACTGCTAGAGACAACCAACTCGTCGATATTGCTTGCAGTAATACGACTGATGGCATCTCCACTCAAGATGCCATGTGTGATGATGGCAACAATTTTTGTTGCTCCATTTTCAACCAAGATCTTTGCTGCACGAGTGATTGTAAAGGATGTATCCGCAATATCATCAATGAGAATACAGACTCTGTCCCGAACATCTCCTACAAGAATCATACTTGACGACGCTGGAGATTCGGTATTACGACGTTCTCGGTGAATAAGGGCAAAGTCCATGTTCAACTTGTCGGCAATAACAGTGGCTCTAAAAGGATGAATTAGAAATCAGAACTCAAGCAAAGTAACCAGCATACAAGTGCATATTCGTAGTGATGCTACATAAAAATCACCTTTTAGCACCACCAGCATCGGGGGAGACAATAACAGCCTTGTCGTAATGGGGAATTTTTTCCTTGATGTATTTGATCATTAACGGCTGAATATAAAGATTGTCAACGGGAATATCAAAGAATCCTTGGAACTGAGGGTCATGTAAATCCAAAGTGATAATATGATCGGCGCCTGGTTTCGCAGATACAGTTAATTCAAGTCCATTTCAATTCCATCCGTATAAGCTCTCAACCACTCTTACCAGCAGCCATGAGCATATTAGCAATAAGAGTCCCAGATCGTGCAGTCCAGTGTTTGTAAGTGCCTTGGGAAGCACCTTTAAGCTTAAAATAGTTTTCTGATGTAGCTTGAGGAGTAAGCGAAGTAATCTCAATATTGGGTTGGGATACCGAAATGGAAGAAAGGCGACCACGAGAGCCATCCAAAGAAGTTGTAGATTCATCTTTGATGATAGAGGTTCGACGCTGTGATTGAGATTCGCTTTGGGTAGTGAGTGAAGCACCACTTACCACAACAGTGGGTGGAGGAATGACTACAGTGGATGGTACTGGAAGACGATCGTCAATAATGTGTGATCCTTCAACAGCAGAAGCAGCAGGCTTGGCTGACAGTTGAGGCTTGTGGTTTTGGTTGAGGATGGCAAACTTGCCAAGCTCAGAAACAGGAACTCGATTGGTGATCTCACCACTGCTATTGTAAGGAGTCTCTGGCTGTCTAGAATATGGAAAGCAAGGAATGACTGCCGTCACCTTACTGATTGAGCGGTCAATACCAATAAATAAAATTAGAATTCTAGCCATTCATTGATGATTACAAGCCGATTTACAGTCGCATTCACGTAAAATGAAACATTAAATAAGCTAAAATACATAAACAGTCTTATGTTGGATTGGTGACAGGTTACTAGACATTATTTTGTAAACTTTTTGACAAGTTTGATCTTTGTGCTCATTTTTGTATAAACAGCTGAATGCTCACATTACATTGAGTTAATCCCACGCTTGCTCAATCTTCAAAATGAACATTATGGCATGGAAACAATAGCCAAACTCTTGTTTTCTTGAACTAGAGCGCGAGCGTATGGGTTTGTTTGAAAACATTAGAATAGTCAAACCCAATATCTGGGTTGAAATGCATCAATCTAAAGATCGTACAATATATGGCTATGCAAAAAGGAAAGGGTTTCAATTCAAAACCATAGCTTGATTTTGTATGAATTATACGATGGACGTTGTTTGGTAGAACAGGGATTGAAAAGGTAGTGCAGTCAATTTCTATCAAGAAAGCGTAACGAATATTTAACCATTGTCTAACCCAAAGCAAAAGAGGTAATGACAAGATAAATAATATCACACTTTACATAAATACGACTTGTACTTTTGGTTACATCCACACAATTAAAATGCACAGGATTGTCTTGATATAACATCAGATCAATACAAAGAGCTTACCGAGCCGAGGCAGTACGACAAGCAGAAATCATAATCAGCAATTCAATGAAGTTGTCATTAACATCACCACAACCAGATTGAACGATATAAACATCGACATCACGAACGCTTTCTCCAATAGACACATTGGTTTCTTTGTTACTGAATTTCTTGAGAGATGCACTGCCCAAAGGAATGCCCAGTCTTTCACAAATGTCTTTTGCAAGACTAGGATGGCTTGAACCAGACAAAACAGCAATGTTGCGCATATTCAGTTTGAGTGTCTTGGCAAAAGGAAAAGAATTTGCAGTCCTATTCACATGAAATGAAGCATTTTTTTATATTTATTTGAACCGACTATTTTGCTCTGGAATGGCCAATCGTTGAGTATGTGTTGTACTCTTCTATTGCAGATTGACTTTAACAGACATTTTCAGTCTTTCAGTGTTTGGGATTGCTCGACAAACAAAGCCATTCTTTTGTGTTTGTCACTGTCTTTAGTTGTAAGAACAAAGAAATGGAACTCCAATCCTCGCGACATTTGTTGGACAGTTGATAAATCATGTTTAGCCAGACATTTGGATCTATTGTTTGAACTTTCTCAATAAAAGCTTGGACATATTCCTTGTTGTCAATCTGTCTGTCACTCAACAGTTGAGTTTTGTACGTAATCTTGTTTTTCAAGATCATTGACATTGTTGATTGGTATTTGCGCTTGGTAAGGTTCACAAGTGCGATTGCAACTTGTCGTTGTTGAATTGTTGATGACTACAAGACTGCTAAACTACCAATGAGTGATTTATGTGTTGGCTTCATGATAATATACTATAAGATTATTACGTAAAAGTAAAGACTCGTACATAAAAGGCATGTTTCGAATGCAAGATCACCAAACACTGTGTACAAGCAATCACTCGAAAGGACAATATTATGCAGTAAACTGACACCAATCCAACATAAGACTGTTTATCATGTATTTTAGCTTATTTAATGTTCCATTTTACGTGAATGCGACTGTAATTTTGACAAAACACTCCTTCAAGCCATACATATTCTGGACTATCCAGTTAAAAATTACAATCTAAACCAATAGCTGTGCAATCCATTTCTTTTTCCAACATCAACTCTCGAGTTCAACTCTGAATTCAGTAAAGCCAGATGTCTAGTCCCTGAGGACACTAGTATTTGATGGTTTTGAATATTGCTATAGTTTGGAGTTGGTCCTACTCTTCAAATCTTTATAAAAAGGTAATATTGTATTTCTGTAGTTTGTTTTTAAAGGATAAATCAGATACTACTTCAACAGGGGTTTCTTTGAAAGAGTATTGTCAAATGCCATGGATGAGCGGTTTGAGATCTTGAATATTTGATAGAGTTGATATGACTGCTCTATCAAATATCAAGAATGAATAGCTGGCTAACGAGTGTTTGTTTGGATACTGTCAGAATTAAACAGATGCAAGATACAGAGAATTCCGCTGCCAAGAGTCGGAAAAGTGGTAATCGACATGCTGGCAAAAGCGATGATTTGAACACTACAAGTCGAAACAAAGGACATCGAAACCGCAGGAGAAAGCCCAATGCTGACAGTCAGCATGATGATGCTGGCAAGAAGCGTGTCAATCAACCAGTCGGCGGCCAAGGAATCAATGCATCCAACCGAGATTCGCCTGGTAATGCGATGGCTGGTGATGAGCGATCATCACAAAACCATGCATCAACTGGCCCGTCTTTCAGAAAGCAGCGCTACCGTCCAACCATGGCTAATGTTCCTCATATCAGTAGCAGTTTTGTCAAGTCATCTCATGATGTTGCTACTCAAGACCATATTCTGGTCACTTCTCAGCAGGAATCTTCAGTACATCCTACACACGAAGCAAACGCGGCATCTTTGGCCACAAAGGTGGACAATGTGCGCAAGCCACTGCTCTTTCTTTTTGACTGTTTTATCAATCCAGCTGCTTGTCAAACATCCAATGTTGTTGATGATCAAAAATCCCAAAATAAGCATCCCAAACCAGATTATCCTGCATCGGCCAACACTCGCTCTGATAGCAAGACTCAATGTAACCGAATCGATTTTCAACAGCAATCATCTATTAAAGAAATACCGCACAAGAAAGGGTCATCAGATGCTTTCTCTAAAAAATCCAAAAAGCCTGCTAAACAGATCTTTCAAGAGTAATGTTGCTTTGTTTGATTTGATGGTGTCGGGTTTATCTAGCCAAACATTGACTCTAACCTATATCTCATGTGTTGACCTACTATTTTAGATACTTGAGCCTAGATCAGATTAAAGAAGGAATTGAAAACGGTAGTATATTTCAGGGTGTACTGCGAATTAACAAAGCCAATCGAAACGATGGCTATGTAACCATTAACGGATCTAGTGATACAGACGTTTATATCCCTGGAGCAACTCTTATCAACCGGGCTTTTTCAAATGATGTTGTAGCCTTTACAAAATTGTCTGGAGATGAGCTTAAAAAGGCGATGGCATCACACAAAATCAAGGCAGAAACAAAAATGATGGAAAGCTACGAGCGCCAAAAAAAGTGCAATTTGTTTAAAACTGAGGATGTTGTGCAGGGTAAATAATGATTCTATGCTGATTGTCTGAATAATTTGAACTGGATTGCATGATTTACCAAGATGAAATAACACTTTAATGTAGAGCATGTCGAAAGTCGTATTTACGGAAAAGTAGTAGGAATTATTTCCTGTAAAACGGCAAACCGCATATTTGTTGGAACTCTGCATTTAGATCGACCTCTTAGCAAGAGCCCTAGTATAGATAAGAACAGATCTAGCCGATGGATCTGGTTTATGCCAGTATGTTCTGATTATTCAATTCAATGTGATTTTGATGTTTTCAACTTTATTGTTGGCCATGAATCTATTGACTAATGATGGTTTTTACAAAATATACCCGCCGCTATCAACTAGAGTGATAAAAGCATTCCATTCATGATCATTTCTAAAGAGCTTGCTCCAAAAGAGTTTTTAGCCGATCCGGAATCTTTTGCAAATATACTTGTTACTGCTACTTTAAAAAGTTGGAGTACTACCGACGCACTGCCTCATGCTGATTATAATGGATTATTAGGCCAGATGGGCGAGCTTCATGTAGAATCTAAAGCACTGCTCCAAGCAGCAGGGGTTGTCTGGGATGACTTTTCTGATTCAGTATTGGACTGTCTACCTTCATTGGTAAGTTTATGATATTATGTTTTTGATAATTGTAACATTTTTTACTGAATTGACAATAAAAATGATTGCTTTAGCCTTGGTCAATCCCAGAGGAGGAGATAGCCAAAAGATGGGATTTACGCAAGACCAGAATCTTTTCTATTGACCCAGAGACTGCCAAAGATTTAGATGATGCGGTTTCATGTAGAGCACTGCCTGATGGTAGATTTGAAGTTGGGGTGCATATTGCAGATGTATCTTATTTTGTGCATCAAAAAACAGCACTGGATGATGAAGCATTATATAGAGCCACCACGGTGTATTTGGTGCAACGTGCAATTCCTATGCTTCCTCGCTTGCTGTGTGAGGAACTGTGTAGTTTAAACCCAGATGTAGATCGACTGGCGTTTTCCGTGTTTTGGATATTTGATGCTCAGGGAACTATCATTGGCCAGCCCAGATTTGGACGAAGTGTTATTCGTTCCTGTGCCAAGCTAAGCTATGAGCATGCACAGGCAGTAATTGATGGAAAGCCCTTTGCTAAACATGTTGAGATTTCTGCGCAAGTCACTTTGGAGGATATTTCGACTGATATTCTCCAGTTGTATAAATTCAGTAAAATTATGCGTAAAAAACGATATGACGACGGAGCACTTTCAATTCACTCGATTAAGCTTTGGTTTAGTCTTGATCATTTAGGAAATCCTGTAGAAAGTGGAATGTATGAGTTGAAGGACAGCAATCGCCTTATTGAAGAGGTATCTATTAGTGCTGCTTATTTGAAAGCGTTGTTTATGCAATCCAAATTGCTAATATTTGAAAATTTGAATTCATGCTTTGCAGTACATGCTACTTGCAAACATGGCGGTTGCTCAGAAAATTCACGAGCATTTCCCAAGCGAGTCTTTACTTCGTAGACATCCGATTCCTGGCTGTTCTGCCATGACCAAGTTTGTTGAAAAGATGGCACGTATTGGCATTGTGATTGATGCGTCCTCGTCTGGATCACTACAAGAATCTTTTGAAGCCATTGAAGATCCGTTGCATCGTATGATAACACGGATGGTGGCTATTCGAACCATGAGGCGTGCAGTATATTATTCATCTGGCGACCCATCTGTTGAGGATTTTAAGCACTATGCTCTTTGTGTACCTTTTTATACCCACTTTACGTAAGTACAGGGCCTGTATTTTTCAGTACATTGCAGTATTAGAACTCAAATTCGACTATTTGTGTATTTTGATACTTTTTATAGGTCACCCATCCGTCGTTATTGTGATTTAGTAGTGCATCGTCTTTTGAATAGTGTTTTGGAAGGAAATCTAGAAGCATCGTCCCCGTATACCAATGCAACGATAATGGATATTGCAGAGCAATGCAATGATCGAAAGGATGCATCACGAGAAGCTCAAACTGCATCATCCAAACTATTCCTGTGGGCATATCTTAAAAAACTTGCAGCAGCAAATAGGATCGAGTCCAAGAATGAAGGATTTGCCGAGATCATTGCAGAGGCGTATGTTCAGGATGTTGGTACACGTTCGTATGATGTATTGGTACCTAGCTACGGTATTGATCAACGTGTCTGGATAGAGGATGCTGTCGAGACAGGAGAAATTTTGGGTGTGGTAAGCGATGAGGAGAATGCACAGCTTCAAGTGTATTGGAAACGATGCGATGACGATGACGAGTCCATTGAAGCATTGACTCAAGGTTTGAAGACCCTGGATATGACAACGCAGCATGATTCTATGCAAGACTTGAGGGAGTCGGAGATAGCATCACCATTTGATCCCAAAACCACCAAAATCCAAGTGATTCAGATGTATACGCGCGTGTTTGTCAAGATCATAGTAGACATGTCCCAAAGAATGTCATTCAAGCTGTCTGCAATATATCCTCATCCCAATCTTGGTGCTACAACTATGCACAGGAATGCAATGGGCGATCATCTGGTGACTTCACTTCCGCAAGAAATGGACGATTGATGAAAATAAATCTGTTCAAAACCTGATTGGCAGCCCAATCAATATTGAATTTAATAAAATCCTACTATTATATCAGTATTTACACTGTAGTTTGAGACCACATAAACTCGAGTCCAGTCAAGATCGCAATCGTTCAATGAATTGACATGGAGCAACCCGTGCTGTACGAATATGAAAAATTGAACACTTTCCTTTTCCCTCACAATAATCATGACTGGTCTCAAATACAAGGTTGCCGACATCACTCTTGCTGACTTTGGTATGTACCTTGCTTGATCTGCAGAATCTTGTATGGATAGAGTAAAGATGCATCTTGGTTTCTACTCGACTAACTCTTGCCATGTTCAACCAACTAAAAAGGTCGCAAGGAAATCGAGATTGCAGAGAATGAGATGCCTGGTCTGATGTCGCTCCGTGCCAAGTATGGCCCCACCAAACCACTTTCTGGTGCTCGTATTGCTGGTTGCCTTCATATGACCATTCAGACTGCTGTCCTCATTGAGACTCTTGTTATTCTCGGTGCTGAAGTGACCTGGTCGTCGTGCAACATTTTCTCTACACAGGACCATGCAGCTGCAGCCATTGCTGCCGCAGGTATGTTGAGTTGCTGGAATATGAATTGTAGTGGTTGATCCCACTTTGAAGTTGGACTGCAATGTGAAGATCTTGACTGCCGTTTCAAATCATTCAGTCTGCTGACTAATCCGTTTTTGTTGTTTTGCTTTTTATTCTCTTTGCTTCCATTGCCGCTTTGTTAATATCGCGTGCGGGATCTACGAATCTTTAATTGCTGCGTCCAGGCATTCCCGTCTTTGCCTGGAAGGGTGAGACTGATGAGGAGTACAACTGGTGCATTGAGCAACAGCTCAAGGCTTTCAAGAGTGGACAGCCTCTCAACATGATTCTCGACGATGGTGGTGATCTTACTGGCATTGTCCACGAAAAGTACGCCGAGCTTCTTCCTGGTAAGTTTTGTTTTTTTATTAGACTGCTTTGTGCTCGACTGATTTTGCTTTCTACATTGTGTACTAGGCATTCGTGGTGTTTCCGAGGAAACCACTACTGGTGTTCATGGTCTGTACAAGATGTTGAAGAACGGAACCCTCAAGATCCCTGCCATCAATGTCAACGACTCTGTTACCAAGTCCAAGTTCGACAACTTGTACGGCTGCCGTGAATCTCTCATTGACGGTATCAAGCGTGCTACTGACGTTATGATTGCTGGCAAGGTTTCCGTTGTTGCTGGCTATGGTGATGTTGGCAAGGGTTGTGCCTTTGCTCTCAAGGGTATGGGATCTCGTGTTATTGTTACCGAGATTGATCCCATCAATGCTCTCCAGGCTGCTATGGAGGGCTTTGAAGTCACCACCATGGAGGAGGCAGTTCGTGAGGCTAACATCTTCGTTACCACCACTGGCTGCCGTGACATCATCACTGGTGCTCACTTTAGCCAGATGAAGGATGATTCCATTGTTTGCAACATTGGTCACTTTGACATTGAGATCGATGTCGCATGGCTCAAGGCCAACGCTGTCAAGAAGGTCAACATCAAACCCCAGGTTGATCGTTTCGAGCTTGCCAACGGCCATCACATTATTCTCCTTGCTGAAGGTCGTCTTGTCAACCTTGGTTGTGCTACTGGCCATCCCAGCTTTGTCATGTCCAACTCCTTCACTAACCAGGTTTTGGCTCAAATTGCCTTGTGGACCGATACCAAGTCTTATCCTCTTGGTGTTCACTTGCTTCCCAAGAAGCTTGATGAAGAGGTTGCTGCTGCCCATCTTGCCAAGCTCGGTGTCAAGCTGAGCGTCATGTCCAAGGTTCAGTCTGAATACCTTTCTCTTCCTGTTGAAGGCCCTTACAAGCCTAGCCACTACAGATATTGAGCAAGTTTCATAGCTCTAACTGTGGCAAACCCTTTGATCTACTTGGTAGATGACTATGTTTTGTTGGCATTCCAATTTTATTAAACCAAAATTAGGCTTTTGTGGCTACATTATCATTCAATCTGCTGTTTTTAAATTGTGGGTTGGCGTTTAATTTTGTAAGAGATTTGGATGGGTTTGCATTGAATTCGTATTGAAATGAGTCGTCTATTCATGCTCTCGAATGTCTCCAAGCAGACCATCCGCATTGTGATTATCGTCACCATCTCCATCGGTAGACATCATGTATCGTTCAGCAATATTGCGTGAATATTGATCCCATGCATCAAATCGCTCAGCTGTCATAAAGATCGACTCGTTGCTTTTTTCTAAACCACCATAAATGTACCCATTTGCCTTGTCAATGGATTGAGCCAAATGTAATACACTTTCCTTGTCCTCGATGCACAATGTAGTAAACCCTACCAGTCCAAAATCTTCCACTAGTCCACAAAGTGATTCGTTTAGCTTGCCATACCGCTTTAACAGCGGGTCTGCATTAAGCCAATCTGATAGATACGACAAATCTTGTACTTGGGTATAAAAATCCAGTCCAAATGCTATACAATAAAACAGGTCAGCAATGTTTATACGAATAAGACCACTTGGCGATGCATGCAATCAACTTGAACATCTTTCCAAAACCAAACACTACAATCAAAGCATGCTCATCACCTACCTAGTTTACCATAAGATTCAATCAGATCAATTTTAGACAGTACATTGACATGAGGAAGCTCCAACTGGATCATTGTCTTGAGTGAAAGCAATAGCATGGCTACGTATTTTGAGGGATCCACACAGTGATGCGAGTCAACCAGATGCACTGCACACAACTTGATAAACCCAAAGAATAGTCAATCAGAACATTGAGCATTCTAAAAGCAGTACGAATACAACTGAATAGAAAACCACTCGATATCTTATATGATCACTTTCAACAAATACACTTGAATTCATAGTGCTTACTCTAAAATCCATATCCTTTGATAGTCTATCCAAAATTCGTTTGACTGATTGATGATGAGTGTACAACTCAACTTGGCCTGGACAGTCGAATAGGATATATTTATCTAGATTCAAAATAAATACACATTCAATCGTAAATCCAACTAGGCTAATACAAACATGTTGGATAGACACCAACGAGCCATTTCAAGTTGATTACCTTTAATTGGCTGCAGCTTTTCAATTAGCCAGTCCATATTTGCCTCGAGATACTCCATACAGTAAATCATGCCTATATAATTGGACACTTGGATTGTAAGGTGCTAGTTCGAGGCCTTTTGGGTTTATATCCAAGATTCCAAATCTAACGATATTCCAACCTTTCATTGGGCAAATTGGTCATACCTCCATTTGGACCCAATCCATAAGTTTCCATGGCATCGTCAAGGGTTACCAATTCAGAAATATCTATATCTGCCTTGTATCTATAGATTGGAATTCAAGGTTTTTGGAAACAGTAGGTTTAGATTCAATACGCAAGCATGTTCTTGCAGTCCATACAGCGATTACTTTTATCATTGAATAAAAATGATACAACAACTCCGAGTACAATCCCATCACAAAGAAATACATACGGCAGTCCATCGTTTGCAGGATCGAGATTTACAATTGCTACTGAACTATAAATAATGTCATTACAATCGAGTAAAACTCATGGCAGACGGAAAGTAAACCACTTTGTATTTACCGTTCCGTTGCTTTGTAGAACTGGGATATTCCATAACAGTATGTTGTTTTACCGCAGCCTGGTGGTCCTACCACAATCTGTCCAAATGGCATTATAAAAATGACGAGTCTGCAAAGTCCAATCGACTTGGTTTAAATAATTGAAAAGTACTTTTTATTGATGAATCTCGTATATCAATCATGCTACATTGAATCAGGACATGATTGACTGGTAATCTTGCAAATCAATGATTGCACTGTTCTTGTTATACATCTTGCAGTGAAACCAAGAATCATGCAGGAATACGACGTGCTCCCGATGATTTTGAAGGCACAGGTCTATTCATGCTGTCTGAAACTGCAGACCCAAGTATTCCTTTTTTGGAAAAGTTGTTTGGAGATGGATTGAGGTACTGCTTAACAGCCTGGTTCAGATTGAATAAAACGACCGATTTGCAATACACCATGATGTTAGTATTGCACATGAAATCCTAGCTAGTCATATTCATCTACCTTGGCATCTGGAAGACAGTGTCCAAATGCTTCCATCAGCAGAGTTTCTTTTGCAATGGCACCAGCCCAATCTGCCTCGCTTACACGACCGTCTCTGTCCTCATCTAGCTTCTTTAGTACCAAATCAACAAGATCTTTGACTCCGTCTTCGTCCTCTTCTACTGCACCTTTGACAAGACAGTTTTTAAGCATCTGAAACATTTCTTCTTTGGATATATATCTGTCGCCATTGAGATCATAAACCCGAAAACAGACTAATTAAAACACAGTATTTGTTAATAGTGGAATAGACATTGTTTGTATCTAGCTTGTGTTTCTTTTTAAACTCGAGCGTGCATCACTTGTTGGCATCCAATCATACAATGGCTACCAGTACTACAGTGTGTTAGACTCAATCTGTACTTACATTTAAGCCTCTCCTCGTAACGACCATTGAGGAAAACAGACATTCCCTTTATGTATTCATCAAAACTAATATAGTTATCAGCATCTTGATCAAAACATCGAAAAACTGATTTCATGGTGTTAATTCGAATCGTGTATAAAAGGGGTTGATTTCTGTACGTGGCCATCCAAAGCAATACTAGAATATCATACCTCTGTCCATAATGAGCGAGTCGTCTACACCAAAAGTGTCTGCAAGCATATCACGGAATCTTGAGCGATCTATCTTGTCACTAGTCTGCGCGGTAAGCGTGAAACTTCGCCCAAGAATATCAATTTCTGCGCGACTAACTATAAAACATGAAAAGTATGAGCATGTTTTCTAGTGCAAAACCCATACAGGGTATTTGACGATCAAGATGATGTAGACTGATTTTTAAGCATATCTCGAAAGACGGATTGGATAGGTGCCATGACGATGCTATTCCAACCCTATTTGACACCATTTTACTGACGTCCTTGATACTAAATTTAAATTCGTACCACAGGTCTTGGCAAGCATTTATCAAGAGATTTCCAAATAAAAACAGGATTAAAACAGCTTACAGTTTGTTGTTTTTAGCAAATCTTCCATCGAGGTTCGAGTAGCTGCCATTGTAGATTGCTGTAAAAGTGGATTGGTGGTGGACTCGAGCACTTTATTAATATTGGAAACGTTTTAACAAATCGAGGCAAAGCTTTTTGCTAGTCATAACAATTGTATCATTACACGTGTTGAATAAGCTTTCTGTTCAGAATTGTTGATTGGGTCAAGCGTAATATAAGAGTGTTGGACACAATGCACTGGTTTATTTGAATCCGATTTGGCTATAGATGCATCACTAAATCCATTATATTTATAATACCATATCAAGTGATATTTATTTTTAATGCTCGCTCAAGATAAAGTATCTGTGTTGAAAGCTGAAACATTCCAGAGCCCAAAACCAAATCTATTGTTTGCACCCAATTTTGATTGAATAATTAGTGTAGCTGGTATGTACTAAACATCAATCAATTTGACAAAAATACGGCGTTTGGATGATTTCTTTTCAAAACGAGTTTCTATATAGTCTGTTAGTTTGTAAATCGATATCATCTGCCTGCACAACACTGCATGATGGCAAGCGATGCAACTTGACCACACCAACGCGTTTTCACGTGTTTTATCGGGAAATAACAGTGGCCAATGGAAATACGGAGAATTTTAAAAACACTGTAATGGCAGTCCAAGATTTTAATGAATCAAATCAGGTGATATAGTTTAACCACGTGACAAATAGCAACTTTCAAGTTTGAGGCTCGACTTGAGCTGAAAGAAAAACTGCGGTTTTTGTTTCTTACCTTTTTGCAAACTACTTACAGAGGCAACGATGGCTGAACAGGTATTGTCTTTGGATTGTCCTGGTTGGATTTATGTACACTTTGGATTCAATTCAGTTGGTCCAGTCAGTCACTATTCAAAAGCAGTCTCATCTAAAGGACCAATCTTATTTAAAGCTCAGTCTGCTATCTCGAGTCTTTTCTTGGGCATTGATGCAAGCCAGTGCAATGCCCAGACACTCTTGGATAGGCTTGACAGTCAAGAAAGCAGGCACAGCTGATTGTGTCTGGTTTATACTTTACATCAATCGCTTGTAGTCACTTGCTGACACTGATTTTTTAAGATGCGATCTTTACATTTGGAAAGGATTTGATTTGGAACAATCTGGCCCAGTTGGTTGCTTTCCTTTGCATGAGACTATTTGCTACTATCTTTATACAATTCGTTGCCATTTAGCAGTGTTGGACTTTTATCAACTCACGCCTTGATTTTTGTACATGAACGCTAGACTGAAAAAGCTTTCCAGAGCCAGGCTGGCATGTTCCACGCCAAGAAGAAGCCTATTCGTTGGTACAACGATGTTGGTCTTGGATTCAAGACACCCACGGAAGCCATCAAGGGTCATTACATTGACAAGAAATGCCCATTCACTTCTTCCTCTGTCAGCATCCGTGGCCGTATTCTCACAGGTGTCGTCATGTCCACCAAGATGAAGCGTACTCTTATTATCCGAAGAGAATACCTTCACTACATTAAAAAGTACAATCGTTATGAGAAACGTCACAAGAACCTTGCTGCTCACGTTTCACCTGCTTTTATCGACGTTGCAGCTGGCGATACTGTTACTGTTGGTCAATGCCGGTATGTGCTAGATCTTTGTACCATTTTATTTTAGATTGCCGACTCATTTATTTATGTTTAGTCCTCTTTCCAAGACTGTCCGATTCAATGTTCTCAAGGTCCAAAAGAAGGTCATCAAGGGATCCAAGTCATTTGTCAAGTTCTAAACGTTATGAAATATTTGGATTCGATGCAAATGAATGTCGGCCCAAATCAGGCTATTTTGCAACATAGCTAGTCTGAATATTGCTTGAGTTTACTTTATTTTGATGCATAGAATAGACATGTATAAAACAATGGATGCACTTGGTAGTTGCTTCAATCGTAGTTTAGATTAGTGTCGAATACTTGTGATGCAATACATGAATGCTAGCAGTGTATGAACATATCTAGATCTTATGAATGTAACATCAAGCTATGCACTAACTGAGATGAGTGAAATTGAATCCACTTGACTCAACAAATGTATTTATTATTCTATACAAACGGATCATGATAAAATGTAAACGGTTTTATCCAAGCCAGTTTAATAGAAAACTAAAGATTATTGATGACCAAGTTTGAGTTTCAACAATTCCAGTCGCATTCGTATAAAATGAAACAAATATCTTGCAGTGACTTCAGCCGTCATTGACATTTTCAATTAAAGCACGACGATTATAACGTAATGCATGAAATTACTGTTTTCTTTACTTTTGACAGTTGTGCATTCAGTGATCATCAAATTCATGTATTGGTCTCGACTGTTGCCAATACATGAATCGGGTGTTCTAAAACTCGTGCATTCGCGTTCTAATCTAAAAGATTGCAGTAATGCGACCATAGATACCAGTCAACAGTCAATTAAAGAGTTTAAAAGAGAATGCAGTCAGTCGATACGACTGTTTGCTTGCAATCTGACTTGCAGTTTTACGTGAACACGGCAGTAAATGCTTCAACTCGACTTTACTCGATCCAACCAAACGTTTTAGATATTTCCATGAAACTGTTGTTTGAAGAAACACCAATTGATGCACCGGATCCTCTTGGACAGGTTTGTTTAACTGTAGATATTTCTACTGCTTCATGACTGCTTTATTCTGCTGTCATTCCACTAGTGAATTCATTTCTGGTCTTGCAACATTCCATCGCTTGTCTTGAAAACATCAGCCTCAACAATGCTGTCTTGCTGAGCTTACAGACTGACTGAAACTGAGTATTGATTTGACTCTTTGAACCAACTGGACAAATCAAAGTCGGATTGAAATGCTGTAATGACTAGATCTTGCATTCAGAATCAACAGAATTCATAACTACTTGCCACAAACTCAACTTTGCATTCTTGTATTGAAATCATTCGATTGATATCTACTGGGTTTTAGGAGTTAATTCGACATGCCACCTACTTGTCAGAAATACTTGCAGGCATTACAGAAAACAACTGGGCATCTGTTTTGCATGAAAAGGTAATGCAGTATCGTTATCCATTGATCTCGTACAGATCGTTTTATTTTTAATCTCATATTGAGTTGTGTTATCAACCCATTTGAATTCATGCATTATATTTTAGAGTCTTACGGATTACGAGCAAGTCGCAGGTGGACTTCTTCATGGAATATTGACCAATGAAATCCAATTTGAACGAGTATGACTGCTGCTTGGTGTATCTGTTTTCCTCGAATCATACAAATGCATGATGTTTGATATTTAACTGTTTTGGTTAAATCTATAGTACTTTCAATTATTGGCGTTTGTTGTGAGAGATGGATTTGCTACCGTTATTCACAAGCTCAAGTATGTTTCGGAAACAGATAAATTTAAGATGCTCAATAGGTTTGCACAGAAACAGGTATATGAATCTTTTAATTCAAACTTGTCTTGATACCACATCAATTGTCCTGAATTGCTAATGTATATGGCTTATGAAACCTATTTTAATTTTTATCGTTTATAGAGCATCTGGCTTTTAGACAAACTTTTGACCACTTTACCAATGACAGAGCAGCTTTCATATATCATACTACGATTTATGCGTCAGATCAAACGTATGTTCAATTTAGAGTGTATTGGCTTGTGATTGCAATCTATTTATTTCTAACTCTGATTTTAAATAGATGGAAACTGTAGCAAAGATAACATAGCATATACCAAGTTTATTGTGGATTTTCTTACATCAAAACGGTATGATATGTTTAGTTTAAACATTGACCCGTCATTTACTAATGGCTTGTTTTGAACTGCCTATATAATTGGTTTATTCAGTGCCATTATAGCAAAAGATAAAGTTCTTGCAAGGCATGTTGTATTCATGCTAGTTCGCGCTATAGCGGATCATTTACACCACTTGGATTTGCGCACAAAAGAAATGGCTTTATTTTTCTCGCTTATATCATCAAATGTGAGTTTGTTGCCTACACCAATCCGACTATTGCATACACTTTCATCTGCTCATATCCAACTTTAATTTAGATTCAAGACTGTGTATATATTGGAAGAGATTTTATCAGATCATTGATGGAAATTTCAAAAATTCCATCCATTGCAAAGCTTTTATTGTCCATTATGCAATCTCCTTCTCCAGAGTATCCTAATATTCCATGTAAGATTTACAATTTGTTTCAATTTTGACTAGTCACAAGGCGGGTTTGAACTAAATTGATATTCTATGATTTAGCATTATCCGACTTTCTTGATAGACCAACACCTCGCGAGTTTCTAATTTCTCGATTAACACCCGACATGGAAATTAGAATTGTATTCATTTTAAACTCGGTTCCAAAACGACTTTCTTTTACTTTTATAGAGCAATTCAGAAAGCGTTTTTTGACTTTGGAAAGCGAAACATTGCTTCCTGATATAATTCGTTATATATGCGGTGCTATCCATCCAAACAATGCCATTCTTGCTTCAGATATTGTTCAGCGCTGGCACTTGATTTCAATTTTGCTGCGCGGCATCAAGGTGTGTAGATCCGCTCTTGTCTTGTAATCGACTCCACTCACTCTGCTATATGATAGGCACCTGCTTGTGCGCAGTCATGCAAGCTTTCACTTTACTTTGATTGGCTATTTTTTAATCATGCGAGTGACAGTGTCATGTCTTTAGGTAAGACTTTTTGACTGATTGGGCCATGCTTGCTTTTTAAATTGTAATATTTGAAAATTAACTTGCTGTTTAAAAGAGCCCGGAATTCTTGTAATGGTAAAGAATTTGCAGACATCGCCAGCAATAAGCGCAACCATGCTAGAATTCCTTGCCTTGATCGCCGATCGATTTCTTCCGACTCTTAGTGCTCATATATATCATAATCTAAAACTGTCCATGTCTATTGTTGTGGAAAAGAGGGTGATTACGTGAGTGCCTGCCTTTGACTTGCATGACTATTGCTTTATAATATTAACTTTTATTTAGATCGCTCTCTCTGATATTGCTTTCGCCTCAACTGGATGAGTTTACCAAGGAAACTGTCACTAAACTGTTTGCATCAGATGATGATGCATTGATAGCCAATACAAGTATTGATCATGAACCGTTTATTTCAGTTGATAATTCATCATTAAATGATACAGATGAGTCTCAGATTACATCTGATCCATACCTGGAATCCATCACAACACAGCAATTTGATCAATCATACAATGGTGATTTATTTGATGCCGCAAATAAACCATCGGCTCAAGAATTTTCTGCTGTCTCGGATCCAGCATCCTTAAATCTTAATACGGCATTTACTGAATACCAACCAGACTTTGCACATGTGGCTGAAATCAACACCGACTCAATGAGTAACTCGTTAGAAGATGCTGACTTGGCCAGTTCTACTTGTATTCGTACAAAAGATATCGGTGAGTTTGAGATCTATTCTATATTGACTATAATAGGTTAATCACCTTTTAAAACTTTGCTGACTAGCTTATGTGTGCGTTTTTGTAGACATGTATGCTATTTTGGAGACTCTGGAATCTCAGATTTCCAATCCTGATCCTATTTCTGATTCCAAAAAACCCACCATTGAAATATGTCAGCAGTTTCTTGAAAGTTTTAATTCTCAGGTAATAGTGCATCTGATACTTTATTTAGAATATTTGAATCACCTCGATCCAACACTCAACAATTTTTCCCATTCATATTAGGCTACTGAATCAAGCTATGACACTATTGCCAGTAGTCTGCTGCGTGTATTACATAATGATTTGATAGAATTTTGGCAGAATTGTCCAGCCACAGTATCATATGCGCAGACCTTGTTTACACTCATGATTGATCAATATCATGCATCCACTTTATCCAAAGAGTCTATACAATGTGTTGGGTTTGCTACGCATTTAGCCAGTTTAGATCCGATTATTTCTTCAATATTCTGTGTCATAGAAATGGAAAAACTGGACAGCTCATCTGATTGGATAAAATGTAGTTTTTGGAAATCTGCGTTTGGCGACTTTGATTTGGTTTTCATGCTAAAGGTTTGTAGTTTTGCTGACGTGTTTTGATATACCTATCTGCTTACACGATGTATAGATGATTTTCGATGTATCCCTAGAATGGTTTTACCGTGTAATTCCGCGAGTGTTGCGTCAATTTGATGATGTGCTGGTTGGAAATCCCGATTTAATATTTATGGTTGTGTCTATGATTGATTCTAAAAAGGTAAATACAAAAATTATGCGTTTTCTTATTTTTCAAAAATGCCATTTGTCTTGATTGTTTATTTCTGTCCTCCTACCAATAGCTTTAACTATATTAGAGTATGTCACTGATTTTGAGATTCTAACACCTTGCATACGTTTATGAAAATAGCTGGTTGCACTAAAAATCGCACTGTACGCTAATCAGGCTGCACTGTTTGGATCTAAACTTGAACCATGTCTTGCTGCCATGTGTACCTGGTCAGCGATTGAACAATGGACAGCGTGGAATCTACTTTCAGAAGAAATTGGGGTTGAACCTGCTGATAGTCCGCAACAGCTTTGTATGCTTGCATCTGTGTTTGCATTGCTTCAGTGTCTTGATACGCCAGAGATTCAGAGTGGGGTTCTCATGTGCACGGCTCAGGTAGCTCCAAGTGAGTCACTGTTACGGTATCTAATTACACCGCTTTTCAAGCCTGATCTTTTTTGTACAATCTGGACTCGGTGGTACCTTCGTTTTGGAAAAGATAGAATGCGTACTGCCTTGACATCTGCTATTGATTTGTGTAATCGCCAAGCCAACACAACAGACTCGTTGGCATCTTTTGTAAGTTTAGCATTTACCACACAATACTGCCAAATTGCTTGTTTATAAAGTTTAATAGGTGGACCCGAATATGTTGAATAATAACCATGTCTGATTTAAATGACTAGCCTGATCATTCCAATCCAATGCAACATACCACGCTAGTTCATACCAACCTTTTAAATGCTTCAGCCCCAGACCCAGAATTTTTAAACCAGCTTCAACACAACATTGCCATCAAATCAAAACTACTTCAAAACCATGCCAACATAAGCACATCTGTCTTGACAGACTATATTGAGCAGATTAGAACTAGAATGAAATCCGTAGCATCGGTAAAAAATATCCTAGGTAATGAGTGATTTGCAGATTACAATGTATGCATGTTTACGTGCAATTCTGATAAAATACTCGACATTATCCATCGACTCAACACACTTATTACCAATCCAATTTAGATTTTTTCACAGAGGTGATTGCTTAAATCAACAAGGTTTCATTCTCAGTGTACTGCTTGAATTACGTGTTTATTGGACCACACATACTGCATTCCTTTGTCGTGCTAGGATTAATAAAAGTGCATTTGAAACATGTCCAAGATTCGCAATTGTGGTGTTCGGAACTTGTTTTTTGGGTTTGGGTTGAAGCTAAACCTGGCATAATTCCCGCCAGTGCAGTACCTGAAAACCCAGACTCGGTAGAAGTAGAAGCATGATCTAAACATAAACAACCGTTTAAACTCTATTTGGTTACAACATCAACATGTGTCGTTCATACCTTGAAACGTGGGATGTTCAGGTTGTTCAAAAATTCTAATTTCAATCGTTTCACCAGGACCAATACCAATCTCTCTCATGGTCATTTCATCCTGCACCAATTCCTTATCCCGATAAAATAATTGTTGATACATGGGAGGTGTATGAAAATGATTCATCAACTATTACGCAAGACAAGTTAGGAAATGTCAGTAAAGGGTGTCAATGAAGTCAATTGGGGTATATGAAAACTTGCCTTGAATTTAAGTTCGTGTGCTGTCATGGTAGGCGTGATACAAGCGACTACAGATCGCTCTGAGCGAATACGTTTACTGACTCGTCGCTTTTTAGTAGGTAAGTTGGGCTTGGGTTCTGGACTTTTGCTCAACGGTCTTTTTGAGTCGAGTAAAAGTACATCTGATTTGGAAATAGTGGCATCGCTACTATTCTTTCCGTCTTCTGATTCCAACCCTTTATGGTCCACTTGAAAATCAGTGTCGATTGGTGTTGCAAATTTTACAATATGGATATCGGTCTTGTCAAATGATAAAATACGCTGCTTTCTACATTCCCAACATGTAGGTGGATCAACTTCAAAATGAACATTTTTTGAAGGAATATCAGCATCATCAACTACCAATCGAACGTGTATCGCTTTCTTGTCTGCTAAAATATAGATCTCTTGAATCACTTTCCATTCGTCTGTTGAAACAAACGACAAAACAGTTTCCTTTGTGTTATCCGTCTCCAAATCAAAAAGTAAATTGCCATGAGCTTGGCAAAGTACACTGTTTATATCCAAAGATGTTGGTGGAAGAGAATGATTGCGGGACTTGACAAAACTTCTCCACATAGTTAAAAACGCTACCAACAATAGTTAACTACCTCGGAAATAGCACATTTTTCGATAGCAAGTCTATTGGTAAAAATAAATGTACCATAAAACTTACATGTTGGAACCAGAAAATAATCATGATTGATTTCAAGTTGTAGTTTTTTTTTATCAAGCAGTCTTTTTAGCGTATTCTAAGATTCATTCGCGAGTTTTTGTTTAATAAAGTGACGTGTTTTAAGAAATCCAAAAGTCGTATCACAACAAACTAACCGCTTCAAAATTGGCTCGAATCCGCAAAGGACGATGCTCTAAAGAGTCCTGCTCATGATTTTCTATACACAGCACACATTCGGTATCATTTCCCAAACAACACTTCATGTCGGGAAAAATATGCTGTAAAATTTCATGGGACTAGTTATCGCGAACCAAGCAAGAATGAATTAAAAACATTCCACAACAGTTTTGAAGCAAGTGTAAGCGTGATACCTTTGAGGAAATCAATGTCCGACGAGACGAGTGGATCGAAAGTGCACCATGGGCACACCATACATCTTTTTTATAATTGCCTATATTTGGTGCTACAAAAGTAATTCCTTTTTTCCAATCTACATACATTCTTTGTTAGACAGTCCAAGCGTAATGGTGTTTGACAAAAGCGTGGATTACCATTAAGCCACGATTTTGAGATAAAGTATCCTGGTTGAACTGGGTCATGTGTTTTTGAGTTTCGAATAGATAGTGCATCAAACACCATTTTAACATTTTTCTGATGTTCTGCGTTTGAAATAATGCGCTGCTTGACATTTTGGTAACAATCTATGCATATATCGTCAGAATAAAGCATTGGATCTACTGATATACCTAGTTGCTTTAAGAGTTCATATCCAGTCTAATAATACATTAGTTTTCATTATTGTATTGGGAATACAAATAGCAAATACAGTTTATAGCAACAAATGATTACCTGGCTGATTTTTTTCGTCATCCATAGTTTGACTGGATGTAGTTTACTGTGTGCGCATAGAAGATCGTGATTGGATATACTCCATAAATTATCTGATTGTTCTGCAATGTCAGTATCCAATGGCGCAATTTCATCTTCAGAATTCTTTTTGTCATCCAAAACATATAGTGATTTTCGCAGATTGGCTATCCAAGCTGCACGCTTTTTGAGCAATTCCGCAAGATTCTTGGTCATAATATACACAAATGGAGTCTAAACATTGTACAGGTTAGTATCATAAATGGATGTTTATCAATAGGTTTAGTTGAACTTGAAAACGTTTCTTAAAGTGATTTAAACTTTCAACCTTTTCGTCCATTGTGTGCCATGTAGAAAATATTTGTTTCCACGCAACGTTCTCCGCTTCAAGTATGTTGACTGTCATTTCCTTACTAAATTCCAGAATAAATAGTTGATATTTACCCAGTCAATTCAAATCCATTCTCCATCTTGATACATGCATCAGGTAGCTTTAAAACGTACTTGGTGATTTGGGTTTCAAATTGATGATGAAAGTCTCGGTTATCAAGATCAATTTCCGCCTTCATATCCTTTGGAATGATCATGTGCGCGTCCTTTTTAGAGTCTACAGCTGTCTCTTCAGGAAAAACTAGATTTCCATCTACAAGGCGTTTAGATGATAGTACGTAGGTTAGCTGATACGCGGATGAGGATGAAAAAGTCAAAGTAGCCTGTTGCGCTTGTTTTGTAACAGCTGTGGATTTCTCTGTAATGTTTGAGTTTTTCAAAGACTGTTTTTTTAAACTGATGTTTACAAAAACTTTGCTTTTAGCTGCTGTTTTTTCAAGTTTGCCATTTGCAGTTTTAGTCGATTTTGATGAGATGCCTTTAGAACCGTCAAGCTCGAATGAAGGGAAAGGCATGATGGACACAGTTTCGTCGTCCAAGTTCAACCATTTGTCATATCTACCAATTTAAAGCAAGTTTAACATGTCAAAATCAAACCTAGCATAAATAAAAAGATTAAATAGCAATATTTACTTTTGGGAATATAACCTCTGTACATAGTGTCCTGAATTAGCGCTGAAACCTTTATGCAATAAAACCGATTTAAGCTCGTATATTGCAGAGTCTTGAGCAGCAGTGACAAGAAACGAGGACATATCAATCCATTCTGGAAATTCAATTTTTTCATGGATTTTTTCCTTGAGTAACGTCTTGGGATCAAACCTAAATCTGGTGATTTGAAAATTCAAAATCTAGTACATGTTTGTAATCAACATTTATGAGATTAGAAGCAATATTTAACCAGACTCATTTCAATTGGATCAAATAAAAGTAACCTTTGGGAGGCTATGCAGCTGGATATGTCTGCTGGCGTCCTGTTTTGAGTTGCAAGTGCTGCACATGTACTGATTATCACCTTGAAGCAGCTCAGAGAATAGATAGTCATTAACGCAGTCAAGCAATGTCAAGCAACTCTTTGATGCAAGTTAGCATAAAATCTGACCAAATATTTCAAACAAAATATCAAAATGCGCTAATTATATAATTATTTAATGTACCGTAATGTCCAGGGCAAGCTCATGAAAACTACCTTGCCTGGAAGACTTTGATTGGCAGTTTTTGCAGCAAGTAACATAACTGTGCTCGCCCTTCATCTAAAGTGCGTGATTTAAAAAATAAGCCATTCAAGTTTAATATCGAAATAGTTTGGATCAATGATCGTACCAAGTCATTGAGATGCATAATCGAATCAGAGCCTGTGTATAAGCTCGCTATTTCCAAATCCACCACGGAAACAAATAGTTTTTCAAATCTGCACAAAAATGAAATCAACCACGGTTAGTTGTGTATTTGCTTTCAAATAGACTAGGGTGATACTGTAAATTGGCCTACTCAAGTGCATCTTGTTGAAGTGAAGGGTCTATTTTCATAATATTGATCAGCCTCTCTGGCGAAACACAAGGTTTTTCTGATAATTCCAATTGAGCAAGTACAAGTCCGAGTTCATACAAAACAGAATTTTTGTGAGCATGAAAGGCGTGTTTCATGATTGTGGAGTTTATATCTGGAGTGTAAAACCATGCCTGGAATAAAAATAATTGAGCTGTTTGTATAGAGATGATCTTGCACAGAAATTTCAGCAGCACTTTACCTGCAATAGAGAGTTTAAATAGCAAGTAGCTCCATGATTCTTGTTTAACAATCCGAATAAGTATCAAAATGGATTCAAGACGGACACCCGAGTAAAACTTGAATTATACAGCGTATCGAGTTACCTTGAGTCCAGCAGGCATCTTGTTCAAATCTCTTGGATGAAACATACTGTTGCTGTACGCATCTGTAGTTGAAACTAACAGCCTGAAAGCATTAGAGATATGCTGCAGTTTTGTATTATAACTTAAAGCAGGCTCAACAAATATCCAGACAACCCACATTGCTCTAGTAGTATGTTTTGTCCAAGATAGTTTATACAATTGGGATTATCTCTGCATTTAGAAACTATGCATTTTGAACTGCTGGATCCAGAGGGTTGAGTTGCAGCACTTGCATGCTGTTTATTTAAACAGTGCGGTCTGCCAGATTTGGAAGAGAGCAGTGCGACAGTCTATTAATAAGTTGTAAATGGTCTGAATTAGTGCATTCCGATCATGAATGGCTGAAACTGTAAAAGCTTAAGTGAATGCCATCAAAGTCTTTACTTGAAAATCCTGTTTCCATAAACCAATGTCCTGTTTCCTTGGCATATCAAGCTCATAACTTGGTTGTTGCATTTCAATGGATGGTTTTTGAATCACCAACTTTTCGAATAGATTGCTGTCGTGCTCACGTAAAATGTGCTTTTTTGAGTTGATCTCGCACTGTTTTAAATAAAATACTTTGTATTGATTGTATTGGAATAAACAATTGTTACATGTTCGTTGTTATTGAAACTCTATTCTAATATTAAATACGTTTTAGTTGAACATATCTCGAGAATGCAACTGTTGTTTTCAGAATAATTATCACAACAAATATTATTAAACCTTGTCAACCAGTTCAAATGACACCCATCATTCCATGAGGATTGGTTGTTATGTATTCTGACTCTAGAGTTCCATTTTACGCGAATACGACTGTAAAAGGGTAAAACAACTCAATTGACTGATTATCACGTATGCAGTCAATCAGGCATAAATGCAATGAGTCGAGTATTTGTCAAGTTCAAGACTCGTTGGTTTTTATCATACGATTGTCCTTGTAAATCTAATATTTAAAATATAGCGCATGCTTGCATTCTATTTGGAAATGCTCTATTTCATTTCATGACATTGATCGCTTTAGAATATCAAGGAAATAAAACTAGGATTCAAATTCAATGATATAGTGCGCTTATTGTTTGGGAGTAGATGCAGGTAGAAGTGTAGACGCCGCAAGACTCTGAGAACATTGAGAATAAGCCATTCCAGCTCCAAATCCAGTAGCCAATCCAATGGGCCATCCTCGACCTATTCATTCACATTATCATGATACAAAATGAGAGTTAGTTTCAAGCGCATCATTGAATACTACACTTGTTGAAATCGTCGATGATTTAAATAGATCTAGATATATATCCAACCACACGCCATACACCATTGTTGCAATGGCAAATGGGCTGCACACATCAGTGCAACAATCACATCTTTACAATAAAAAGCATCGCAGTACTTACGTCTGAAAAGCAGAAATGAAAGACTCACGCCTACAGTAAGGCCTAGACCACTCTTGATGACAAAGTTGGACAGACATTTATCCCACTAGTGATCAGTGTAACGAATTGACATTAAATGACATTGATTAGTGCATTGTTGGATATAGAAACAGATTTGATTTAGTTTGAATCATAATTGACCCAATCTACCTTGCGAGCGAGCAGCTCTTCACTAGGAATAGTCTTTGATTCAGCAGTCTGGCTTTCCATAGTTGTTGAAATGGTTCAAGCCAAACGCAAACAGATTTTATTGCCCAAATACATTTCATTTTGACCAAAATAATGCATTTTTGGCCAAATATGTCATGAGCACAAATCTTGATTTTGTGGCAAATTCAAACTCGAGGCAAACTGAATCAAAAACATGTCGTCAGCAGAAAGGAGTTTCCGTGAGTCGCTGCAGCTTTTCAATGCTGGCTCAGGAGGATCGGCTGCTCCTGGCTCGGGTAGAAAGAACGACACTTCTGTTTTAAATATGGACCGGACTGGACACAATGCGTCAAATGATAGCATTGCAATGGGCAGTTTCTCTAGTTTCTTTTCAGGCTCGTCCAATTACCCTCAAGGAGGTTCCGTAGACCCAGAGGCGCAGGAAGGACTGTTGAGATCGTTTCAGACTCGTGCACAGGGTAATCAATACGTATTTGTACAATCCCATCAACTGTCTTTATGGCTAGCTCTGACACTAGCTTCATCATCACTGTAACTGATCTCAACTTTATACTTAGGTGCCTTGTCCTCGGTAGGATTCGGTCCTCGCCATCCAGATACAGAGTTTTGTGGTTTAACTACTTTCCAGGTTAGAGGCTTGTTTATTGAGCATCAACTACATTCAGACTGTATTGCAACTATAAAATACTGATAGTCATGTACCTGTTTAAACTTTCCACAACTGATTCGCCAACGTGACATTGATTCATCAATATAATGCAACCCATTGAATGTATGATTAGCGCTATGTTGGATTTGCATTTTGCATGGCTACGGCCATATTGTGCTTTATGATTTCTCTCTTCACTTTACCCATGGTCCTTATCTCTCCAGGAAAATTTGCTCTCACATACACAATGGGCAGCTTGCTCTTTCTCTTTTCGTTTTCATTTCTTAATGGTTTGGTTGCACATCTCAAACATGTTTTCAGCTTGGAGAGATTACCTTTTACTGCATCATATATGGTTTCAATGGCAATGACGTTGTTTTTCTCAGTAGTGGTAAGATGATTGAATGGTTTTATTATAGGCTACGCCATGATTGCTGATACTAGTTTTTATAATTTAAACTCTAGCGGCCGAGTTATTTGCTGGTTATTTTCTTTTGTATAGTCCAAGTTGTTTGCCTTGCATGGTATGTTGGATCGTATCTTCCTGGAGGAGTACAGTCATTACGGTGGATGACCCGCAATACAATTGGATTGCCAATCTAATAGATTCATTAGCCCATATTCATCACTGTTTATCAAAATCATCGTGTTTTACCATATTTATTGCAGCCTAATCTGATATCCAATACAGATCAAATAGTTTGAGTCTTTACAGCCATATTCACGTAGAATGGATCATTAAGGATGCAATGCATAGTAAATAGTCAGTGTCATGAACTGGTTGACACTATAGTGACATTTATGGTGGTGATTGGCATGCAGAATTACACTACTGAATGTACAATCATTAATTTTTTGGACTGGATTGCAAACGTATCCGAGTTTTTAGGATACAATAGAGTTTCTTTAATGACATGATCGTGTTGAATATTCCTCAATTGTGCGTTCATTCAACGTTTTTAATAAACAGGCGTTGATTGCAAGATAAACAAGTATTTCATTTCATGTGAATACGACTGTAAATGATGGCGATTCGAGTGCATTGAATCTGCTTAATCTGACCAGCAAAAATCAGTCGCTGTAGAGTCACATGATTATGGCTTAAACTGCAGTTTATAAAAATTTCCAAATGAGCAATTTCATTCATTATAACAGACTGATCGAATTCACAAACATGGTCAATGTATGTTTGAACTATAAAAGCCAGTTCTTATTTCATTTAGTTTCTATAGCATCAAGCCTGTCATGTCCCTATCAAACTGGACTGTCTTGATGCTGCATTGCTGTATAATCAATTGTGTTTCTATACTGATTATATTTTTATAAATGGTTGGTTCTACTATAGCCTGCAAGAATTATTACACAAGTGGCCGTTGTTGGAACTCAAATTCTTGGACGAGCATTTCTTGAAGCATACAGAGCCGCAGCACAAAGTAATTTTAGTTTCTATTATTCTGGATTGTAGTGACATGTTATTTGATTCAATTACTAGGAATTAGTGATGTTGTTGAATTGAAACTAACCATGAATTCAACGGATTGCATTGGTTTATATCAGATTCTGCAAAAAATATTGCAGGAGGAGCTGCTACGGCGGCATCAGGTGATGCATTGACTCGGCAAACAGGAATGACTCTCGATGAAGCCATGCTGATCTTGAATGTAAACAAGCAATCATCCATGAAAGAAATCACACAGGTGAGATATATGTCATGAACAGCATACTGGGTTTAAACCTGGTTTTTTATGAGTTTGTTACAGTTGAACTCAATAGGTGCTTATGTTTAGAAATATGAACATTTGTTCAAGGCAAATGATCCAAAACATGGAGGTACATTCTTTTTGCATTCCAAAGTATTCCGTGCCAAGGAGCGATTGGATTTAGAGTTAAAACGTGCTGCACAGGAATTGGAGAAAGCTAATACTGCATCGAAACAATAAACATTTACACAGTATATCCTATTTTTGGTCAAGACATGGCACACTGAGTAGTTTTAAATCCTAGTGTACGTCTCGAAGCATAGAATACCAACGCATTTTAAAGTTTTTGAGCTAAACTCGTTGGTTCAAGAGTCGACACGCAGAATGGAGCATTTTCAAACGACTAGCTATTTTATTTAGTTATGTAGACCTGCATGTGTCCATCATAAAATGGACATGATGCATTTATTTCTTTTGGTGGATTATGAACCTGCAAGTTTAATCCTATAGCGGCCATATTGAGGAAATGATGGAGATCATTCGAAATATAGGGCAAAGATGGCTTTGCTGATGTTGAATGTGAAGAGTGATATTACAAACAAAAGCATCGTTAATCCAATCGGGTAAAGAAACACAATGGTGTTTTTAAGAAATGGAAGTGCTAAAAGATTAAATTGAAATTGTATGGAAAAAACAAATGAGTGCCAGTTTTGCTATTCATCCTAACCCTGACATGTATCGTGATAACGAATCTAGCATAACAACATACCATTGTAGCCTAAAAAGGTAATATACCAATAGTAGTTGAGAGCCACAAAGTAGATTGTATTGGAAAATAGCCGACAGATGAGCCCATCCGCCAATACAATACGTAAAAAAAAGAACTGCACCACATATGTTATTAAGAAAAAGGGCACGAATGCATTGCAATGTACATCAAAAGAGTACATCCATTCGACCGATTGTTCGACTGCGTGAACTTGCTGTTGCAGCATGAATTGATTTGTAAAGAACCTAGAATTGAAACAACAATTGGATCACTCCATTCAAGACTACCGAAATGCAACAAAAACTCACCATGCAGTTGTAGCAATCATTAATCCTGTACCTAGAAACTCGATCAATAGTGTGTATGCTATAAGATGAAGAGTTCCAAGAACCGATTCCGAATATGCTATTCCATAGACAATTGCAGCGACTAAAATGGGTTTAAAAACACCGTTGGTTGACGTGCCAATACAAGGACATTATATTCAGAGTATTGCAAAGCAAGCCATAAAAAATGGTAATAGCATACCACACATGCAGAGTGCGATTAATATGTGAAATGCAGGATCATCCCGAGCCCAGTGATTTTTGGTTTCTAAAAAGTCACAAGTCAGCAACTCAATATCATACACTAGTCAATCTAGTCAAGATTTCCAGCCATGTAATTCAACATTGGATCTACTCATGCACCAGTATGCGAGTTAACCTACGTTTGTTATAATATACGTTGCGGTATCTAGAAAGTTCAAAAGTAGAGTTAGCTGCCACTGCAACCAGGGATAAATGCATGGTTGAACAAGAGTATTGAGTAGATTTTTGTATTATAAAAGGACAATGAATGGCATATACAGAAGCCATGATAGTATACTGATCACAGTTGTATTTTGACAGTTCAACGATCCAGAACAAGATAGATCCAGAAAGCGTTGATAACACAAAACATTCAAATGCAAAAGTCATTATGGCTCACACTCGACGAGGAGAGATGACCAGATAAGCCATCTGCCATAGTGCAAGCTCAAAGTCCATCTGAGGCAAGGAAGTCATTCGTCGAAAGTAAGTGCCAAACGTAGAGCCATGTCCTGAGCGAGAACGACGAATCCTACCTCGAGTAGAACCAGAAGTGACGGAACTATCTCTGTCAGTCTCTAAAGGACTCTGGTATGCATTATTACTAGTTCCAGATAAGCGACTAAAGGGCAACATTTTATAGATTGTGACTCCAAAGTTGCTGATTCCAATTAAAGCGATTCGTTGCTGTCAACGAGGTAAAGCGGCTTTCTAGCAAAAGTTTCAAGTCCGGCTGCTACTCGATGTTATAATTGTTTTACTCTTGGATCAAGTCTTAGTTTTATACAACAATCGTATCAATTGCTGTTCAAGCGTATCTTACAATCGCCTGTTTAATCTCATGAACATCTCTTTAAAAAGTTGGTAGATGACAGGCAAAACTATTGCATTACTGTTCATTCCATCAAAATCAGATAACTGGCAGTACAAACCCTAATCCTGCAGTCATTACCACAACTGCTTTCTACGCAATCGATTGATGGCTTTGATTTTGGCCTGTATGCTGAGATGATCGAACCGACTTTGTTCCAAATCTCTCAACATTTGAGCTCTCTGTGGAGGACAATGAGTGACTTTCAATACAAATCCAGGATACGTATTGAATTTCCTGGCAAGCTGTTGAACAGTCCACGTATCAGGATCAGACTCTCGTAGTTGTTGCATCTGCAATATCTGTTCTTTGGAGGGTGTCGCTTGCTGTGGGTAGTTTCGCAGTCTGGGTGGAAGACTGGCTTCTATTTCTGCTGGAATTTGATCATGGTATGCACTAGTCACTTTATTATTGACCAGCTTCTGGCTGGAAGTACTGCTGGAAGCATCGCTAGAAACACTGCTGGAAACACTGCTAGTGGATGGTTTTAAAAAAATCAAACAACTGCCATCATCCATAATAATACGGCGAGTGTCCTTGGGAGTGTTGTATGTGTAGAAGCTACGAGTACAAGGAAGCATTCGAGTGAAGCAGGATCGAGTTGCTAGAGTGTTCATGCTCGAGTGGTGATCGCTGTCGCTAGCAATCGATGTTGTAAAAAAGGAAAACTGTTTTTCATTTGGTCATTGCAATACCATCAAAATATTCAAAGTTCAAGTGAATTTCATTCACCACTCAATATTATATTACGGCTGGTCAGATAAAGCATTCAAGCCATGCATCAGCCATATATAAATCTTTAAAGTTTTGCACTGGGTGCCAGATCCTTGAAAACACCATCCAACTCTGTCGAGTTATGTTCCAAAATATAAACGTTAGTTTTTGCGAGATTTTACTCAGTCTTTAATTGTACTTACTGGTGGCAAGCATGACTGCTCCCTTGACTTTGATCTTGCCAGACATGAATGCCTTTTGACCATTGAGTTTGCCTTGAGCAAGTGCCACAAAGTCTTCGTCCTTGACAGAAATAGTAATGTCTGGCTTGGCACCTGCTTCCTTGGTCACTTCACCCTTTTCTTTTAGATCCAAAAGCCAAATCTGAGTCACACCCTCAGCATTCTAAACTCATTGTATTCAAATATTGAGTAGGACTCTTTTCAATCGCTCGAATTCATTTCGATCAAGATACAATGAGATTTAGCTTACCTTGATGTCAAACTGGAAAATAGCCTTTGTTTTTTTCAAGAATGCATCTTTTTCAGTTGATGACAACGACGACATACGAGACCCAATCATGGAAAAGATGGCATCGGAACCAAATCCTGATGTAGAAGAACTAGTAGGAGGTTTGGGTTTAGGTGCGCTCTTGGCCAGTTTCAGAACTCCATCTGTTATATCCCACACATGTACAATTAGTGTTGATTCTTTTTCACTTGAATATAAAATTTGTAACATGGAATACTACTGGATACATAATCCTTACCAAGACGGGTTGCCAACATCATCTTGTACGAGTTTAAAATCATCGTGTTAGAGAAATGATTGGTTCAATATAATGCATGATATCTACAGATTCAAATGACAGCATGAATACATACATTTCCCTTGACTTTGAGTTTCCCAGACATGAATGCCTTTTGACCATTAAGTTTCCCCGAAGCCAAGTCGACAAAAGTGTCATCGCTTGATGTTTTACATGATTTCCAAGAAACCACGTATTAGTTGTGAACAGGTTGAATATTAGATCAAAAGAAAGAGCGAGATCCATGACAACCCTGTAATGGGGATTAGATCCATCACAATACACATACCTCAGATTAATGGTAATATCAGGTTTTGCATTGGAACCAAGAGTCAGTCCAGCTTGATTCTTCAAGTCCAGTGTCCATGCTTGTTGAGCACCAGCAGCATTCTTGACTAGAAACTCAAAGACAGCACCAGTCTGCTTAACCATTGCTTGCTTCTCAGTAGCAGAAAGACCATCAATTCCAACTTTTAACTGAGAAAAGGCAAGACTAGACTTGAATCCATCCACACTGACTGACATGCTTTCAACTCGATTGGTTTTAGATGAGAACAGTCTGGATTCGAAATTGAACTTTTGGCCAAAACATTGAAAGCATAAATTTATGGGCAATTTGCACTCTGCTCAACTCTCGACAATTTATCTTGAATTATGAATCCACAAAACCAAAAGTATGACCGACAGCTACGGTATGTCCTTGCATGTGTCTTGGTCTGCTTGAATCTACATTTATTCTACATGGAAATATAAATACACTGGCTTTATTCGACTGTTGATTTCATGCCTTTTCAATACTGCCGATTCAAACACATCTACTATTTCATACAATCTTACGATTGATGACAATCAATTTGTCTTGATATTTTCAGCCGGCATACTCTTTGTTTTCACTCGAATTTCTTGCTTGTCTTGATCTTGGATAGCATGTATTCTTTCATTCAATCAAATTCTGTAATGATCTGGCAATAAATTAACTGTTTGATGTGTAGACTCTGGCAAGCTCATGGACAGAAATGCCTTGAAATGTCTCATATTTGTTTGCTGAATGGCTCTGTTGTTGGTGCAGAAGCTCTTAAAAATTTAATTCTTCCAAGTAGGTATTTGTAGTGGCAGTCAGAGTGTGCATTAAATTATACCCATGAGCACCGAGCTTAGTTTGAGTTTCTAACGCATTTACAATCACTCTGATGTCTAGGTATTGGCTCCTTTACTGTTGTTGATGATCAGATTGTGACTGGAGCACATGCTGGCAGTAACTTTTTTTTAGATCAAGAGTCTATTGGAAAGTACCGCAGCGAGGCTTTGGTTCGCTTACTTGGAGAATTAAACCAAGATGTCGTTGGAAAATCAATCATTAAAGCAAGTGAATGTGTTTGGCAATTTTGGAATTTCAAGCATCAATATTCCCAGATTCTAATTCAAGTGTTTAAACTATTGACTTGTTATGTATACATGCAGGATCCTTTAGAAATTATTTCTAGCTCTCCAGAATTTTTCGGAAATTTTACAATGGTTGTGGCAACTGAGCTTTCCGAAACTGGCATACACAAATTGGCTAAAATATGCTGGAGTTTAAATGTGCCCTTGATCGTGGCCAGGTCATACGGCTTTTTCGGATATTGCAGATTTGTAAAGCCTGAACATACAGGTACACACTAATTGATATACGTTTGGGGATTGATATTGACAGCTTTTACTTTTTAATTTAGTTATTGAGAGTCATGCTGCAGCTGGATCTGACTATCGGCTTGATAGTCCATTTCCTACTTTAGTGGACTATGTAAATGGCATTGATATTGCATCAATGGATAGTATGAGTGTTAGTCATATTCCTTGTGTCGTTCTAGTTTTAAAGGCACTACTAAAATGGAGATCAATGGTAAGTTTTTGATCATTTAAAGGTCAAGCAAATTGTTTGTCGATATCTATATATGTATCAATGTACCACTGGTTTAACGCATGTTTGTTTATAGAATGACGGAGCGCTTCCAAAAACATCTGCAGAAAAAGCTCAGTTTCGTCAGGACATATCTGCATTCAAGCATCCTAATGCAATTGATGATGAAAATATCACAGAGGCTCTTGCAATTGCTTACAAAGCATTTTCAACAACCACGGTTTGTTCAAGAATAGCTTACGCATTTGCTTTTGTGGCGAAACATTAACATTATATTTCTTGGGCCGACTTTTATTTCCAACAGATCCCATCTGACATTACTGCTATTCTTGACGATCCAGCTGCCACCAATCTTTCTAAAAACGTACATTGTGTTTTGTATCCATCTACACTATTTGAAAGACGGTGGATGTACAAGGTTTTAACAGATTTTTACAATATAAATCCTGCCGGATTTCAAACATTTTTGTAGTCGTCTGATTTTTGGATACTGGTCGCTGCTCTTAAACGGTTTATCAATGCTGAAGGAAATGGCCAATTGCCTGTGTCTGGTGTTGTTCCTGACATGAAAGCAGATACGGAGTCGTTTGTAAAACTACAGCAAATGTAAGTTGATTGGTATCTATAAATACTACATAATGCTTTATATAATTATCATATGTTTTACAATTCATTGTATCATTAGCTATCGCAGCAAGGCTCGTGAGGATCAAGCTCAATTACGAGTTCATCTTGATGCTATCTTGACTATGCTTGGGCGTGTCCCTGAAAGTATTTGTAACGATCAAGTTGAATTGTTTTGCAAAAATGCATCGTCGCTGCACGTAATGCGATACCGTTCCATTGAACAGGAATATACAGACAAATATTCAGGTATTGTCTAAAATGGTTTGAATGATTGAATTTTGGTACAATTGAGTTGATGATTTTAAACTGAGGATTCAGAGGGATTTCCAGACAATGAAAACATGGCATACTACTGGCTTTTGCGTGCTGTAGATCATTTTCAAGAGCTTTATGGAGACTATCCAGGTGCTCAAAAGGAAACTATTGATGCAGATGTCATGGTACTGGAGACTATTGCACGAGATTTTTGCAAAGAATACCAGATAGACGACTCGATTATTTCACCCGATCATGTTCATGAAGTGTAAGTGTTTTGCCGGTGCACACACTGCAATCTAATTCAAATGTCTACCATACTCAAACCATCTGTTTTTTATTCTGCACGGATAGAGTGCGTGCAGGTGCCTGTGAGCTCCACAATATTGCGTCGATTGTTGGCGGTATAGTTGCTCAAGAAGCCATCAAGTTACTGACAAGTCAATATATTCCAGTAAACAACACTGTCATTTTCAATGGCATTCAATCCACGATCCTGACATTCAAATGCTAAATGGGGTTGCACTACAAGGTCTACATCATGGCTCGGGTTTACAGCTTATTCCAAGGTGTTCAAGATTTTAAATGTTCACATAAAATTCATTCCAATACCAAATTGTAGTCCAGGCTTGTGGCTATCTGTAGCACACATGGTGATGGGAATACTGTAATTGAGTTCCAGACGGAAAATAGTAAACCGTGCAGCCAAACCAATTCCTGCACACACGCTAGGAGTGCCAAACAATGCCTGAGCATTCTCTGAAGGGCTTTTGTCTAGTCGAAATATAACATATAAAAAGTGAGTACAAGAACATGAATGCCAAAGCAGATATTTCAAGCCTTACCCGATTTAAGAGGCGTTAGAGATCCACCATTGACAAAGAAATGAGCTTTAATGGGTTTGAAGGGCAACAGTGGAAGCGGAGCAAGAAGACTGAGACCAGATGCCCAGTACAGATCGCCTCCAAGCACATCGTCTGATATGATCATACAGTTAGATGCCATGCATTTCAAAATAAGAAAGCATGTATTGAGTCTTCAAATGAACTCACTATCATCTTTTGGACCAATGCCAGCCTGTTTGAATCCGCGAACGGAAAGTGGACCTCCAAGAAAGAAGCGATCGTTTACACGATTGCGAGTAGCACCACCCCAAGGAGCAATCAAACCACCACGAAGACTGGCAGTAATGCTCTACCAAAACCATGTAGTGAATACCTGCTCACTCAAAAGATTGAATCTATACACCTGTTTTGTAAAAAGAGATAAACTTACGAATCCATAAGGCATAGCAAATGTAGTTTGTCCATCTGCTTCTGCTTTGAAATGCTGAACATCTCCTCCAAGACCGGCAACTTCTTGTAGAGTTTTAAGATACACACCTCTAAAAGGTAGTACCGGATCATCCCGAGAATCAAACGAAAGCGTGTGTGACAAAGCAGACTTGAACGAGTTGCCTGCATCATTGCGAATACTAAAAACACGATACATGACCGTGTTCAATTTAGATTCTTGGATATCCAAGATGAATAAAGCAGCAAGCAATCTATTTAAAACTCAAACTATAGTGTATACTACCTAAGCGATGCTTTTGGAGAGAATCGATGGTTTTCACGCCAAACAGCATCGTAAGTGATTTCTTGTTTGGCCAATCCAAGCCAATTCTACAACACATGGAATTGAAATGATTTAAATTCGAATAGTTTCAATCCAATCAAATATTAGAGTTGAGTACCTTGATTTTGAATGATAGTCCAGTCAGATCTTCATGATGTGACATGGTGAGCATATGGTTTCTAGTGTGTTTAAATCCCGAAACCTCCAAGATCTTGCTAGGATTAGCATCGATTGGAGTAGTAAAAACAGCTTGATACGAAGAAGCGCCAGCCATATCACCACTGTCTTTGTGGTAAATGGGACCGCTTGTATCGATGGCGTAGGAAGTATTGGCTGAGAGGGTTTCAGCACCACCAAATACATTACGAAGATTAAGCGACAGATTCTAGAATGAAAAACAAGACATGAATATTTGAAATTGTCCAGTTATTGAATCCAATGAATGCACTGTTGCATACCATACTTCCATCGTTTGCACCAAAGTCAGCACCAGTACGAGCAAACAAGCGTTGAGATTCTTCTACTTGAAATACTACATCGACAGCATCTGAAGATCCAGGAGGAGAATCAAAAAGAATACGAACATTCTTGAATACATCCAATCTACGCAAATGATCCCCAACATTACGAGAGCCCACAATCAAATCTGTCAAGTTCTCAGCATGCAAGAGTGGTGAAGTGACTCTTTCCAACAACGAGTGATTTGTATGCACAGCGCCTTGTACCTTGACTGACTTGACTTGAAACTTGCGATGTTGCGAGTCAATAATCAACTGAGAAACGTCCTGTTTGGTCATAGATTCGATCCTGAATAATAATAAGTTGAAGATTGAGTCTTGGTTTGACTGGATTCAACACCACGTGAGGCTCGTCGTTATTTGACATTTTTTTATTTTTTTGTTATTTCAACATTTGCCAACTATTCGCTCATTCACTGCAGAAATATGGGAAAACCAAAAAAATCAACAAAAAAGTTTCTTAAATTAAGACTTAAAGATGAACTGACTCGTAGGAAGCAGCACAAGGAAGCTACAAAACATCTGCGTAAAAATAATGCAGTCTCGGATCCTAAAAACCAAGAATCTGTACAACGTAGGTGTATTTTATTGCAGTGTTGGGATTCTATGATGTTGAAAATTTAATTTTATTATCGTTTTAGAATCCTATAATGTGTTGTGGTTTGTGCAGATACTAACTGATTTCAACCGATTTGTTTGAACATATCAGACAATGAAGACGACCAAGACAATGAATCAAATGCCAGTTCAGATGCTGGTTTTGGTCCATCTTATCCTGGACAAAATGAGGATTCAACCCTGATTGATCCATTTCAAGAGGTATTGTTTTTTGATTGATTTTTAAATTCAAGATGGTATTTACTAATCATGTCTTGATATTTTAGGAATCCGATGAGGAGGATGAGGATGCCAGTGAATCCGATGAGGATATTGAAAACATGCAAGACGAGGATTTTGATAGTATTGAAGATGCCAATGAAGCTGATGATGACGAATTAGATGAAGATGCCCTGTCACACGTTCAGCAGATGGAGTTGCTCAAAGTCAAAGATCCTAAATTTTATCAATATTTGCAAGAAAATGATCAGCAGCTGCTGAATTTTGCCGATTTAGATGACGATCAGGAAGAACCTCGAGTAGAAAAGGCCGAATCCGATTCAGAAGACTCCACTATTACTGTTACACCTGCTATGGTTAAAGAATGGAAATCCAAGCTTTCCAAAGTACGTTGTTGCATTGGATTGATGATGTGAATTGGAACTGTCACTAACTTTTGTCAACTTTGTGCTCAGCAAAAATCCACAAAGTGCATTCATAAAGTTTTACTTGCATTTCGAGCAGCAGTTGTCATTGACAATGAAACTGAAACCAATTCCAACTTTACATACCGTATTGAAGGAGAAAAAATGTTCAACACGGTGGTTCTCATTGCCCTCAAGTACTCTCCTATCGTGTTTGACCATGCCTTGTTTGGATCAAAGAATGATAAACCAAGGTACAATTGCTTACAGACTGATGACTTTTATTTTTTAAATTCGTGTATTGCTTACACAATCCAATGCATACAGAAAAGGACTTCCATCTGGTGCCAAAAAGTGGAAACTCATCCATAGACTTGTCAAGTCTTTTCTCATTGCCACCTTGAAACTCATGGAGCAGATGACAGACATGAGCATGCTGTCGTTTATACTAAAGCAGTGTGAGAGCGCAGTCTCTTATTTCGCCTGTTTTCCAAAACAATGCAAAGATTTTACTAAACGCATTGTAAACTATCTTGCATTTGCTGAGCAAGAGCAAGTCCGAATTATGGGATTCCTATGTTTGCGTCGTCTTGCAATCGCCGCTCCTAACCCGAATCTGCAGACTATAACTAAAGTATGTGTTGTGTTAAATGACATGTCGTTTGTACATTGACTGGTTTGAATGAAACAGTTGACATTAACTTTATTTTTAGCAAGTTTATTCCGCTTTTCTCGAGGTTGCTCGCTCGACCAATGTGCACACGTGGACTCATGTTGACTTTATGAGCAACTGTATAGTAGAACTTTGTGGAATCCATCTCTTTACAACGTATCAGCTTGCATTTGTTTACATCCGACAAATGGCAATCAAACTGAGATCGGTAATCATTACCAAAACAAAAGATTCGTATAGAACAGTCTATAATTGGCAGTTTTTGCAGAGTATTCGCATGTGGAGTCGAGTGCTGAGCACATACTGTGATCGAGCACTTGGAAAAACCAAAGAATCTGAGATTCTTCAGCCGCTAATTTATCCTCTGGTGCAAGTAGCCATAGGTGTAATCAAGTACGAGATTTATTTTATATGTTGACTGCTTTTTCATGGCTTGAATGGCAAACTGATTTTATTATTTCTTTACATCTCAGAGTCAAACCATCATCCCGATACTTTCCATTCCGAATGCATATCATCAAGGCACTTATTGAGTTGATGGAAAAGACGGGAACCTTTATCCCAGTTGCGGCATATCTATTTGACATACTGCACAGTGCAGAAGTTTCTGGAAAATCCAAGCCCTCCACTCTCAAATCGCTAGACCTGCTATTGACTATTCAGGCACCTAATTCGTACCTTGGAACAAAAACGTACCAGCGCGGTTTGATTAGCGAGACTGTGCACATCCTGTTTGACTATTACTCCAACTTTTCTCTGTCCATCTCATTCCCAGAGATAGTTATTCCAGCAATCATTGAGGTATAAGAGATTGACGTGTTGACTGTATTGAGTACGACACTAATGGTTTCTATCAACACTTTAAACTTTAGCTTAAACACATGACTAAAAACAGCAAAGATGTGAATCTAAACAAAACGCTGGGCCAGTTGACAGAAAAGGTATATACAGAGGAATGTGTTGTTAACATGCAGAGAAACGATTCTAATACCAACTATGTCTTGATACTGTTGTGCATAATAGCTTGAGCAAAACAGTGCATTCATTCAGGAAAAGCGAGTAGGACTTGATTTTGGACCCAAAGATATGCAGCGAACTGAAGAGTTTCTTGGAGATCTTGAAAAAGATAGCACACCGCTTGGAAAATTCAATGCTGCACGACACAAAATGCGCATTAGACAAAAGCCTGAAGACAAGTATGTGCCCAGCAACGAGGACGATGAAGAAGATCAAGAAGAAGAAATTCTTGGCAGCGAGAGTGAAAACTCCAACGAGGATGAAGCAGAAGAGCCAATTCACGATACTTCAAAACCCAATGGTGCTGGAACAAAACGCAAGCATGGTGAATCCAAACCATCCATGGCCAAACCTACTGAATCTGGCAAAAAGATCAAGACTGCAAAGCAGGCTAAACCTACCAAGAAAGCGAATGATTATGAAATTGATGGAGATGAAGATGTTGTGGACGATTTTGTTCTAAGTGACGATGAATAAATTCACGATTAGCATCTCCTGTTTAAACTATATGTAACGACATCATGATTGATCAACTGCTGAGATTTAAAATGCATTCAGTTAAATAACACCGATCAATAAGATGATTTTAATCGACTGTTTTCATTTGAAACCACAACACTAGGGAGAGTCAAAGTAGACTAAAGGTAGAAAGGGATGGCTTGTCAACTTGAACAAGTCTAAACTTCGAGGTTCTGACAAGACAATCGTCTACATTCCACGCAGGTATTTTCCAACTACACATGAAAGTCGGATTAGAATTCCAATCACAAGTTTGAAGGTGGATCTAATATCAACTTGACATCCAACATACCAATATGGAGAATAAAGACCGATGCGATAAAAGTAAGACTTCCAACCAGTACAACGACAGGATCACTGAATACATCAAACAATACAAGAGTTTAGTAAAAGAATGTCAGTCTTAGTTTACTTCAAGTACATGGTTATGAAGCCATGAAGGATACGTGCTGTACACCATACACTTTTACACCGGGAGAGTCATCCATGTAGATGCGCATCATGGAACCAGGCTGAGTTGCAGGCCTGTTTGAAGCACTCGAAGATGAGGCTTTTTGGGCAGCAAGTCTACGACGAATGCCAGCTGCTGTTCTTGATGCTGCAACATTGGGTGAATCGGCCTGTAAGTCATGAAATAAAAACTAACATCAGTATCAAGTCTATAACAACGACAATAAAATATTCCTGCTCTATATCACTCTTGCCATGTCAATGCATTAAGCTACTACCATGCTCTACCCACGACTGCTTACCATTTTTGTTGTTGGTAAGACTTGCACTTGGTTTGGATTCAACTGTTTCTATGTCACGGGACTATCCAACAGTTCAATTTGTCAACAACTATTCAATAACTATTCAACAATAAAACATGAAAATGTTTATATTTCAATCTAATAAGATTACACAGTTGTTGTTTTAGATTGTCATACAAACTCTATATAGGAAACACCAAGGATCGTGTCAGAACAAGATCAAACAAGATCTTGCATTGAATCAAGAGAATCAATCAATTAGATTATCGTCGTGGTAAAAAGACACGAGCAATGGGATGATTCTGTTATTCAAATCATCAATTTACTGATATTTACAAGAGCAACACACAAGTGTGATTGAATGAGATTTATGCAAGTACTTTCAAACACATGATACACGATGGTTGTTGACAACTCTTCATTCATTTCCATTGTCATACTATCACTAGCTTTTAAAAAAAAGTTCCTTGAGAATCCTCTCAGTGTCTGCAGGCGACTTGACACTATGTCCCTTGACGCTCGGGTGTGTGTAGATTTCAAAATCATTTCCTCCCTAAGCAATTCATACAACAGTATTAGATTGACAAGGTAATTCTGATCATCAAAGCAATTTGAATAATAAATATTACCTTGTCTGTCTTGTCACCAAAAAAGTGAATCTCCTTGAAATGGTCATTAGCAACATGCTTGAGACAGTAGGTCTAGTAATTGAAGGCGTGTTAGTATCACCATTAACTCATAAAAGTGATACAGTTATATTAAACCAACACTTGCCTTGTCCCAACCATTGGGAACAACGTCAAATGAAATTTGACCACCTGTAACACGATCGCCATGCTTGTAGTTAGCAGATATGTTACACTCTGCAATCAAAATTTACATACCAATAGTATACGACAGATTGTAATCAGCAAACTCGGCTTTGAGTGCCTCAATAAACTTGGTTCTCACATTGGTTGTCTTGTAAGTATAAAAAATTGCATAGACAATGTAATTAGCTTCACACACAGGTCGTTTAGAGTTAAAGTGGCAAAACAGAATATAACACTTACCTTGTCAAGAGCCTCAAACTCGCTTCTTTCTGGATGGCTAGCATTACCATCAAATTAAAAATGTAAACTCGCAATTTAGGACATCACACGCCAAGTGCATAATCAATGCAGTAATAAAAATACCTGCAGTTACGACCGATTGGCGATACATTGATCATGCCAGTTCGAAACTCGATAAAAGTGCCTCGCTTTTTAGGAAGATCCAGATCAGCGATATATCGAAGAATAAAGTTGGCCAGTCGTTTGTATTTTTCCTCTCCAAGATACGAAAGGAAGCTCTAATTCCATACGATATAATGAGTTGTCAGCAATGGTAGTAACAGACACTGTAAATCTACACGAGGACATTGTACGATCAGAATCGTAGATATTGGTACTTACTTCAGAGGGAAGACGCTCTCCCTTGCGGAATGCGGTCAAACCATTTTCAGAAAATGCATAGTCAAACAGGTCGACAGCTAAGAATTGGAATCCACAAAATGAAATAATAATGTAAAGGCCAGGGGTGAACAACAGACTCAAACCAACATGAATTCTAAACAGTCAGCCAATGCATTGTAAACTACCATTTTCACCCAACTGTTCCTGTTGCTTGACTAGATCAGATCCACCAACAAACCCAATGACAACCTTTTTACGAAGCTGTTGGAGTAACTCCTTGAGCTCAGGAGAAATAACCTAATTCGGACAAAGCAAGTTAAAGATGGAACATGACTGCTGATATACTGAATCACAACAGACAGTAGGATTACTTTTCTAGCAGGAGTCAGAGTTCCATCCACATCAAAGAGAACCAAAGTGGTTGGAGTTTCTTTTTCAGTCCAGCAGTTCATTTGTAGTGTTTAGATGAGCAACCAAGAACCAAGTAGATCCGCAAGTGCAGGACGACTACGAGCACATTGCTGTCATCACGTGTAGCAATGGTTTCCTACTTGGACTTTGTTTAAACTACTTGCAATAGTAAATTAAAATACCATGAAAGGTATGACTTTATAAATACATTGAATACACTATTTGCTAACATCACTCTTATCTTGGGTTGATAATGGACGTGTATTGGCATGCATATCTTGTCATTCAATTGGAATTGTATAGTAGATGCATACGAATCATCATTCATACTGAAAGACGAAAATATCCAACTTAAAAAACAACTAAGAGAAAAAGAAGATGCTGCTAAAAGGTCGTTTTAATTACTTTTGGTTTAGTTGAATACCGTCTGTGTTGCTCACCATTGTGTTAATGTCTGGATGATATAGATTAGCTACAAAAGTTCAGAAACTAACCCAAGATTTATCACACCAGCGTACAACTGGCGTTTTACAGAGTAATTTAAATGTTTAATGATTCAAATACTTGAAACTTCTATACACACTTTTACTTATAGTTGCATTCGATTCTAGAATACTCTGGACCGAGGGAACCAGATATAAGCAGAAGAGATGCACGAGATACACAGGAGCTTGTCAACGAACTTCGAAAACAAGTCGAGTATCTTGGAAAAAACAATTCAACGCTAAAGACTAAACTTGGATTTTTTAAAACACTCCATGAAGCTGAAACTCGAAAAAGAACACCTTACGATCATATTCCTCCTCGTGTGGTCACTGTAAGTCGCATTAATTGGTTCAAGCGTCGTGTACAAGATTGTTCCAACATAAAATACTAATTATACACACTTGACTATTTAGTCAAGTCGAACACCAGCTGGAAAAGGAATTCGTCATGGGTAAATAAATACATGCACAAGTATTATATCTAGAAAAACGCTAATCAACATGATCATACTCTTTAAACAATGCCATCACAATTTATTCAGTAAGTTACAAAATGTGGTACCCAATATTTACGATTCAGATGAATTTCTAACTGTACGATCATCCATGTATGTAGCTTTAAAAGTACTACTCCAACACAAAACTACGAAGAGTTGACACTAGAGCTACAACAACAGTAAGCTCGTTCACTCATAAACTTTACAACATATTTACTCTGTGCAGTCAAACTCAATCCATGTCAACACTATTGTTTAATTAGACAGCAACTGATTGGAGCGTTACGAGGAAAATTGGCGGAAACAGATCGTGAATTGAAAATATCTAAAGAATCTGTTGATCAGATTCAAACAGACCATGCAAAGTGAGTGTCAGTGCGTAGTTTGTAATTTATTCAGTGTAAATTCCAGCAAGAATAACCAAGGCTGATTTAACTTTTTTTAAATTTATATTCTAGAAAGCAGCATCAGGACGATATTGATCGAATGGCCTTGCAGTTTGAAATCAACGAGCAAAACAAACACATTGCAGGGATTAAAGAAAAATACGATTCATTAGATGAAGCGCATCGACTTCTTACAGCATCTCATAATGAACTTGCCAATGTTAGTGAAGATCTAAGCAAAAAATTGCAAGTTGAGAGGCAAAAGGCAGATCATTTAGAGCATACTTTGCAAAATAGTGCAATTCAGCATCAAGCAGAATCAGAGGTGAATTGATTTAATTTGAAAAAATATCACATCGTGAAACTCGGCAAAGGTGCTAACCACAGTATTTACAAACGTTTAGCTTTTGTCAATAATAGAAGATTTACGCAAGGAAAAGTGTCTGGTTGAAGAGGAACTTCAAAAAGTGTTGAAAATTCAATTCAATACCAATCGTAGTCAAGAGTACCAGCAGGAAATACTAAAGCTTAAACGACAGCTTGCTGATTATGGAGTCCAAGTTCAGGGGTTACTGGATGATAAAGTTGGACTAAACAAGAACGTTGAGGATTTGAATGGTGAGTGGTTTTACAAATTGACTAATTGCCCACAACTTCAACCCAAATATTGACTTTTTTTGTTGCAGCCAAATTAGAACAGCTTAAAAAAGACAAAATAGATTCAGATGCATCACTATATAATGCGCAACATGAAATTGAATCTCTCAAAGAGCAACTAAAACTATTTAGTCGTAATGGTGAAATCTCTTTAAATGACATAGAAGAAGCTCTTACCATGGTCAGGCTCAAGCGCGAACGAGGATTAACACTTGATTTCTTAATTCAGCTTGATACGGCTGCCAAAGTAATGCATTTAAATGTGTTTTTAACAATGATTGGCATTTTATTGATATCGAGTATCAATACACTTGAATATAGGATACCAAGGCACTTCAACTTCTTCGCGTTCAGTTTGCAGATTGTGCACAGGAACTGGAGAAATCAACTAAATTACTGATGATCCAAGAGAGTATCAATCGCGATTTGAAAGTAGAACTTGCACAGTTTCAAAAGCAATTCACTTGCTTGAAAAATGAGTACGGTAAGCAAAACAAAGTATTCAGTTTTATTCAAGTAGTATGCCATTGTAACATGTGTTGTATTTAAATTTCAGAGCTGCGCCTTGAAGAAGATTCTCAACTACTAGATCTTCGTGGTCAACGTATTGCAGCACTTGAATCTCAAATCAAGGACATAGTATATGGCGTAGCAAAATGTAAGTTTAATCAAATTATGAGTAAAAAGGTATTGCCGGGCTATCTGGTTTAATATTTTTATAATCACTAGTACCGCCAGGAATTGATTTCCCGAAACAGGATGACGTATCATCATTTGACTCGCTTGTTCAGGGTAAAAACACTTGATTGTATTATGACTAAAGTTGTATGAGCTACAAAAAGCAATAGCCAGACATTTGTATTTTAACTAGTGAATTGTTGTTTGTAGGTCAAACCGCTATAGAGATCAATATTGATACAGGACTGTTTTCAAAAGAGGGACAACAACATTTACTACAAACTTTGCCTGTTCTTCAAAATGTTGGAGACAGTATCACCATGTTTGTTGCTGTCGACTTTTTCGAGTTTGAAACCGAGTTTTCTGGCCTTGGTTTGTCATGGAAACCACGGTTCAACCATACCATGAGGTGGATTATATAATTTGAAAACAACTGGCTTGTAAAATTGAACATTTTACTCAAATATCTTTATGCACAGATTTAATATCAATGCAGATGACTATCTGTTATCCTATCTTCAAACACGACGTGTCACGCTCAAGCTGTACTACACCAACGCAACCGACTTTTTTTTACTTGGGCTATGGTTTGTATAAATGCTCTATTTGAATTGATATATAAGAAAAGTGCATCCAACTGACAATGGTTACAATGATTGCCAACAGTCAGGTAAATCTAAAAGAGTTTTTGGATGTTGAAGCATGTACTAAGCGAAAATACTATGCAGATATTATGGCGGCGGACAAGGTTAGAGTGTTATTAATTCCATCTTGCTTGTTGAAACTGGCGTAAAATTGATTGCTGCTAAACCAGTGCATTGGTAAAGAATACAATTATAGGAAAGCTTGATTTTACGGTGCAGATGCTAGTACCAATGACACTTGCAGTTCGTGCATTTAAAGAGCGTACAGTGGCTCTTAATCTATTAAAAATTAATGATTCGACTGTCAAATGGTAATTGAACACCCTCGAGTAGACAAAAACAGTTTGGTCAATATGAGTGCTTGTAAATATATGATGTTACTGATACAATTTCCGCGATTTATCGTGCTTATACATCATAATATTAGGGACACACATAAATCTCGGGAAAAACTAAATGAGCTTGTGATTACTTTAAAATCTGGCGAATTTCTTAAAACTGGTCCTACTACTGGAGAGCCAAAAATATATGGAGTCATTTTCTTTGGATTTCATACTCCTGTATTTACCACTGTATGTAACTGTGTTGTTAATGATAATTGAATACAACTGTAACTCACCTGGTTTTATTTATTTTTAGCCGACTGTCTGTGGAACACATATTCCAACTTTCAACCTTGTGCATACGATCCCGTTGATTATGTCTTCTGATTTGGATCGGTATCTAAGAACTGAAAAGGTGATGCATGCTCAAGCCCAAGCTTTGCCATTTGACTTTTAAAAGCGTGTTCGACCTTTTAAACAGTTGAATTTTTGTTGATAAACTGTAGTGTGAGATTGTGTTTTGCGATGAAGACTATGATATATTCTATGGAAAAGCCACCATATATCTTGACCCGTTATCTCGCGGTGAGGCTATTGAACTTGTTTCGGAGCTACAGAGTGAGCGTGGCTCGTCTTGTGGAACCATTTCACTGTCTATGAAATGGAAAGATGAGTATTTCATTGACGCGACGCCGGTATGCATATTCAGTATTGAGCATCTGTTTTACTAGCTGTTGAAATAGCTTTGTTACTAAAATCAACATTGGGGTTTAGATTGTTTCACTTTACGAGTTTCAACGCAAAGTAGACGAACCTCAACTTGCATCATCTATTGTAATGGGTGAGCCCGATGAAAAGCAAGCCTGTCAATCCGATCAATCACCTTTGCCTCCTTTACCCGTGGTAGCACTTGAAAAGATCAACGACATGCCATTATCTGATCAGGATAGAAAGCTTATTCCGCATACTAGCAGTGTAAGTGCATACAACAATATATTGGTGGGTAATGATTGACAGAATATCAGATTGCTTATCAACTATGTAGATACATGTCAAGGTTCATAGTTTTGAAATGGATTTGGACAATCCTGCAGTGAAAACGTATTTTTCAAACATAACTCAAGTATTTGTCAGTTTTGATTTTCTGGGATATCCACTCGAAGATATGGAAACCAAATCAGTTGTTTTAGGAGATTCCAGTATCGTATCATTTGACTATTCCAAAGGTAAAACACTTGAAAAACGTTTAAAGTATATAAACTGTCTAACATGGATTGATGCCATTTAACGGATAGATTTTTTACTGGATGCAACATCGCATTCCAAACATCGACATGGATTGATTGAATTACTAAAGTCGGCAAATCGTGCCAAGGATTCAGCCATCAAGAGTCCTGAGATTGCATTTACAATTGTACAAGAACCATCTGATGTGCAGAATGGGAATGAAAATCAAGAATGTGTTGATGTTGGTTTCTGTACGCTCGGCTGGGATTTTCTTGTTCAAAGTAGTGCATCCAACAAAAATGGACCAATTGAAGTCAAGTTGGCAGCAGTCGATTCCAGTGGTTTATTAAATCTCGGAAACCTCTTGGTTTCTATTCACATCAGTGAGGATGTTTTTCAAGGGGCAGAAGTCGGAGCCTAGTTTTATTAGCAAGGTATTATTTGCTACGGTATTCACGTAAAATGGAACACTTGTATTTATCTTGCAGTCACTATTCTGCTTCAAAATAAACAGTGTTTGAGTTTTTGTTATACTTTCTACTACACACTGCGTTTTTTAAACAACCTCCATCATATGATGTTGGCAATTAAACTCTTTGTTGTATCGAAAAGATTTGGATACGTCCACACTCTAGTTCAAGTGAGCAAGGATGACACATTTCAAAAACACGATTGTTTCGATATGAATCACACAATGCTTGTGATGAAAGAAGACTGAACAAGTGGAGTTTACAGAAAGACTAAACAAGTGGAGTTTACGGAAATAAGCGCGGAGAAGACCGGCCAATTCAGGGAATTCGATGAAATGTTATTAGTAAATTGGTGGAAACTGGTGGAAACTGGAGCCAATCATGAGACTGCTTTGTCAGGGTTATTAATGTTCCATTGTGTGAGTACAACTTGGAACATCTTTCAACACTATGACTGTGTCAACCACATTTTTTACTCTTGAAGAGGTTGCTGCAAACCACAGTTCTAAATCACTCTGGGTCATCAGAAACAACAAAGGTGACTTGCATCTTGTCGAATGCGTATTTGCAGTTGGACACCACGCATTGCATTCAATGGTCGACAGTTCAACAATAGTAGACTAACTCGATTTGTTGCATATCAGTGTATGATATTACTCATTTTATAGATGACCATCCTGGCGGTGGTGAGATTTTGTTACAGTTTGGAGGCAAAGACATTACCCAAGCCATGCATGACCCAAACGAACACATGCACTCCGAGTCTGCCTATGATGTGCTGGAAGACTTTTATATTGGCGAAGTTGTCCAATCTCAAAGAACAAAAAAATCCCTAGTTAATGATACTACTGCCTCCAACAAGTCTGTGGATCCTTTTATTGATATTCACAAGCCCATGGTTTACCAAGTTTGGACCAGTAATTGGTCCAAGAGCTATTATCTTAAAATGGTTCATATTCCTCGCCACGCCAAGCACACTGCTCCCTTCTTTGGAAGTAAATATCTAGAGGTGTTTACCACCACTCCCTGGTGGCTTATCCCTATCTTTTGGGTTCCCATTGCATCATACTGTATGATAGATGCCTTAAGAACCCTGTCTCCAAAAGTCGGTCTTGCCTGCTTTATAATGGGCCTGCTTAATTGGACTTTTATCGAGTATGGGTTGCATCGCTTTTTGTTTCATGTTGACGAGTATTTGCCCGATAATCGGGTTGGCATCACGATGCATTTTTTAATGCACGGAGTCCATCACTTTTTGCCCATGGACAGGTATATATGATAGGGATCTAGTACGGGTTTTGGTTGTATATAAATGTACTGATATTTATGCGACTTTTATTTTCAGATGGCGTCTTGTCATGCCTCCTGCTCTTGGCTTCGCCTTGGCATACCCTATATGGTGGCTCTATGTTTTGAGCTTCCCTGGAGGATTTGGCCAAGGCATGATGTCTGGATCCCTGATTGGCTTTGTCATTTACGATTTGATACATTGTAAGCTTTCTACTTTTACGAATATTTCACTCTTGAAAGCAGAATTTAGCTTTCAGATATCATTGCATAGCGACACCTTGCTGGTCTATATCACTAAACTTTTTGACGTGTTTTATTAGATTACCTTCATCACGGCGGTCAATTCATTTCTCATCTCAAAGAAATGAAATCGTATCATATGGACCATCACTATAAGGACCCTAATCTCGGTTTTGGAATCACTTCCAAGTTATGGGACTACCTTTTTTCTACCACTCTCTAAATCATACTCGACCTTATTTTTCATTGAATATATCAAATAAATATAATTTTGATTACAACTGTTGCTTGACAATATACTGCACTGCACGGCATTTAACCGTGTTTTGGTAATCAATTTAAATGCAGCTTGAGACTTTATTTTAGCAATTACCAAGCAGAGGAATGGGTTTAGGTGCGTAGTAATCCAGTAACTGAGTTGATGTTTTTATCACGAACAAAATGTTCCAACTTGAACTTGTAGCTGGCGCGTTTGGCAGCACCAATATCATCCACAAACGGTAAATGCAGCCATCTCTCCTAGACATACCAAATAAAATTAGTCATTGATCTATCAAATTTAAATTCAATTATACGTGACTGTTTTATGAAACCATGCCTTTTCTGGCTGAAAAAAATGGCTTTGCTCTGATGCCTGCACTGTAGCGTGAGTTGAATGATGCCATTCTCGATTAGCAGAGTATCGTGTATTAGCTTGTTGAGTGAGCTGGTTAGATTCCGACTTGTTTTTCGTTGGGTTCTGATGAGAGCTGCTAAATTGACAACCATTAGATTTTCAAGTTGGTATTTTTATCAAACTTTTCAATTGTGAATAAATGATATTGCTTGCCTTTGGGATCTCCAATTTCCTCCTTGTATTCCTATAACATCTCTGATACTTTTCGGTGCTTCTGGATCAATTGGGATAGATTGTTTCAATTTAATATCCACTGTAGATGCTGGAGCCAATGTTGGAAAAACTACAGTATTTAAAAATTAGGGTTGCAAATAATCAAACATTGTTAAACAAATGACAGCTATTACCATTTGAAATAGTTTGAGCTTCAACATCAGATTTGTTGGTTAATGTATGAATATTTTTAGCAGATTCTGTTATTGACGATCCTAGCATAAGCTTTTTGGCTTCACCATACCCATGGTGTGCAGCTGGATAAACGGGACAAGCTGATTTTGAAGTAACAGTATCAAACATGGCTTTGAGGAAATGTAACCGATTGGACTTGCCATATGTCGTTCGTCGACATCGAGAGATATATGCCATTGTATTGTAAATTGCTCCAACATCGAGTTCCGAGCCGTTTAATTTCCCCACTTTTCGAGTATCAATAAGATGGTTTATTTGACTGTCATCTTTGGTAGTAGTATGCAAAGTATCTTGTTTTTTGATTTGAGTCGAGTTGTTTTCAATTTGCTCTGTCACCACACCTTGTGCATGATCAGCATTGATTTCAAGTAAAAGTGGTGCAGGAAGTTGTGTTCCAGTATTATTGACAATGAAGGTCTCATCAAGCTGAGTTTGTACGGCTTCATTTTGTTTTTTAGCGTGTACCGCCATCTTTTTTGAAGTGGTCTTGGCAGTTTGAGTTTGTAGACTTGATGAGTTGCCGAGTTTCGCGTTTCGTCGAGTATCGCGTCGCTCATGCCGTGTTGATTTGAGTGAAAGAGAATTGTAACTAGGAACCATGTCAATAAATGCAGTTTCAGGACGTACTGGTAACATCAATGGTTTCCTATACATGGGTTTTTTAATATCCCGTTGCTGTATTAATTGTGTGCCGGTCATGTCTTTAGATTCGTTAGTTTTACTTTTTATGCCAGCATGACGAGATCGAGCTGTAGTTGATTTTAGTTTGTGTAAATGAGTACTGTTTGAATAATCGAGAGGATCCAATGGTATCTGGTCTAAGGAATCGTTTGTACCATGACTATCGCCAAGCGTAAACGGACGAAACGTGATGCTGGTCAAATCTGGAGGCTGAAATGGTTTTGAAGCTGTCAATGGACGTCCATTTGATTTGGCTTTTGCTAGACTCATTTCTTTCGATCAGAATGAGATTGAGAATGGGAATGAAAGCATAGTATATTGTCACGTGATGAGTATTGGATGAGATTTGAATTTGGACTCGTTTCATTCGACACCAAAAATCTAAAGTTGTCGACAGCGGTTAAGCCATTCCATCCAAGACAAATACTGATTGTATCAAGCTGACACACCTTGCAACTATCTAGTATTTTTATATTGGATTGTCTGGACATATTTGATTCTTTGAATTTTACTAGGATAGAAGCAAACTTGGCATTCCGACACATTCGTTCGGACATTATTTAATCAGCAGATTTTGACATTATAAATCAATGTCAGCCAACTATCGCAAAAATCATAAACCTGCTTCTGCAACTACTCGCTACAATTCTCGTCAGAAGGGATCCAATCCATCTCATCAATCCTCTGCTTTTGATCATGACATGGAAGACATGGCTGGTGTCCAGCACGCTACAGGTCTTCGTATGACAGATGGAAAAAAGGAATCTGTTTGCGATATAGAAAAACTAGCCAACAATGTCGAGTTTGCAACACTAAGAGACGATTTGGACGAAAAGATGGGATTCGCTCGGTTTAGAGAAGGTCCAGAAAAACTTGGCTGGCTAGTAAACATTCAACCCGTAAGTCGAATGCAGACTATTTACGGACATTGGACATTTTCTAATTCAACTGTTTTTATTCAACTACCACATTATACACTTTTCATGAATCTTGTTGCATATCAATCCACTATAATACAGACAACAATCGCGGATAGTGAATGTCCAACAGGAAAAGCTGGTTTGGACATGTATTTTATTGAAGAGGATGGAATGACATTCAAAGCCACACTGCTTTACGAACCATACTTTTTTGTCATTTGCAAGGTTTGTTATTATATACCCGACGATAATTGTATATTGTATTAGGTTTAAAAGTTGATTTTGACTTGATCTGTAATAATTCGCGGCAATAGCCTGGAACCGAAACTGACGTTGAAGAATATATCAAGAGAAGATTTCAACGTAATTTACTTTCCATTTGCAGAGTTGTCAAGCAAGATCTCACTTTGGTACGTAAATATTCAAATCGGCTGTTTACGATATACTGTGAATAGTATACTCAACCTTGTGTATATATTCTAGGCAAATCATCTTGTATCTCAACAGCGATCACTGTTAAAACTGAGTTTTTGGAATGTTCATCAACTCAAGACTGTTAAAAACGGACTGTTTCAAGTGATTGAAAAAAGACACGGCTTAACTGGCAGAAAGGGGTTTCATAATGACGAGTTTTTAGAGTAAGAGTTGCATTTATTTAAACCTGGGATCAAACCCAATTTACAATCAGTCTAATCCACTAAACTAAACTCGTGGAAACAGTGAAGTATACTCTACATCCGGTGGATTATCAAATGCACAAGGGACAACGACTTGTCGTGGATTGAATGTTGGTGAAGATGGAATTCTTGAACTTCGTGAATATGATATCATGTATTACACTCGTGTGGCCATTGATTGCCGTAAGTATGAGTGTGTGATTTATTTAAATCATTCGATTTGACTAGTTTAAACCAACTAGCTATTTTTCATGATTCTAGAGGTGCGCATAGGATTGTGGTATGCCGTTTCTGCTGCAGCTGGAAAAATCACCGTTACTTCTAGACCAGAGATGTTACATCGTGCAGAACCAGTGATTTTAGCTTTTGATATTGAGACTACAAAACTCCCACTAAAGTTTCCAGATTCTCAAATTGATTCAATCATGATGATTTCATACATGATTGATGGACAGGTTTGTGCAGCCTGATGTTTTGGGTTTTCAGAGAAACGTGGCTAATCGCTTATACTATCCTAGGGATTTTTGATTGTTAATCGAGAGATTGTCTCCAAAGATATTGATGATTTTGAGTATACTCCAAAGCCCGAGTATCAGGGGAATTTTGTTATTTTTAACGAACAAGATGAGGCAGGCAGTTGATTTTGAATTATTTTGTTACCAAACTATGCATATATGCTAACTGTACATGTTGTGCTGTTTTTGCTTACAGGCTAGTTTACTTGGTCGATTTATCGAGCATATTCAAGTTTCTCGACCTACTGTTTTTGTCACATACAACGGCGACTTTTTTGATTGGCCATTTGTTGAAGACAGATGCAAAGTGCATAATATTGATCTGTTCATGGTAGGTATTTTATAATAATGTAGATTGTATTTAAAAAGCATATTTTGATTTGATTGTTTTTAAATAGGAAATTGGATTTAGTAAAGACTCTAGTGGCGAGTATAAATCACGTACTGCCATCCACATGGACTGTTTTGCGTGGGTCAAGCGTGATAGTTATTTACCACAAGGAAGTCAAGGTTTAAAGGTACAGTATTGATTGGTTTTACAGCATGCGGAATTGCTATTCAATATGATTCCTACTTTTTAATCAAATAATGGTTTACAATTTCAGGCTGTTACCACTCACAAACTTGGCTACAATCCCATGGAAATTGATCCAGAAGATATGACTAGGTAATTAGCAGTTTATGTTTTTAAACTCAATTCATTTTGTATTTACAATTCAAGCTGTTTTTGTTATGGGTTTGACCAGATTTGCTGCCGATCAGCCACAAGTATTGGCACAATATTCCGTCTCTGATGCCGTTGCCACCTATTATTTGTATATGAAATATGTGAATCCATTTATCTTTTCATTATGTACTATTATTCCTATGAATCCGGATGACGTTTTGCGTCGTGGCTCTGGAACACTTTGCGAGCATTTACTCATGGCAAGTTGTTCAACAAAAACAGTGTTGATGCTACTGATGTTTTGACACATTTTTGCCAATGGTTCTATTATTAGGTCGAGGCAGTCAAAGCCAATGTTGTAATGCCAAACAAACACTCGGAAAAAGGTGGTAAACTATTTGAAGGGCATCTTCTTGAAAGCGAGACTTATGTAGGCGGTCATGTTGAAGCATTGGAAGCTGGTGTATTTCGATCAGATATCCCCACCAATTTTTCTCTGGTTCCAGAAGCTCTACGCCAAGTGAGTAAATGTCTGACTTGTTGAATTGCGTGTAAATTTTTGTTTGCTTATCATTTAAATCTACTTTTAATAGCTCATTGATGAGATTGACGAGGCTCTGACCTTTAGTATTACTGTCGAACACAAAGTTTCAAAAGACGATGTGCTCAACTATGCCGAAGTACGTTGTGCTTGCCAAATCTATTATTCTTTTAGTTTCAGCTGCACTTTTATTCATGAGCAACAAGCTGATAAATGTTGTCATATAGGTTAGGGACAGTATTATAGATAAACTTGACATGCTTTGCGAAACTCCACAGCGAAACGAAGAACCATTGATTTATCATTTGGATGTTGCGGCAATGTAAGTGATCCATTTAAATATACAGCAGTTTAAGATACTACTGCAACTATTCTATTATTGAAAGCAATTTACTTGTACTAAGTTTTGGACTTTGTTTAATATTTAACCTGATAGGTATCCCAATATTATTCTTACAAATCGGTTACAGCCCAATGCGGTAGTCGATGAATCTGTATGTGCAGCATGTGATTTCAATGAAGGGCCAGATTCAATCTGTCAACGTAACATGACATGGTCATGGCGTGGCGAGTATTTTTTGGCCTCACGTGGCGAGGTTAACATGATTCAAAATCAATTACAACAAGAGCAATTTGTAGTCCCATCCAACATTTTTGAACCATCCAACACCGTTACTAAAGCATTTCACGAACTTCGAATAAACGAGCAAGACACTCACTTAACGAAGCGAGTTTCCGAGTATAGTCGTAAAGTGTATGGACGTGCTCATGAAACCAAAGTGGTTGAAAGAGAATCTATTGTGTGCCAGCGCGAACATCCGTTCTATGTCAATACTGTCCGTGATTTTCGCGATCGTCGATATGAATACAAGAGCTTGCATAAATCGTGGAAGGGAAAGTTGGATGCGCTACTTAAAACTAATGACTTGCCAGCTGCCGATGAAGCCAAGCGTATGATTATTATTTACGACTCACTTCAACTTGCACACAAGTGCATTCTCAATTCGTTTTATGGATATGTTATGCGTAAAGGTGCTAGATGGTTTTCAATGGAAATGGCTGGCATTGTGTGCTTGACAGGTGCAAAGATTATCCAGCTTGCTCGAACAAGAGTGGAAAAGCTGGGCCGACCACTTGAATTGGATACAGACGGTATTTGGTGTATTCTTCCTAAATCATTTCCGGAAAACTTTAAGCTTAAACTTAAAAATGGCAAAGAACTTTTTATTTCATACCCGTGTGTGATGCTTAATCACCTGGTGCATGCCGAATTCACCAATCATCAGTATCAAGATTTGATCGAGGACAAGTATGTCGTAACCAGCGAAAACAGTATCTTTTTCGAAGTGGACGGCCCATACCATGCCATGATCCTACCAGCATCTACACAAGAAGACAAACTGTTGAAAAAAAGATATGCTGTGTTCAATCACGACGGATCATTGGCTGAGTTGAAGGGATTTGAAGTCAAACGTCGCGGTGAACTCAAACTTATCAAGAATTTCCAAAGCAGTATTTTCAAAGTGTTTCTTGAAGGAACATCACTCAAAGAGTGCTATACAATGGTGGGTGCTGCAGCCAACAGGTGGTTGGACATTCTTTTTAGTAAAGCTGTGGATCTATCAGATGCTGAGCTGTTTGATTTGATTTCTGAAAATCGCAGTATGAGTAAAGCACTCGACGAATACGGTGCCCAGAAATCTACTTCAATCAAAACCGCTCGTCGACTTGCAGAGTTTCTTGGTGACCAAATGGTCAAAGATAAAGGTTTGGCATGTAAATTTATCATTTCTGCCAAGCCATACGATCTACCCGTGAGTGAACGTGCTATTCCAATAGCAATTTTTCAAGCCGAGTCGAGTGTTCGACGCTTTTTTCTTCGAAAATGGCTCAAGGACAGTTCGATCATAGAAGTCAACATTCGAGATATTTTGGACTGGCAGTATTATATTGAGCGATTTGGTAGTGTGATTCAAAAACTGATTACTATTCCTGCTGCCATGCAGCAGGTTAGTAACCCAATTCCACGGGTTCGACATCCTGATTGGCTTTTGAAGCGTGTGTCTGCTCAGGAGGATAAGCTCAAACAGCGACGCATCACGGACGCATTTATCAAAGTGGACAAACAGACGTTTATTAACAACTACTCTGCAGAAGCCACAGAATCGGCAAAGTTGATTAAACCTTTAAACCTTTCTATCGAGGATGACGGGTCAGACATTCTTGATGGTAAATTTTTGACGAGGTGTTCAATCATCGTGTTAATATCTGTTAGATACTTACTAATCCTACTGTATTTTTGATGCGACTGATACCACCATTAGAATTAACGCCGGAAGAAAGAACTGAGCTAGTTGAAACAGATTACTTACAATGGCTTGCAATTTCCAAGCAGCGATGGAGAACAAAGCAACTAGCACAGGCTGAGCTCAAACAGGCTCAAGCAAAAGGTGCTCGGAACTCTAGCAACATAGATATTGCTGAAACAGCCAAACCTAAGCGACGTATTGGATCCACAGTATATACCACGTATGCGGGTCATTCATCCAAGCGTTTTAAAAGTGGGTCGTCTACTTCTGCAACAATGTATGCAGGTTCATCAGGAGTACAACTTTTGGAGATTGTCGAAAGTGAGATTGCAGGAACATTTATACTATGGGTTCTTTTTAGTTCTGGAATTCAGCAAGTTCGTTTGAATGTTCCTCGTCGATTATACATGAACAGCAAAGTATCTGATCCGGGTAAACTTCCTAATCATCCACAGCTGACTGTTACTAAGCGATCCAGAATACTTCCGAGAAATCATACTTGTCACCACCTTTATGAGCTGGAAATGCCCGAATCGTTTTATATAGAAAATAATTCGCTTTTTGCTGCACTTTTTAATCATCCTGACGTTGATGGTGTATATGAAACCAATGTAACGCTCCTGTTCCGAGCCTTGATCCAAATGGGTTGTTTATGTGAGGTGTCTAAAAGTAGTCGATCAATGGGCGGTACGATTGGCGGAATATCTAGCATGTTGTCTTTTTCTGATATCAAAAGTGACGTAACTACTAGCCGGCATTCGTATCTGGACTCGATGCATAAGCTGAATTTTTGCTATTTGTTTCATGCATCAAGTGGTTCACGCCAAGTGATTGGACTGTTTTTGATCCCAACCAGTCACTGCCATGTCATTATTGTCGACTCGGGTAACAACCGAGACGCGGTTCCGAATGTGCAACGCATGTACTCGAGCATGCTGGCCAATTCCGCGGCCGACACCAGAGGCTCAATCAACTATCCCGAACAGCTTGAAATCACAACAACCATTTACCAAACAGAAGCTCGAGCATTTGCAGCTGTCAACACACATTTGAATAACTATTTTGATCAACGTCGTGGAGCAACGGCGCTTGCTATCCAATCGGCATCCTCCAGAAAATATTTTGAAAACGCTGGCATAACTGCAATCCGTAGCGTGCCAATTATAACTGTTCCGAGTCATAAAAATGATGTCCAGTTTCCACCAATCGGCTGGCAGCAGCACGGACTTCGTCGCATGTTTGGACATTTCCTCAATCTAGACGATTTTATCACAGATCGCATTAAATTAGCTCGATATGCAGACATCCCGCTTTGCAATATTGAAAGTGATTATACCATGTTTCTTAGTGATGTGTTTATGGCACGACGACTCACAAAAGCAGATGCACTGTTATGGTTTTCGTTGTCTGGCAAGCCCGATCTAGGTGGTGCTGAGAATGAGGATACCCATTTTGCATATGCTGTTCCGACTAATCCAGAAATCAACAAGCCTGGATCGTTTTCATCCATGTGCATTGAGATGGATATATGGGATCTAGCACTTAATACGATTTTGCAAACCGATCTTTTACACGATATGGAAAACCCAATTAGCAGCACATCATATAATCAACATCAAGTAGTAACATCAATGCAATTGGATCACTCAGAGAAGCTTGGCGATACATCAGCCAAGATGATCAAAGAGGACTCGTATGATGAGCAAGGCACCCTTACGCTCTCTATGCTAGATGATGCTGATAGAGATACTATTTCTCGTCCCGTCTATAATGTGTTTCGTGGCATGATTAAAGGCTGGATGGATGAAGTACGTCGTAAGAATCGATTTGCTTCGCATCTTCTTGAACACCTTTATCGGTGGATCACATCCCCATCTGCAAGATTTTTTGATCCAGCCTTATTTCGGTTTGTTCATGATTTGATGAAGCGAGTTTTTTCGTCACTTGTAAACCATCTTCGTAAACTTGGATCCGAGGTCATCTACGCATCGTTTGAGAAAATTGTTGTGAGCACAAACAAAATGACATTGCCCAATGCAGTGGGATATATTGCCTATACGGTTGCTGCCATGTCCAAACGCGATTTGTTTGCACATATAGAGATTAAACCTGTAAGGTTTTGGCGACATATGATGTGGATGGATGTGTTCAATTGGGCTGGGATTGAACTGGTGCAGAACGAAAGTGACGGAACCACACATGTTGACAGTGCCCATGCTTTTAACAAGGAAAACATGGACGAAGAAAATGCCAGAGTAGACATGAAATGGAGCATGATTGATGGTCTTCCCGCTCGACATCAACACGAGTTTATGCGACTTGTTACAGAATATTTGGATTCTGTGCGAGTGTGTCATGCTACCACGCGGTCAGCGCTAGTTGAGCACGTCAGTAAACTGCTTCAAACCACTTTCAAGCGACAGCTGATGACTGTTGTGAGAGAGTTTTCAAAAACTGTTACCAAAAAGTCTATTTCACCTGCCAGCACTAATGGAAAGAGCGAATCCACTTGGGACAATGGATCGTATAACCGCACATTCAAAGATGCCAACCTGGAATTTGTAAAATTGATTTCGGCTGTATTGGGATTGGATGAGCAGCTTGAACCTCAAGTTCGAGCACTCAAACGCGATCTTTTGAGTATTCTCGGTGTTACACAGTTTAGTAAATCTGCAGTGTTTGCTCCTGCACAAGAGCGTCTTGTTCTCCACCAAGTTATTTGTGAGTTTTGTTCGTTTTGTCGCGATTTGGATTTGACAAGGGATTGCGACTTTCATGTGTTGGAAGACATTGAGGATGACACTGTACCTCGTGCAGAACAAAATCCATTTTGGGCTTGTAGTGCATGTCATATGGAGTATGATCGACTGTCTTTGGAACAGCGGCTGGTGGACACTGCTATAAAGAAAATGACAGTATGGCAGTTGCAGGACGTACGATGTACGAATTGTCGGTTTGTCAAAGCAGAAGATCTTCGCAATAGTTGTCCGCGCTGTACAAGCAAGGTAGTCACTGTGCAGAATATAAACGAGATGTTATTTATGTTCAAAGAACTCGAGTTAATCTCGCACAAGCACGGAATGGAAATGCTAAAAGAAGTTGCAGCCTTTTCTAAAATGGCGCTTCAGTAAATGTATGGTTTTAAAGTATCAAATAAATATAAAGTCAAAGTAGTATAAAGTGAACTATCGTCATGTTTAATCAAGTAGTATTATATTGTTTTCTTGTAAGAATAACACGTATTGGTCTGGTTGAAAAAGAATCTATTCAATCAATTATTTGTATAATCATACACGTTTAGTGATTTAGTACTCGAGGTAAAGAAAAGCACTGAATAACTATCCAATATGACTAGCAACATTTGCTTCGCCAAGAACATTCTTCAAGTATGTGATTGTTTCTACTCTAATCTGTGGATTAGACGATACATTCAGCATTAATCCACTACTTTTAGAAGACGGGTGATTGTTTAAATAGGCCTGTATTCCTTCATGCAATCCCGAACCGCGAACATTTGGACAAAGTGAAATATCCAAGTACTCTAGTGCTTTAGATGCAGATAAAACCGCTTGCACAATATTGTCTGTTATACCAGGACAGCTTGAAGCTATAAACCGTTTAATATGACCTAGTTTAGATGCAAATGGCAATAATGCAGACGAAGTGAGTCGTGGACACTGAGAGATATTTAAATCAACGATGCGATCGCATACGCCGTCCATGATCATGAAAAGTAAAACTTGGTCATTAATTTGAGCACTTCCAGGAATGTGAAGAGTGGAGAGAGAATCACATAACTGCAAGATGTACAAGATGCACTGTGATGTGAGTTCTGGACAGTCGCGCATACTTAAAGTTGATAAAGAAGAGCAGCCTTCAGCAAAAATGAGAAACGAGTCTTGGATTGACAAGTTTTTAGGCAACGACAGATTCAGCGAGTCTATCTTGACAGATTCAAGCCGCTTAAATAATGCAAGATGCAGTAATGTATGGCGAGTGAGTAGACGACAACGAGACAAGTCGATGGCAATGAGGGATTGACACCAGAATCCAGCCAGGTATTCAATTACTGAATCAGAAATGGAGCAACCAGCCAATCCGAGCTTGACCAAACTGCACTGCATCTAAATAGTTTATTTTGAAATACCAGAAAAAAACAAGTCAGAGTTTAGAATTTACAAGATTAAGAGCCAGTCTTTAAACCACCTTTTCCAAATGAGTGAATGCGCTTGAAGTGACGGCAGTGCAGTTTGTAATGTACAATTCTTTAAGATGAATACAGCGAATTAACAAGATTCGTAAAGAAAGAGAGTCCAACTGACGCATAGTATCGAGTGTCAGCGATGCCAGATTTGGAGCGGATCGAGCCAAATCCACAAGCGTAGAGCCAGATATCTTTGAGTTGTTTGTCAGGACAATAGTGGAAAGACCAGCCAGTCTGTAAGAACGGAACGGAGCCAAACTTGTAGCAGTCAAACGACTGCATTCTGGAACAATCAGCAACTGTAGAGTCTGTCTGCTCCTGCGAGCAAGCCATTCCAGCATCTGGTTAGATATTCTGAGTTTTGACCTGGACGAAGCCAAGAAGGAACAGTCCAGTTTAGACCAGAGAGTGGGATTGTCCATCAAAACTCTTCTCCATCGTTTGCATACATGCGATGCTCGAACAAGGTCCAAGACAAGCAGTTGTTTCAACACCATGCACAACACTTCAATAGGCAATCCCAGCATATATGCCGTGTCCATTGAAGTACTGACTGCAGTATCTGGCAGGTTAGATGGTTCTTGATGCATTCTTTTGTGAGTCTCAGTAGCTTGCAAAAGCAATCTATCTACAGAAATATTAAAGTTGGATGGTTTCCATTTGCAAGCATCAGCAGCCTGTACTGCCATGCTGATGCTTTGCAGTGCCAATGTCTTGTGTCCGACTCGTAACAATAAACGAGCTGTTTGTAGATACAAACTGGACAACAGAGTCGATCCAGCTGGCAGTGAAGCAATCCGTTTAAAAAGAGTTTTAATGCTATTATTAATCGTCAATCTGTCTTCCATTCTACTCAAAACTATAAGAATTAACTCGATATTATCGGGTTAAAATGTAAAGAATTACTTTTAAACCATTTCAACTATTTCTTGAATGGATCGTTCCCATTCAGTCACTTGGCTAACTAGTCCTCCTGCAAAACATCTTTCTGTTCGACTAGAAGATCCTTCCAGTCCATCTAGCAGTCCTAGTACTGCAGTGTCTGTTCATGCATCTGAGTTGAAGCCATCTGCTCATTCTCGGACTAATTTAAATAATTTAAAGAGTACATCTGCAGAGTATATTCATACTGCATCCACATCTGAACCCTTCTTGGATTCTTCTATTCCTCGATGCTTCTCTGATCGACTTCCTACATCACATACACAAAGAAAACGTCGTAGAGCTGTCCATTTAGAATATGAACAGGATTCTTCTCGCTCTTCCAGTCTTGGATTTTCTTCTTTGTTAAGAGAGTGTCAGAGTGCATTTGTAGATACTAATCAGCGCAGCAGTAAACCTCTTGAACCAGTTTCATCAATTGTTCATTCTCAAAATACTGTCAAGCAGCCACATCAAACCTCAGATTCAACCCTTCCAGAATCTTTACTTGTTTCCTCTGCCAAAAAAATTGACTTTCAATCCCTTGAACAGAGTTCAACCAATATTGCAGATTCAAACATATTTCATAACAATCTTGACCGTTTTTTAACTAAAAATCAATCAGATTCAGTATCTACATTAACTGCCACATCTAAACTACCCACAACCACTTTGGTCACTCCACATTCATCTCTAAAAAAGGCATGTCAATACTATACTGGATTTGTATAAATGTCATACTGAAATCTATGTGTTAACATGCGTTGTTACACTACCATTTTAGGATCAAGGATTTACTCGACTTGTCGTGTTGGAGTCCATCATTCGAGCAACACCAGGGATACCCAATGCTTTTGAAAAGGTTGGTTGTTTAGTTTTGCAACTTGGAAAATGCATTTTGTACTTTAATGAGGAATTAAGACCTAGTCTTGATCCAATTGGATCGGTGTTTGTTTGGAATAGGCTGTACGTGTTTTGGACGAGGATTTAGAATACGAAGTGTTGGTTATTTTAAGGAATGAATGGCAATCGACTGAACTTTCACCAGGTACTTATTTTATCAAGTGAATACTGTCATGATCTTGTCACTTTTACCAACTTTTATTTTAAATCATTTTGAATGCAAATACGGTGGCTATAAAATGACTGTGCAGGCGACTACATTCATGTTACTGCCAAATCGCACAATGGAAAAGAGTTTATTGTAGATTCTGAAGCTGGGTGTATTATTGTGCATCCCGATCACCTTGTCACGGTTACCGCAATATCTGAAAGCTTTTCATGTCTTCGTCGAGCAATCATAAAAAGTAAAGTCAAATTTCGAAGTACTAATGCACATATTATATTTGGTAGTATTATCCACGAACTTTTTCAGGAAGCACTTCGACAACGCAACTTTTCTCCAGAATTTTTAGACAAAATGTGCATTGCTATATTGTTGAAAAACACTGATGAACTATACGCTATTTCCATGACTGAGGAAATAGCATTGGACGAAATTCGTAAAATGATTGGTCCAATGTGTGAATGGGCTCAGTTATTTCTTCATGACAAACTGCGCGATTCTTCAGTGCTTAAATCTCAACCTCCATCCGTATATACTCCTTTGCTTAAAAATCAGTTTCAAGTGGACTCTATTGTTGATATTGAGGAAACAGTACTATCACATAAATATGGCATCAAGGGTCAAGTGGACGTATCAGCCACTGTTCGATTTGGAAATCTACAAGCACCTGCAAAACTTGTTCCAATTGAACTTAAATCCAGTAAGCGTATAAACCACTTGGACTCACATCGTGCTCAAACTATGATGTACTCTCTTATTATGTCCGACATGTACGGCCAAGAGATTCTCAACGGTGTACTGGCGTATATTTGTCGTAATGAAAGTCTTTCTGTTCCACTTCACTGGAATGAAATTCGAATGATGATTATTATGCGGAATATGCTTGCCACACATAGTGTGAGTCGCGGTCGAGCTGGACAACAACTTCCGTCTGTCATTCAAAACGAATGGATTTGCAGCAAGTGCTATATGTTGGACACGTGCATTTTATACCAAAAGGTATCTCATACAACTCTTTATTCTGCTTGAATTTATTCCAAGTGCTATTTGATTATTCATAATTTTGATATACTGCTAGAAAGAGGGTCGAGATATTACCGAGTTTGGATCGAGTCGAGAATTCACTGAGCGATTGGCGCACATCAATTCTATTCACATATCATTTTTTAAGAAATGGGACACGCTTATTACTTTGGAGGAACCTAATATTGAAGAGTTTTCACGCGAGTTTTTTACACTATCTAGCAATGATCGTGAGCTGATTGGCCGGTGAGTTGTGTTGGTATTTTTTGGTTGAATTTATACTTGCAAATGCATTCATGTTTTCAAAAACTAATGCTTGTCAACACACACCGCCATTTGTGTATGATTACCTAAATGTAGATGTGTTGGGATGCTAAACGTTGCTTGTCAAACTCGCCCCGTTTTTGGAGTAGACGTATCAGGCAAATCAATTTACACGCTAAAAAAGGCTGATCAAAACGATTCAATCAATACACTCAATTGTGAAATGTTTGAGGGAGATCCAGTCATACTTTCAGTCGAAGGAAGTCGAAATCGACTAGGAACTGGAAATATTGTCACCATCGACCAAAACAATATAGTTATTGCTACTTCTAAGCCGCTTAGCACTACTGCATTGAAGCAAGATACATTGTGTCGACTGGACAAGGATCAGTTTTCTTCAGGAAGCAGCACCGTACGATACTATTTGGCGTCGATTTTCACTGAACAGAGATTCTTTAAAACTCGACAGCTTGTAGTAGATCTTACACCTCCACAATTCAATTCAACCATTGTCAAGAAAGCTTTTGTAGATCATGTCAATGCATCTCAGATGAACGCTATTGATCACGTATTACGAGGTAGTTGTCGAGCATGCAAACGACACTTTTCTAATTGATTTGGAGTTGACTTGCGCATTTTAACGCATTGTAAATATGTAGCTCAAGACTACGCGCTTGTTCTTGGAATGCCTGGAACAGGAAAAACAACCGTTATTAGTCATATTTTGGATATTTTGGTCAAAAGTGGAAAGTCTATTCTTCTTACCTCATATACCCACTCTGCTGTTGACAATATTCTTCTTAAAATCAAATTTAAAGAAATCGAGTTTTTACGAATTGGTGATTTTAACAAGGTAATCATACTATTTTTTACACTGGCGATATCAACGTGAATTTTAAATCTACTAATCATACAAACTGTATCTATACACAGGTTCATCCTGATCTTAAAAGTATTGTATCTATGCAGCGAAAAAAAATCACAACTGTTGCTCAAGCTGAACAGTACTATTCCAACGTCCCTATTGTAGCGTCTACATGCTTGGGACTAAGCCAGTAAGCATACGTTGTTGATTTTGTTTAATTCGAGTTAAAAAAAAACACTGTTTTGATCATGCAATGTAAACTAATTATTTAATTAGTCCCATATTCTCCAAAAGAAAATTTGATTACTGCATTGTTGACGAAGCGTCGCAGATTATGCTTCCAGTGTGCTTGGGACCTATTCGTTTTGCAAATACGTTTATTTTAGTTGGCGATCACTACCAACTTCCGCCTATTGTAAGTCAAGTATCAAACAAATTTATTTACAGCCCTGTCTGACATCAATTCGTGGTGCATGTGCCTAATTAGACAACACAACGCTCATCATGGAACGAGCCGCCTTTATCGCTTTTTCGATACTTATCTGAAGCACATCCATCAGCGGTGGCAGTTCTTGAGCAACAGTATCGCATGAATAAGGATATTGTGCGCCTATCCAGCACAATCATCTATAATAGCAAGCTTAGATGTGGATCCGATTTTGTTGCAAACCAAACGATCCATCTTCCACTTTGGGATCAATGGAAAGTTGATGCACATTCTTTTTTGATGGAGCCCAACATACAATGCATGTCATTGGACGAGTGTTGGCTGGCGCATACGCTTAAACCAAGGTAGATTTATGTTGGAATATAGACCAAAATGTGTTTGATTTTGTGTTGGCATAACCACAATTGTGTTTTATCCAATGACTTTTAGCAACGCAGTAGTATTTTTGAACACGGATGCAGTTCCTGCGTTGGAGGTTCGAGCATTGCAATTTATTCAAAATGAGATTGAAGCTTATCTTGTTCAGCAGGTATTGATTATTTCTGCGGTTTATTTTTTGTATATCTGCCACTCCAACTCTAACCATGCATACCTTGGTTTCTATTCTATGTAGGTGGTGACCTCGTTTATAGAATGCGGTGTTTCAGAACAAGAGATTGGTGTGATATCTCCTTACAAAGCTCAGCTTCGTATTATTCGTGAACTACTCAAATCCCATCCTCAAATAGAAATCCTTACAGTAGACAAATATCAAGGACGTGACAAGTCCTGCATTGTCCTGTCACTCGTTCGATCCAATACTACGGGTCATGTAAGTAGAATGTCATTCATCCGTACTAGGTTCAATCAGATCCATACAAACTAATACACTTTGTTTTGAAATATTGTCATCAGATTGGGGATTTGTTGCAAGATTGGCGTAGGATAAATGTAGCTCTCACACGAGCAAAATGCAAACTAGTACTGATTGGATCGCTCTCTACATTAAAACACACGGCACTCTTTTCCGAAATATTTGAACAATTGTCAATACATAATTGGGTAAAACTGATACTGAATGGTTTAGGGTGTTTAAATTCAGTACTGATTGTATTTTTATTTAGATTTATAATTTACCGGAATGTGCACATCTGATACACCAAAGTAAATGTACTTCCACTTGTAATCCTCAGTCGATGCATGATTGATGCACACAATCAAGGGAACAATGCAGACTACTCGACTGTTTGTCAGTAGTGTTAGTCTTGCAAATCTAAAGACCCGAAACTCTCGGTTGATTTCATCAAGGATATAAATAAAGTATTTTTAATATGGACACCAGAAAAGTATAAAACATTGTCAAAAATAGATTATTTATAGCATTAAAGTGTTCATGATTCACTGGCTTCATGATTTAGCGATAACCTAGGCAAAATACTCGATCTAGCACCAGGGGAATGAGCGAATCCAAACCCATGTTCCTTGACCACCGATGTAGCATCTAAAGTAGTAAGTTGCGGTATACCTCTTTCTTCGACACCATTTGCATAGAAAAAGTCGTCTTCTTGTAGTTGCAGGTTGATATGGAGTGGAGTCAGTTTGGACCGTCTTCTATTTCGAATGTGATCGGTTGCACTGGATCTTGATCGTGCAAGTGAGGAAGTTGAAGCCATACTTATCCGTTTTCTTGATTGTGGTATCTGAGGTACGGGTGGATATTGATGGGGCTGCTCTCTGATTTCGTGGGATGGCCATACTGTACCATGTTGTTTCTGAAGCTGTTTCTCATGCTCTTGCGCAATAGCAGTATCGGTTGGTGTAATCAGTCGCGAAAAAGACAAATAGGCAAACTTTGGCAAACTGCACAATGTGATTGTCAGTATAAATGAAAGCCAAAACGTTGATGAAGTATAAAGAATTGATTCATAGTGAGGCCATGGTGATGCTGGCAATTCCATATAAACCACAAGAAAAACAAATATAATGGTGTTGGTGCCTAGAATAGCTGCAAATACAATCCACGTCCACAAATGTGTTGAAAAGGCAATAAAGAAATTGGTCATGGTGAGGCAGCAAATTGCTACCGAAATGGAAAAGTATAATGCGTCTTCGGGACGTCCATTTGCATGAATTGCCACATCTCGAAGAGCCAGATATTGAACAAAGAAAATCACTACTCCTTGATAAACTGCTTCAGCAACGTAGATGAGCACTTGCGTATGGGTTAACACAACTCGCATTATGCCTATATTGTAGAGTGGTGGAAATTTTTGCGCCATTTCTGCAGAAACATCCTTGTCAAAAGCACCAAGAATTCCGACAGGAACTGCTGTAAAAAGAACGTTTGATAAAATCATATAGACGACATCGTATACAGGCTGCGCACTAAAACCACAGAAAATCTGATACATGAACAACGGTATACTGTTTTAAAGGTGTTAGCACAATACATGCACACGACTGTTTGGAATAAATAGCAAAAAGGCATACTACTTGCGTGTAAATGATGTTTTTAAAGAAAAAGTTGAGAATCATTGATCCTGTGCGAACGTAGCACCAACGTCCATGAACAAGCAATAGTCGTTCAAGAAACCGAAACTGCGAAATGACAAAGTCGGCTGCCATGGCAGCTTGTAGCCCTTCTTGACCGGAAATGCCCACACCAACATGTGCAGCCTGAATCATGCCAACATCGTTGGCACCATCGCCAATAGCTAAACACATGGAATCTTGAGTACTTTTAATCAGCTGAACCACCTTTGCTTTTTGAAGTGGACTGACACGACAGCAAATGACTGCATCACACCGGACAATCAGATCCACCAGTGTATCTTTTGCGTGATCGTCCAGAGCATGAAACAACGCTCTGCCGTCAATCACAAGACCGAATCGCTGTTTACTGCTTTTGGTCTGCCCACCTCCGATGGCTTGCATTGAAAGCAATCCATTCATCTTTTCAAACCCATTCCATTCAATAACAGACTCATCACTGACTTTTTCATCGCCAAAGAATCTCTTGATGGCTTCTTGCATCTGCTGCAAAGTGGAGCCTTCATCATCCTTGTTATTTCCTCCGCGAATAACAATCAGACTCATGTCTTTTGTTAAAAGATTGCACGAATATCCAATGTTGATTGCAGTTTCAAGCTTGTCGCCCGTGAGAACAATGATTTTGATACCAGCTTCAAGAAAAACTTGAATGCATTTAGGCACTCCCTCTTGGAGTTTGTCTTCGATGGCAGTTGCACCAAGAAGGTAAAGGTTTTGCTCAATTAAATTAGAAGCTTCTTCGATGCAGTCTTCCCGATTTTCAAGCGACACGGACGCCAAATGATAACTTCTTTCCCAGGCTGCATATTCCGCTTCGCTTAAAATAGCGTATGCCAAGCAAAGGGTTCTTAACCCTACAATACACCATTTGAAAAATATGTAAGCGTATCAAGTTTGTAGGTATTTCAAATGTCCATTCATCAGTGGTTACATACCTTCTCCAGCAAAATGTTCCAAATCATGCATGGTCTTGGTTTTCAACTCATCCTGATCTTCAGCCAGTCGTTCAAAAATCACTGAATCTGCACCTTTACAATACAGCACAATTTCCCCATTGCGTCGCCTCAAAATCATACTCATGCGCTTTCTCGACGATGTAAATTCCAAGATATTGAGAATAGTAAACGTTTCCAGATTTCCGAGCATCACAACACCCACGGTCGTATTTTCTCGAGATTGAAATACAAACCCAGCTGATTTGGCTGCATCGACAAGAGCTGCCTCGTCAGGACTCTGTGCCTTGTATATAATATCTCCCGTGTCGGCATTGGATGACACCAATACAGTGTGGCAGAGTGACAGACAACTAAAAAACTCAAACATGGTTTTATAATGCACAGAGTCTTTGGGAAAAGTGCAAAAATCCTTCTCAAGCTGAACTACCGAAAATGGTTTAGAGTCTTGGTAAACAAAGGGCTGGTCGCTAGGAATCTGGCTTGTGTTGAAAGATTCGTCGGATATAGCTTCAATCGAGGTAATTTGTGTTTCATGACCGTAGATTACGCTGTTGACTGAGCATCGCTTGAACTCCATAATATTACGTGTCAAGGTGCCAGTTTTGTCGCTGAATATGTACTCTATTTGGCCGAGATCGTCTGCCAGATTCCAACTTCGTGGAATGCATGGCTCATTGCACGTCTCATCATAGAGTTCGATATCTTCGTATATAAGAAATGACTAAAAAAATCAAACCAAATTTCAGCAAGCTTCGAATATAGAGTGATAGCAAATGTAAAAATGTATACCTGAAGCGATTTGACAATTTCCACGGTAATGTAAAGTGAGATTGGAACAAGGTTTTGAAACAAAATGATTGCAACCCTATGTAACCCAAAGTTATCCGACAAAGATATTGTCAGTAATGGCGGTTTAATCGTGATCAATCCGTTTCAACAATTCAGACTTACCAAAACATGGCAACTGCATCTGAAACCCCAATGGTATCACTTGAAAATGTGTTTGTAAGCCATGGAGCTTGATTCACTTGATCCGCTTTTTCCAGCACGTATCCCATAACAGCCGAAATAATTGACAGAATTACCATGAGAGCTAAACTCAGCAAACTAAATAACCAGCATAGACAAAGCAAATAAATTCATGTGTATCAATTAGTAGCAGACACATATATAGAGTACAACAGTACCAAGAAAGCTACTTGCATGTAAAAATTGGTCTGATCCTCAATCAGTGATCGCTTTATAGGCGTATCACCTGAATTCAGTCTAATTTTCGATTCAACACCAGTATAAACCACAATGCCATACACCCACTCTGTGTTTCTTAAAACACAACCACGTAAAAGCATCGAGTTGATATTGATTGGAATACGCGAAACATTAGCAGAGTTTTGATCAATTTGAGATGTTGCTCTATGACGAAGCTGTGATTCTTTTTGCGCTGTTGGAGATGGGTGGTCAGAAACAGAAATTCGCAAAGATCCTGTGGGAGTCAATAGGGTCCTTGGCGACATGTCTACAGATGATCCCAAATCAGGAGGTGCAGAATATGGCTGAATGGATAGTTTTTGCAGTGTAATTGGAGAAGTCTGCATCAATGCTGGACGGTGGTAATGAACCAACGTACCCGTAAATAAGTAAATGCTTGGATGTGGTTTTTCGCATTCTATTGTACATTGAAATTGTCGAAGACAATTTGGAGTTGTTATGGAAAGAGTATCACTCACTACTTTTCTAATTTTGAGGTTGGTTTCACCGTCTAGATTTTTAGTTTCAATGTAGCACAGACCTTCGGGCTCTGATGATGCCAGAATAATAAGGTCTGCAGGAATGTGCTCGTTGTTTTGTAGTCGAATCAGATCGCCGACTTTGATATCTTTCCATTGAACATATCGCCACTCTTTTGAAAGTTCAGGATCGTCTGGTTTGCGAACTGGAGAGGGCTGTTCAATTGGAGAAGATACGGATGATGCATAGTGGTTTGCATCATTTAAACTCGTGTCAGGTTCAATCTGACCATGTTTGGGACGAGAATCTTCTGCACTGCGAGGTCTATGAATACCCAAAATCCACCCAATTTGATTTAATTTGGAAGTAATGATGGACGCAGTTGTAGACCGTGGCTTCATGAATGGTTTGTTGAGATTTTTCCAACTGGAGAGTTTAAGAGTAGTTTGAGTATTGACTGCTAAATCCGAGCCATGCCGACGATAATCTTCAAAAGCATCTTTAATGCAGGTGGCAGTGATGATTAGAATAAGTGGAAGAGCAGCAACCCAGGGATTGATTGATTGATAAGTAGGAAAGAACTGCAGAATAGCAAGTGTTAAAAAGAAGATGTTGGCAAATCTCCTGTGTAGTATTGCATATAGATAATATGAAGAGTGTTGGTAATGCAATTCGAGTTTAGCGATGTTTGAATATATTCAGCAAGTTTATAACTATTGTTAGTTTATGGACCAATTCACTATATATAAAACACATGAAATTCAATGCACGATTAGAAGCCACCATATACAGCCGCAATGGCATGCAATTTGGTTCTTGACACTCTGATGATGTTAAAATCAAAAATGCTACTCGAGAACGAGTTGATACTTGCCGAAATTGCTCAAACAAGTTATGAGGTAGAAAGGACAACAGAGTGTATTTGGACGTATTGATTTCGTTTGAAGGAAACATAGCTTGAGTGGATTCACCATTGGGCTTAAACATGGACTTTGGAGGATATATGTTGGTGTATATCTTGCGAGTGGGAGTATGGTCAGCCAGAGTTCCTGACAAGGATGAGTTGCTCATTGCTTTAGAAAGCATTCCCTTTATGGATGTCATTGAATAATAATTACAGAGTGAATGTGATGTAGTTGGTAATAGTAACAATCGGGATAAAAGCAATCCTTGACTCTCCGGCCATTTGTTGCTGTTTTGTGGAGTTATCACCAAAATCCACCCAGCACTAAACTCGATTCTAATAAACCCACTCAACGCATAAACCCACCCAACGCTGTAAACCCACTCGACGCTGTAAACCCACTCAAAGCTATAAATCCGACGCTGTAAACCCGATATTATACCAGTTTATATATTCGGCTTCCCGAGTTTAGCTTCAACAGTTTGAATCGTTACTCGGCATTATAGTACATGTTCGATTTTGTATTATTCTGTTTAGTATAGGCACTAATGGATAGTCTGTCAACTTGGTATTCTGACTGCTATTTAATAGGATACTCTAACAAAACTAAAGTGTATGGTCAAGCCATTACTTATAGTAGTTGATATTACTACCTACAGTTGTATTCATGTAAAATACAACATCAAAGTGACAACACAAACAGTCGGTTTCATGAAACAACTGATGTCAATTCATGCCAAGTTACTGTCAACATTGTGCCATCTCAACTCTTTAAAGTTGGCTGGCTTTTGATCATTTTTATATGAACAAATGCTCACATCACAGTCCCAGTCAACTCCACACTTGTTTAGTCTAGAAATCAAACACTGACATTGAGTAGTTGGCATGTAGAATGACATTCCTATAATGCTCAGTCCTTGCTCACTTGAACTAGAAACGCGAATATATGAAAGGAGGTTCAATATAGTCGAATCCAATATCTGCTGGACTGCGATGCATGGATATGGAGATTTTCTTTTCTAAACCTCCCTTTCTTCACTTTTGGCATAGCCATCCATTGCACAATCTTGTTTAAAGCTATGATTTTGCTGTGAGCATCATAATGATCGTTTCGTCTAAAGGTTGATTAAGGGAGCTGCAGATGCTTTGATGCCAAGATTTTCCGAACGGCATCAAAAGAGTATTTTTCGATGCGTGTTTGATTCTAGATAGCATATCATCTTGCAAAACTACAAAACCTCTCATGGTGTCGTTCAACAGTCGTATTGCGAGGTCGAGTTTTATATTGTTTTTAGTTGTGTCGACAATCACTTGAATAAAAATGATGTGGTGTGCGACTCCAGATATAGAATTAGAAATACCAGTTGAAAAGGCGGTGCAGTCAATTTCTAATAGGAAGGACAATAAATATTTAAGCACTATTTATTTCCAAGCAAAACAGCCAAATTCAAATCGAGTGTTCCATTCTACGTGAATACGGCTGTAATATATAAAGAAGCCACATTGCAGAAATTACAGTTTGCAACCAGACCAACAGTCTATTTTAATTCCTCATTGAAACCATTTGAATGCATTCGTCACTTTTACTCTCATCGGCTGTCTTGTTAGGCTCTATGCAGACTGTATGGGCAGTAGTTACTGGTGATTTGACTTTTTTTACTCCCGACACCGGTGCATGCGGCAATGTCAACTATGAATCAGAACTCATTGTTGCTGTGGTAAGTTTTGTGAATTCTAGCCTAACCGCACTCTATTTAGTCAATGCACTCACCATTGGAACTTGAATTGTAGAGCGATACATTCTTTGACAAATCACAGGGAAGGGTATGTGGTCGACACATTTGCATCAATGGCGAAACTATCAAGGCAAGAATCGAGGATCGCTGTATTGGTTGTGATACGTTTGATATCGACGCAACCGCACTCTTGTTTTCAAAGATTGCTGATTTGGACGTAGGAAGACTGAAGGTGAATTGGTGGTTTTGCGATGATGGACCTGATTTGACTCAACTCTTCCCGAATTTGGTACATCCACCACCTGAACGGCAATCACCAAGACCACCTAGTCAAAGTCCTAAACCTTCGCCTGTATCTACCACTACCACCCAAACTAAATCCAAAACTAAGACCAAAGCCTCTACCGTTTCTACTTCTATTATTTCTGTTTCTACTACTTCTCAATCTCCAGTCATTACATCTATAAGCCCCTTGGTACCGCCAGGTCGCACTGGATGCTTCAAAAAACATTAACCTACTACTTTCAAAACTTTATGATTATGTAATACTATTAAACTTTGCACTTTTATCTGTCTACATTATTGTCAATATGGATGGGTGGTTTAGATGAGTCTATTGGTCAAGTAAAAACACTTTATTTGCTCCACCATCCCATATTGTAAACCAGATACTGGCCGAAAATCACACAATCGAATAATACAGTTCCACCACTTCCAAGCAAGTATGGAAGCGATTGAAGCAGAAACGAAGGATTACTGGATTTGACAAAGATTGACATGGTGTAAGCAATATTCCCCAGTACTGCGCCAAAAAACATGTTCAAACTCAATCCTTCGCATGTCTTTCGTTTCATATTCAAGTAGATTTGTGGTGGGCGGGAAGACAGATACAGAGCTGTGCAGATCCATGAGATGAATCTTCCTAAATCGTACGAGTTTAAAACTGGCCGCTGATCAGGTTCTATGTGGATATTTGTCGAATTTGAATGGTGATGCTGGGACGAAGAAAGCCATCCCAGAACAAATGGTGCTCCAAACGATGCCACAGTAGCAATAATGGTGAAGATGAGTGCTAGATTGAATATAATCAATAACACATTGGAATGGGATCGACACGCACAGTTTGATTCGGGTCTAAGCAAGGGCAGCTCTGGGTTCAACGATCTACTGCATGCAGACGTAGTTTGCAATGAACGAGTGTCGGATTCAATTGAAGACTCGACTATCCGTGAACACTCGGCATCGTCCAACACACTCGTGAGTGGAGAAGATATCAGCATAGACCGTTCATCAAACTCTTGTGACCCTTCTAAAATGGGACGTGGACTAGTGGTATACCAGTAAAACATCCACTGTAAAAACAATATTGAGTCCACCAGCACAAAGTACACGGCCAAATAGATTTGAAATGGCAACTGATTAGTCAATATGCATCCAACTAGATTTGTAATGTCTCCAAGCAGCCAGATGGAGACAAAATAGATTGATAAAGACTTGGCAGAGCCATTGATCCAGTTCATGCGAAGCTGGGGTATCTGAGCAAAAAACCAGCAAGTAATGGATGTATACCCAAGAAACATACTGATAGAGTCTCGATGGGTATAGGCACATTCATGAAAAACGAATTCGATCCAATGGATTGCATGTCGTCCTAGCTCATCGGTTGGACAGCTATACATGACTATGAATTGATATAGCTATGATGATTACTAATGGTGAAAGAAGGCAAGTTTTAGCCAAGCTCCTTGTTATGCTGATGAATAATAGGAATGGTTGCTGTAGCGCACTGTTCAAGGGTTAGTTGGAACACACTTGCAGTAAGGATTGGGAAAAGCGGAGTATATTATTGTAACCAAGTTTCAAGGGACTGTTACAAACAACAACCCTTATTTTTCACTGTCAAAGCATTGGTGATAAACAGCAAGACTATTCAACCATACTTTGGCCTCGGTGACACTACATCAAGACAAGCATTACAAGATTGAATTGAACCGATTTGCTACTGACATGGTCTTGTGAGTCTAAGATCCATACAAAAGCCAGTCTGCATTAAAGTGTCAATCTAACCTGGCTGGATTAGACCAAGTGATGTCTTGACCGCATCTATAGTTGAATAGATTCATTTGTAGTTATACTAGACACTCCATAAGAACTCGGCTTTTAGACTAGACCAGACACTATTATGAAGCTCAAGGTTCATTGACATTCATAGTGAGTTGGTATGAATAATAAAGTCGATCAGTATCATAATTTACAATGGGTGAAGCACGTGCCAGAGAATGCAGGTTTATGCAGCGAGCAGCAACACTCACTAGCACAGTACAAGGGCAATGTTGGACTCGTTTACCATCAAGTTTTCAAGTGTATCTTTTGACTTGACCCTGTAGTAGTGTCGCACTAACCCTAGCACAACCTATTTGGCTGAAATGGATATTTAGACTAAGCAAGATTGCATTGTATTACAATATTAAATAAACACTTATTTATCCCGGACAAGCATAATTTGTTTTCATTAAGCATTGACCTGCATGCCTAGTTGTTGATGTGTTGGCAGCGCGCCAATACCTTGACAAGTTACAACACGCTCAACACTGCACTCCAAAGACGGGCTGTAAACGCATGGTCATGCAGAGTAGTGTTTAAGGATAGTGTAGTTTCCAAGTCAAGTGCTATTCAGTTACTAGTCTGATGAACAGTTTATGAAATAGTCAATTCAAACAAGACAGACTGCCAACAAGTTTCAATTATACGGTCTTGACTGGTATGTGGATGGAGTGATCGCGCTGGTTTCCAGTTTTTTTTTGTTTCGACCTGTTTTCCATTTTTCACTTTGGAATTTGCACTTGCGACACGTTCGTTTGATTGGCATTGGCTGTTGTTAGGGTGAGGATCGGGCATTCTGTGCAATCATGCGTATATATGTGCTGGAGTGTATGAGATCGTCATTTACTATTGTGGTTACAAAAGTCATTAACTATATACATAATACACTGGTTTTGCACTACCTCTTTGTAGTATAGCCTCAAAACTCCCACGCTGCTAACAGTAACAAGAGGCAACGGACACGCCCACACTTGACTATTACTACGGATTGTTGATTCCAGCTACTAGAAATACTAGTCATCTACCAATTGCTGCTGTAATCGCTGGCTTGACCCAATCACTACAGCTACTACACGGACTAGTTCCGACTACTACTACACGGGAGCAGCATTAACAACCGCCGCCGTTCCAGTGAGAACAATAGCAACAACAAAGCAAAGGGGAAATAGGTCACTACAGTTCCTGAAACTCACTGTCCACAAACCACAATCAGCAGTTGATAGTGTTTGTTCATATCAACAGTCAGACTAGCCAGAACCACAAGAGTCGCTTCTCGCACATCCATCCAGTGGCCGCGCAGTCACTCGACTCCCTCGACAAAAAGATGAAGAATTCTGTCGCGCAAATAGACGCGAGTGCCAGCAATGCTGCTGCTTGCACTGCTGATGCTGGGCTGGAGAATGATGGCATCAAGCAGTCCGATGCTGCTGCTACTGTGATCAGCCCTGACAATGACACAGACAACTTTCCGCTAGTTTCTTCTGCTGATACTCTTTCTGCCACTGTCAAAGGTGAACTTGCCGACCCACCTGCTGCTGCAGATGTCGAGCCATTAGCCCAAGTGGCTGACTTTGCCGCGTCCAAGATCGATGTCACTCTTGCTGCTGCCAATGCATCTCCAACTACCATCACATCTGCTTCCACTATTCCCACTGTTGTCAATTCTGAAGATATTAACCACACTCCAACTACACGCCTTACTGCTAAACACTCTTTGTCCGCTACTTCAAAAGCTCCAAAGTCTCAATCTACAAAAAAGGCCGCTCCTATCCCCGTCGCTGCTCCTATTGTCCGTTCGGCCTGCTACTCGGGTGTCATTGTCTACGAACTCAAAGCCAAAAATGGTGTTCCTGTCATGCGCCGCAAACACGATGCCTTTGTTAATGCAACTCAGATTCTTCGTGCTGCTGGTCTTCCAAAGCCCGCTCGCACAAAGGTTTTGGAAAAAGATATATCAATGGGCCCACACGAGAAAATTCAAGGCGGCTACGCTGGTTTCCAAGGTACTTGGGTACCCCTTGATAGTGCCATCATGTTGGCTGAAACCTACAAAATGTGGGATGAGCTGCAGCCTTTGCTAGAGTATGATGTGGATAGTGGCGAAGCAGAAAAACATGTTGTTTCCAAAACAAAACGGTCTACAACTAGTGCTACGACTGGCTCTGCATTAAGGCGTGAAGCACGACGTGAATCAGCAAGCTTTTCATCTGGTTCTGAAGGTACTGTAAAATGATTCACGTTTTGAGCTAATATACAGCATGCAGTCGACAATGCTTTTTTTTAATTGATCTAATCTATTTGAATTATACCTACAGCTGGCGATAACGAAAGACCACGCCAAACTCCTTCTAGACTCCCACGACACGTTCCTACTCCACCCACATCTGCCAGATCACCACGGCTACGTCGAAAACGTTTATTCTCGGTCGAAACTGTTGATGAAGACGATGAAATGCACTCAAGAAGAACAGGGTTATCCACAAACGGAGCAACGACGCGTGGCTCAACCGTTCCCACTCGATCTGGCACATCCACACCTAGAGGAACAGCAGGTGGTCGAGTCCCAGCAACGCCAAAACGATTCACATCTCACATCACTTCGTCACATTTGAATACCTTTTCTCATACAGATGATTATGACAGAATGCATGATGCCATCATGTTTCCTGAAGAGGATGACGAATTTGACTTGCACCAAGAAGAACTGGAGGATCGTAAACGAGCACGCATGAGCTCAAGACGAGTGTGTGAGTTGTGTGGAACAAAAGAAACTTTGAGATGGCGTCATGGTCCATCTAAAAAACGATCTCTGTGTAATACGTGTGGAATCAAATGGGGATCTGGACGTCACTCTAGTTCATATTCAACAGGTCCATACGGTACCATGCAAACTACAATTGCCTCTACACTAGCACAACCATCACCAGCCTTTGGAGCAGAAGCAGAATTCACATCCAACCTGTCTGATCTCACATCCAACTTTGATTCAGAAGAAATTGCCGATTTACAAGAAGGATCGATTGTGCAAAAATTATCACAAGAAGTGCGTGATTTAAAACATAAATTGAAGGAAATGCAACAAGGTCAGCGACAGTTGCGGTTATTACTTCTTGAAGCAAACATTGATGATCGGGACATTGATCGTGGGTTCAGAAAAGTAATCCATGCTGCCAAGCGACTACGAGCAAGTGACGATTACATTGACAAGGAAGAGAATGAAAATGATGAGGCTTACGAATGGAATGTAAACGGATCGGCCTACTTGGTTCAACAGCCTCAAGAAAATGGAGCCGAGGCAGACGAATCTGCTAAAACCATGCCACTTCCATCTGTAACGATTGCAAGGCTATTTGGAAACGAAAGTGAGCGAGATCGACAACATGAACTGCTATTGATTGGACGGTTTGTAAGAGCAGTCAGACGAAACAAGACGAGAATTCACAATCGGATCCAATCTATGCGGTTACCAATTCAATCCTACCGTCGCTGAACAATTGAAACATTATGGGATGTTTATTAAAAAGATGATTGATTGTCAAAGCATGTCTTTACAACCGTATTCACCTAAAATGAAACACTAAATAAGAGTGCCAAAATACATAATAAATAGCCAGTCTCATGACATGATTATTGCTCATTTATTAGCAGTGTTTTTTGCACTGTAAGCTACACATTCTTTAATCCTCATGACACTGCTGTTGAACGGTGGTTGATCATGTCTTGTAGAGTTGCTCTGGAATGCCATCAGAATACAATCCATCTACGCGAATGCTTTCCAAACACAACACTGATGGTTGCTGACAATTTTCCATTTTATTTCATCACTCCATTCTCAACCCCATTGTCGCCAACTGTCAAGGTGGAGTCAACTAGAATTGATCTCATTGGAAAGAATTTGAAACAGATGGCTACTGTTGGTAGTGGTGCTACAGGAGATACTATTGCAACCTCGACTTCATTAGAAACCAACCATTCCTTGTCACAAAACACTTCAAGTGGGTTGGGAAATAATCTAGTAGACTTGCTATCCAGTCATATCAGTAATGGTGGATCCAATGGAGTTGGTGCTTTATCCAATAGTCTGTCCATGACTTCAATAGGTTCGGGTGGTACTCTTTCACATGCAGTACTTTCCACCCATTTGGGCTCTGCTCCTGGTGGTATGAATGCCTTGACTGGAGGCAATGGTAGTAGCATCACTCAAGCTCTAAATGATGAGGAAAAGATATACCAGTTGATTCTAGACCTGACCAGTCCAAATACTCGTGAGCAGGCAATGCTGGAACTCAGCAAGAAACGAGAAACGTATGAGCATCTGGCTCCATTTTTGTGGCATTCGTTTGGTAAGCTGGAGATGTAGATCTCGTAGTGTAAGATGAAAACCTGCATCCATGCTTATTTATTTCCAACTTGTTGATATGGATACCTGTACGCAGGTGTGGTCACGGCATTACTTCAAGAGATCATCTCAGTCTATCCCATGCTCACCCCGCCCACACTCACAGGGGTTGCTTCTAACCGAGTCTGTAACGCTCTCGCTCTCTTGCAATGTATTGCTAGCCACAATGAGACACGACCTTTGTTTCTTGGAGGTATATGGATCTTGAATCTATATTGATGGACTGGATCTAATCTCTTTGTATTTCTGCTGCTTGATTTAGCCCATATTCCCCTGTTTCTTTATCCATTCTTGAATACTACCAACAAGACTAGACCTTTTGAATATTTGCGTTTGACTAGTTTGGGTGTGATTGGCGCACTCGTCAAGGTGAAGGATCCAGTCATTGACAATGTCGTTGGGGTTTTGCTAAACTAGTTTTAATGTAGAATGATAACTCGGAAGTCATTAATTTCCTATTATCGACCGAGATCATTCCACTCTGTTTGCGTATCATGGAGACTGGAAGTGAGCTATCCAAGACGGTACAGAGTCTATGGCTGAAACTAGAACTGTTGCTCCTATAATTCATGCGTTAATCATTATTTTGGACCTGCCAACTTGCACATCTAGGTTGCAATATTTATTGTTCAAAAGATTCTTTTGGACGAAATGGGTCTCAACTACATATGTGAAACATACGAACGCTTCTATGCTGTTGGGACAGTCTTGTCAAATATGGTATCTCAGCTTATCGATCAGCAGTCGATTCGACTTTTGAAGCATGTGATTCGGTGTTATCTGAGACTTTCAGATAATGTTCGAGCAAGAGAAGCATTACGACAATGTCTCCCTGATCCCCTGAGGGATAGTACTTTTGCACAGATTCTTAAAGATGACATTACTACAAAGCGGTGAGTGATTTCCAAGAGCAAATGTATGGAATAGTTGGATGCTGACATGAATGGTTTTACTTTGTGTACCAGATGTCTTGCTACTCTGTTGATTAACCTTTCAGAACAATAGCGTGTTGCCAAAGTTGAACCCAATAGCAAGCCATATTTTGGACTCCTTGCAAATTTGAATTTTGATGCTATTCTCCAAAATTTTATTTCTAATGAATTGATTGCTTTGGCCTCATTACTAGCTGTGTTTTGACGAATTTAGATCGTGACAAGAAGCCATTGGCTCAAGTCCTAAATACAGTGAATGCATGCAGCAAATTCTGCGGGATTACTGACAAGCACGCCCATTTGAAAATAATTTGGGATGAATTAATGATCGCCCTTTTAACTCTGGCTTTTGTCCATTGCTTATAAGCATGGGTTATTCGAGCATTCCTGATATCAAAGCATGCCAAGAATCTGAGACAGCAGTAATGACTGAATGCATCACTATTATGAATCAGCATTGAATAGTATATCGAGTAAAGTATTCAAAGTTGGATTCATGATTACAATGACCGTTTTGGTGCACTTTGAATGTAACAAGTCCAGTGCTTGTGAATTATACGGGATTCCTATACCTGATTGTGCAATTCTATACGATGGCATATATACGCTGCTTTTTAGTTGACCCACACCCTTTATCATGTAAATAGATTGTAGTTGAAGATGAGGATGCTCAAGATTTCCAATGACGACAACTGGAGTAATAGTTCCAAATCACAATACTTTTGCATGGTACGATTGCAAACAATTGAAGCAGTGATAGGAGACCTGAGTCAGTCGAGTGCGGAATCAAAGCAACGGTTTTGATAGAAAACCGATCTATAAAGACACGTGGAGATCAAAGCAGTTGATAAAAGCAAGACGCCCCATTGGCTAGTGGCGGTTGATGTGTTGGAAAGCTAAACCTTGCGAGAGTATTGAATGAAAGGTCATTTGATTGCATGCACTAGAAAACATTACAAACAAGAGTTAAGGGAGACTGATATGAACACAGCATGTGGACCCTATCTTTAACTCCTGAATGGCTATAAGCAAAAACCTAATATTAACCCTCGACTGGTGTTTCAAGACAAATTGAAGATTAAAAATTTCAATTCTTTGGCTTTGTCTTGAATTAAGAAACTGCTGTCCTACAGCCATTGGTGTTACTGAGCAAGGTGTGTGCTACTGTCGTAGGAATGTATTGTGTTGTTGGACAGTGCTGGATTCCCTGTTTAATATGTGTTTTTGTGATCAACATTGACTAACTCTTCATCAGACTTGAACTATTCTAAAGTGCAGCAATGACCAGCTCTTCATCCTCACTTGTGCTTCCATCCCCCTCATCCTCATTGTTTGAGAGGTCCATGTCTGCATTGGTATCCAACTTCAGAGGCCATTTGGGTGAAGACTTGGCTTTAAATGAAGTCTTGTCTAATCATCAGCAAGGTCATTACTATCAGCAACCAGTCACTCAGTCATTACCACCATCAGATACCTCTCTACAACATCCGCTATCCAAGTCTATATCTGCTTCTCATGTTGCAGATTTAATTTCCGACTGCGCTAGTCCGACCCACTCGCTAACTAACGGATCATACTCTAGTCATCATCGTAACAGTGCTGCTCATGACTACCTTGGTTTAGATCTACCCACTTCTTCATCACCCACACTTTTATCTACTGCTGTTACACTGCTACCACATGACGGCATTCTGCCATCTGCTCCATTTATTGATGCCAATACTATCCCCGTTCCCCGAAGTACTCATCGTTCGGCATCCGACATTACCAATCCAAAAGGTTCTACTGGCTTGGAAACGTTTAGAAAAGAACGAGCTGCTTCTCAGCCTTTACTGCTACTCAACTCAAAACGTCCCGCATCCCGTAAGTCTAGTCTTGATTTCCATCAGAGCTTATATCACTCCATCTGCTTGGTTTTCTGTTTTATCTTTATGGATGCACATTTCTCGTTTATTATTTTTTATACCGTATTAACCATATTGAATATCTTTGCATACAATGCCATGCCATTGTATATCCAAACACATTGCTGGGATTTCAGATACTGGTCTTTCTCTACTATCAAAACCAGCTCAGGGTGCTTTTTCCGATCCGCCTCTGTTCTCTCCAACTACGCAAAACTTTTTCAAGTTTGCCAAGGATATTATTGATGTCAATATACCGACAGAATATCCCAATGCCAGTTCTGCTACAAATGCATCAGACATGCCTTTGGTTGATAATGGTGCACAATCTCATCACAGGGCGATGGACAAACCTCAATTATTGCAACACAATTTGGACCAGCAGTGGACACAGCAACAGAACCCTTATTTACCTCCAGTTCCTATGAGCAGTGCGTCTATGAGCAATGGTACAGATGCTCCTGCATCAACTATATCGTTTGGGTTTGGTGCGGGACAAGTGGATCCAGCTCTTAGTACTGCAAAGGCAATGTCCGATGTTGCTGGTCCGACTCATATGGATTTTGGCACCATGTCACTTCAACAGCAGCAGCAGCAGCTAAATGCTCTGTTTAGACCTGATACATCCGATGCAGCGAATAATCCCATGCTACAGTATATTGTTGGATCATTTCTAGACTCGATTGATACCATGACTCCTGAAACTTCACTCATGAATAATCTGCCTGAATCAGTCTCAAATGCAGCTTCTGGACCTACAAAATCAACTCAAAATGCATATTCATTGGAACAGATCCAGCCCCTCAACTCACAGCTATTTCCAACCGGCTATCGTCACTCACTTCCTGATATAGACTTGCAAAAACAACACGATATGTCTCGCCAGTTTCCTTCGGTGTCTGCTTCTTTTGCTCCAATAGATTATCATGACGATATGTTGCTATTGGGTCTAGACGATTTACCTAGAAAAACATCAAATCCAGATCTATGCCAAAACTCGATTATTTCCAATCAGTCTATAGCTACGCATCATTTTCCAGAGATTGAGCCAGTATGGCATATTTCTCAACCTCCGCAACAACAGCAGTTTCAAACAACAGCTCCATTCAATTCTGGTTTGCTTTCTATAAACAGAACTCCTCCCATCCATGCTGGTGCGCTTCCGTCTATTTCATCTAATCCGATGAACTCGGTAGCCATGAATGGGATACCGGCGAATGGTTCTGGTCGTCGTTTTTCTTTTCTACCAGGTCAGCATTTACCATCTTCCGAGGCCAGTCATCATGGTATGTCTGCTGTTGCATTGGACTCTGGAGCAGAGACTGTGAATGGTGTGGGAAATGGACCGCTTCCTTCTATGCAGCTGGGACCGCATGGCCAGCAAATGGTCATGGATTCAAACATCTACATGTCCGACTCGGCGGGAACACCGAATATGAATGACCATTCAAACCCTAATATCTTTCATCAACATCATCTTCAGTGGAAAACACACCCATCTCAACATTCACGTCTCTCTCAAGGCATGCAGTCTTCTATGGAGTCTGCCCACAATTCACAGCATATGCAAGTCCAATCGCAGCAATTTCAGCATCCGCAGTACACTCTGCTTGATTCAAACAAGAGACATTGCAGTTCAGAGATTACTCATTCACCCACTATGGCACACGAGGCTTTGGCTGATATGTCTTCACAAAAGGGATCAGTACATGATCTTAACCATTCATCTTCTGTTCGTAGTAATAGTGGCGGAGATACTCTAGAGATTAGTGATCAAGCTCTCTCCGAGACAACATCAGATGATCGTCGTTCAGGATCGAATGGAGGTGGTGCACATATGCTCAAATGCACGGTAAATGGATGTTCGCGCAGATTCAGTAAACCTGCCAGTCTCCAGACTCACATTCAAACCCATAGCACACATGGTGCAACCAGCAAACCCAAACCCTACCGATGCTCAATGTGTCCTCAAACCTTTTCTCGCAGCCATGACTTGAAGCGTCATTACTATATTCATTCACAGGATAAACCACACACATGTCCTCGATGTGGCAAGGGATTTTCACGACGAGATGCATTAAAAAGACATCAGCGATCTGTACTTCAAGGCAAAAAGGTGCACTGCAACCCAATTGATCCAAATGCACCCATGCCGACCTTGTCCGATCTAGAGTCGGATAACGACGACTGATTTTGTCAGGAATCAAACTTTCATTTGTTTAGTTTACTTTTTATAATCCGTAATCATTGATGCCTACTGTATCTTTCGTCTCATTTCTCATTACACTTGTTTAATTGTCAGTATTTATCTGTATTGTGTGACTTTTGTTTACACCTACATCTAGTTGAACTTGCCAATTTTTAAATCTTTGAAAGACTATATCAATAAAAACGAATATCTCATACTGTGGTTTGATTTCAGTAGGTCGTGACAAGTGAAATATAACACGTGAGTCTCACGTGAAATATACTTGTCCTTGCGGAGCAATATCAGCACGACATTCAACTCGACTGAATTGCAGATGCCGATTATCTATGCACTTGTTGCAAGGGGAACCATTATCCTGGCCGAGCATGCCATAACCACTGGAAATTTTGCTACCATTACTCAACATCTCTTGGCCAAGATCCCTTCGAGTGGAGCGACCGCTCAAGCTGCCGGTGGAAGCACCAGTAGCGGAAGCACTCATGCCGATTCCCGCATGTCATATGTCTACGACAACTACATGTTCCACTACCTCCAGCGTGGGAACATCACCTACCTCTGTTTATCCGATTCACAACTGGGCAAGTACATTTTCATTCCAACCTGCTCATAGCCTGAACTCGAGTGTATTGATATCTGTCATGTTTAGGTCGTCGAGTCCCTTTTGCGTTTCTGGAAGACATGGCTGCAAGGTTTATTGAAACATACGGCGATCGATCCCAAACTGCAATCTCGTACGGACTCAACGAGTACTCCAAAGCCATAGCCTCCCTCATGGTAACCAAAAAGCCTAATCTTTTTTCGCAAACTTGATAGTAACTTGTATGCAATGACATGGTAGGAGGAATACACACATGGGAATGGGGATAAAGTCACTGGACTGCGTGGTGAAATCGACCAGGTTAAAGATATCATGATCAACAATATCGGTAAGTGTTGACTCGATGCATCTTATTGACCACCATCCCTTGGAGTATAGTGTTTTGCTCATTTCAAATCTGACCGGTTTATTAGAAAAAGTACTCGAACGCGGCGACAGAATCGATATGTTGGTGGATAAAACTGAATCTCTTTCACAGGCATCGTTTGCATTCAAAAAACGGTCTACGGTGTTACGACGTAGTATGTGGTGGAAGAACACCAAACTGATGGTTCTTTTGGCTGCTGCGGTTGCGTTGCTGATTTTCTTTACTGTCATTGGATCTATGCAAGCCAAAGGGTAAACTCGAGCAATCATATTGTATAGTGCTGATTAGTCGATGCTTTTCAAACACCTAGTCCAACTCTTGGCAGAATCTACTCAATGCAAAACTCGAAATGATGTAATGATAGTGATGGTTTTGGATTACTTTTGGATTCTATTTTGAAGGCTTTGGAAAGTGATTGAATCTATTCTGATTAGCGTCAAATTTAACCATTCCAAATAAACTTGGTATTGATGGATGACTATTACCAGTATTTCCGACTGCAGTTTTACTGCCATTTCAGAATTGAAAAAAACTCGTTGCTCTATGATGGAAACTATGCTAGAACTTACCGTGGTTGATAGGGTTGAACAAGCTATTGAACATCTCATTGAGTAATACATTTTTAAATTTTATTTGAATTCATCATGTAGTGATCATTATGATCATTACACTGCATATCCTGATATTGTGCATCTATCTTCAACACATGATAGCCTGTTGAAAGTACATTCGTTTATACTTGTTCCGATATATTGGTTCCAAATGATATCAATGTTAAACAGTTTGACCAGTCAATACAACCCACATAGTATGTGTAATGGATTTGACTTTGATGTGGTGGAAACTGCATGCAACCCATTGAACAAGCATATAAGCCAACACACACCAGTGTATTTTTGAATCAGGATGACTAATAACTAAAGGTGATGTTGGTATTCAAACTGTATTGAAATGTACGAGATGGCTTGATTCAAATCTGTCAAGTATTGGGCTGCACAAAACACAAATACTGATATGTGGTTAACTCGGCAACATACTCTCAACAGTGTTCAAAAGGTCGTGCCGCCAACCCTAACCACTTTTACGTGCATTCTAAAAGCCCTGTGTCTGCTACACATTCGTTTAAACCGTATATCCTTGAAAGTAAAAGCATCTCAATCCATGGATGAACATATGGCTTGATTCATAAAATAAACATTAAAGCACATAGTACTGTGATCAAGGGACTAACAAACGGTAGTCTTCCTGATTATCAAGTAACCGTGTAGAACCATCTAGTTTAAAGGGTGGATCTACCAAGAATATAAATATATACATTTTTGACCTCCAATCAGCACTCATTCAATCAATCACTACCTCTAGACATTCAACTTACTCAATGAGAGCCACAGACGTTGTGTTCTTATCAGCCATGTCTGCAATTGCTAGCGCGGCAGTCATCACATCTAATGCAGAGACTCGATCATCACATTTATCGAAACGTAGTCCTGGTAAATATTGGACAGATATATTTGAAAAAGGCAATTTAAAAGGTATTAGTTTAGATTCCGAATCAGATTATCAAAAAAGGCAAAGGCAAAAGCAAATCAAAAAAGAGTACAAGGATTTGAAGAGAGCTGCACAGAAGAGCAAAGATAAAAGGAGAGAAGTCTGCTGGGAATATTTGAAATCTTTATCTCACACATCGGCTAAAAGTGGGACACTTTCCTCTTCAGGACCAAGTCGACAGAATAGTCGAGCAAGTAATCACTCGGGAAAAAGTCGAGCAAGTAACCATTCAAGAAAGAGTCAAGCAAGTAACCGTTCGACAGAAAGTGGAGATAGCATCCAGTCAGTAAAAGGTCAAAACATATCTGAAGAGGCAGATGAGGAAGACGAAGAAGAAGAGGAAGAAGAGCAAGAAGAAGAGGAAGAAGAAGAGGAATTGACTAAAGATCTAAAGGAACAATGCGAAAAGGCAAAGAAAGAGCGAAAGAGGTTAAAGTTGATGATAATGGAATTTGAAGCAAAACATGGTCTTACACCAACAGTCGAATACAAAAAGATTGAAACTAAATGAACAATATCAGGTATTTCATCCAAAATATGCAATGCATTGGCATCAATTTATATCATGATAGATTGTTATCCCACATTCTATTTGTCTTGAACCTTCAATAAACAGCTTTTATTACTATTTGTGACTGGTAATTTTCAAGAATATTTTATTATCAACTAGTATACGGTTAAAGCTTATCAGTCAAGATCCATCAAACTAGTGCTTTTTGATCGAATTATATTAGAATAAGCCTGCCGAGATTTACAATATTGATGTATTGGAATATTTGGTGTTCAGATACACAATGATAATGGTAGTACAACTCATGGCAGTTGTACAAACCAAACGTGATTAAAACCAATAATAATGTCAGACAAGATTGGATAATGAATTAGCGTGTAAATCATCAACATTGACCAAGATTGATTGAAATGGTGAGATTGAGTTGGATGGTGATGAGCACAACAAATGAGTGTACAGAGTTGTATTGACAACATTGACAGTCAAACACAATACATGAATGTGGGTTCAAACTTGGTGATCGTACAATGTATGATTATTGAAGATTGTGGACATATGACGGCATATTAATGATTGCCATAATCGGAAAGTATATCACAGTAAATCAAGAGGTGGAGTCAACCAATAAACTAATTGCGTTGTTTATTAAAGGAGAGTGCTTTTACAAGGTTGGAGAGCAGTAGACGATACCAGAAGGAGGGAATGTATACAGGTCATTGCCCAAGCATCATTGTTGAGGATCCCTGATTACTATATTTTTTGCATAAGAGGTGAGTGATATCACAACTGGTGATCACAGCCCAGATACACACAAAGGTTCCACACACACTCGGTGCAAGTCAGCAGATTTCACATCTCAGCACTTCAAGCCCTATACAGGGACATATGTTATTATTTGTCTAACAGCGACATCATATTGCAGCAAGTATAGTCGCCAACCCTGATATCAGGGTTCCAGATCCACTTTAAACAATTGTGTAAAGGGTGATTCCTTTAAAGTTACCTCGACATCCATAGCAGTAAATCAATGCTAACCCTGACAACACGAGTTCCTTAGGACGGTCATACAAAAAGTATGCCTTTAATATTATCCATTCAACAACGGATATAAATACGATCCAAAACTGATGTGTTGAATGACAATCATTACACCTTGCTCAACCAAAACAATACAATGAAACTATCAATCACCGTATTATCATCGATCCTGGCCATCTGCTCAGTTACTACAGCTAGTCCAGTCAATCCCAATTTGACCATGGGTGCTGGGGCTGATGCTTCGACAGCCTCTCCAAGCGCGGCTCAAACTCGTGGACCCAACTATGCAAGTCTTTCTGGCCCATATGATCTTAAGAAATATTGCGGTCCATTCGATGCTACTGAAGTGTCGTTGATCAGTGACATTGCAGAAAATCAGGCTAGAATCAAAAAAATGTTCAGCAAATTTGACAACCTACGTCGTCAGGTTTTTGCTCAAAAAATGATGATTATGAAAATCGGACAAAAAAACGAAGCTCTATATCAAGCTTCCAGAGGGGAATTTGGTAGTGCTGAAACCAGGCTTGAGATTCATCGTGGCGCTCTTAGTCAGCTCAAAAATAAGCTAAAGAAACTCCGTGAGAAAAGTTTGGATATGACTGAAAAAGATAAGACTTGGAAGAAAAGGCTTACAAGGCATTTGTTTGGATCACAAGAAAATGATGGTATCCCACTGGAAACAGTTTTCGGATATGACGAATGCTTCAATTATTTCCACAGTCGTTTTTTTCATACAGTACAATAATCTGGGTATAGTGCAACTTTCCAAGATTCTGATGTTTGGCAACAAACTTTTCAATCATAGACTCATCACATTGTTGCAGCTCAAAATGGGTTGTAATGCAGCGTGTATTGCATGTTGGTTTACTTTTAATTTGTCATGCATCCAATGTCGTTCATTCAATAAACATCGTGTATTGTCAAACCATGTGTATTATACTAATAGTTTGATCATACTACACCAATCAACTACTATGCATTGTATTGATCACTGCAGTGTCATTGCTGAATCCATGCAATTGTGTATATTGCCATTTTGGGTTACCAATCAACACATTACATTTGACACCAACCCATTGGTATCACTGGACTATTTGATACGAATGATTTGGCTGGTTTTGACAGTTTGACAGTATCCACAAACCCATGTTTAATATTCGCACATACTTTTTGCACATATTCCATTGACATGCTACAAACTGACATTGAACGTCACATTACATTGTTTTGGTCTTGAATGATACAATATGTATCAGCCGATGTTTCGTATTCACATCAACATCCACATCCAGTATATACAACAAATCTGTCCATAATTCAACATATCAGCCATATTTGATGGTCATTTGTCACATTGTTGTGTACTTGCAATGATCAGTATCAATCATTTGCATGTAGTCAGCTGTCTAGTATAATGTATGCAGTATGATCACATAACATGCCATCTGGTGATATAGCATACACTACAACCACAACCGGAAACATCGATCGTTGTCCCAATCAATATCAACAGTTGCATCAAACAAATCCACAAATGCACAACTCAGCAAGTGTAATGCATACAACTACAACATGTGTATACGAATACCGAGTGTGTCCAACTATAAACTATGTATATTGAAACCATTGGATAGTATGTCCGACACGTCATTGACATTGATAATCAAGTAGTATTGTGAGTGATCATATGCATGCAACAGGTTAACATGGTTGACATGTTGGTGTTGGATGTATCAATGTGACTATATTCCAAGAACTGATCGGACACGGCTCAACATCGACTTTGTTTCTAGCAATGGGTTTATTGTGGTACCAAACATCAATCACTGTTGTTGAACAATCGAGTATGATGGTATTTACAACAGTAATCTTGATGTTCAGTGTATGACAGAGTGTGTCCGTCATAGTTCAAGTTGAAAAATGGTAAAACTGGACTGGGAATATTGAATCTATTATAACATTCGATCATTTCAAACAATACAATCGATATGAATTGAATTGAATTCGAGTGGTGCATTGGCATTCAACTATCATGCATGGTATATACACAGATCCGTTTGCATTGATTTGTATTAGCAAACAGCCTGAAGCATATCGATTTGACAGTGCTGGTGATTATTCTGATAGCTATTGTATGATTGATTGGATGTGTATAAATGTTGAATAAAATCCATGTTGCAGCAACTGTTTGCAGAATAAATGGCATTTTATTGACCAGTATTGATGATTGCATTACGCTCAATAAACAATCATCAATGTAACAACCTAAAAAACAACCGTCATGTTTTAGCATTTGCACTGTAAGCCATTTGTTACAATGTGTAAACCAAAGTCATGTCTAGTGTCTGACCAACTGGTTGTCTAGATCAAAACCGTGTCTGTCCAAGTTGATGATGCGATAAACCAAGAAATACATCAAATCTCGGTAAACGCTGTCACACTTTCCAGGTTGCTGAAACTCACATTACGCACAACTTGACACGAATGACAATGTTGATGTCGAGACTGTCAATGTATTACAATGTATTGGTCAACAGTGACTGCAATCAATGACAATATTGCAGTCAATCCAATCCATGTGTTGATTGGAACAATGATTATCCACTTGTCAGATTCAGCATGTAAATGCATGTTTTGTAACACATTTACTAATCCAACAATTGACTGATTAACAATAATTGAATATTAAAATGTTGAATAAAAGACTCGAGTCATTATATTGAACACATGACAAATGTTTAAACACTTCAAAGTGTGTGAATTTGTCTCACAATATCAAATTTTGAATGTGAGACAAATTCACGTTTTGTTCTTTTTTTCTTTTCTTTCTTTCAACAAACTCAAAAATGACCAAATTTTATCTTCAATACAAGAACAACTCTC